ATTTTGTAGGGAAATCGATAAGCTGGTTCACGAGTAGTAATCTTAGTTGTAGGAGTTTCAGAAGAACATAAGTAATCATCAACCAATGCAAATGTACTGGTCAATTGAACATTATCCAATGTTTCATTCGACATTACAAAAATAATTAGTCTTAGTATGTCATAAGTTAAAGACTTCCATTTCAATTTGAAAATAAAAACTTAGAAACTAAGGAACAAAAATAAAATTCTTTCGTTTTATAATAAAATAGAAAGTAACTGTATGTTTTGGGATAAAAATATACCAACACAAAAAAAAAGCACTTACTCAATATAAAAATGTAACACGATAACAGAAACACGAAAATGACTTTAGTTTTTTTTAAATATGTCTATTTGGGATAACGTACGGAAAGGCAAACCAATTCAATAAACGGTAGAAAATTCATTTGGCGCATTTATGAATTTAAACAAAAAACTATGAAATTTGTTGAAATATTTACTGAATGCATTTTCGGTAATTGAAGAAACAAAAGTTATTGAGAAATGCCGCACAACGGCCCATCTTCTAATTGGAACATGGCCATGCCCGAAATGCATTCGACGACGGGCAACTCGGAGCCTGTCATTCTGAACGACTAACAAATCAACCCTTCGAATGCCGAACGCATCCAGGAAAAAAAAGCAACCAAAGAATATTAGACTGCACACAAGCACCTAGGCGCGGTCATACCATTTATTACGTATGAATAACCCAAAATACTTCCTTGAAATAAATATTTGTTAATAAATGAAAACAAATTAAAAATGAGTAAAAAAGGATTTTCTAATTGCAGAAACAACTTACAAATAGGTATATAAAGGAACGTTTGAGAAATAAATCATTTCATAATCTGCTCCTAATTATCGTTTTTTAAAATTATCTAAAATAGATGCTAACCCCAATTTAGTACAAAACATTTTACACAGCAATGAAATTAAGTTATTTTATTTTTTTTGTTCTCGTCACCCTCATCCCGTGTATAGTTTCCGTATGGAATCCTGGGTGGAGAGGATGGGCCAGTATCGCCTATGGAAGCGCAACAATTTTTTTCATTAATGAATATAATGATTTTACCTGGCACAGGGATACGTATTGTCCTTCTTATGAAACGTGGCAAGCAATTAAAAAGGATGCTGCCGCTCATGGTAGCTCGTTACCTTGGCAGGCAAGGGCCGTCTGTGGAGGGGGGTCTGTGGTAATTGCAGTCAGTGCTGGTCTTGCTGCATTTAGTGCTGGTGGGGCTTTCTATTTAGGTGGTGGTACTCGTCTTAGAATGGTACGTGCCATCCTTACAGAAGACTTGACGACAGATAAAACAGTACCAAATTTACGAGGCGTGACTACGAAGCGGGATACCTAATGGGTATGGGGCCATTTACAGTATTTACCGACAGCGCACTTAAGGCTCTTATTGACGAAGGGAACATTACAGTAGGTAATGTTATTAGAGGGATGTAGAGCTACCTCTAATAGGAGCTAGTTAACTCGTGCCAAAGCAGTATACTAATGTTACCCATGGTAGTTATGCCATTATTCCAGCTAACTACTCCCAGTGTCAATCTGCTCTTTTCTATCAAACATCGTATGGTACTAACTTATCCGTCGTGTCACTAGGTTCTTTACCTGAACAAGTACATGAGCAGATGCTTTTCAGAGCCGATTCTGGCTAATTATCAAAGCGTGATGACAATATCCAGTTTATTGTTTATGAGATAGGATGGGGCAATTGAGTTCTTGATGGTTGGGAGTCTATTGGGTTCCGATACACAGATGAGAAGTATTGGGATGACATGTTAGTCCTTGGCAATACAGTAGGTCATGTATATGACTAAGGAACGTATGAATTTCCAACCAAGTTCTATGTGACCATGAGTGACCAAAACAATAGAAACTCTGAAAATGTTCTGGTACTCGGGGAGATATATTCAGGCGCATTCGGTGGTATAGATACTGACTGTATTCCAAGAGATTCTTAAGTACCTATTATTCCATAAGTTTGAATAACTTATCAAGTTTCACATATTGATATAAATTTGTAGAGAATCTGAGCTAGAGTTTTTAATCTCATTTGATTCTTTAATTTCTTGTTTGTTAGTTAAATGTAATTCGGACATTTTTTAATATGATAATTGATCGGTTATTTTAAATTATATAATCTACAAATTAAAAAATTAAAATTATTTCATTATTTTATAATGTTGGCTTTATATATGCAATTAATTTTTCTTAAACAACTCACTTGCGTATATTACTGGTTTGCTTTTATTCTATGATTTGTACTGGGTTAAATATTTTTGCTGGTCTCTTTCCAATATCTCTAATTACTTCTTTACAACACTTTGGGACTAAGTGCCACAATATGTTAACCTTGGTTTCTGATATATATGTCTCTGTGAAGGGCTCATATGTAGAAGAAAATATTTAAGAACAATTAAAACTACTTTAGCAATTCTTAGCCAACATCATTACTTCAAAGCACTTGATGGCTTGTCATGCCTACCTATATTGAGAGTACTCGACATTATTATCCAGAAGAAGAAAAACAACATTCATTCCTTTGCAAGTTGTACTCCATTTTTATAGTCTCTATAATACTTCATTTTATATAATTAAATGTGCACGGCTGTCAATACCACCCTTAGCCACCAACTCAACACTAAAATAAATAGGCCTACTCCTTTATTCATAAATACGTATCTAAATATGCTATATTCTATACAATCGCGATTCCTTAAGAATGATAAAATACACAAAATTGGTATGATACTTTTCCATTCTCTAAAACTGAATGATTCAGAAAATACGAGAACGATATAAAGTGAGTATTTTCAATATCAAAGATCTCAAGATCTACAGTAATATCACTATTAAAAGGTAGATAGATGTTAAAATATTCAAACACAGCAGTCCACTATATTGATTACTCTTGTCACGTTCAATTAACACTACTTAATACATTATTAACATATTCCATTTCCACTCCTTTTTTTTCAAGCTGAATTTTTCAGCAAACAGTCTGAAAAGTTAATAAAATTAGATAATTTACTATCTGTATCTTTATAATAACAATGGATTAGACATTAGAATACTAATTCGGTTGTCCGCTAGTTAACTTTCTATTCTGTGTCAAGTAGAGTGATATAAGAGAAAGGGTGACATTGAGACTGATTTAAATTTGAATTCTACATTATCATGACACCCATAGAAAGAAAATTATACATCACATATATTTAGTATACCAAGAAAATAGGAAATGCGAATACGGTAATATGGGAACAATTAATACCAAAACAAGCGTTCCCAATATATTTTTTACGTTGATTCGTATTTCATTATTGCGTAAAACTCACAGCGCTTTCCTGGAAAATGACTGGTCGTTTTCTATGCGATTTTCAATATTGTAAAATACCCCACAGTAGCACGGCAGAAAAAAACACAATAGGCAAGAGACACAACGCCGCACCAATCCAAGTACAAATACTGTGCATTGAGATTTACCATGTATTCTCTGATTCTGCGTGAAATGTCTCATTTCTATTATTTTCTAGAGTTTTGTATGCATCATTTAACTGTATTACATTCGTCGACCTTTATTGTATTCTCTGAGTTCTATTATATTCTGTCATTTCAAAATTTTTTATTCTAGTTGTACCAAATTTTCAGTGTCTCATACTAAATATCAATATAACCACTTTGAAATATTAGCTAAATGGTTCTAGTCTTACCAATTCTCTTAGATATTGCTAAGAAAATCAGGAGGAGGAACATTAACATACACATTCTCAAAAATTTAAATTGAGACGGGAAATCTCATATTAAAAATAAGATACTGTAAAATGCGACACTTGGAACAACATAAATTATTATTTCCGACAGTTACTTATAGAGATGATCTGATCCATGGTACAAAGAAATTCAATTATTGGCAAAAATTGAGTCAAGCCTACATATTCTAGGAAACAAGATTAAACAAGAGTGAGGTTGCAACTTTTAATGTTGAGTGTGCCAAGAAGAATGTAATAGTTGTTTTCTGTATATTTGTCAACATTACTTCCTGTGTGATTACGTTAATGATATAAAACAGAGTGTAAAACATGTAAATGCAGTTACTATTACTGATATTCCTACAAAATTTCGAACTCAAACCCATAATAAGACAAAAAGTCCGACTTCTAATAATACAAAAACCACTATGTTCACTAATTCACAAACATATTTGGTGACAATGACTGATACCATAATACACCCGTAGTTTACTACAAATGTTCAAACACAAGCATAATATTTAACTAAACCTGATACAGTCATTCACACTAATGTATTGACAGATCATCAAACTGATAAAAAGATAAATACTTTTCCGATAACAAAAATGGAAGCCCCGGATAATTTCCATACTATATTTTTGCACCCATAGTTAAATTTACAAATTCGATCACAAATAATGTTACTTTAACCGATCTTGTGCCAAAACTAATTTTAAAGGCAAATATATACAAATTACTTAACTATAGTTGAACCTCCACTCTGTCAAGTAATTAAAAACTTGAATGGGGTCTCATGTTGATGCAGTAATCAGATCGTATACTACAACCACTACATTACAAAACCTAGGGCCCATGCAATTCCAGCCACTGCGATGATTGTAAGCAAAATGATACAAACGTGTGCGACTACCAATACTTCCTCAATTATTCAATATAATACTAGAAACTTTATATCAACAATTATTGTGACAGACATGTTTACTGTAATAGGAACCTGGTTAAAGCCTTTCCACAGGCTTGACCTACAACTCGACATATCAGTGTGAGAATTAAAACCCCTTGAGTGCAAACTTCTACACTAGTAGTGCCTGTTACTCAATCTATTAATGTCACAATTGCGGAAAGGCAGATACAAACTTTTACTCAGCTAATACCGAGCACCACACCTATTAGCGCTACCGTTACCGAGACTGTGGATGCGTCAAAGGATTCTATTTGTTTTCGAACAAATACCAAAACAGAGACCATTACAGAAACGGTAAGTAATACATCGACCAAAATTGATACTATAACAGAGACTCAGAAAATAACAGTGACAATTATTAGTGCTACGACTATAACTAGAACAACTTCTTTTGCCAAAATTCAGAAACATCGTTAGATAGAACATTATTATCTCTAATACATTTTCAGCCTACGTGTTCTGTTGAGACGGATATCATAATTATATCTAACATAGGTAGTTCAAGAACAGGCATAGTTGATAAACCAGTTTGAGTTCATCATCTAACTTCGATTAAAAATGAAAGAATTCAAGATGATTCTACCGTGGGTCCAAACAGGTCGCACATTAAAATGGTAAGCAACTGGTTGTAATAACAATGGGTTCCATCTGAATAAGAATATGAAGAATTATCCAAATAAATTGAGCGAGTATTTGTTACACCATTATTTTTGTCTTATGGCAACTTAAGAGAATGTTTTGTTTTGAGCAGTGTTACAAAAAGAAGTTTGAGGTTTCGCCAATGTGGTTTCGGTATTTTCATGTACATCAATTACAACATTCGGAACAAGTAGGCCACTACTACGTGAATACATTTCAATCATCAAATGAGGCGACCTAATATTGTGCTCTTTTTGTGTCATAACTGATATTTGAATCTTTAGCTTCCTTGGAATAGATATCTTTGTCAATAATTTCTTTCAATTATATTTCCTATCAGCAATATCCTTTGTGTATAACGCAGAAGAACCAGTATTTTTTTACAGGGGCTCCAAAACAATCATTGATATAGTAAATACCTATGGATAGTGATTATGAGGTATTCTGTGGTGTTACACACGATAATAATATCAGTTCAAACGTTTTATATATATGGCATAGTGTTCTATCATTTTTTTTCTTCATTATATAAACATTTTAATTAAAGTACAAATATTATTATTGCTCCTATTCCTAAACTAAAAGCGAAGCCTCGTGGAGTGAACTCTAATTGATCTTCTTTGGATATATTGCAGAGTCATAATAGCTTATGTAATAACTCACAATATTTGCAATTAATTGTACCAAACTTGAATAGTAGTATAGTTCGTGCATAAACCTAAACAAGAGCATATTGCATAAGTTACCATATTGAAAAGAAAAGGTTTGATTATGTGGCTTGGTCAATTAAGGTGGATCTCATTATTTATTGATGACATCCTAATTCTCCATAGAGCAATAGCATAAGCTTATTAAGAGCAAAGAAATAATAAATGATACGACGAAGGTCAGTAATCAAAGATAATAAAATAGGCTTATCCGACTTGGTCTGAGATGAAGGGATTCTTGTATGAACAAGAAAATAACGCAATACCAAACATATATAAAGGGCATGGATAATGGAAGTAAAAAATATCTATGCCCTAAATATTATGTACATTAAATTTCGGTTTTGAAAGAGAACGACGAAGAATAAATTGTATGATATTACTAAATAACTTTCAATAAAAATAAAATTGACAAAATGGATTACGCTCTACAAGATAACATAAGCAGTAATGCAAACACTTATCATTTATAAAGGCAATATCTTTTAGTATATTGATATTCCCACAGAAATAGAAATAAATAATAAATTACATGATGCAAACTTTGCTAATAATCTTCTTTCTCTACGTTATGGCGTACATTTATAATATTCCTGTTGATCACTTCTCCACCTGAATATCTTTAATCTATTTTTAGATTAGTTTTCATAGTAATTATTGGGTGTGTGGGTTTATGTCTAGTTGATGATTGAAAATTTTTATCTTCGAGAAATTATATAAAGGGCGAGGATTCCACACTTCTTTGTGGTATTTCTTTTTTGCATCGACGTACTTTAATTAATTTTCTTTCAATCTTTTTTACATTAAACAGAGATCTAACTAGTGTTTAAAGCAAATTTTAAGGTAGTACGGTTACGTTTTATTATTTTTGAAAGAAGACAAATCTAGTGGGAGACTGTTATTGTTGTACTAGAATAAAATAAACAACTATATCAGTGCATATACCTTTAAATATTATATAGAATAAATATATAAAATTATTATCGTCTTGGTAAATAAAACAAGAAATTAAAACTTCTTATAGAACTATTTTTTTTATGTCAAAATCACAAAAATTAGCTAAAATTATCGGAATTGAATCTTATCCGTCATTGTTTCGTAAATCTGAAAAACAGGTATCTTCAGCAGTTACTACTATATCTAGTACAAATTCAGAAAACGAACACCAATTAAAACAAAACAATACCGATGAAGGTCTATCATATCCGTATTCAAGATTTACTAAGTTTCAAAAGTATGGGTTAGTTGCTCAATGTGCTTTCACAGGTTTTTTTTCTAGCATTGCTGGTGCAATCTATTATCCAGTTCTAAATATCATCGAAGATGAATTTAATATCACCGAAGAACAAGCTAACATTACAATTGTTGTCTATTTCCTTTTCCAGGGTATCACTCCTAGTATTATGGGATCTATGGCAGATACTTATGGTAGAAGGCCAATTGTTCTTATATCTGTCTTAATTTATTTTTGTGCATGCATTGGTTTAGCTTGTGTTCAAAATTATTCCCAAATTATTGGCCTAAGATGTCTTCAAGCAGCTGGTATAGCACCTGTTATTGCTATTAATAGTGGTGTGTGTGGTGATTTTACTACAAAGAAAGAAAGAGGTGCTTATGTTGGTTATGTAAGTGGATTTGTTGTCATTGGATTTGCCTTCGGTGCATTAATAGGTGCTGGTCTTTCTGCTACGTGGAGTTGGAGGGCTATCTTTTGGTTTTTAGCTATTGGCTCAGGTGTATGTTTCATTTCGACATTTATTTTTCTACCTGAAACTAAAAGAACTATTGTTGGTAATGGTTCTATAACTCCAAAAGGTTATCTTAATATAGCACCAGCTTTAACAATTCCAGCTATTAGAACAACATTACATTTAGATAATCCAGATTTTGATTCTCTAGAGATAAAGGTAAAAAAATCTAATTTTGCAATATTAGAAATTCTAAAAAATCATCAAATATTAATTTTATTAACTGTTGCTGCTATCCAGTATTCTTGTTGGACAACTCATCAAGCTGCTTTAACTACAGTACTAAGTAAAAAATATGGTTTAGGTGTTACAAAGATTGGTTTATGTTATTTACCAAATGGTATTTGTTCATTAATTAGTATGATTACGTGTGGTAAATATTTAAATTATAATTATGAAAAAAATGTTCAAAAATATAAAGAATGGTTAAAAGAACAAAAGATCATTTTATTGCAAGAAAATAATCAGGATGAAGATATTGTTAAAAACATGATTGATGAAGATCCTCAATATTATTTTAATATTGCTAAGGCAAGATTACAGCCAGCATTTATTACGTTGTTATTAAGTAATTTGGGTTATATTGCATATGGTTGGTGTATTGAAGTTAAAGCTCCATTAGCATCTATCTTAGTTACAAGTGGATTTGCTTCCCTATTCAGCAGTTGTATTTTAACTATGGCCACTACCTTATGTGTTGACGTATTTCCATCGTTATCATCCACTGCAAGTGGTTGTTTAAATTTATTTAGATGTGTCTTTTCAGCAATCTTTATTGCTTGTTTAACACGTATGGTTGACAAAATGAATTACGGGGGTGTGTTTACATTTATGGCATGCCTCTCAATGGTTTCTTCCTTTTTATTACTATTTGTCATTAAAGAAGGTAAGAGATTATTTTTTGAGAGTAAGATCGAACTCTAAACATCATTGTATATTTAAATATATATATATATTCAAAATTATGAAGGCTACGATAGTCGTATGTATAATATTTAATGTAATATAATAAACAAAATACTCATTGAATATCTTCAAGAATAGAAAAAAAAAAATTGTTTAGCTAGACCTAATCAAAGTATCTACCAAACCCAGCTCATATCTTTATTTTGTTTAAAATTTGTCAGATCAAATCTGGTTTACCTTCATGAAATGGGAATAAATTGATCTATGTAGAAGCTTTCTTTACTTGGCAGTTTCATTTCCTTTTCTTCTTGGAAAAAATATCAGCCTGCGGCCATCTCACTGCACTAAATGAATAATATAGTTCAAAGAAAAAGAATTTAAGGGACCCACCCTCCCCCTCCCCAAAATAGCGTAATAAAATGTTTTTTTCTTTTAAATAATTAGAATGTGAGGGTAAATGAGTATTCAAAGAGTCTAAAAATCAATTTTTTTGCTTCTGGGGGGGTGGAGCAAAGGGTTCTCTCTATCATTTTTGCCGCATCGCCAATTTCTTCGCACTTTGTAAGGAAGATCTTAGGAATTTAGCGGTGGTAAGTTGGAAATTAGAAAGAGAGAGAGAGAGATATGCAGTTCGGAATAAGAGTAATTAACTGAGAAGAAAAAGAAGGGTTGAAAAGTTATACAGAGAGAGAAAGAGAGGGAAAAAAATTAGTGAGATGCACTGCGAATAATAGCAACGGTAGAGATTACTTTACAATAGGATTAGGTAAGTTAAATAAGAAAATTTAACAGTTTTGTTATTAGCAAATAAGTCTATAAACTGTTTATTAATGACAACCATATATATTCATAACTAGGTGTGTGTATGAACATATTAGTTATATTCGACTACTATTATTTGTTAAGTCATTTACTATATATATATACATACATATATATATATTGTTTGACCTTAGTTTACAACCAAAGAGACTTGTGCATTTCTCTTAACCTACATTGATTATATTCGAATACACCAATAATAGAAAAAAAGAGTAGCACATTATCTTCTGACCAGAAAAATACAAAACAAAGAAGAAGTAATAACAATCAACACAATATAAAGATTAATTTGATAAAATGACATTATATTCAATATTAGGTACGATCCTTTGCATTTCTATATCATTTAGAGTAATCTTATATTGTGTGTTTGGTTTATATATTGGATTTTTTAATCCTATACGAGGAGAATTTATTAGAGTCTCTTATAAAGATAAATTTAAGATTAAAGGTTTACAAATTTTACCTTATAGAAAGAAAATTGTTGTCAGTAATTTAAAATTGTTTACAAATACCCAAAATGATTCTAAAATAATTAAAAAAGACAAGATAGATGAGAATAAGAAAATTCCAAATTGGTTAGAGAAGAGATTTCAACTATTAGCTAAATGTTTTAATGACTTTAATATTATATTTGTAAAAATTGAAATACCCGCTGAAGAAATAATAATTCAAGAACTTATGATAGAATCGGAAATTTGTTCAAAAACTCCAAAAATTGGGGTTAAGACTTTTATTAGAGATGTAAGTTGGCATAAAAAGAATATGAATAAAGAATCGCTTTACAATATATCTGCCATTTTAAATTTTAATAAATTATATAACGGCCAATTCCCATTAGATAATATAGATGTGGATTTTAAAGTTGGTAAATTAATTCTTCCAATGGAAACTTTATTCAAATATAATATTATACCCACTTCATCTAAGCTCTCATCAACGACGCAAAATGATAAAATTAAAGAGCCTATAGATGATGTTTATGAAATATTAGCAAATGTAATGCAAAAGATGAATATGATTAGTGAAACAAGTGAAATTATCAGTCATATTAATATTACAGTTGATGAATTTTATGTGAAAAATTACGCAATTACTTCCCATTATAAGTTAGTTGAGATAAATAAATATTTGAATTATAATCTATTTGTATCAAATTTCACATTAGATTTAGCAAGGTTCACTAAAGAAATGCCTGGTTATAAATTATATTTTAGAGATGATGATACTCCATTCAAATATACTACAGCATTATCTAGATTAAACATTTGTGTGAATATGGTTAAAAAGAATAAAACACCAGAATTAATTAAAATTTTCGAATTACCCAGTTTAGCTCTTTATGGTGAATCAAACCTATTATCTCAAAAATTCAAATTTAATCAAGGTGAAACATTAGAAAATGCTACTTTTAATGTTAAAGGTAATATTTCTTCTCCAACTATTGATATTGATATTGATAACATTTCATTTATCAACTCCTTTATGAAAAATATTAAAGTGTTTACACAATCATTTTCTGATCCAGTTGAAGTTACTTGTGGTGCAAAATCGAAATTCACTAGAAAAAGAGAAATGATCACGACCTTTTTCAGAAGTTTTCTTCCTTTATTTAATGTTAAACTTACATTAGAAGATACAAAAGTGGCTATTACAGATGAAAATGATCTGATCCTTTTAAGAATGTCTGCATTGATTTTAAATTTTAGATCATCAAGAAAGTTGATATCTACCGTTGAAAAGACTGACAAAATTTATTTTTCAACTGTCAAATCATTAGAATTGTTAGATTTATCAGTAAGGCATAAGATTAAGAATTCCAATTATAACTTTCAAATATTTGGAATGGATTCTATGACATTACAAGAAGAAGTGAAAATGGAACCAACTGATTTACTTTCAGTTATAGGTAACCTGGAAACATTCCATGTTGATTTATCGGAACTGCCGAGTATGGTTATGTTAAGCAAATTAATTAGGCATATTGATTGCCAGATTGTCTCTGTTGAAGAACAATACTTTAAACCTCTTTATGAGAAGTTCGCAAGCATGATTGAAAATAGTGAAAATAAATGTAGCATAATTGGAAATACACATGAAAAATTAAAAATAAACCCTAAAGATTTTATGTTTGTACCATTACCTGACTACTTTGATTATATTAAGATTGATGTTAGGAAATTCAAGGTTATATTAGGTGCTAGGTCCGTTTTTATGCCTCCAGATGTCTTTTCATCAACAGAACCCCAAAGTTCTCATGATTTGGTTGATGGAAAATTGAGAAAATTACTTATCGATATGGATAAGCTACAAATTGCTTTATGTGGTACACAAACCCAATGGAAAAATAAGATTGAATCAGGCCGTGTTACTATGGTTCAATCAGGAGACTCTTCGGGATATAGAAGTTATGGAAGAGATAGTCTTGATGATATTTCAACTAGTGAATCTACAGATGTAGGATATCCTTGGAATTTAAATGTCCTTATTAATTCAATTGTAAGTACTGTCATTGGTGAATCTCCAGGCGAAAGCAACGAATTAACTAAAAGAACTGTGTCCAAACTATCAATATTTTCAATGAAGGTCTATCCTGAGACAGATGGATTTTCTATGTCAGATGAACCCCAAATTATTGTAAACATAAGTAACAAAAAGCTCAATACTTTGTTTTGTTTGAATACTGTTTTCGTTGCAATATCAGGTATACATACACTCCATCAAATTTTTAGTAAACGTGAAATATCTACGAATCGTGGGTCATGGGCAAAGAAATATTTATTGGCAATTGCAAAATCTAAACAAAAGTCAAAGTTTCAATGTATTGATTGGTCACATCTAAAGAATATGGTAAAAATCAATTTGGCTATTGATGAATTCCATCAATTAACATATATGCCAAATGGGTTGAGAACAAAATTCGAGGCAGTAAATCTTTTCACAAGTTTTGAGAATATGAATCAAATAAACCAATCAGGAGAGTATTTTAGAATGTGTATTCAATCCCCATCTGAACCAACCTTATGGGAACGATTTGTTGTTATTAATAGATTTAAAATAGCCACCGATATCCATGAATTAAACGATCAAATGAAATCAGACTTTCAACAACTGAAAGACAGTGCACCTGGCTTAGTTTTAGAAAATGAGTCATGGCATTTTACCGTACCCCATAATTTTGCAATTTACAAATTAATCGATAATTTTTCAACCATCTTTAAATCTATTAAACAGATGATGCATTCATTTAAGACCTCTAAGAACGATATTGTTGTATTTCCACATGCTGTGAAAACCCCATCCCTCCCACTAATAAATGTAAAATCAAAAAGATATATTTTGAGTATTGCCGATGATCCGTTCGAAGCTAAGATGAATCTCATATTTCAAATTGGTTTGGAGGAACAAAGATCAAGGACTTCCAAATGGAATCAATTCAATTCAGAAATGAAAGATGTATTATCGAAATCAAGTTCTTTTGATACCAATGAGCCTATATCAGAACTGATAAATAAAAGGAAAATAATAACTCAGATTAAGTTAGCAAATACTGGCGTATCTGATATTCGATTTGATAATGAGGATAATACTGATTGTGATGTTCTGAAATCTATTCCGGATACGGTTGAAAGGGCGTATGATAGATTACAAAAAAATATATCTACGTCATGGGTCAGGAGAATACAAGTTCACAGGTGTATAGAAAGAGAAGAATTCTCTAAAAATTTCTCGTTCTTGTGGGGCAATGTTGACTTTTCTAATTTACCTTCATCAATCAGCAAAAATGTTAAAGATTTTACCAAATATCCATTTTTGACTAATCTAATTATGGAAAATGTGGATCTAACTCTGTTTAGACCTAGCATTGGTGTTGAGAATGTACCAAAATTTATACACACTGTTGGTAAAAATGTACCAGAGGATACTAAATATTCAATTATGATTCCAATGCATATTGATGCAAAATTTAGTGAAATTAGATGGCATTTAAGAGATTACCCATTACCATTTATTTATGTACCGCCTTTAGATGCGTCGCAGAGTAAGGAGTCGTGTGCCCTTCGAATACATGGTGATATTGTTGTTGCAGAAGATATGGTTTTATCTGATGAAGAATTAAGGGCAATATTCGTACCTCTGGTTCCTTCGATAGTGGTTGAAAATACCGATAGATATTACTCAATGATAGTTCCAAGGACCGTGACAAGTATTAAATTTTATACAGACTTGCAATTGGATGTTAATTCCAAAGATACTACGACTGTTGCATTTGGTGGTTCATATCAACCTGCAATCCAGCACATGATGCAATGTATTGATAACATTTCTAAGCCACCTATGGATCCTTCAAGGAAGATTGGGTTCTGGGATAAAGTCAGGTATTTATTTCATGGTAAAGTTAAAATATCTTGGCTCAATAACGGGAGGTTTGAAATATATCTAAAAGCTTCAAAAAGTCCGTATAAGTTAGGAGGTGATTATGCTGGTTACGCTTTAGGGTTTGATTCTGGTGTGACTCTAACATGTAATGAAGATGAAGACCCAAGGAAGTTCTTATCATGTTCTTCTGATAAATTATATTTTTTCATGCCAAACTTTTTTGCTAAGCCATTCCTAACGTGGTATAAATCGAGTAACGAAACTTTCTTTTTCCCTAACCAAGAGAATTCTAACCTGCAGCATTCTGCATCATTTTACTATTTCTTAAATCTCGAAAAGAACAAGAGCGAAAGAATTGATATACAAAATATGCAAGATTCATTCAAAGAAAAAGTAGCAATAAAATTAACAGGTGGTGTCACGTTTAATTTGGGGATGGCATTTGAGAGGTATATAACCCAAGGATCAAATGATAGATCCCGTGATTTCACTGAACATTACAAAATTAAACTTTGTAACCCTATCTACGTTGAAGACCTACAGAGTCACGATTCATATGCAGGATTTAGAAGTGATTTTATCCACATGTCTTTTGATCTAAGGTCAAAGAATAATGAGGCTTATAACGCTATGCAACTAACTCCTAACTCATTGAACTCATTCTTTAAATGGTGGAAAACATTTAGTGGTAATTTCCCTGTTAGACGTGGACCTCTTTTCGGTGTTCAGAGTATAAGTCCAAAATTTAGTGAACATTTATATACAATTTCCTATCTGGCTGATATTTCACCACTTTTTATCTCTCATATGTGTCATAACATTGATTACGACAAGGATATCAAAAAGAGTTTCCTGAAACTTGTTCAATATGCTGGTATAAAGTGTAAAACAGATAATTTCCTTCTAGATCTACACCAACGTAAAGAAGTTCTTACGGAATACAACGAAAAATTAGATATTAGAAAAAAAGTTAAAAAGATGAAGTTCCACGTTGGTGATATTAGACTACATGGCATTGACATTCGAACAGTTAATGCTACTCTGGACAGACTTGAGTTCGTCGAACAAAAGGATGATGGTGTGTATAACATTTTTGATAATGACATGACTTGGTTTGATCAATCGGATTACAGGGAAGCATATTTCATAAATCCATTCAATTATATCCCAACTATTGATGTGACAGCCCTGTTGTATGCGCCAGTTTTTGTGTATGAAAAACGTGCTACCTATGGTGATAAGTACCAGATAGATGCGGATACTTTAGAGCCAATCGAACCTATTTCAGATACAGTTTCTCATGATTGTATCATGAAACAACCTCAGCAACCGTCGATGGAGACACTAGCTTCTAGGTCAAAGAGTGTGAATGAATTTATTAAGAAAGTTAAGAAGCGTATTGAAGAATGCAATAAACCAGAAAAGCTGAAGGAATTAAATAATACATTAGAGGAAGCAAAATCAGCTCAAGAACAAATAGGATTACTAACTGAGGATTTAAGGACCCTTTATGGTAAATTTAATGAGAAGAAACTTTACAATGATTATAAAACTAAGGGTATTCAAGAATTAGATAAATCAATTGCGGTTAGTGATCTTTTAAAGTATGAAAACAAATATTTTGTATTCAACATGTTATTAAAGATTAATAGAAAGGTAAGAGACGATCTTTACAAGTTTAAACATTTTTATGGAATATCAAGGAGTTTCTTATCGTTGTCATCTAGAAAAACGTTGAATAAATTCGAAAGCCTAATTTCACATAAGATATCAAGTGAATGGAAACCTGGATTATCTTCGCAGACATCGTTACCAGAAAGTTTCATTCCAGAACATACATTTGAAACATCTGGGGATGAAGGTGTCGCTGTTGAATCTATTCTTGCAATGTTCAATGACTGTTTATCTAATATTTCCACCACAATGAGTCATGAAATCCATAAGAACCATTTCGTTCAATTTGTAATACCCCAGATACAAGTAACCTGTGAGCACCAAGCCGAATCTGCGATTATTATAACTTCGCCAAATATTATGATGAAATTTTTGTCCTTTGAAGAGAAAGAGAATGATAACATGTATGCCGAAGATATATTTTTAAAGAGATCTGGTATTCTATTAAGTAAAGCAAATGTTTTCTTATTTAATAAGAAAGATTACGCAAACAAATATGGATTATATTTCGACACTAATTCATATGGACAAGAAAAGGGTACTGAATGGCCACTATGGTTGGGTATTGAGCATAGCTTTGAAACAAGTAATCTTGATCAAGAAAGTTTGATAAAGAATTTCTATGCGATGTACAAATCACAGAATGTTCTACCTTTCTCCAATGTCTATGAGATGATAAAAAATAACTTTGAAGATAGAAAAACGATATTATTACCAAAGATTAATATATCGTTAACATCTAAGAACTATAACATGCTATTTGGGATAATAAAAAGATTGGTACTATTTGATGCTGTTGAAGAGAGTGCATTAAAGAGAAAGATTGAAAAAGTGGCTCTAGGTTATGATATTGATAATATTCCAGGTCTACATAATTTGTTATCCAGTTTATGTAGAAATCAACAGAAATTAAAGATGATTGAAAAGGAGTTAAGATTTAGGAGAGAAATTTTAGATGATGCAGGTCAAGCAGATTTACTGAATATTTATAGTGAAAGAATGAACCATTTATTGAAACTTTACATGTTAATGAAAGTATTAGAGTCTGATAATACATGGAAAGTATCTGATGATACAAGACGGAAAACATTCGATGTTAAAGTGAATGAAGTTATTGTTCATTTATTAAATGACGATAAAAAACCATTTTTAGATGTTGCCATTGCTAAATTATCTTATAATAAGAGTACATTACCATCGGGTTTCAATAATAATAGGTTAAGAGTTGATATGTTTCAAATCTTTAATTTAGAGGATGCTCGTTATCATAATATGGTTGGTCCATATATCGCAACAACTGAGAAATGTAAGGTCCTCGGGACAACTATCAAGAATTGCAATAGTAAGAATATTCAAGAATATAATAATCGTACTTCTCTGATAGATATTGTTTGGGAAATGGATAAACCTGTTGGTGGTATTAAGATTGTTAATAATGTTGAAACACACTTACAAAGTTTAAGTGTAAAGATTGAAGATGAGACTATTAACAAGATTCTTCAATGGTTATCAGGTCCACAATCCATGAAAACGATGCATCAAGATGATGACGACGATGATCTTTCTAAATTAGATCGTGGCTTTAATACAGATTCAGATGATACTAATTATGATAATGACGAAAGTATAAGTGATTTAATAAATCCAGATGAAACAGCCGATGCCTTGAGAGAGCAATTTGCTTTATTGACTAAGAAAAATGTTGATTTGAATGAAATGATTAAGAGATCATCTGATTATATTATTGTTGATGATTTATTATTAAATAGTTTTAAATTGTGTGTCAGTTATAAAGGTAAAGGGAAAAGAAGGTTAATTGATGTATCAGATTTCCTGTTCACATTCCCAAAATTAGTGGTCAAAAATCAAATATTACAGTTAATTGATTTCTTACGTGTGATTAAACGTGTACTAATTCGTGTATTATTAAATCATACAGTGAAATTCCTAAGTACCAAGATGAAGAAGAGACGTAGTACTGATCTCATATTAAAGCCGGGCACTAAGTTAAAACAACTAACAGAATACAAAGAGTATATAGCTGTACATGAACTACAGAAACAGTGATTTTGTCATTTTATATAGTATTATATTATTAATTATGTTAGAAGAATGTACGTATGTATTTCTCGATTGTTTATTTGTTTTTGATTCAAAGTATTTATCCTTATGCAGGTATATGTTCTTGATTCTCGTAAGAAAATGTAGCCTGCCTGTTTTCTGTGCAAGCTTTAAATTGAGCCAGAGAGCAGAACATTGCAGCCAAATTTATTCTGGACTCTTTTTTTGCTTTTGCATATGTTACGCGTTAATTATCCCAAATTATTTTTGTTTTGTTTTTTGGTTGTCTATGTGATCGTTTGCGTGCTGTCATCATCCTCTCTCTCATTTTTTTTTTGTTTTCATGGTGATGGTGGTCTCTTCATTTTCGTGAGTGATTGCATCTTTTTAGAATTTTGATCCGAGGGAGGGGGGTGAGGAACAGAGAGGAAGCAATAGACAGAGAAGGATTTCCTAGATAGTTTCGATGTTTAGTGTATGTTGCGAATTAGTTAATTAAATGAACGAAGACTTTGAAGTATTTGTCTCGATATTAGTCTTGTGTTTAATCTCATCAGCTTGTCATTAGTTTTTTTTGTTTCTTTGAATTTTTTTGTGATTGCTTACACTTTGTGCAAAGATTATCAATTCAATCAGATCAATCAAATATTACGATATAGGATTTCTCAATTTTTGTTTTTTTGTTTGAAAATAAGAAAAGAAATAATTAATACTAACAATAATAGTTTAGACAAACTTATATCTGTTTAATTTTGTATTATCAAGAGTTGTTATTTATTCCCTTTTGTTCAGTTAACTTTTAACTCTTTATTAGATACATAGAAATAATAAAATAAAATAAAAAAAAAGAAAGTAATAGTATAACAATGTCTCAACAAGTTGGTAACAGTATAAGAAGAAAGTTGGTGATAGTAGGTGATGGTGCCTGTGGTAAAACATGTCTATTGATTGTCTTTTCTAAGGGACAATTCCCAGAAGTCTATGTTCCAACTGTTTTTGAAAATTATGTAGCAGATGTCGAAGTCGATGGTCGTCGTGTAGAATTAGCTCTATGGGATACTGCGGGTCAAGAAGATTATGATAGATTAAGACCTTTATCATATCCTGATTCTAATGTTGTTTTAATTTGTTTCTCTATTGATTTACCTGATTCCTTGGAGAACGTTCAAGAAAAATGGATTGCTGAAGTATTACATTTCTGTCAAGGTGTTCCAATTATCTTAGTTGGTTGTAAAGTTGATTTAAGAAATGATCCACAAACCATGGAAGGACTAAGACAAGAAGGCCAACAACCTGTGACAGCTGCAGATGGTCAATCTGTTGCTGATCAGATTGGCGCTACAGGATATTATGAATGTTCTGCTAAGACTGGTTACGGTGTTAGAGAAGTCTTTGAAGCTGCAACAAGAGCATCTTTGATGGGTAAGTCAAAGAATAATGGTAAGACTAAGAAGAATTCTAATCCAGATAAGAAGAAGAAGAAGAAATGTGTTCTATTATAATAATATCTTCCTTTGTTGCTGTTGTTGTGTTTTAAAAAACCTTTTTTTTCTTTTGTCTAAATCGGTGTCTGATTCATCTATCGTAAAGTTGATCAGTCTATTCGATGCCTATCCACATCCTTCCTGAATTAATTATTCCAAGATCTCTCTTTTTATTATTTGTATTTTTCTTTCTCTCTCTCCCTCTCTATACAGATATACATAATTGTATGTATATATACATTTTATATCGTTTACATATTTTTTTTTTCTGAATTACAACTATTATTCTCAAGTTTTGATGTTCATGTACATGTTCCAATTTCAGTAATTAACAACTTAGAATGATCTTCTATTATCTAAGAATTTTCATTTTATCTTCTATAATCTGGTATTATTGTACTGGAAAATGCACCGGCAAGCAAACTCTAAAGAAAACGAGAAAAATTAGTGTGAAAAACGAGAGCGAAACAAGAAAAATTTATATGAGTGAAGGTTAACAGTTTGATGGTTATGGAAATGAATTCAATAATGAAGCATTAGTTTTAGGATGAGATTGTTAAAGAAACAACGAATTTTTCCCACCTTAATTTTAATTGATTGATTGTGGACATTATTTGTTAGCTACATAGAGATATATACAGTGCAGCATATCAACCTGGCTAAATTGTTTATTTGATTGTATCCGACTAGAATAAACTATCGACATTAAGATATTTTAAGAGCTGTTCTTTTTTTTTTGGTTTATTAATTCCTGTTACATTCATTTTAGTAGAAATTATTCAATAATGTCAAACCCTGTAGAAGAAACTATTGCTCAAGATAATAACCCAGTGGACACTCAATCTACTGATAATGCAAACCCAACGGCAGAATCCTTAGCCGCATTACAAAATGAACTTGGTACCGCTGAACAACAAGTAGCATCTATTATTGAATCCTTCATTGAATTAGGCGTCTCAGTTTATGATTTTCCTGATACTCCAGAGGCTACTCAAGGTATGATCACGAATTTAAAGAGAAATGTTGAAAGATTATTTAAATTGAATCAACGTAGTAATGATCCAGATTCTGCTTTAAACTCTATTAATATCCCTTTAGAAGTTATTCAATACATTGAAGATGGTAGAAATCCAGATATATATACAAGAGAATTTGTTGAAGCTATTCGTCGTTCAAATCAATATCAACGTGCTAAGATGCATGCTTTAAAACAACTAAGAGATTCCTTAGCTGAGAAGATTATAGAAGAATTCCCAGATTTAGAATCGAACGTTCAAAATATCGTCGAGAGAACTAATGAGAAATAAGTAGAGATTGATGATGATAGCGATACAATTCTTCAAGAACAGACATTGGTTTTAATAGATTTGCATTCAATTTAAATTTACTCGGCCGGGTTATTTTATCTCATTCCAGTATATCTACACAAACAAAACAGGTGGAGCCGAACGAAGAAAAAAGAAGGAATGTAAAGGTATGGGAAGGGGCAGAAAGTTGAACGAAAAAATGAAAATTTGAATAGATTTTATGTTTGTTTATTGTTTATGAATTTAAGTAAAACAGAACAAGAAGCATCACAAAAAGGGAGGTTATTGCTATATTGGTAAACTAGCGAGTAATAGCGAATTGAAATTATTCTTATTGCACTCTGTTGAGTTGTTGTTGATTTTCCTGTTTTGAGAACCTCTTTCCCCATCTTTGTTTGTTTTAATTTTTTGATTCGTATTGCATATTTGTTTAAACTACTCCAAAATTACTCGAATTGTATTTGATTCATTGATAGGAACGTTATATTATAAATAAATTGGAAGCTGGTTGATATTTGATTCGTCAACGGAAATTGTAAGAAATAAGATTTGAAGTTTTTATTTCAACTCCAAAAAAAAGTTCAAGAGAAATAAGAAGGATTGGTAACGTTTTATTTTACACATATTGCAATTAATACAATTTATTATTTTCTCGAGATTACTTAACAGATAAGCAATAATTAAAAAGTTATGTCTACGGATTTTAAGACAGGAGATTTGGTCCTGTGTAAAGTTGGTGCATTTGCTCCTTGGCCTGCAGTTGTTTTCCCTCAAAGATTTTTGAGCCCCGATGTATATCGTAAACGTAAACGGAATTGTGTGGCTGTATGTTTCTTTAATGACCCGACATATTATTGGGAATATATACATAAATTGAAACCATTACCAAAGGATGCAATTCAAGAGTTTTTATCTCAAAATAATACTAACCATAGTGGTAAACATACAGTACCTAAAGATTTACTAGGCGCTTATAAATTAGCAGATAAGTATTCATCATTGAGAGCCTTTATGCGAAATAAATTTAGGAGTGAAAGTAGATTAAATGAATTTAATGAAGAAATTATGGAAAATGGAGAAGTTGAAAGTGGTGAAGATCCATTTTGGGGTAAAACTGGAGATGATAGAAATGTAAAAGAAGAAATTAAACCAACTTTAGAAATTCTCACAAATGATAAAGATAAATTAATATCAGAATCTGATTCAGAAAACGATAGTACTGTTAAAAATGAATCTGATTTACTTGATGAAAAACCTATCTTGGTTAATGATACAAATTCACCATCATCAAAACACAAATATCGTAAAAAATTGGATAGAAATCGTCGGATGGAGATCACAATGTTATTTCGTCGCAGAATGCAAAGAAATCTTATTCAAAGAAAGACACCACCAGCACCAAACGATATTACTGAGACTCATAAATTATTAGAAAAAATTATTGAGAATTTAGATAATGATCCTCCATTCTTTGATGAAGAATGTCTTAAGAAGAGTAAACTTTACAAACTACTGAAAGTCATTAATTGCGATCCGAAACTGAAAGAATTCCATCCGGCATGTGAAACTATCTTAACACATTGGATTGATATTATTGCAAGAATTAAGAAAAATAAAGATCAAACAAGTTGATAAAAATATACAATATTAAACTGTGGGTAAGATAATGTGTTTACTCCGGTCAATTATTTGAGAACAAAATTTGAAATTTTGTTTGTCTTTAAACTGACGTGTTCCCAAATTCCCTTGTCCTCGTCCCCACCCCCTCTACCATGCATAACTCCTGTAAAGTGTATTCACTTACTATCTTCATAACAAACAAATAAAACAGTGGTATATGGAATTATATTGTGTTATATATATTTTTTTATATATTAATATATGTATTTGTAAAACTAGTAAATAATGAAGGAGAAGAAAAGACCTTTGACCTCGGAATTTGTTCTAAATTATGTAAATTATCGTCACATTTGTATTTAAAACATCATACTTTGTTTTGGAGGGCACACGGAACACGGAAATTTTCCAATTGTGTACCTTCCGTTGAATTTATTAAGAAAATCCCATTTCGCTTCTTGTTTTTATATTAGTAAAAATAAATAAACCATAGAAATTTCCAGATGAGCTAAGTTACAAACAGTTTATATGGGCTACTATATTGGAAATTGTAGGTTTATGATTCTCTGGGATATGATTTATTAAATTTAATATTAGAGTCCGTATATATTGTTAGTTTACTACAAATTATTTATAATATTGAAAATATATCGTTTTCCTATAATCCACCAAACATTGATTTACAATCTATAATATAGATATACGAAGGAATATCAATTAAATTACACTATAATAGTTTTGAGGAGAAAAGAAAAGATATTACGAAAGACGATGTATGGAAAGTTACCTAAGCAACTTCTTCATTTGATAAAGACATCAAAATATGTGCACATTGCAACCTGTGGCAACGATTGTGCCCCTTCAGTATCCCTTATGAACTATATTTATGTTCCGAATGATCAGACCTTCCAAACGAGGGACAAGCATGATTATATCATATTTGCAACTTCTAAAGATACTGAGAAATTCATGAACATTCTAACAAACCCAACAGTAGCATTGTTGTTTCATGATTGGGTTGCAGCAAATAATTTATCTGTACGAAAGCACAGCATCAATGAATATTCTAATGGAACCACAAATAATGAAAAGTTGGAAAATTTTCTTGACGAACTGGATGATTCTGAGTTAAACCAAATAAGTGCAACAATTAAAGGTGAAGCAGAATTTATAAATCCATTAGGACCGGAATCAAAATATTATAAGACGATGTTATTGAGAGCCAACCCTGATGCAGATGTTTTTATTAACGTAGAGAATACTATTCTAGTAAAAGTTAAAATGGTCAGTGCGAAAATTACAGATAGTGATAGTAATACTGTAACATATGATAATATGGGTAGAGTAAAGTAGATTAACAAACAAGTGTGGAGTAATGGCTTTATAGATAATTTAAGGAGCCTGTAATAAACGTTCCTTTTTTATGGAGGGAGGTTGGTTGTCTTCTTCCGATGGATAGATCCTATATTTTCATAAAAGAAGAAGCTTTTGTATTGCAAGATGTATCAGCTAGGACTTGTGTTTGAATTATCTGAATATCTCGAAAAGTCAACCCTTACAGGTGAAAGGTTATCAGTATCAATGTTCTCATTAATCATTGTATTTATACGATCATCTATACTTTCCGTACGATATCGATTGGTGTCCCTACTTGAAGTTTTACCTAAACGTGACGGATTTGACAGTACATCATTTCGTGAGTACGTTCTGGAATTTTCTAAATTATAATTATTTAATTGTAACTTCAATTCATTTATTTCCTTCATATAATTTCTATTTTTCTCTAAAGTAAAATCTAGTCTTTTTTTAACGATATCTAACTCATTGGTTATTGATTTCAGGTCTCTTTTCAATAACCGGTTTTCGTTCTTCAATAGAAATATTTTATCATCATCAAGACTTCTCGGTGATAGGTTTTCTTTAGGAACTAACACGGAATTAAAAGTATTAAACCGTCTTATATTTTTTAACTGCTCTTTGTCGTACTTTAACTCGTATAATTTTGAACGAAATGCTTCGCTATTCTCAATCCTTTGCTTGATATTAAGATAGGAATTATTAGAATTAAAATTGGTATTTTTCCTTCTTACAGAAATATTATGACATGATTCTTTGAGGTTTTCCATGGTCTCAGTGTCATTCGAAAATATTGAGAAAAGGTAGTCTTTCAAATTGGAAAGTTTTGTGGAGTAACTTTTCAATGTTCCACCGAAGTTTCCATTTCTGCAACTGGTACTTCTTTCATTGGTCAAAGATCTGCTATCACGTAGGTCTCTACTTTTCTTTATGCCACTCGTTGTAGACTTCCGAACTCTATTTCTTCGAGGATTAGTTCTAATTGAATCATATTTAGGAGCTGTGTTCCTTGTTCGTCTAGTTTTATATGGTACGTAAGGAACCTGGACTCCATCATTTTGTTTGGGGGAGTCATAAAAGAAGCTTTTCGTTAACTCCTGTATAGAATCTAACATAGCCATAAAGGATTATTTTGTATGTCTTTAAATAATGTTCTGTAAGTAAATATAACTAGTTTTATACGGGTGAATATGGATGTTTCTCTTTCCTTTCTCCACAGGTAATGGGGTATTAAACTATGTTTAAGCGTACTGTGTTTACAGTTCAGTCCTTTTACGCGATGCGTTACAAAGTTTAATTTCGCGTATTATTGAAGGCCACTTAGACTACATATTAATTCATTAACATAACTAAGTTAGAAAGAATAGATGTTTGAAGATATTTATACTTTTAGTCAAGCAATATCAAGAGGCGTATCAAGAACTAATCCTGAAAGTATGTTGCATGAGTTCATTTTTATTAGAAATATGTAGGCTCAAAGAGAGTTAACGGACTAAATTTACATAACAATGTTCTATGAGTAGCTATACATATATGCGCTCTCGTAATACAGTACTTTCGAGTGGTAACGATAAAAATGTGCTGTTTTCTACATTAATGGCTCATTTTCCAGCCATTAGTTCCTGTAATTCGGGACCTTTTAGAGCATTGCTTGCACATCTTTGCTTTGCAAGTTTTTTATTTCTTCCAGAACCTTCACCGATAACTTGGCCATCGCTTTGCAATAGACAGACCGCATTAAACAGACCAGTGTCTTCATCTTGGTAAACAGTGTAATCGGGTGTCTCCTTAATAGACCCTAAGACTACGTATAACCTTTGAGCAGCTTCCTTATCCCATTCTTCTTCAGTTATCGCATTGGCCGCCGGTATTTTCGTTGTTTCTGTAGATAGTGCGCTAACTTGGGAAACCACAGGAACGGAAGTTGTGGAAACAGGTAGTTGTGGTGGAGTTATTTCAATAGGTGAATTACTGGCATATTTAGAAGTAACAGGTTCGACGGTATTGCGTATGATAGAGTCCTTGCTGTTTCTACCATCTTCGGTTGGTATATTTACATTTAGTGGTGTCGATATCTTTCCATCTGTACTTGTTTTTTTAATCTCTGCAGGGTCGGCAATAGTTGATTCTGTGGGTATAGTAGTAGAATCTGTTATAGTAGCTTTTTCCAAATTAGGTTGAGAAGGTTGAGCCGGTTTTGTAATTTCTATTGGTACTGGCTCTTCGGCATTCGGTTTCTTATTCATTGCTTCGGAAACTGCATTAGAAACCAATAAAGATAATTTGGAAGAAAGGCTACTCATAACCTCTTCTGTCAATTTGTTAATGTCATAATTACTACTATTAATAGGTTGAGATGTAGGATTTGCTAGTCCTTGAGTGAACGGAGTTGTATTGGCCGAAGTTGATTCTGAATTATTTATTTTAATCTCTTGCCCTGCATTCATGAAGTTATTTTGGGGTTTTATTCCATGATCTGCGCTTAAAATACTATCGGTTTTGTCGGACCCAGAAGATTCCTCTGCCAAAAATTTACCTCTTGATGAATTAAATTCTAATTCGAATGGACAATATTTCTGTAATAGGTCATGATTATCTAGTACGATCATAGCTGCTCTTTGTTCCGCTTCTCTGATATTGTGACCTTCAGCATATGCTAAAACATTTGGCCCAAGCATTGCTCTTACTTTAAAAGGAATGGAAGTATTTAATCTTTCATAAGTTAGTTTTTCACTAACTGTGTTAAATTGGAACAATTCAGCTAATTCACCTTTGGCATTTCTATTCAACGGTTTTTTTATCATTTCTGGACCAAATTCTTTGAATTGTTCTTCTGCTAGAAAAGCAACCCAATCTTCAATTTCTTTTAATTCATTTCCAAACCTATCGACCACGAGAGCACCAATGTAAGCTTCAACACAGTCAGCATAATGTTTTGAAAATTTATCCTTGATTTTCATTTTACTTGTTGGAATGTTAGCCTTTAATCGTTCTTTAAACCCCAGAACTTCAGATAATCTAGCTAAATTACTGTTATTAACAATCGAATCCTTCATAGATGAAAGAGCACCTTCATCGGCATAAGGATACTTCTTATAAATAATATGAGCAACAAATGCTCCTAACCAACTATCACCTAAAAATTCCAATCTTTCATTACACATTATAGTCTTCTCAGTTTCAGTAAGTTGGACGTTCATATTTGGATAACTTCTATGAATGAATGCTAAATTTTCCAATTTAGGATCGGAGATTACTGGGTAATAAATAAATTTGTCAACCGGGTTAATATTAACGCTAAATTTATTTTCTTCCATTAAAGCAAGAATATCTAATGAGTCTTTTTTCTCTAATAAGGTACTAGAGATACGCATTGCTGGACTCTCTGCAATGGCATTTGAAACTGGAGTGTCTTCAGATGCCAATTTTTTTAGGTCTTCTGTTGTTAACCCATACTTGTAGATGGTTTTCATACAAGCTTCTAATTCAGCACATGCAGTTTGTACTTTATAGAATTTTCTGATATTTGCACTATCATTTGGACCTGGCGTATCACTATGTGCTATTTCTTGGTTATCCATGATGATAGTAATGATTGTATTGTGTTATATGTTTAGTTCTCTGTATTCAAATATAAGTGCATCTCACGATACCCAGACTGAATAAAATGTCAATGGACTAAAATAACTGATATATTCAAATTTGATCGAGAACCTGAATAATCAAAAATTAATAAAAATGATTAGAGATAATGCAATGGACATCAAACTACATTTCTGCGAGGTTCCTCTTCTCCCTTTCTGGTGTAAAGAGTCTGACAAAGAGGAATAAACCATTCCCCTTCGGGTTTGAAAAATTGATCGCTTCATGGCCATCACCAATTTTATTTCCCACCACCACGGCTACAATATTAGATGCATAAAGAAAACAAAAATAAGCAGAAAGACACACAACGAGAGAGAGCCGAAATAAGTTATTAATTAACATGCACAATGGAAATAGAGGGGAAACTAAGGAAGTCCCTGATAGAGTTAGTTATAGATTACTTTCACTGAAGTATTTAGTGGGTCATCGCAAGTGTAGATAATTCTGTGATCAGGTAATTGCGTTCGGGATTTTCTACAATTTGAAGTATTGCAAAGAACAATATTGGAGGTGAAGTAAACGACCATTTATATATGTGTTTGTGCAATCTAGTAAATAGGATGCAAGTACTGCTAATCAATTAATTGGTCTTATTATATATGTGTTCACTTTTCTGTGTCCTATAAGACTTTAGTTATTCAAATTCAATATATATTTCTATAATAATTGCTCTAATTTTTTCCCAATCAGGTAATACCGTATTGAATCATCCGTCAAAAAGAGAGACAGTAGAGAGGTTAATATAATTCAAACTAATCAAATAAATAAATGAAAGTTCTTATGTAAACGCTATTCTTGAAGAAGTAGTATAATTGGTTAGAGATTATTAAACTAGAGTTTTATGAAGAATAATTTTAATTAAATATATATAATTACAAATAATCGCTATATAATTTTGATTCATAATATTCAATAAATGCTTAGGTTCCCCTATAATTAGTTAAAAATTAGTCGTCGCCAGTTTTACTGTCCTAAATTAAAAACATTTTGGTTCTTGGGTATACATCGATTCAGGAGTTAGTTTTCATGAAAAGGAACTTGTAAAAAGGTTGTACCAAAGCAACGTAAGAGAACTACTATTAGTAAGAGTACTAACGAATTTTTGGAAAAAGTATTTGAAAAGAAACAGTGGATCACCAGGGAAGAAAGACAGATTTTGGCAATGGAGTGTGGTATCACACCGATACAAGTCAGAATATGGGTATGTTGTTACTTGTATACATTTACTACTCATCATTACATTTTACTAACAATATCATATATGTATATATTATTATTATAGTTTATAAACAACCGAGCACGGACTAAATCGTCAGTGTCTAATACATAGTACTGGTCATTATGAGAACATTAATGTAGGAGCAAATATTAAACTCAAATATAATGTAAATACCTAAGAAACAAAGTATTGATTATCTTTGTGCAATTAGAGTGCATAAAGAACGTAAAAAGAAGTTTTTTAAAAATATTTTTGAGAATGCATTTTTGCTGTTATTCCGAATTTTGGTATATTTTGAATATTATTATTAGTATTGCAATAAGACATTATATTATTAATTTTAATTTAATTAAAAAAAAATGAAAAAAAAAAGTTAATGAAGATATTGGACTACAAATTATGGGTATTGTTAATATATGTTTAATAGTCCTCGTATTATGGACGTATATTTGGTGGACTTGATATTCCTAATTAATAATTAATGGTCCTGGTAGCATACTTCCAAGTTGAGTCTTTTTATTACTATCTCCTTTTTTTCCTTTCTTCTTATCTGGCTTGAAAACTTTATGCATTTCACCATATATGGCGCAATGTTGTTTAGCTCCTGCAATTAGACATGAAAGTGTCCTCCCAATAATATCATCAGATTCCCTGTCTGGTAAAAAGTCATCTTTCATATTCTTGACACGATAGATGCCTAGAATATAGTTCAAAACACCTTTCAATGTAATCACCTTAGTCAAAATATCTGACTCACTAACTGTTAATGTCATATAATCATCGAACGACTTGGTCTCTGGATCCTGGTGAATAATATTCCAATGAGAAATAGAATTTGGACTTAAAATATTAGTTTCTTGACATTCTGTACTTTTCATATCCCATGATAATACATCGATGTCGAAATCAATTGCTGGAACAACTAGTTCTTGATGATAAATACCATTTGACTCAACTAATACATCTAACATAGGTCTATAGAATGTTTCACCACAACCACAGTTCTTGATATGTAACTTAGGGAAACCAACCCAAATATTTTTGTTATTTATGCCGGGCATCTGTTGAGGTAATGGAATAAATTGAGTACCACCTCTCATCCCTCCGAAGGTATTTGAATCAGAAATTTCTAGTGTCTCTTGATCGAAGACAATTTCACAGTTACCATCGTTCAAAGAACATTTAATAATATCGAGAGGACTAAACGTGTAAATAAAATGAATACTTCCTCTCGATAATCCACTTTGGGCTTGATCAGATGGATGGAAAAATGGCGTCCAATTTTTCTCTGAATTCCTCATACCACGCCCAAATATCTTGAATTTTACTAATGGGTCAATTTTTCTATGTGGCATGTAACTAAACATTCTTCTCTTATCTTCAACACCATCATGCATATTAAATAAAATAACAGGTTCTTCGGTAGTCTCAGTCTTTCTTATGATCACACGAGGATCTTCTGGACCTTTAAAGTCACCGTTGGCTTGGAATGGGAAATCAAAGACAGTTGGGTATGTAACATAATATTTAGAAATAACATGTTCCTTTTTCTTTTCGTTTCTAAGTTTCGTTTTGGCCTGCTGAACGTTACAATTTTCAAATTCTAAGGAATTACCAGAATATTTTGTACAATCTTCAATGTTTAATTCAATATTTAAATTTTCCATCTCTTTCTCCATGTTTTTTGGGAAAGTAATATCTAAATATGGGATTTTCTTACCAATGACTTCATTCCAATCTTTGTCGTAAGCTTGACCCCTGATCAGCGATAAATGAGGATGATTCTTTCTATTGACCCTAGAGTAAACTATTCTTGTAAAAACTAAGTAACATTGTTCACTTTCTAGCCATACAGAAGATCCACCAAATCTAAACCATTGCATATCTACAATTTCTTCTTCAGTTTTATCTTTGTCTCTATCGTCTTTTAATTCTTTAATTAACCAATCTCCATCTTTTAGAAGCCCTCTTCTAATAGACATAAGATCATCACTTAAGATATTTGTCGTTAAAGAATGTTCAATTGTAGCATTATATGATAAATCCTCACAAGTGACCAAAGAATCATAGGATTTCCTACCTTGTTTCTCTAATCCTTTCACATCAACAATATTATTTGAGGCTTCCTTTGGAAATAAGTCTGATGATGATGTATTATTGTGTTGTTTATGATTATGTTTATCATGATTAGCTGCCAAATTTTGCCTCTTATGAGAATCTAATTGTAAATTCGATACAAAACCTGTTAGAATATTAGTAATGTAATCTTGATTTAACATTTTTTCCGTTATTGGAGATCTTGAAAGATCCCTACCATTGACTAATTTTGTAATATCAACTTTTAATAAATCTTTCTTTCTTGGTACTTGTTTTCTTCTTAAAGGGTTTAAATTAAAGGTTGATGGTGATTTATAATAAATAAATTGATTAGTTTCATTTGGTAAAAATCCATTTGATAATTGATATATTATTAAGATTAAAGTTATTATAGGGAGTATTAATATTAATTTCTTTGTATAATTATTCAATTTTTTACCAAATAATCTCCTTGATGATAAATAGGATGCACTTCTCTTGTAGCAATCAATTGAAAAATTTATCGATTTCGATAAAGGTTTTTTCGATTGTGATAATTTTTCAATACTTGGAGATGTAGAAATTGAAATTTCATCATCTAATATATTATCCGTATTATCCTTCATTGTTATTTTGATCTATTTGTTATATTATATTATTATTATATCAAATAATAAATCTGACCTTCATTGTTTGATAAATAAATAAATATATATAAATATATATATTTAACGATTTTAAGCATTGTATGATACAAACAAAAAGAAGAATGAAATAATCCCAAGTATATATATATATATATATATATATAATTGGAACAATTAGTTATATCCATTTATTTCGTTGGTAAGTCAATCTCTTGAGTGAGCTTCCAAACGACTATTTCTATTTTGAATACTCTTAAGAATCATGACTAGTTCGGGATATGTTTGAATAATACTAACAACTTCAATAGTACATTATAACCATATTATAGAATATAGAACGATAATTACTGTCACGTACTACTACTCTAAGTAGATTTACTAATAAACTTAAGAACAGTTATCAAAAATTTTGAAAAGTGACAAAACAATAGAATTATTATTATTATACTATTGCATATTCCCACGGAGAATATAATGAAGGAGAATTGAAAATTAAGATGGTGAATCAAAGAAAAAAAGTATTATTAACTCAGCAACTTTCATACCTAATCTGGCTACTGCCATTAAAAGGGAAATCAGATAAATTCATGCTAAAATAATCACAATAAACAGACGGAGATTTAAAAAACAATGAAAAAAAAAAATAGGAGACCTAGAAAGGGAAATAGCATTAACAACAATAAACTTTCCAGCCAAAAAGGGGAGGATGGATTAGAAGAAAATAAGGAACAAAGAGATTAAGGGATTATCAGGTAGTGAGTGTATGTGTGTATTGAACCATATCTTAGCAAGCAAGCAGTACGAAATATATATAAAAAAAAGAGGGCTGGTCCGTAATTTGTTCGTTTATTTAACTATTGTACGGAGAAAGCGAAATATTAAAGTTATTGGTTGTTTTCTGTACTATACTAATAACTATGGAGAGAGAGGCGTGGAAGGGGGAACTACGAAAATGTATTATTAGTATCATTTACCATAAAGAAAGAACAAACTACAGGTAAAGGATGCCGAAGAGATAAGTTAAATGTGGCTGGTTGGGAAATGATTAACAATATTATTTGAGGTCATTAATCTCTACGTATATCGTAGAGAAAATGATATAGAGATATGATTTTCTTTTTAATTTTAGAATTTTAGTGTATTTTCATGCAAAAACAAACGAAATTTAACTTTGGTTTAGCACGTTTTTCATCCCCTTCGAGTTTCTTTTGGAATCATTTTGTTACAAAAAAATTTAGTAATTTTATTGTTGTGGAGGTATTTCTTAGAACTCGGGGTTACTCAATTTATTATTACTATTTTTTCGGTAACTTGTGTGACTTGTAAGTTTTCGTGGTACCACAATATGGAGCGTGGATGATTCACAGATTTTTATCAATTATTTTTTTCGTCTAAGATGAAAGTAGAGACAAAAACTAACATAAGCAACACTAATTGGAATTCCAATTACTTGATCTGGCAAAAATATGCGTATTTAGGGATTATATGATTGCAAGTAGTATATAGGAACAGGGTATAGATACAGAACAAATAGGACTTAATAATAATTTTACTCTTAGTGTATTGTTTTCATATCATAATGTACTAATGTTATTGTTCTGTTTAAACAAGAAACTGTTCTGAATTAGGACCTCTTAAGGGTTCCTTTGTATGCTCTACGTTGATATTGATGTAAATATAGGATACGTGTTTGCATTCATTTTGTTTTTAACAGGAGTCAGGTAGTTCTCCTGGGATTTGGCTGCAGACAAAAATGCCTCTTCTTATTTCTTGTTGTAAAATCCCATTCATCTACTGTAAGAGGCATCGAAGACGTAGTTGTTTTACAGACTTATACACTATAAACGTATAACCATGGAGAATGATTCGGATTCTTGCTTTCCAGTTTATTGAGTGTGTTGATTCTTATAAAAACCCATATAATGTACAGTATTGGTAACAATGTCTCTATACCAATATAAATTTAGGCTTAGCCTCGAGTATTACACTATGTTTGTTTGTTTGCTCTCTCTCGATATATATCTCTCTCTCCGAATAAAGATATGGTGGCCCATACATAAGATTGAGCCACGAGGTGAATAGTTTAAAAGCGTAGACTTTGATGCATAAAACAATACAATCGAATGATTATTTCACTGACATATTATGTATATATGTATATATTTAGAAAAAGAAGAAACAAATGTACGTAATTTTTTCCCATCTGCGTCCCTTTCTGGAATGTTTTTGATCTTTTTTTTCTTCTATTGTTATTTCCCATTAAAAAACCTACAGTAACTTAAATATAGCTGCACACCCATTCTGAAAAGAAAACAAAAATAGTTAGCGCGTTATGCACAGATACACAAAGTTTGTTCGTGCAACTACTTTTTTTCTCTAAGCGTGTGAGGTCTACAATGGCACAAAGTTGGGAAACTTTTGTGTTTGCGTTTAGTTCGAGAATTGGGCTTAATTTTACTTGCACTTAATTTTACTTGCACTTAATTTTACTTGCACAGACGAATGATCAAAACAATCTATAAGAACATGTCGTACTTTTTTAAAATGACAGATTAATTAAAAAGTCTAATTTCTTTTTTTAATTAATCTCTCTGAGTTTGTCAATGTAGTCGAGTCTAGACATCAATCTGTCAGACTTTTTTTCTTATTGAAAATGAGATGATTTCTTTCGTAAACAAATTGCAGTTTCGTGTTCTGAAACAAATCTAAACAATGCCACGCGAAGAATTCATCATCTTGTTTATATCAAATGAATATTTTTTTATTAATAACATAAAATCAATGTGGAGTGAAACGAACGAAAATTTTTCTATTTTTAAGAACCGCAGAAAAGAATAAACTGTTCTTTTCGTTTACTTGAACTTTATCGCGTTTTATTTTAAGTTAAAGTCAAACAGATATCCATTTTTGACATAAAAACTTTATAAGTCATGGATATGGATTATTTAAACGTAACTTTAAACTTAATATCTACATAATCTGTATTTGTATTTACTTTCGGATAAATTGAAAAGTTGGCTTTATTCGTATATATGTCAATGTTATTATTAAAATAAAAAGATTTGTGAATGAAATTCGTTTAAAAAGATTACGTATAATGAATGACATTATTAGTTCGTATCAGGTATCAATCCAAGAGAAGGAACTTCGAGAAATCGTAACATTAAATTCGATTAGACACATTTCTTATTTGACTTTTTTTTTCTATTTTTGTCAATGGAAAAGGTAAACGTAATTTACTCCTTTTTAGAGGTCTGGCCAAAAACGCTGGAAAAAAACACAAGAAACGAAAAAGAAAGGAAATTTTAAATATCGTAACGATAATGTCACATTTACCAAAACGGAATGACGGTGACCGATCACACTATTCTTGTTTGACCTTGCACAAAAATTACCTTTATTTCTTATTCTTCATGGAAATAATGTACATATGGTAGTAATCCATATGTAATATATATATTCAAAAATAGTAATGAATATATCTTTACAATGGAATGTATCTGTGTTTGGATGTGTGCGTCCATACGCAGCACAAGTTTGTTCAGCATCATTAGAAACACATGATATAACATTCAGATCACTATAATCAGTCATATTATTGGTCATCATAGATTCATCTCGGTTATATATACCAGAGATATAATCGGCGATACCTCTCAATGTGATCATTTTTGTTAATGAATCAGATTCACTAATGGTGACTGTCATATAATCATCATATTGTTTAGTATTGGGATCATGAGATAATACATTCCAATGAACTATTGAATTGGGACTCATTATGTTTGTCTCTTTACATTCTGAGCTTTTCATATCCCAAGATAATACATCAATATCAAAATCAATTGTTGCTACAATTAATTCTAATCTATAACTTCCTTTGGATTCAACAAGTACAACTAACATTGGACGATAAAAAAATTCACCACAACCACAGTTTTGAATGTGTAACTTAGGGAATCCAACCAAAATTGTTTTATTTTGCAGACTTGGTATCTGAATCGGTAATGGTATAAATTGAGTTCCACCTCTAATTCCATCAAATTGTGTGCTAGATAAATCATTGTTATTATTTGGTTTAGTTCCATTAAATATCATTTCACAAGAACCATTATCCAAAGAACATTTGATAATATCTAATGGACTAAATGTATATATGAAATGGATAGAACCCCTCGAGATCCCGTTGGCAACGGCGTCAGAAGGATGGAAAAAGGGACTCCAGTTCTTCTCCTGGTGTTTTAAAATACGATCTGAGATAGTAAGTTTAATTAATGGATCTACTCTTCTATGTGGCATATAGCTATACATTCTTCTTTTACCTTCCACTGTATCGAACATGTTTAAAAACAAAATAGGTTCTTCTGTTTGATTTGTTTTCCTTAAAATAATATGAGGGTCCTCGGGACCATTCCAATCTCCATCGATTCCAAAAGGAATATCAAAGACTGTTGGGTAAGTTACATAAAACCTTGACATTATTATTCGTGATTTAGAGTCATTGCTGTTCAAGTCTAAACCAATTGAGTCCTGTTTATCATTTTGAAATTCTGGAATTCGATTAACATCAAGGTATGGAATTCTCTTCCCAATAATTTCGTTCCATTCTTTATCAAAAGCTTGACCTCGAACTAACGATACATGGGGACGATTCCTTCTTCCTAATCTAGAGTACACAACACGTGTGAATACCACATAGCATTGTTCACTTTCTAACCATACAGATGAACCACCAAATCGAAACCATTGCTTTTCTAATATTTCTTTTTCACTCCTATATCTATCCCTTTTATCTATCAACTCTTTGGCTAGCCAATTATTTGGTTTATTTAGTAATTGACTTCTTAATAATTGGATGTCATCTTTTAAAATCATTTTATTTTCGGAATATTCTATAATACCGTTGTATAAAAATTTTTGACATTGAACTTCCTGATTATATTCCATGCGAAAGCTATGAAACTTTGACATGCTTTTCATTTTAGTATTTCCTATTATAGGTAAGTTCGGTACTTGGTATTTGCTCTTCCCATTTTTTGGAACACTATTATAGTCATTAAGAATTGGATTTGTGTTTGAAAGAGGTACAAACCCTCTTATTATTTTTGATGAATATTTTTGTTCAAGCATGTACCTTGTAATTGGAGTTTTATTGACATCTTTCAAATATTCAAAATTAAATTTTATAAAAGAAGGTCGACTTGGAATGGATAATGCTTCAGTATTAGTTGGTGGATTAATTATTATATCATCGCTCACGAGTTCGATATTATTTTTGGAATTAGATTTAGTTATTGTAACTGTTGCTACTATAATAGTAACGATGATAAAAATAATTGTTTTGATTATATTATTATTGATCAATTCAATAAATTCGTTCAATAAGAAGTTAAGATTATTGATATTGTTTTGAGGTGAAAATTTAAGTAAACGGGAAATTTTCGTATTTGTAAGTTTATCTTTATTAGTTGTTTTATTATGTGAAGTTTTTTGTTTGTATGAAGTATCCTGTTGACTCTCAGTAAGTGACATTGTTGAATTATTATTTTAGTAATTCATAAGAATTAATTTCCTTAAATTTTATTTTGATGTAATAGCCTCTTGAGCAAGCTGTTATGTTAATATCCTTGGTAAAACTATTTTATAAAAGTAATTTCTACCTTTGATTAATATTAAACAACCTTGATACTTAGTAATATGAAACCATATCACTATAATTATATTGATATATATATATATATAAGAGTATACAAGTAGGTTAGTCTGTTTTAATATGATAAGCCATAATTTGAGTTCTTTGTAGAATTTGAATATATCTATGAAGAACAACAATCCGTAGGTAATATAAACTACATGTACTACTGACTATAATTTTGCTACACAATGCAATCAAACGATTAGAAGGCGCCATTCTAATTTTGTTTCTCTTCTATACAAAAGCCCCCATTGACACATCTTCACCGATATTGTCCTATACTACAAGATTAAATGGCAAGGGTTCTGTTAGAGTGTAAAATTGCGAACATGAAGAAACAAATCGATTCTTTGTTTTTTTTGCAATGAAGTTAAACTGCGTCACTATGGGAAAGACCTTAAAAAGAATTGACTTTGTTCTACCCAAGCGATTATAGTACGTAGATCTAAAATTGGTAAGTACAGCATATTTTACTCGTTGTTAAAGTAGTTGCAAATTCCTTGTGAATTTGTTATTAAAATATTCCTATATCTGGGGTGAGGGGTGTTCCTAATAGAAATCACTGTAGATCCCTCGCATAGTTGCTCTGTGCATTATTTGTTTTCTAAAAAAAATAATTTTCAACGCCTCACTTAGTTTCTAATTTTAACTGTACTTTTTTTTCCAGTGGATGCAAATATTTCATGACCTCTAATTTTAGTACGTAGAACTCATACGTTATTCGAGAAAGAAGATCTTTTGGCTTCGCATTGTTTTTAGGGAAGAGGGATAGCAACCACGAGGCAGTATCAAATTACGCTAGAGGTGGTTAATACTTCCCCATAGTTGAATGTTAAAGAGCAAAGATGGGTTAATTATGACGAAGATATGACTGCTTACTGCGCCTTCTAATGAGTTGACATACAAAAATTGGAGTGACTACCCTTCGGAACTTGTACTTTGGTGCATTTCTTGAGGGAAGATTTCAGGAAAGATACGGGGTTTGAAACCCTGAAAGAAATTATATATATTCATATTTCTTAATTTTGGTATTGAATTTCTGAATTAAGGGATCAAATATACAATCATTGATTATACCTTTTTTTATCATGAGCAGAAAGATCTATAAGTATCAATCGTCAATATGTAATTTAGTTCAAGGGATATCTGTTAAGTTTCTTGTTTTTTGCAAAGGTAAATAACTGTTATTAGATCGGTAATCAAAGTAGTTGACTCCGGTAGTTTTAAATATATTTTGATTATTGCAAGGTTAAGTGAACTTGATTATTCAACAGTAGAGAAAGGATACCTGTTAGAATTCCATTTTTTTACTTGTATTACCTTGAACATTATTTAATGTTATACTTCACTTTTTGATACCTCAATTTAAAAACTAAAAATCTTGGAAATTATTTTTCTTGTTTCCTTTATAGAAATTTATGTTTCTACTACTAAACAAGAAATGTATAAATGGACTCACTTCGGTAAACAAAAGTAACAAAGTGATATTTTCAAGAAGTCGCAAAAAGATTTGTTATTGATGAATTTGTTTGTGACAGAAATCCTCGTTTCTAACTTGTTGAGCATTGATTGGATTTTTATTTTCATTCATTTTTATTTTACAGATATTATACAGATAATTCTTCTTGCTTTCTTTCGGAAGGGATTATTTAATATACAGATTATGTATTTCAAACCCCTGTCTTTATATATTACGAATTTAGTGGCGTAGTTGTTAACCTTCACATTTATGAACTTCTTATTCTAGTATCGTCGTATAAGCCTATTCAATTATAATAATTGTGCACAATAGTCTTTGTGTTATTTACTTAATGTTAATTTTTTATGCTCATGTGAATATTTCATACTATATACCTTAGAACATTTAGCTCAGTAGTTTGCATTATTACATTTATAACTAAAGATAACAAATATTTATATCTCATTCGCCTCTTTTGGCCAAATATATCGACATATAGGCCAATAGCAGAACTTACACTAATCTCATTTCTTATAGCCACCCAACTTACATTACATTTCAGTTGACTCAGCACATAACCCAAGTGTAACCAAATCAATATTTTCTAGTTTCAACTTTTAATTATACCTCATATATGTATGTATATACCTTTGTAAATGTGTCATTTCTGTCACGCCAAAGCACGTGACGCCAAACATCCGCTTGTACGGCCAACATCACAAACAACGAAGAGTGAAAATTTTTACTGAGCTCAAAAACTACTCTGTTCTGGTTCGAAATTGAAAAAAAAATAGAAAATAAAATTTTCGCCGGATAATCAATATAATATAACCCAACAAACTGAATGATAATCTCATCGCCTGCTTAATTTGGCTGGATATATATTCTTTATGGCAGAGAGAGAAAAATATTTTTTTTTCAGTCGCCGTTACGTACAGAATTTGCCATACAACGAGGGGAGTAACACAGCAAACGAAATTTTGATGAAATAATAATTTTTTTGCTTACAGTAAGTAAAGGTCCTTTTAGTGATGATGTTTGAAAGTTTTCTCTCAACAGTTAGATATAATCTTTCTTGTTTTGGAAACGTTATGATTTTGGTACTAACTTATACTTTTTTTTTTTGGCATATTGCACTATTTTACTGTCTCATCTATTTAAAATGGTTTCATCTCTAAAAGGACTATTATTTTTTTTATTAGTTCTTATATCTTAAATGTAAAATCCAGTAAAGTTTTGTTCTTAACAACTCATCCCTACTAACAGAGCTAACAGTTTATAGATAAAATTTCCTAAGGTTATATATACATATCTATTACTGTTTAATAAAAAGTCCTTATTTATATTTTTCAAAAAATACAAAACAAGCAAAGATGGCTCCACCAAAGAAGACCGTTAAGATGGATTTGAACTCCTTCTTAAATGATGATACTTTTACATCATCATGGAGTGAAGATGATGTTGATTTAAACAACATTAGAATTCCAATTGAAAATACTTCTGCTAACACTATTCCTTTGGAAGAATTAATGGCTCAAAGAAATGCTGCTAATGCAGGGGGTAACTCTTTCAATCAAGGTGGTAGAACTGGTGGTCATTTAGATCCTGCTTTAGGTGGTGGCTCTAGAAGAGCTCGTGAAGAATATCCTGTTCCAAATGAACCTCCATATAGAGCTATTATTAACAATATCCCATGGGACATCAGTCCAGAGGGTGTTAAAGCTTGGGTTGAAGATGGTTTAGCTAAACCAGATTCTGTTGAAGACGTTGATTTACCAGTTAATCCATCTGACCCAACTCGTTTAAAGGGTCTTGCTTTCATTACTTTAAAGGAACGTGAAGATTTAGTACAAGCTTTAACTTTCAATGCTACTAAATTGAATGACAGAACTGTCTATGTATCTGTTGCTGCTCCAAGAAGAGGTGGTTTCAGATCTGGTGGTGCCGACTTTGATTGGGGTGCCGCTAGAGGTTCTAATTTTGAAGCCTCTGGTCCAGGTAGAGAAGAAGCTAACTTAGATTGGGGTGCCGCTAGAGGTTCAAATTTCCAAGCTTCAAGACCACCAAGAGAAAGAAGAGAAGAACCAAATCTAGATTGGGATTCTGCTAGAGGTTCCAATTTCCAAAATTCAAGACCACCAAGAGAAAGAAGAGAAGAACCTGATTTAGATTGGGATTCTGCTAGAGGATCTCATTTTAAGACTCAAGGTCAGCCAAGAGAAAAGAGAGAAGAAGCTAATTTGGATTGGGATGCCGCTAGAGGATCTCACTTCAAGGCTCAAAGACCACCAAGAGAACCAAGAGAAGAACCAAATCTAGATTGGAATGCTGCTAGAGGTTCAAATTTCAAAGCCCAAAGAGCTCCAAAAGAAAGAAACAACGAACCTGAACTAGACTGGGGTGCCGCAAGAGGTTCTAAGTTCCAAGATATAAATACTAGAACCAATAACAACAATAGAAGAAGAAACCAAACTCAAGAAGAAAAACCTGTTGAAGAAAAGAACAAGATTCAAAGATCTGCATACGATATTCTAAGGGATGATGGTGATGACGATGAAGAAGAAGGAGAAGAAAAGGTTCAACCAAGTGAACAAAATATTATTAAGGAAGTCAACGAGACCACTCAAAAGGTTTCCGAACTAACTGTTGATGACAACAACAATGACGAATGGGAAGTCGTCGGTAAGAAATAATTAAACAAGAAGTTCTGTTCCCAATAGCGTTTCATTTATTTTTCCAACTTTATTCATTCTCCTCCTTTTTAACTGATCATAAAAGTAAAAACAAAAAAAAGAAGAACTGGTTTCAATTTTACTAGTTTATGTTATATTAGAATTAAAATTACATATTTTTTATTATATAGGGCTTTAAACGCCAACTCAATAACAACAATACGTCTTAAAAAATTAGTTTTTATTGGTAAACCAGATAGGGAATACCACTTCTTCAACCCTCGTGGATTAGAAAAGAATTTATTTCAACCCACTTCTCCTTTAAAGACACTTCAATTGCACAATCTTAACTTCTTAAGAGTAAAGTTCTTATTTTTCTTTTCTATCTAGTCGCGCGTTTGCGCCATACTGATTTTTTAAAAAGGAAAAATATACAAAGAAATTAAGTTTATGCATATATTATTGATAAAAGTAAACAAACCAACATTCTATCAATTAAAGAAACGACACCCATAAATCACAAGCTTAGACTAATAAACATTCAATTATTTTTGCTTGGATTAATATCACTCATATTAATTGTTCATATCAATTATTAGGACAATTACTACAGTCTATTATACTACGGCATATTTTAATTATGAATCATATAGATAATGATTTCGCACCAATTCGGAAATCTAACATAACTGTGAAATTCGACGATATAATCCATGACGTTAAGACAAATCATCATCAAATGAGCATATTGAAAAATATTTCGCTAGTATATGGAACGAAGATGTCCCAAAGTAAACGAAATGCAATTGAATCGAGAAGAAGGTCAAGTGAGTCACCTTTAAAAAAGAAAAAAATAGATAAGAACCTACGATCTGACCAAGAAAAGGTGCTATCACCCGATCTATTTACAAATAAAAACAAAGAAACAGAAGTTTTACCTCCTTTTCTAGAACCAAATTTCACCTTAAAAAAGCGTAATTCAATTAAAATACCTTTATTTTCAACGAAAAGATACACCAAGACAAGTCCCAAGAAAAATACAATCATTAAAAGAAAGCAAAACATTCCTTTATTTTCGCTCAAAAATTCAAGTAATAAATTTGTGAAGAAACTGAAGCTTGATCTACTTAACAAATTGAGCCCGAGATCAAGTTGTTCGCCTCCCTCATATTTTTCTGAGACAGATAAAATATTAACAAAAATCGTCGATAGTACTCTCGAAGGAGCCCCGTTCGATAAACCAATTGCTTTATGTGGACCCTATAGTTATTCCTATGGATTATTTGAACGTATTTTCAAAAGGGAATGCCAAAAATACAACTTTCAATACGTTAAAGTAACTTTACCGCCATTGCCTTTAGAAAATAATCAAAACAGTAGATATAACAACTGTGAAGTTTTATTTGCTAAGATGAAAATACAATTTCCTAATGAGATGATGAAAGAGTCGTTTCAAGGCAGACATCACGAAATGTTTAATATCAGACAAGTTATGAGAACCCTTGCAAATGTTATTAACATCTCAAACCAAGATATTGAGCATAAGTATATAATACTATTCTCTTCGACAGATGCAAGATATCTTGAGTCTTCAGTAATGAGATCACGTTGGGAACTCATCACTAATTTTATAGTATCAGCTAAACTTCCAGCTGTAATGGTTTGTTTCGACCATCTTATCGAAAATTCCCCATCAGAATCAACTTTATTAGAAAATTCAACAGTTATTGATGTACCGAAGCTGCATTCTCTACCTAATTTTATTTCTGAGCTATCATCCATTTTATATTACGAATCAACGTCGACTAGCGATGTGGAATTTTGCAAATTGTGGAACGAGGAAATGTCAAATTATTTAAATAACAAAAACTCAATGCTCTACAAAGAAGTAGAGAAGATATTTCTTTCCGGAGAAGGTCCACTAAATTGTGTGAAATTAATTGTAGCAAAGATTATATATTGTAACGACTTGCCATCTGTGTTTAAAATGTTGCGTGAAGATATAAAACACAATGTGCAAACCTAACTGAAAAAAAAATTTGACAACCCAAGCGAAAAAACGAACCAAAGTTTAATAGTGTTTTTAGGTTATACTATCCAACTACATCCCTGAATAACCATCGAGAATTATCGGTTCTAGTGTAAAAAAGCAATGAAAGATTAGTGTGGCCGGTTTACCACAAGATCTTCCATTTATAGAAAGTAATACGAGGATTACTATTTCCCACCAATTAGGCCAGTAATATGATAAACTTCCAACTATTCTCGACAGCAGTCATACAGATATGATGCATCTGTGTAGGGATTATTACAGCCTTTTGAATAGAACCAACAAATTTTTTGTCGTATTTTATTTTGAGGTTCGGATTATATTTTCAATCAAACAACGCGCGGGTTGTTTCATAATAAAACGTCACAATAAGGGCCCGGGGGATATCTAGTATTAACTATTTGGTTACAAGGCAATACTGAAACATCACTCTGCAGGTAAGATGTCCGTACTACGTCTACTAAAACGTTTTGTTATTTCATATGACTTTTGAAGTATGAAATCATATTATTGAAAAAAGTTATTCTAATTTTAATGCAAAATAATTGATCCGACTGATAATACATAATCACAGCATATTATTTATAAGAAATATGTTTTCAAAATAGATCATTTTCTTTGAAAAGGAATATAAGAATCCATCGCAACGAAACAGGGATAGCTGAAATTAGGATAAGGTTCCCACACCCGTATTAAATATATTCTGAACACAAAAATAATATTACAATTGATAAACCATGCCTGATAGTAAAATAAGAATCGAACAGAGGGAGCTATCGTCGAAAGGGTTTAACTATACACCAAATGGGCTTATATTCACCAATGACATAAAATCTGTTTATTCGGTGTTCCTAATATGCATGGACCTAAAAGATAACACCTCTGAATCAAAAAACTTTTTCGGATCCTTTAGTAAGATATACCCATTCTCATTCTCCTTGGATGATGCTATTCAAAAAATGAAGGACTTTAAATTATCTTCAAGGACAAATTCTACGCATGTTACGATCTCCTATCAAATGAACGAAAAATTAGCAAGGCATTTACTGGACATCTTCATGTCTGCAAAATTATTGCACTGTCCTGCTGATAGGACGAGATCAGCTCCAAAGGAAAAGGTCCTTTTACAACCAACTCCAAAGGGAACAGCTATATTACAAAAATTCTCAAGAGATGTGGGGTTAAAAGCACTCCCTCCAATTTTATCTTCAGATATTAACTCAATGGAATTGTTTACCTTTGAAAGAAGTTCTGTATCTGATTCAATAATTCATAGCGATTATTTAATCCATATTCTCTTTATCAAGTTAATGGGTTTACAACCAAATGTATGGTCTCCTTCTAACCCAAACGATGTACTTCCATCACTAAGTGAATTATTAGAATGCGCAAGTGATACTTTTACGTTCGAGAGTGTGAACACGTCAGCATTTATAGATACCAATGGGGATTCTAATGAAACTTCTTCAGATATACCGAATGCTTCTTGGTCTGACCAAATCCCTGAGGACAAATTAATGTCCACGAATAGGATATCTCCATTAGCTCACAAATTTTTTACCAATCCTGATTCTGATTCCCATATCCAGTATTACGTCTCTAATTCCGGAATAAGGTTATTTAAGTCTAAAAAATTCGGAGATAATAATATAGTTATCGATTATACTTTCACAACAAAGGCCATATGGCAATGGTTAATCGACTGTACCGATATAGCATATCCCCAAGAAGCAATAGCTGTGGCTGCCTTATTTCTCAAAGTTGGTTTGATCGTGCCTATTTTGCTTCCTCCTTCTGAAACATCCAGAAGAAAGTTTAGTATAAGCCGGTCCTCATATTTTACCTTATCAAAATTGGGTTCTGATATTGTTCAATGGGATCATACAAACAAAGAAGTAACAAATTCTCCATATAGAAACTTGAAGATTGAAACGCCAAAGGAAGTTTTTATTGATACTGGGTTCATGACCAGTGGGAATGTCGTAATTCCAGACGAAAAGAAAGTCTTGTCAAGTAATATCATTGACATCCCTTCAAACGAATCTTTTGGAAAATTTCCTAAACTTCACATGATATTAAAAGACCCTGGTATGAGATATTTGTTTCGTCTACATCTAGAAAAAGAATTCTGTGTAGAAAACTTAGACTCATATATTGATATTAAAAAGTTTTTAAAAAAAATGTCTGTTCTAAGGAAAATAATGGAAACTAAAAACAATAATGATTCAAAAGGAAAGATACAATACCAATCCACTAAAAGTGATATCATGTCCACAATTAACTCTGCTCTAATCAAACAGGCGAACGAATGTCTAGAAATGGCTTATCACATTTATTCTTCGTATATCATGGTTGGAGCACCTTACCAATTAAACATTGATCATATTTTACGTGAGGAGATTTCATCTGTTATGCTTCACCCAAAATCACCTATCTCAGAAACGTTTGAATCCCCTATCTCTTGCCATGCAAACATTATTGTAGATAAAAAAAAACCAAAGTTGAATATTAAGTTGGAGGCGATGTCTCCATCAAAGGAAATATTCGTCCCAAGAAGTACCTATATGTTGAGTAAAGATTCTGGCATATCAAGGAATAGTATTAGACCAACTCCCTTAAATATTGGGACTGAATTGCAAAGCATTGATACTGTCACAACTGACAAACCAGACGACGAAGATAAAAAATATGTCTTGAAATATACTAATAAAATCCCGGTTAAGGCTAATTTACAAAATACGATAAAGATACTAAAAAAATTATACCCATTATTGGAAGACGTCAGCATGAGGATGTATCGTCTGATGAATATTGACTCTTTACAAAAATTTCAAAACTCAGATCTATACCGCGAAATTATTACATTAATTGGAAATCATTCAAACTAAATAATATTTAACTAAATATATCTATAATAATGCGATAGATGTTCTTAAGCTACATATAGAGAAACTGTTAAGGCTAAAATTAAATATCGTAAATTCTCAGTTGGTTTCATTAAATTTTTTTTTTTAAAAGATGTAAGATGAATCTTGTTAATGAGATTAAAAAGTAGACTAGAAACTAGGTTTATATAATGGTTGGAAGCCTTTTTTTTTGCCTATTGAATATGTACATATGATACAATTTAAAAAGAATAGTAAATGTGATATTCTTATACCATAATGTTAAATGCCACAGAAAAGAAAAATATAATAATAATAGTAATAAAATTAATAGATGAATTAAAACGTTATTTCCCCTTAGGCGATTGGTTCTAAAGTAGTACCCTTTTTGATAGTTGCCCAACCAATTAAACGCCAATGCTTTTCGATACGTCTGGATAAGGCGATCTTTTCGTTAACTTCGGTACAAGCAGGCGAAGTTAGTTGTAGTCTGGCCATATCAGCCTTGACTGCAACAACACGAGCACCAGTGGCTGTAGAACCGATATTAACCATCAGAACTTCGTTTACTTCAAGTTTTCTAACCTTAGCTTGTTTTTGACCATCGGTCTTGACACCTAATAGACGACGTAACAAGAAGTAATTGATTTCGATATCTGTGTAAATGTTTGGTAGATGACCCTTGGCACCAACGACTTGACCAACCAAACGATCGGCTCTACAAAGAGTTGGATCCACCTTAGTACCAACACCAATAAGACCACCTGGAACGGCAAATTTTAGATCATTTTGTTCGGCGAACAAGGAGACAATGTTGGAAAAAATTGGCTTACATTGGATTTTACCTTTGTCATCTTTAGTAACGATACCTGGTCTAATTTCGATTTCATCACCTAACTTGAAGACACCGTTTAAAATAGAACCACCAGCAACACCACCCTTTAGATCATCAATTTCAGCACCCGGCTTGTTAACATCGAATGAACGGATAACGATCAGTTGTGGAGAAAGCATAAAGTCTCTTGGAGGGACTGGGATAGTCTTAACGATAAATTCATTGACAGCATCGATATTGTATTTCAATTGAGCAGAGATTGGGACAATTGGGGCACCATCTGCAATGGTACCTCTGATGAACTTTAGAATAGATTTTTCATGTTCCAACGCACTACTTTCACGCATTAAATCGACCTTGTTTTGTAAGATAATAACATGCTTCAACTTCATAATTTCAATGGCAGCCAAATGTTCAGAGGTTTGAGGTTGTGGACAAGATTCATTACCGGCAATTAATAGCAAAGCTGCGTCCATAACAGCTGCACCGGACAACATAGTACTCATTAAGATATCGTGACCTGGACAATCGACGAAGGAAACATGACGAACCAATTTATAACGACCTTCACATCCTGGTCTTTGACATTTTGGAGATATTTCTTTGTCGGATTTAAATGATCTATAACAATCTGGTTCTGGACATTCTGGGTTTTCACACTTGTAAATCTTAGCATTAGCGTAACCTAGCTTGATAGTAATGTTACGTTCTAATTCATCCTTAAAACGAACTGTTTGAACACCAGAGATAGCTCTAACAACAGTGGATTTACCGTGGGCGACATGACCAATGGTACCAATATTGATTGTAGCTTGTCTGTTGATAATTTCTGGTGATAATGGGTTCAAAGTAGAAAAATCTGGGTTTAATGGTTGTTCTGGTAAACCACCACCTTCTTCGAATTCACGCTTTCTGGCTTCTTCTTCGGATTCTTCATCGATACCAGCGAATGCTACTTTCTTCTTTAGTTTACTATCTTCTTCTTCTTGGTTCTCTTCAGCGATTTGTTCATCAACAACACTTTCTTCAAACTCTTGTTCCTCTTCTGGAGTAGGTAAGTTACCATTAATGATAATGGTTGGTTCCATATCTTGTAGATCAGACATCTTTCCGTAAAATGCTCTAATTTATCTAACGTGTCTTATATTTGATGACCTTTTCAGTTGACCTGCCTTCGCTTAAGTACACTTCAGTTCTTTATATACTGTAATCTCGAATGAAATAATGAAACAAATACTGAGTTGGTTTAATTACTAAGGACTAATGCTAATCTAAGAATATGCACCATTCATTTATTCAACTTGCCCTTACCATCGTCTCTCTGCTTACATGATTGCCCAGTCGCCATTTACCCACTCAATCACTAGCTCATACTGATTGAAACGTTCAGTAAGTCATTGCGAAGATTGATGCAAAAAGTTCAGCGAGGTGAAAAAAAATGGTGAAAAATTTTCAAACATCCGTGCACCGCACTACTACTAGAAGGCATGTTCACGTGATCTAAAAGATTATATCCACCAATTCTTTCTATTCAACTTAACTAACGGATTACTACAGAAGTTTTGGTTAGCTGAACTTATATTTATATTCATAGAGTAGATCCTGTTCTCACAGATGCTCTTCTTTAATTGAATTCAACTACGTTTTCGCATTTTGTTGTGCTCTAAAACTGTGTAATCGTTGTAAAATGTCTATTTATATAGAAAAAGATTTATAAGATATAGTTCTACATACTAACAAATCCCTAGGTTGGATTGAAAGCAAATTCATTCATTAAGATATCAACATCCTTCCAAACCATGTCCGACTGCCAGTTGTCCCAGTTAGCCATTATAGAGTTTGGTGACTCTTTATTACTATTACTGCTAGTATCTGTAGCATGTCCAGTATTTATACCTACAGTTGTATCGACAATGTTCTTGCTTGTATCTTCATTATTTCCATAAGAAAGTTTGATATTCGAGTCTGTTAAAGTATTCTGTAATATGTTTGTAGGATCTAGATTATCCCTATCCTCATTAGTTGATTGTTGTCGTTGTGTTGATATTGATCCTGGGATACCGGCGACACCAACATTTGGAGTGAGATTAACATTGCTTCCATTAATAAAATTAGAAGCAGAGAAATCACCTAAAGATCTCCCAGGTGTACCTGACAATGAAGGTGTGGATGAACGTCCCAAAAATGATTGGATACCATGCCCGCTCTTCTGTCCTGCAGAAAGTACCGGCGATGTTGCTGTCGAAGACAGATCATCTCTGTTGGATTTGATCGTGGTTGCATTGATAGGATTTGGATCTAATGGAATTGTTTCGATAATTCTTCTTGCACGTCTTTCAGGATGTGCGATGTTCTTAACTCCATCGTTTTCAGTACCATTTTCTGCATCTTCATCCTCATCATCCTCTGCAGATCCATTAGATTCAGCATTACCTTCAGTAATTTCATTCTCAAGTTGATTTTTTTCTCTGGCTAACTTTGCCATCCCACATTTTTCTTTCAAAATATACAAGCAATCGAAAAAGACACTTACACTCATTCTTGATTTTACTGTAATATCAAGATTGAATTCCGAAGGTCTGCTTTCTGATTGATCATTTTTCCACTCTTGATACATGTTACTGAAAAGACTCCATATACTTCTCATGATACCAGATGATCTATAAGACATATCATGTTTTAATACAGAAGCTTTATAAGTTAACATGATGGCATTCTGGTATGCAACTTTACCTCTTTCAATATCGATACTTTCGGATAGGGAAGAATTAACTAATTTACCAATAATACAGGCTGATTGCCAAATATTAAGTATAAATACACCAGGGAAATATTTTACCAATGTGGGGTCTGATTCATACATTTCATGAGTATGGGTCAACAGGTTAATAGCAGCATTATATAATTTCACTAAACCGCATTTAGTTTCAAAACTTACACTACGTGATCCCACATTCGAATCAGAGTCAATAAAATGGTACGTTAACAAATGAACTTTTGTTACTAATAACAGGAATTTCCTAACGTTATCCATATAATTTTTTTCTTCTAAATTAATAGCCAATTCTGATAATCGTTGGTTTAAGACATTTAATAAAGGTAACTTTTCCATATTATCAACCATACCTAATTTGTTTGATGGATTTGAATTCATCGTATTTACCATCTGATGTTCAAAATATGCAATTTGTGTCATTTGTTTCAATTCGTCCGACTGATCGAATGCTGATGCAGTTGGCGGTGGTGAATTGTTGTGTAAATGGGTTGGGTTAACATTTTGGTATTGGTTTTGTTTAAACGAACTAATCACCAAATGATCAAAAGTCACATAGGCTGGAAAACCGAATGATGATGCAATAAATTGAGAGACAATATTACAGCAAATCCAAGTACGTTTTTGTTCTTGTATTAATTCTGAATTTTCAGTAGCAAACTCCTTTGAGAAGTCTGCTGTATTTAAGCCTACTCTAATAGCTTGGAATAATGCGGTACCGATTGTATTCCATGAAGTATCTGCACTTAACGAAGAAGTTAATGGGGGCCAAAAAGTGTATAATAAAAAGGCTTGTACTGAGTAAACAGATGCCACATTAAGTATTGGTTCATCTGTTTCCGAAGGTGTATATCTAATAATTGGTGATATTGTAATTTCGGCTAAAGTTGCTTTCACTAATACCGTTAATCTCTTACCAAGATCATTAGAATATTGTTTACGTCTTAAACCGATTAAAATAATGACCCAAAACAGACAAGGAGACAAAGAATATATCCTTTCTGGACCTTTATCCAAATTAACTACCGGTAAGAATTGATGATATTTTGTTGCAAACTCTTGGAATAGCTGTGAAATATCTTCGGATGACATGTATATATCACCCAGAGACTTTGGGGTACATTGTAATTGTTGTATGGTCATGCCTTTAGTAAAATTCTTGCATGAAATATACCCACTTTTCGTGTTACTCAGATCATTGCTATTGTTGCTTTGAAATTTATTATTGTTATCAGAACTCGAGTAAGAGACATTCGAGAGTGGTGATAAAGTTGTACTCATATGTATTCCATTATTACTTAATCTTCCAGTGGTATCAGGTGACTGTGATCTGAAAGATGTAGTAGTTGTAGATGGAATACCGCTTTTACCTTTCTTGTGATGAACCTTTTCTTTTGTGAAATTGCTATTATCTAATAGAGCCATTTGTTCTTTTTCGATTCTTTTCAAGATTTCTTCTGATGACATATTTGTTAAACTGTTTGCCAGTTCTTTAAATCTTTTCTCAATGGCTTCGTTTTTAGCTCTTTTATAGGTCCTCCTAAAATCTTTCTTGAGGACACAAGGTACCTTTTTCTTAGCACATTTAGTACATGGCAAAGGAGCTCTATCATGAGCATCACATTTAGATTTCTGTTGTCTGCATTCGACACATGCAAATTTTCTAGTTTTCTTACTACCGTTATTGCTGTCACTAACGTTAGGGTTACTGGTGGTCCTACTATTACTGTTTCTCACCGTATGTAATGTAGTAGTATTATCATCGTTGCTGTCTATGGTGCTATGAGGTCTATTGATGAAATCTGAATCTAAAGGTTCGACAAACATATCAGAATTACCATCTGTTTCTGTTTGATGCCCCTGCTTCATGATCTCTTATTATTTCAGGATCTGAATAAGTAAGTGTTTTTGTAGAAGACAAGTATGCGTGAGTATAAATATGACCTTTCAGTAAGTCTAATATTGGCCAACAGACAAGTTCCTTACTTATCTATGAGATTTATAGTGAGACAATATCGCGCCAAATTTATCTAAACTAGAAATACACGAAACAAACATGTTATTGACATGTATTTAACTCGTTAGTAATCATGTTGTGCGAATGTATGTATCTCAAGTTGTGATGTTAATCGTTCGATGCTGTCTGCCTCAGGCAAAGAAGCCAAACAAAAAAAAAAACTGGAAAAAACGATGAGCGGTGAAAAATATGTGGAATGAGGGAAAAGTAGGTAGACAGATAGTCAGTTAGAGATGTACAGGCAGGGTTCAGTTTGGAACCTAAGAGGGCATCGACGTTCCTCATAATGTATGGATGGGAGGTAGTTCACATCTTGGTTTCTTTTTGTACAGAGCATTTTACAACATTAATCTTTCAAAAGGACTGTACTGTACAGATAGTCTATCTATATACATGGCAATGTTGGTGTAGCATATCTCAGATCTCGCTATTTACTGTTGTATACCTTTCTCGAAAGAATGTCTATTTATTGATTCTTGAAAAGGTCTATTTCTTGAAGTACATATATATATAAGATATATATAGGTTGAGTGTATATATTTAAAATCCTTGACATCTAGTCTAATCAGTGGTAGTCATACAATATGCATCATGTAATATGCATCATGTAATAATCACCTCCTCTGCAATAACAAAATTACAACGAAAAGCAAACGAAACCGATTTAAGGGAGTCAATAAGTACACACATCCGCTTTCTAGTTCCATAATGATTGATATTATCTTATATCAGCACGATTTAGCTATGAACTGTGTTGTAACTTCTCTATTTACAATAAGTTCTGCGGCATTTCTTTGAACATACCCAATTTCAGCATCATTTAAAAAGTCCTGAACAGGAAGCGACAGAGCCACAGAATATCTGAGTTTGCTAACAATACGGGGCCTTGACCGGTCTAGTCTGTCTATACAGCTGAGGTTCACCAATCAAAGGAATACGTATCTATACAACATGTTATCGTTGACTATAATAAAGCACTCTAATATGTTACTTACTGTAAATGATTAAAATTTTAACATTCAAGTAGGGATTTCACTACGGATCAAGAAATTTAGAATAATAATAAAGGGTCGTTGTTCTCGGATAAATATGCCTCTTTTTTTCTACAAAATGTTGTCATTGTTTATATAACGACCTTCTAAACTTATAGACTAGTAAAAATTTCCCTTGGTATGTTGTAGTTGTTCCTCTCTTGTTTGAATTTACCATGACTTTCAATGTACCTGAAAAAAATACTGGACGGGCGATGCTTTTAAAGAGTCAAAGGAACTGAAAATTTTATTTTAAAGTTCACCAAATCGTCTAGAGTGTTACTTAAAGAATTTTCTTAAGATAACCCTTTAAAAAGACTCTGGTATAGTTTTTACAACTAATTTAATACCTCTATCTCTAAAATGAATATTTTGAAAGAAATAAGGGAAGCTCCCAGAGATATTCGACTTCTATGGGCATCAGTGTTTCTAAGATTGCTTGCGTATGGGCTAACCAACCAAGTTCTCACACTATTCCTAAATGGAATCAGAATGACAGAAGATAAAATCGGTTGGTTTATGTCGCTGACTTTAATTGGGGACGTTATTTGCTCTTATATATTAACATGGTATGCAGATTCTTGGGGTAGACGTAAAGTTCTAATTTGTGGATCCGTCATGATGACTTTAAGTGGTCTAGCATTTGCCTTTTGTGAAAACTTCCATATTCTATTAATTTTTGCTATATTTGGAGTGATATCACCTTCAAGTGATGAAGTTGGCCCATTTAAGTCCATCGAGGAATCGATGATTGCTCATTTGTCTCCAAATCACAAGAGACCAGAAGTTTATGCCATGCATGCTTTAATTGGTACTATAGGGTCTGCATTAGGTGCAATAATGTCAGGTGGGTTCATTGATTTACTACAATATTTTAAACTTGCAGAAACCGATTTACAATGTTATAAATATGTGTTTCTATTATATTCCTTTTTTGCACTATTAAAAGTTATTGTTATGATATCATTATCTGAAAAGACTGAATTAGATAGTCATTATAAAGAACATTTAGATGAAACCACTCTAGCGCAAGCTATCACAAACGATGAAATGGCTCCATTAATGGAGGAATCACATCTACATCGTCATTCTTCTGTAGAAAGGACAAGTGTTACCGTTACTACACATGGCGCCATTTCATCTCATGATGATTATGATAATGATAATAATAATAATACCCTTGTTTCCGAAGAAACACAACCTCATGAAAGTAGTCTTTCACCAGAAACTGTTACTATCTTGATGAAACTGTTAGTAATATTCATGATAGATTCTCTAGGGTCCGGTTTCATGACAAGTAGCTGGATGGTTTACTACTACAAGAAATTCTTTAAGATTAGTTCGTTTGCTTTAGGTGCATTATTCTTCTGTACCCAGTTTGTAATGGCTTCATCGACAATCCCATCGACAATCATTGCAAGAATGTTTGGACCAGTAAGAGCTACACTACTTGTACAAATTCCATCTGGTATATTCTCTATACTGATCCCATTCGCACAGAATCATCTATGGTTATCCATCTTGCTATTAAATTTCCATTTCGGTACAACAGCTATGGATGTTCCACCAAGACAGATTCTATTAACGAACTTGATCAACCCTAAGGATCTAACAAGAGTAATGGGTATCGTGAATATCGGCAAGACGTTTGCTCGTTGCATAGGTCCAATATTTACAGGTATTCTTGCTAAGGATGGCTATCTGTGGTTATGTTTTATCATTAGCGGTGCGCTTGTAATAACCGCTGATATGGTTTTGGCATGTTCATTTTTACATGTCGATAAACACATAATGAAACAAATAAATAATAGACAATAAAACAACCTCAAAGGTCAAGGAATAATATTTAAAGTATCAATACTTTTCTGAGAGATTTTTTCACCGTTAGTAGCCTAAATATTATATTTGTTATAGATGAAAATTTTAAATATATGTTTCTTGGTATTTATGAAACAAAGTTACCCTCAAAGACCTTCATTTAATACAAAATAATAACCCAAAAGTAGATCTTCAACCAGCAAACCTTTCATTGTTGTATTAAATCTGCATTCTGCATTCTTCCAAGGCTGAACATTCTATACTTGAATATTATCGGGTAAAGGTGTATATTACATAATATATTAGCTTAACTCTTGATTTAATAAAATGTTTTTATAAGATATTGCCGTTCATTTAATGATAGGTTATGTAAACTAATGCAAAGTTCAATACATACACATATAGTTTTATGTTCATGAAATATGGTCTTATAAAAGTAGACACGGTACCATATATAGAAATAATCAAAATTAATTAAGTTGTATTTTCTTTTAAACGGTTATATAATACTGAAACCAATATAACTGGTATTTAAAACACAAAAATTGTACAGATGTAAGATATATAGAGGTGTGTAATGAATTAAATGTTATAGGAAATAAAAGAACACTAATAAGCGTAAAATATATTTCTTAACGGTTAGACTTAGCAACACGTTCTAGTTCATCCTTCTTCTTGATAGCGTAAGAGGTGGAAGAACCCTTGGCAGCGTTGATCAATTCTTCAGCTAGAGTTTCAGCGATGGTCTTGATGTTTCTGAAAGAAGCTTCTCTGGCACCGATGGTCAATAGAGCAATAGCTTGGTTGACTCTTCTTAGTGGAGAAACATCGACGGCTTGTCTTCTGGCAGCACCACCACCACCGACTCTGGTAGTGTCTTCTCTTGGACCAGAGTTGATAATAGCATCGACAACAATTTGTAGAGGGTTAGAGTCAGTCAAGATGTTAATGATTTCTAGAGTGTGCTTGATGATTCTGACAGCCTTTAACTTCTTACCGTTGTTTCTACCGTTCATCATTAGGGAGTTAGTCAATCTTTCAATGATTGGACATTGAGCCTTTCTGAATCTCTTGTTGGCGTAACGACCAGCAGTGTGACCAACGAAGATGGCTTGTCTGATTTGGATGTAGTCAACTAGGGATGGGTCCTTAACTTCGACTTCTTCGAAAGACCACTTGTTGAATAGCTTGATCTCAGCTTGACCTTGTTGGACATCTTCTGGGATAGCAGTAGCTAGGACAACTGGAGTGAATTCTTCAACAACTTCAAAATCTTCTTGGACTTCAACTGGAGTTTCAACGTCAGACATATTGGATGGTGGTTCTTGTGTGTATGATGTGTTCTGGTGTCTTAATAATAAAGAAATATAAACTTAAAAATAATAAATATATAATAATTTAAGTACTATAACAATAAATATGAAGAAATAATGTAAATTGTTAAATATTATCAAACTTTCACAAATATCTTGAAAGAGAATTGTTAGCGTAATAGCTTCTATCCTCTCACTCAAATGAAAGTAATGTATAGAGGGAGTGATTGTTTGTGTGCATATTAGAAGGGAGCAGAGCCATTAGAAGGATGAGCATATCCTTGCGAAGATGCTGTGAAAGTGTTTGGTATTTGCTTCGCTAAAGCAGAAACGTCTACGCAGTGCCGGGTCCTTGTGTGTGCGGGAAGTGAAAAGAATAGTCAATGAGAATAGGCAGAATTCTGTTGGCAGGTCTGCCTAGGGCAGCTGCCTAATGGGCTGTATTGCGCAATCTACAGGGGAGAAGGAGGTAGGATATACCTAGATAGACTTCCACTCTATTTTTTTTCAAATTTCTTCAAGATTACGTGTATATTCTCCGTGTTTTTCTGTGCGCTGAAATATTTTCAGAAAAACAAAAATTTACTTTTAAAATAAAAAAATCTAAGCCATTTTTATTTCAATAATGTATGGGTGTGATAAAAGACAAAAATGAAGAGGATGTAAGGATGTTGAAATGGTCAAAAAAATTTATTTCTAATATGAGAAAAATATTTACATCACAAGAAAACAAACAATGGCCGATGCCCTTACCGTACGATGAGCTTTTAGTAACGCGATGATTAAAACATCGCCGATAAGACGGAATATATATAAGACTTATGGCTATATAGAGCTAAGTTTTTGGTAGACCAATTAAACTAATCTGTTATCAAGATTTATACATTTCGAGATTTATTACATTAATATTTACATAGTCATATACTCGTTCCTACTCTTGCCTTAGATCTATCCTTGGAAAATAGCGATAGCCTCTCTACCATATGTTTTTAGTCAAAGGAGTTTTTTTACACAACAATTAGACCAATTTTGGACTGTTGGACTTGAACCAATTTTTGAGCCAGAAGGGTTCTTGTACCTCTATAATAACATTATTTTCTGGGTTTTCTTCACCAACATCTATAAACAGGATTGGTTTTGTTGAATGTGAATTACCTTGTGGAAATATTCTACTAAAATGTTCAGTTCTTAGCATTACAATTCCCACATCTTCTTCGAAGGTTATGAGAGAACCTATAGGTCTCTTACGCTTTCTGACCACTTTACCAGAACCGAAGGGACTTGTTACCATTTGGGATTCAGTTTCCTCAGATGAAAAGGTTTCATCATTACCATTACTCTTCATTTCAACCTCCAGGTATTTATCAGAATTATGACCTGGCCTATTGATATAAGACAGGAGGGCTGGTAAGTTGTGAATCTTAACAGGAACTATTCTTTTTCTTAAAATTCCTGTAGCAAATGTTCTTGCCGTCAATTCTTGCCCTATATAACAACCTTTATTAGAACTTACCACATCAGGAAAATAATCGAAGTTTAACTCTAGCGGTAAAACTGTGGTCGGTTTAACATCGGTAACGCCATCTAATAAGCCACATCTAAGTCTCAACTTTCTGAATGCACTTTCTTCCTGTTTTGAAACCGTGAAATCGAAGGGAAACGCTTTACTGTTAAATATAGTCGATATATCATCAATTGAATTATCAGTCAATATCCTAAACATCAGCGGAGCAGATCCATCTACTTTCAAAACCTCATCTGTACGTCTTTCGATGTACAAGCCCTTAATATTTGTCTCGAACCCTTCAAATAGGGTACCAACGACAGTGTTAGCAAATGCTAAGGCATCCTCGGGACTTTTCATACTGGCCATGGGTCTGAGTATGTTATCGATCCAGGGATTTTCCTCTGAAGTAGGAATATTCTCAAATCTAACCAAAACATCCCAGGTCTTTACCTCGTTTTCTTCCACGGCTTTAATCTTAACCTTACTTAGAATCTTATGACCTTCAAAAGTTCGCATCATGGTAGATGCCATAGCCCCTTTGTCTAACTCTATTAAATATTCAGGGTATTTTGTATCATTTATATTATCTAGTGTCAATGGTGTTGGGTACAGGATAGAGTCTGTAATTAGTTTTCCTTTTCCATCTAGAAATGCAGTATATTGACCGAATCTTGCGAGGTAAGGACCATAATCTCCAGATTCATGATATAGACCCCAATTGCCCTTCATTATATCAAATTTTGGTACTGGTACTATCTGTTCGTTTGTAGCAGAGGTCGTTTCAGTGTTTTTGTTTGCATCAATTGTAGTTAAATTCTTCTTAATGAAGGACTCCTGTAATTTCGATGAAACTAACCCATTAATGAACTTAACTGATTCTGGGCCCTTTATCTTTATGTATGATTTATTATTAAGCCTAGCATATTCGAATAGCCCTTTAATTACCGGTTGTTGAACATTCGTAGATGCTGTCTCGATTGATCTTCTTGTGATAATGAGCGGTTGCAAATTTAGGGAGAGTCGAGTTGGTTTAAATTTTGACAATAAATAACGATAATTGGATGTCATCTTTTTTAGAAATATATATTTTGAAAAATAAAAGGTTTTTAATAGTGTTTATCCCATTCCGAAGTTTAATGACGATATATATATAGAACGATTTTCATAAAACTATATATATTCAATTTTAATAGTTGATTGAACCATTAAAGTTCTAAATATTGGCCTTTCTTCACACCCTTTCATTTCCTTCATGATGGTGATTTTGTTTTTATAGTACGATATGTTTAACCCGCAGAGCTGACTAATTACACTTTCAAGGTAATAATAAAAATAATCGTCGGGCGGTGAAAATAGTAACTATACAATTAAGTTTAAAGTCCGGCGTAAGAATATCAAAATACAAATTATTAACATATATACGACTGAATTGAATACAGAAAAGAGATTATTATAGTTATTATTACTTTGGGGGTCTACCTATATAGGTTATATACAAATCATGAAATGTAATATCTTTCTCCTTGTTTCTTTTTTCGTTTAACACCTAAAAATAATAATATTTTATATATTTATTGGTAACCATTAACTGGCACATGTAATTTTTTTTGTTTGATAAGAATAAGAATAATAAATTTTAGATAAAAAAGTAGAAATTTTAGGAAAATAATTAAGAAACTAGAGAAAGAAAGAACGCAAAAAAACAATAAACATATAAATTCTAATTACATCTTTGAATAGTGCTTTTTATTTTATTTTTGTTTGTTTTTTGTTTTTCTTTTCCCTTTATAAAAACTTCTTGAATCATTTTTTTTTTTTTGGGGGGGGGGTTCATTTTAAATTTANTTCATTTTAAATTTAATTATAAGTTAAAGAATAATATTATGACATGTTGACTTTCTATTTGATTTATTATAATTTGAAAATCTAGTTAGCTTCGGCAGCTAATTTTTCAGCCTTGGCGACAACATCTTCGATACCACCGACCATATAGAAAGCATTTTCTGGAATGTCATCATATTTACCTTCTAAGACATCCTTGAATGATTTAACAGTTTCCTTTAATCTAACCAACTTACCTGGAATACCAGTAAAGACTTCAGCAACAGCAAAAGGTTGAGATAAGAATCTTTGAATCTTTCTTGCTCTTTCAACGGTCAATTTATCTTGTTCTGATAATTCATCCATACCTAAAATTGCAATAATATCTTGTAAAGATTTATAAGTTTGTAAAGTTTCTTGAACCTTTGTAGCAACGTCATAATGTTCTTGACCAACAACAGCAGCATCTAATAATCTTGATTTAGAATCTAATGGATCGACAGCTGGGTAAATACCTAATTCAGAGATACTTCTTGATAAGACAGTAGTAGCATCTAAATGTGCGAAGGTAGTAGCTGGAGCAGGATCCGTTAAATCATCAGCTGGCACGTAAACGGCTTGAACAGATGTAACAGAACCCTTCTTAGTAGTTGTAATTCTTTCTTGTAATAAACCCATATCAGTAGCTAAAGTTGGTTGATAACCGACAGCAGATGGAATACGACCTAATAAGGCTGAAACTTCAGAACCAGCTTGAGTAAATCTGAAAATGTTATCAATAAATAATAAAACATCTTGACCTTCTTCATCTCTGAAATATTCAGCAATAGTTAAACCAGTTAAAGCAACTCTAGCTCTTGCACCAGGAGGTTCATTCATTTGACCAAATACTAAAGCGACTTTAGAGTCACCTTCTAAATTAATGACACCAGTTTCTCTCATTTCACGGTAAAGATCATTACCTTCTCTTGTTCTTTCACCAACACCTGTAAAAACAGAGAAACCACCATGAGCTTTAGCGATATTATTAATCAATTCTTGAATGAAAACTGTTTTACCAACACCAGCACCACCGAATAAACCAATCTTACCACCTCTTGCGTAAGGAGCTAATAAATCAACAACTTTAATACCAGTTTCAAGGACTTCAGCCGCAGTAGATTGTTCAGCAAAAGTTGGAGGATCAGCATGAATTGGTTTTCTTAATTTTGATTTAATTGGACCTCTTTCATCAATTGGTTCACCAATAACATTAATAATTCTACCTAAAGTTTCTCTACCAACTGGAACAGAAATTGGAGCGCCTGTATCAGTAACAACTTCACCACGAACTAAACCTTCAGTACCATCCATAGCAATAGTTCTAACAGTGTTTTCACCTAAATGCTGAGAAACTTCAAGAACTAATTTACCGTTTGGTGTATTAATTTCCAAAGCATTCAAGATAGCAGGCAAATTAGATTGATCAAATTGAACATCAACAACAGCACCAATAACAGCTTTAACTTTACCACTTAATTGAGTAGAATTATTATTAGTTTGAGAAGCCATTGATCTTTTCCAGATATTATTATTCAACATTGGATTGGATCTAGCAAAATTAGTTGCTAATCTAGTTGCCATTGGAGTTCTAGCGGCTTGAAAAGCCATACGAGATGTAGCGGAATAAAGTCTTGGTAATACCATTATTAAAACCGAAAATAAAATTTAAAAAAAAAGTTTTTAGAGAATTAAGTAGATATTATTAACTAAAATAATGTTGATCCCTCTATTTCTTTTATGAAATTCAAATTAAAAGGGGGTATAAGTTAGGAGTTCAAAAGTAAATGATTAATCAGGGTATAATTATACTATATATAGATATGTTAAACCACAGACACCAAATAATAACGATTTATAATCAGAAAAATACTTCCTTTCTCACAACAATAACAAAATCAACAGAATATGAATTAAATTTGAACGAAATACTACTCTTAATAGTTTTCAATTCTCTTTTTTCCTTCTTTTTGCAAAGTTAAAGATTTTGTTATAACAAAAGTTTGAAATAAAAACTAAAAGATATGGAACACACAAATATAAAAAAAATTAACTTCTTATTCAATGTAATTGTACCCAATTCTATCTTATATATATATATGTATGCAAGTATTATAAAATGTAAAAAAAAAAAGATCAATTGGCTCCCAAATTCGTCTTCTCCCTTCTGGTTGGCCATTCATTCTCTTACAACCTGAAAGCTATAATTCAATCAATTCTCTTCCCCTCGCCCCTTCTCGCCCCCCCAGAAAAGATCATCTCAAATAAACAGAAAACTCGTTTTAACGAAGTTTTTCTCGAGTTTTGGTTGGCTTACCACGGGGTTTTCACTGTGCATGCAGAACGGTGCGCTTTGATTGGTTGAAAATTATTGATACTTTTTTTAAAAAAATTGAAATCAAACGGTCACGTGCTGAACCGCCTGGTGTTAGGGTAACCGTGCACGTGACATAGGCGGGCAATACATTATATATATATATATATATACTTCTGTTTCAAAATTTATTAACTGGTAGAAGCACTTCTACAGGTTAAATATAGATATATATACATATGCATAACCTTACTATACTTGTTGTTATTCTACCATAGTATGCACTGCGTAGTATACTGCTGCACTGGTTTGCAGTATATATATATATATATGAACTACCTTCATGTTTGATATTGCTTTATATTATGACATTTTCGTTTATTTTACAGACACTTTTTTACCTTCACCATAATTGATTTTATTTTATTTTATTTCATTTCATGCCTCTCTGTGTTCTTCTGTGGTGAACTACGGTATATTTGTTTCAATTCTGCCGAGGAACGGAAAAAAGAGAAGTCATTTCTTTTTGAAAGGAAACTAACTTAGCCAAAGGAAAAAGGGTTCTTATTAAGGGTTAGATTTAGACACAATCTCCAGATATATGATATATAAATAAAAATGAACGGTAATTAGTTATTGATATATTGAAAGTAATCTTTTTGCTCAAATATTTCAAAATACTAAGTAGAACTCAAAGAGGGAAGTTTGCTGTATCAATAATAGCTTAGTGCACTAAGATTATCCTTTTTTCTTTGAAGCGATGAATTTGGAACGTATACCTACTGTTCATCCGACAGAAGATGAATTTAAGGATATTATAAATTATATATCCGAATCACGTATAAGAAGATTGGGAAATAAATATGGTATGATTAAAATTGTGCCTCCAATAAATTTTAAACCACCATTATCATTGGATTTTTCAAAATTTAAATTTAAAGTTAGAAAACAACAATTAAATCAATTAAATTTAATTAATAGAGCAAGATTATTTTTCATTAAACAGATTAATAATTATTTAAAAGTAAATCAAAAAGATTCAAATTTTTTTTGTAAAAAAAAATATTTTTTGATTGATATTAATAAAGAGAAAAAAATTAAATTATTTTTATATGATATTTATATTTCAATAATAAAATATTATAATCAAAACATAACCTGGGAAATGTTATTAATCTTAGTAAGAGATAGTTATAATAATGCTTTATTAATTCCATCAATAAAAAATGTTGAAAAAAATAATAAATTATGGAAAATTTTATCAAAACAATTTAATAATATCCCTATTTCAACTTTAAAATATTATTTTAATAAATATATTAAAGATTATTATTCATATATTCATCTTCAATATCAACAAAACTTACCATCTTTACACTATAATGACGAATATCCAAAATCTTTACTTAGTGACAACGAAGAAAGTGAAGAGCAAGATGAGGATGATAGTGACAGTGAACAAGGAAATGCGGAAGAATGCGCATTATGTTACGAATATGATCACATTGAAGATTTAATTACCTGTAATTCATGCAAAAAATATTTTCATATTGGTTGTATTAATGAGGCAAAGGGTGAAAAACATATCGAAACGGCAATTCCACCCTCCAATTTACAAAATTGGGTATGTAGACATTGTATTATGGGTAATGGATATTATGGTTTCCATATGAGTAACCAGGATTATTCACTAGCTAACTTCCTTGAAGTGACAAATTCAAAGAGATCTTTCGATAATGATAATGAAACTTTAACAAGATTAGAAAAAGAATTTTGGCAGTATGTCAATAATATTGATAAATCAAAAATCGTAAAATATGGTGCAGATATACATAATACAGTGTCTGGTACAATATCAGGCTTCCCAACTTCAAATTATATCCCGCCTAACCAGAAGGACAATTTAAAGGAATATATGACATATGCTACACATCCAGCAAATTTGGTTAATTTACCAAATTCCAAAGGATCATTATTACCATTATTTAAAGATACAATATCCGGGATGACAATACCTTGGGTTTATGTAGGCTCCGAATTTTCTACTTTTTGCTGGCATATGGAAGATCAATATACTTTAAGTGCCAACTACCAACATGAGGGAGCACCAAAAGTTTGGTACAGTATTCCGGACTCAAGTTGTACTAAATTCCAAGATTACTTGGTTTCTTCAACTCCAGATTTGTTTCTAAGACAACCTGATCTAATGCATCAATTGACTAGTCTAGTATCACCAGAGGTTCTTACTAAGAATGGAATAACATGTTATAAGGCAATTCAAAATCCAAATGAATACATAATTACTTTCCCAAAATGCTATCATGCTGGCTTTAATTCCGGGTATAATTTAAATGAAGCAGTAAATTTTACCTCAGAGTTTTGGTTACCATATGGTATGAGTGCAATTAATGACTATAAAGTTTCGAAAAAACAGTGTGTTTTTGAGATGTTTGATTTACTTATTACAATATTAGAAAATTACCTACAAGGTAAGCATGCTGACATATTTAGTGAATCACTTGTCAGAAGTTCATACAATTTTTTACTAAGCACATTCAACGAAATTAATAAAGATTTATCTAGGATAAACGATACTCGTAACTTCCTTCCTTCCTTTATTGACCGAGCTGGACTCAGGTCAAGAACCAAATTGTTAGAAAACTCTATCAAATCGAGGATGAGAGTCATTAAAAAGAATGACAATGATGAAAATGAGGAGGCTCAATTATATTGTACTCACTGTAAAACAATCTGTTCGTTTGCATTTATGGTACACCGAAAGAAAGGGAGCTCAACAATGAAACCTAGAAAGAAATTAAGCGCAGATAATTCTAAAAATTGGATGGATTTTGTTACATATGTCTATGACAAAAGGCCAACAACAGACTTTGACATTCTCTGTCTACATGACTATCTTACACTGGTTGTAAATGAGAAAACTCAAATGTTTTCACACAATTCTGACGATGAACTTTATATCTTAAAAGATATGTCCTACATCGACAATCTTCTCAACAATTCTGGAGACAAGATAGATAGACTATAATAAATATATAAATACCTTTTAGAACGAAAATACAGTATTGTTTTAATTTATTTCTTTATGTATTGTTTTAATACAAGGAATTTATAAGGTTTTTTTGTTCAATCTCCATTATATATCACTTTACCTATGTGTGTCACATTAAAACTTACTATTTCCTTTCACGACGCCTACACGTAAAGAGAGGAAAAGCGAGAAAATGTTCATCAGTATAAGAGCCATCGGTGGCACTATAATAGAAGATTATGTAATGCATAGTAACCAGAAAGAGAACTATAACCATAAAACAAAGATCACCCCAAGTTAAAAATGACTGTCCTAACTTCGATCAATGTATTGTATTTTAGAGTTGCATATTTGTGCTCTTTAGGTTTCTTTTGTTTCAAAAATGTCAATTCTATCCTGGATAATTCATATTTTCTAGTTTTCACACAGGCGATGAATTTACCACAATTGACCATGTCACAGTTTAGTGCACAACTGGGTTTATTTGGTGTATTATTTGGTATGTTGGCATTCACCGATTTGATTCCATTATTAGAAGACAATAAGACATATTTTTATTCTATTGTTCCAATTAGACTTTTAGGCTATTTCATTATTGCCACTTTATCTTACACATGGAGATCAAACTTATTCCTACATAATAATGTGATATTTATATATTGTTTTTCTGAAATCTGGATTAATTTTGTGATTTATAATGCTTTAAGGGAGGAAAAGGAGGTCTTTTTCAGAACTGAAGAGAAAAAGAGATATAGTGATGAATCAATTGAAGATGAGGATGATGCATTTGGAACAACCACTTTGGAGATCGAAGAGACTATCACTACTGAAACTATTGAAGAGGTATCTCCGGAAGAGTCTATCAAACAAGACACCCCAAAGAAAACTGTTAAACAGGCTAAGAAGGGTAAGAAGAAGAACCACAATAAAAAGAATTAGAATTATACCAACGTTTTTTATTTATTTTTGCTGGCATTTAAATTTTTTTAGTTTCCCTGTATTAAATATCTTCTCAGTTAAAGTTGCATATGATTTAAAATCTATCTGTTATTACATATGTAATCATGTAGAGTAAAAATTATAACAGTTACATATCGTTGTTTTTACTATTCTTATTATTGATCATTCTTTTTTAAGAAATTTACATATGTTTGTATCTTTAAATATCTCTACAAAAACCCTAAATCATCGATGTCAGAAAAATCTGATATGTCATCTAGGTAATCTATGGAATCGGCATCATTATTTTGTGTTGCGTTCTTTACCTTCTTACTATCCTCAGGATATCTCATTGCCATGACAGACTCATTGTGCAATTGCGTCACAAATTGAATTCTAGCATCAAATGTCTTTTGAGGATTATTTGTATCATAAACATTCAAAAGCTCAGAGGTTTCAATGTAGCCCTTTTCGTGGTTAATATTAGCTTCGATAACACCATCTCTAATTGATCTAGATACCATATATTCAGCGGCTTGTTCAGAGTCTAGACGTAACTTTAGACATATATCCTTCAAAGATATTTTCTTGTATGTTAGTGATATCATTCTGATACCTGTCTTAATAACATTAGATCTTAATCTAACACACAACTGGTAGTTACTATCATGAACCAACTGTGGTTTGAATCTGGATATTATATATGAGAATTTCTTTAAATCACCTAATTTTACTGTATTAGTTAAATGATAATACGGATATAATGATTGTTGCATATCAGTTTGGTGAAAAAAAGAAAGTTCTGGGATGTCACCCATCAATAATTGAATGACACAATGTAATTTATTTGCTTGTTGCAAGAAACCTAAACTATTGGGAGTATGTGGAGCTTTTCTTATGGCTGTAATAATAAAATCATTAGCGGTTGTATAGTCCAATTGAATGGCGTTAATCTTAGACATGTAAAAATAGTAACGGGCCTCTAATGGATTAGACACATTTGTTGTTGGGAATTCCACTTTTCTGACAAAATCATCTGCTGAGTTAACATCACCATCTGCTAAATAGTTTCTTAGAATCAAATTTATTAACATAGCTCTTGTTTCGTTATCATGCTTCAAAGATGCAGTCTTTAAGGATTTGATCATCACGGTACGTATTCCAGCATTTGCAACATCGCCGACAGATTCATAACCAAGAATGATATAAAACCATAATTTAGCACTTATTAGATCTAAAGAACGATGGTTATAAACTTCAAGGATTGTTGGAATAACAATTTTCGAATTGAATGTTTCTAATTCGGTAAATTTCTTGGAGTCTAATAAATACAGTTGAACTAAAAGGTGGAAGAAGCTGTTCAATTCTGGAGAAACTTCAATAGTCTTTTGTGGAGTAATCTTATAAAATGCGGCAGGATATTGAGCTCTCAATTTTTCAGAGTTAGGGACGTTAGATTTATGATTATCATTAATGTATTTCAATAGTGGAATCTTAAATGCGGATGAATCTGGATATAATATATTGACCAAAGTGGCTAAGGATTCCTGATTCAGACTATTCTTTCTGATTGTACTCAAATCCTTTAGACCTCTCCAGACGTGGCGAGAATCTAAAGAAGTAGTGGCCTTTGCTATTTCCTTTAAAGTCTCCATAATTGTATCGACGGCGTTTTCTTCGGCATATTTTGTTACTAAAGTGCCATCCCCATTGGCATCGACTTCCATCAAATCTGTAGTCATCTTTCTTAGAATTGTGTGTATGTATCTGGATCTATTAAATAAATTATAGGAAAAAGAAATACAAAAAAAGTTAAAAACTAATTTTGGTTTTTTATTCAATGAATGGTTCAATAAATGACTAGATAACTTTGTTAAAGTTCTTCAATTTATCACTTTTCACTGTTATAAAACCCTTCACTTATATTTTTTAACCCAGTTTGCCACCCAAGTTTACCACTTGGAATTCAAAATTCCCCTTTGCAAAATATATAAATTCATATTATGTATCCATATCTCGCCTTTCCTACTGGATTCCCTTTCAATAAAAAGAGAAGAAAAGGCGCCGCCCGCCAGTTTCAATTTTTTTTTGTTTCTGGAATTTTTTAATATGGGAAAGGGTGACCCGGTCACCTATCACGTGATTTTTACTGTAATATGTTACAGATCACAGCTGATTTTATAAGTCAAATATACATATATAGATATATAGATGTATTGCATTCAGTATATATATCTTTTTAGGAAACATATAGTATATTTACACTATATGTATATATATATATGTATATGTATATGTGTGTGTAGGTGATATAACTTGCGATGATATTGCTATACCGGTAGAGACCCAATTAACGAGAAATAAAGAGAAATAAAAATGAGAAATTTCTGTCATTAAGCTTTCTTCTTCTCACTGACATAACCAAGGGCAGTTAGTCTTTCGGCTAGAGTTGGGTGAGAGTAATGGTAAGCAGAGTATAATGAATCTACATTCATGGTGGATAGATTCTTAATTTGTAGATCGATTAAAGCACGACACAAGTTTTTACTGAAACCTAATCCTTTAGCGTAAGCATCTGCTTGATATTCTTGAATTCTAGATAGTAAACTCATTGCAAATTGCATTGAACATTCTAATGGGGTCAATAAATCGTTGAATAGCATGAAACCAATAATAATTGGGAAACCAGTAGTGAAGACTTTAGTTGGAATGGCAACTTCTGGAATAGTAGTTTCAGTGGCATCAATAACAAACCCAAAGGTTTCATAGAATGATATGTTACGGTAAACACTGGTAAATAGAGAGAAGATAGCACAAGTATGCAATTGACTAAATACAACCATGTTTAAAACATGGTTCTTTTGCCAATGGCCAATTTCATGAGCCAAAACAGCAGTAATTTCTTCAACAGAATTACTGTTTACTAAAGTATCGAAAAGGACGATACGTTTACTAGTAAATGGTAATCCAGTGAAATAAGCGTTTGAATGAGATGATCTCTTGGAACCATCGATAACAAAGATTTTGTCCAATGGGAAACCAACTTGTTTTGCCAATTTTTCAATAGATTGTTTTAATTCACCATCTTCTAATGGAGTGAAAGTATTGAATAAAGGCATAATATATACTGGAATCAAAGTCATTGCTAGGATTTGAACTACCAATAGGAATAAACATACGTACCATAAGAAGTTTGTTTCGAATAAATCAAAAATCTTTAAGAATCCATATAGAATTGGACCACCAATGGCAACACCTAACAGAGTACTCTTAATCATATCAGTAATCCAAATCTTCATAGTAGTCTTATTAAAACCGAATTTTTCTTCTAGAACAAAATGACTATAATAAGAGAAAGGTAATTCAGCCACAGTAGAAATGTTTGAAAGAACTAATAAGAACCATAAACTTTGAGCAATAGTAGAGACAGCTCTGTATTGAACAGGTAAGATAGTAGAGACTTTGTTACCTAGATGCCATAGACGTGGAAATAAATCAAATTTCACGAAAGCAATCTTTTGAATCAATGCATATAAATCAGATACAATAGAGAATCTAATCTTTGCCTTTGAATAAGCTTCGGATTTTTCAAAAGTTTCTTGATCGATTTCATTCTCTAATACGGCAGGTAATTTATTAGAGCTTAATGATTTGTATTGACGGTAAGAAATGTATGTTTCAAATAGGAATTGACCTGCTGAAAATCCAATGATAATATTTTTCCAAGGAATATTGGGACTATCACAAATAGTTTGTAAAGTTTCAAAGACAGTCATTGTAAAAAAAAAATTACACGAATGGTGTATATTACAGATGATTGTATGCTTAATTTAATGTAGAGATATTCAAACAAACAATAAAAATCGAATTGGCAAAACTACAAAACACTATATATATATATTTAAGATGCTCTAACTGTGTGTCTATCTCGTTAGTAGATATTACAACTTAAAGAAAAAGAGAAGTGAAAACGATAATTTCAGAGAACCACGTAAGCGAGAACAAATATCACGTCTTGTCTAAACGTGTAACCATCCATCGCCCAAACGTTAACAAAAACAAAAAGTTAAGCAAAAAAGGGCGGTCCTATTTTCTCTGCGGTTCTTTCTTCGATCATTACACGAAACACTAAATAAAGAATGATGTGAGTTAAAGGGTGTCTGTCTGACACACAAACATGAATAAAATAACAAAATGATATACGTTCATGCGTTTGTTCGTTAGACATATACCATTAGTTAAATATGTAAATAAAATATGTAAAAAATTTATAATTTACTGTCTCTTGGCAGTTGAAGCAGGTTTTGAAGCCAGTTTCTTTGCGATCTTAACCATTTTATAAAACCATACAATATTTAAAGTTGTCAATATAAGGTTTAATGCAATTAAACCAATAGATCTATAGGTTGGTACTATATCCCATTCTTTAATAAACTGTCTAAACAAAATAAAATTTGCGGTACTACCCCAGATTATTCTTACTACGAAAAATACAGTCATTAGACATAATCCATTAATAAGATTTAGTGTAGTTGGTACAGCAGTCTTAACTGTCATATCTTTTCCTGATGTTAACTGAATAATATACCAATTAATATTTACAAATGGAGTACTAGCTTCATAAAGTAAATATTTACCAATCCAAGGTTGACAACAAGGTCTTAAAGAAATTAACATCACATAGAGAGATCCAATAGCATGAGCGAAAAATTCCAAACCATATAATTTATAATTCTTAATGCAAATAGTCAAATCCCAAAGGAAGTAACCACAACTTAATGCAGCAACCATTGATGATTGATGATCCCAATATGTAGCAATACTTGTGTTTAAAGGAATGGTTAAAGTAGGCCATAATATATATAGGGATATAAATGCTTGAACCATAGACACTGTGTGAATATCAAAATCATCTTTTAAATTAGGATTAGTGATAGATTTATAGGATTTACCAAATATAATCCGATTCACTACGGGAGCTATAAATTTATGAATGAAAAAATAGAATATCATACTATACACAATCTCATGTAAATGAGACAAGTATAGAGACTGGGACTCCGGAAACCATGAGTACTTAAATAATGGGTCCAATCGTTCCATATTGTATGCCTGCATAAAAGAGATGCTATATTTGTTTTTTCATAATAAGGCAAGAAAAAGTTCTAACAAGAACGTTTTAAACACCTTTTTTTTTCTTTCTCTGTCTCTCTCACCTTATATATATATATGCATGTATGTATATATGTCATATGATGACTTTGGTCGAAGTTGAGAGACTATTTGTTGTGTTCAAAAAGATTATATAATACCGGCAAGTGAAATTATTTCGTTGGGCGCGTGAATTTGTACCTGTGTCTCTCACCCTGGTTTGGGGGTTCTTCTGCGCTGGTATCTGTACAGATCAACTTTGTTGAGTTAAGAGCTCTCTTTCTATCTCTCTCTCTATATATATATATGTATATGTATCATAGAGGTAAAATTGTTTTAATAGTAAACGGGATGATCCATATGACTACTATTATCACTATTGCAGGTACCGCCACCCCCCCCGTACCAACATTTAGTTTCATCACTCAACGTCTATCAGTTGAAGAGTTAGTGTTACACACTAACAATTCGATCACACAATTCAATCATTTCTCTGCGGCAGTTGAATGACGCAGCGTCAGCTGAAATTTCGGCTGAAAATTTTTATTTTTTCTTGCTTTCTCGATGGCCCAAAGAAAGAAAGAACGACCAACTTGATAAACTGTGGGAAACATAGGGATCAGAATGAATGAGTAGTTTGGAAACTAGACTCTAAACATATGGATATGCTTCCTGCCTTTGTTTTGCTCTATATATATTATTAATACGAAACAAGTTTGTATTTTTTAGTTCGCTTTCTTTTATATGAAAGTACATGTTTGGTAAGTATCTCTCTTATACAACCTATTCAACCCTACTTAGGCCATTTTCACTCTCATCAATTCATAAAAAATTTATAATGTCCCCAACTCTGATTTGTCTAGGTAACCCTTTGCTTGATTTACAAGTCGATACTACTCCAGAATATTTAGCTAAATACTCTTTGAAGTCTAACGATGCTATCCTTGTTGAGGCCGCTACCAACGACCCAAAGATGGCTATCTTTAACGAAGTCGCTAATATGCCAGAAGTCAAATTTGTCGCTGGTGGTGCTGCTCAAAACTCAGCTAGAGGTGCTGCTTATATCTTAGGTGCTAATGAAGTCGGATATTTCGGTTCTGTAGGTAATGATCAATTCTCTGCCAAGTTAGCTGAAGAGAACGCTGCCGCAGGTGTTGTCTCTTTATATCAAGTTCAACAAGATATTGGTACTGGTAAATGTGCTGCTTTAATTACAGGTCATGACAGATCTTTAGTAACAGATTTAGGTGCTGCTAACCATTTCACTCCAGAACATTTGGAAAAACATTGGGATCAAGTTGAAGCTGCCAAATTGTTTTACATTGGTGGGTTCCATTTGACTGTATCTCCTGCTGCTATCGTTAAGTTAGGTAAGCACGCTAAGGAAACCGGCAAACCATTTGTTATGAATTTAAGTGCTCCATTTATCCCACAATTCTTCAAAGATGCTTTGAAAGAGTGTCTACCATACGCTACTATTGTTATCGCCAATGAATCTGAAGCTGCCGCATATGCTGAATCCTTCGGTTTAACTTGTGAGACTACTGATTTAGAATCTATTGCTAAACAAATTGTTGGTGATGATGCTAACAAGACCGTCATCTTTACTCATGGTTTAGAACCAACTGTAGTCACCACCGCCACTGGTTCTACTTCTTATGAAGTTCATCCTTTGGAAAAATCCAAGATTGTAGATACTAATGGTGCGGGTGATGCTTTCGCTGGTGGTTTCATGGCCGGTCTAGCACAAGGTAAAGCATTAGAAACCTGTGTCGATATGGGTCAATGGTTAGCCTCTTTATCAATCCAAGAAGTAGGTGCTTCATACCCAAAGGAAAAGTTTACCTACACTAAGGCCTAAATAAAAGAAAGAATGTAAGATAAACCGAAGAGATAGTTTCACTTCATGCTGAATTCTTGTTCGTACAGTATATATTTTTGTTATTTTTTTACAACTACATATCTGCCTTACAAAAAGAGGTTCATATATATTCTGCCACTACAATGAAATAATATGGAAAAACAAAACAGAATCCAATGCGATGACGGAAACTGGGATCACTGAAACCTATTGGTGATACCCATTTCCTTGACAGTATACGCCCTCATCACTGATCTATTTTTGGTCGAACTCGAGGGCTTATATTGCTGTTTGTAAATCGATCCGAATCTTAAATTTTTTGTTTGGCCAAATTATCCGAATTTTGCTTATTTAATACCGAATTTACCCCTCTCCGCGTCATCACCACCACTTTCCTACATTAATTTCAAGCTCTCCCCATGGAACTTACACAGAGGCGACAAAGGGAAAATGGATATTAGAGTATCTATTTGCACCATAAAGGTCATGGAAGAGGGTACGTACAAGAACCTTCAGCGGAGTGCATGGTACTATAACAAATATAGCTTACTACGACTATCTCTGATCAGATTTATATATATATATATATATATATATATATCAATCATTTAACGAGGTTTTCTTCTTTATACTTTGAAGAGAAACCGAAAGCGTCAATAGCTATAACAAAAATTAATAGCAGCACCACGGTTTTTACTGATATTAAGATAGTAAGGGTACATTTATGTAATAAGTGAACAAGTTAATAAATCAGAATTATTTTCATTCTAAATATTCCATTGAAATTTACACTTTTCAAGTTTGTTGTTTTTGCTGTTTTTATCTGGCTAAGCTATAAAAGTAATACAATAATATTAAAAAAAATGAGTAGGATAGAATGGTTGCTTAAATTGGCTCACCCCGCCATGTTATATACAAATGCACATTTGTCGCTCAGTTTCATATCACCAAGTATTGTCCATGTGATTGTCTGTTTTGTGCTGTTAGGGATATGTGCTTCAGATTATCTGTGTCCTAATGTTGCAGCCATCGCAGATTCAAGTTATGCAGATAAATATATGACGAAGAATCAGATACGAAATACAGGTGCTCTAATGGCCGTCCTATTATCATGGTGTAATAGTTCACCGGATTTATTTTCTAACCTGGTCAGTTGGACTACTTCTTCTTCCCCTAATGCAGCAGCATTATCTATCGGTGAAGTATTAGGGGCATGCGGGATCATCCTCTGTGTAGTGGAAGGTTCAATATTTATTATAATGTCCTCGACTACTATTTATATAACCTCTAATCAAAGAAACAGCATTTTGAAGGATTTATCATTTACAGCATTTGCTATGTTAATTATGACCTATATTGCAATTCAAAATAAAGTTACTGTATTAAATTGCATGTTAATGATGAGCGTCTATGCCTTCTACATTACAATAAAATTAACTCCGCATAAGCATCAGAATAATATCATAGCTGGCACAAGTAATTCAGGAGTAGGCGTACGAGATACTGAGGCCTCGGTACACGATGGTTTTAATGAAGATCTTGCGAATGAATTTTTGGATCAAGAATCATTATTAGCTGATGATGATCTTCAATCTTTTAAATCTACACATATGAGGCCAGGTATTAAACCCAGTCTTATATCAGCAATGGACTACAATAGTCTGTTGGGAATGTTAGAGAATTCATCGTCAATTCATAACGATAGATCTCATGAACAGGCAGAAATGGTATCCATGCAAGGAAGTAGTTTTATTCTGCCGTTTCAAGGAGGCAGTGATAATATTGGAAGTAATAAGAGACCAGCTTCAGAACCACCAGCTCATTTAACTATACCTTCTATAGAAATCAGTGGAACGGCTTCCTTAAATGCTTCTCCTATTGATTTTCATCCATATTCTGATAATCCTGACAGTGAGTTAGAGTCTGAAGTTCATTCTATGACACCAAATAATACAAACGTTACAAAATTATTATTAAGAAGCAAAAGATATAGAAATTTGACGCTGAAGCTACTTGCACCACATTTAATCAACTATAAATCAAAATCAAAAGCTGATCGAATTTTATCTATATTGACTATACCATTTGTGTTAATATTACAAATTGCATGTCCTAAGAATTTAGATATTATGGAATATGACGAGATAAATTCAAAATATACGTTAGTAAGGTCACATATTGCCGTTTTCTTGGTTCAAGCAATTATTAGTCCATCAATAACTCTCATTGCTATTTCATGTTTAGCAAATTTTGAATTCGTTATTTTCTTATGGTTATTACCTGTTGGTGTTTCAATAATTATCATTACTTTGATTGCAATTTTTTACCAGAATGTGAAATTACATAATAGATTCTCATTATTTGAACAAACATCTATAGAGGCAGATGAAAAAACTAAGAAGCGTCGCGAGTTGGAAAGATTACACAACTCTATTCAATTAATATTCCTAACTATCGGTATTATAAATGCCATCCTCTTCATTTCCATGATTGCGAACTCTTTAATTGAGATGATGGAATTATATCAAGTTATTACTGGTATCTCTAAAGCTATTTTGGGTCTTACAATATTTGCATGGGGTAATTCTATTAGTGATTTAATATCTAACATAGCAATGTGTAGATTTTACTTAAAGGTACCTCACCAAGAAGATCTTGAGCATATTCAAGCAGTAGCTACAAAATTTTTCGTAATATCATGTACTTCCTGTTTAGGTGGTGTTATGTTAAATTCGATGGGTGGTGTGGGCTTTAGTGCATTTATCGCTATGGTGTTTGTACATGATCATTCAGGTCAATGGTGGTTTTTATTATCAAGGAACCTGGAAGAAACAGGATCAGAGATGCATTATAATGTGAAGTTCGTTGTTTCCTGTATTTTCATTTTGTTGCAAGTCATTTTTCTATTGACCATATTTGGAGGCCCAAAATATATTACTCAATGGACACATGATCATAGAAGAAGAATAGGTCTTGTGATGTGCGGTATATGGGGTGTAGCAACTGTATTTAATGTATTTATCGAGATATTTAGTTAACTTAAGATTTCAAGTATCCATTCTTTTTTTTTTTAAGGTTATTACGTATTTATTTTTTCTGACATCATTAGGCTTTTGTGGCAGACAGTAAATAGGCGGCAGTCAAAGACAGCGTAAAAATATAAATATCTTGTTTATAAACTAAATTAAAAATGAACTTACCAAAGTTCCGATATTATATCCTTATTAGATACGACATATATCGAAAGGGTTCAAGGAACTAATTTGAGTTTTTTGCGACATGTTTCCAATAATGTATTTGATTTTACTGCATATTATGATAGCCGTTACCAGTTCTGAACAAATTCATATTTGTGCCACAAGTATTGAAAGCTTGAATGACAAACATATAGGTTCCAAAATCAGCTTGGATAATAATGAAGATGATAGTATGATTTGGATGCCTGATAAAGTTTACAAAAAAATATTACACTATTCTAAAGTATGCGGCTTGACAAGTTGTATGAAATTAGGTGGAATCGTACAAGGCAAAAGACTTGACAAAGGAGGTTGTCCAAGTCATCTAAAGTTTTGTTATGACGAGGATATTAACCCCACGGCATCGGATACCACGATTGCTCTAGTTTTAGAGGCTGATAAAGGTGAACTTGGTTCGGGGTTTATTATGGTCGATCATAAATCTAGGGTCATTACAGTAGTATTCAGAAGTTCTACGACAACACAGGATTGGATAAGTGATTTTACAATTTTACCAATAGATTATGCTCCAGTATGTAGCAAAGAATATAAATTGGGCATTGATAGAGGAACTATTAAGGAGTGTCGAGATTGTAAGATGCATAGAGGATTTCACGTATTCTCCAAAACACTCAGTAGACATTTCCTGAAAAAGATTGAAGGAATACTTGAGGATTATCCAGATTTCCGTGTGATTGCCACAGGTCATTCGCTGGGTGCTGCTTTAGCGATCATGACTGGAATTGAACTGAAGCTTCGAGGATATGACCCATTGGTATTAACGTATGCTTCACCTAAAATTTTTAATACCGAAATGCAAGGATGGGTTAACGAATTGTTTGGCACGCATGAAATACATGAACAGATAATCGAAAAGGGAGAAATGTTCCTGAAGCAGGGATATTTTAGGGTTATTCATGACGATGATTATATACCTTTATTACCACCATTCTACCATACAGCAGGGATTGAAATAGTTATAGAAAAGAGGAATTTACCTCATGAACATCAGGATCTCTGCTATAACGGACCTGTAGAAAAAGCTAATATCATTACGCCAAGCATGCTTGGTGAAGATTATGTCGATCAACTCTTACATACTTATGAGCATAGATCATATTTCATTGATATGGGTGCGTGTGCAGGTTATTGATGAAAGTGATCCAAGTTATGTAATTACCTATAGTTGAGTAGTTATGTAATTACAACAAAAAAATACGCATGGCTCAGCATAACGAAATTTCATGTCGATTTTATTCTTTTGTCCTTTTATGGCCGGATTCATAAGGATGTCTCATTTGTTGGGTGGTACTGTTTTGAATTACATTGTCATCATGCATGGATCTTTTCCGGGGATAAATGAATGTAGAGTCGTTCTTTATAGGCTCCAATTTAGGGTAATGTTCTTGTAAACTTCTATAATACATTTCTTCTGTTTGTTGTTCGGTTGTATGTTGCCTATTTTTGTTTTGAGGATTTTGTTGATTGTTATCTAATTGTTCAAGATAATAATCTTCATAGGGATTTGTATTTTCTTGATTCATAATTGATAATTTGCTTCTTTATAGGATCCCGTAATGGTTTTGCAACACATAACTCTGCCATAAAGTTGTAATGCATAGCTTTGGTAATGATTTTATAATCTATAAGCTGTCAAAATATGTGCTTATTCGTTATTTTTCAGATCGTATAGTAAATAAACTCATCGCAAAGTTTTGAATACCGAGATTAAGTTGAAAAATAAACGTAAGATACAAAAGACGTAATCAAAAAAATATTATTATTATTCATTATTATTAAATTTCGTTATGAAACATTTTGTATTTAAATGTACGATTAATTTACAGAGTGATGATTTATGTTAAATATTTATATAAATATTGAGGTTGGTTACCTTTGTTCATTAGATGGCTTTGTAACCTAGGAACTCTTCCCATGAAAGGACTTCACTTGGGATTTTTTTATTGTCAGCCTTCAGTAGTTCGACCTTCTCACCAATCTTGGCATGAAGAGCCTTAGCAAACAATTGAGCAGTTTGTGGTTCGTTGAACAATGGAAGAGCAAAATCAATAGCTTGTCTTCTCATTTGGTAGTCTTGGTCATCAGTGTTTTCTGCTCTCTTAGAAGCAAGGTTGAAGACACATTTGATATCGTTATCCTCGAACAAAGCACGAATCTTCTTATTGTCATTCTTTGGGAAATCTAGAATTTCAACGGTGATATCCTTTTTAATGTATTTAGCCAAGTATTCCTTAGTTTTCTCATTTGGTGCAAAGAAGTGGAAACCTAAACCTTCAAGTTCATGAGCAACATTACCTAGGTGATCCTTTGACAAATCACCACCAAATAGGATACCGGATGGAGGCAAAGGAACCTTAAAGTTCATTGTACTTTGAATGGCAGTCCAGTAACTTTCTAGGTAATCTTTACCAAATGAAGCAACTTCACCAGTTGAAGCCATTTCAACACCTAGGAATGGATCAGCACCAGCTAATCTTGTGAAGGAAAATTGTGGAACCTTTGTAGCAACATAGTTGTACTGTCTGTCCATCATTAAGTCAACAGGTTCTGGAACCTTGTCACCACCTAGGAAAGCCTTGACAGCAACTTCAATGAAGTTGACACCTAGAACCTTAGAAACGAATGGGAAGGATCTGGAAGCTCTAATGTTACATTCGATGACCTTTAATGGTTTCTTACCATCTTTAATTATTTGCATGTTAAATGGACCAGTGATATTCCAAGCAATGGCAACTTTATCGGCAATGTCTTTCAATTCACGCTTAGTATCATTAGATAAGTGTTGTGGTGGTAGAATCAAAGAAGCATCACCTGAATGGATACCTGCATTTTCAATATGTTCAGAAATAGCATGGACCAAGACTTTACCCTTGTAAGCAACAGCATCGACATCAATTTCTTGAGCACCTTCAATGAATTTGGACATGACAACAGGGTGATCTGGAGAAATATCAGATGCTAATGAAAGTTTAACCTTTAATTCATCTACGTCGTTGACAACACTCATAGCGGCACCAGATAGAACATACGATGGTCTAATTAGGACTGGGAAGCCGACCTTCAAAGCAAATTTGTTAGCCTCTTCCATGGAAGACAATTCACTCCATTCTGGTTGATCGACTCTGATAGAATCCAAAATAGTAGAGAATTTATGTCTGTTTTCAGCCTTGTCGATATCCATTGGACTAGTACCAAGGATATTACAGCCATTTTCAAACAAGGAAAGAGCAATGTTTTGTGGTTGTTGACCACCGACTGAAATAATACAACCTTCGGATTGTTCAAGTTCGTAAATATCCATAACTCTCTCGAAGGATAATTCTTCGAAATATAATCTGTCAACTTCATCAAAATCTGTAGAGACAGTTTCTGGGTTATAATTTATCATGATAGTTTTCTTACCTTCTTTTCTTAAAGTATTAGCGGTGTTGACAGCACACCAATCGAATTCAACAGAAGAACCGATACGGTAAACACCAGAACCAAGAACTAACATACCATTTTCGTTAAATTCAACGTCACTCTTGACAGCATTGTAAGTGGTGTAAAGATAGTTGGTCATAGCTGGGAATTCAGCAGCTAATGTATCGATTCTCTTAACAAATGGTACAATACCATAAGATTTTCTTAATTTTCTAATATCAAGTTCGGATTGATTCAAATCTGAAGAAATAGACTTAACAATTTGTTTGTCTGAGAAACCTAATTTCTTAGCCTTAGTTAGTAATTCTTTAGTTAATTGATCCAAAGATGTAACATTAAATAGAGCCTTGTAAACTTCAACAATATTTTCACACTTGTAAAGGAACCATTTGTCAATCTTGGATAAATCGTGAATAGTATCAACAGAGTAACCTTCATGGATCATAGCTTGACCAATGGCAAGGACTCTTCTATCAGTTGGATTAGCTAAAGCGTTATCTAATTCTTCTTTTGTAGCAAACTCATCTGGAGAACCTTGGAAACCAAGCATAGATGGATCGATTTGTCTCAATGCTTTTTGGAAAGCTTCTTCGTAGTTTCTACCAATAGCCATAACTTCACCAACAGATTTCATTGATGAACCAATAGATCTATCAACATATTGAAACTTAGCAAGATCCCATTTTGGAATCTTAGCCACAATATAATCAAGGGAAGGTTCGAAATTAGCAACAGTAGTCTTTGTAATTGGATTTGGTAATTCTGGTAAAGTGTAACCAAGAGCAATCTTAGCTGCAGTATAGGCTAATGGATAACCTGTAGCCTTTGAAGCTAAAGCTGATGAACGGGATAAACGAGCGTTAACTTCGATGACTCTATAATCTAATCCATCTGGTTGTAAAGCGTATTGGACATTACATTCACCAATAACACCAAGATGTCTAATAATTTTAATGGCAGCAGATCTTAACATATGAAATTCTTCATCAGATAAAGTTTGAGAAGGAGCAAAAACAATAGAATCACCAGTATGAACACCTAATGGATCAAAATTTTCCATATTACAAACAGTAATACAATTGTTAGCTCTATCTCTAACGACTTCGTATTCAACTTCTTTCCAACCTTTTAAAGATTTTTCAACTAAGATTTGAGGTGCTAATGCTAAGGATTGAGATGCTAATTGTCTTAATTCATCTTCATTATTAGCAAACCCGGACCCAAGACCACCTAAAGCAAAAGCAGATCTAACAATAACTGGGTAACCAATTTTTTTGGCAGCATCTAAAGTAGTTTCAACAGTTTCACAAGCAACAGATTCAGCAATTGGAATATTAATTTGTTTTAGTGCAGTAGCGAATCTATCTCTATCTTCAGATGTAATTAAAGTAGAAATTGGTGTTCCAAGGACTTTAACGCCATATTTAGCTAAAATACCAGATTGATCAAGAGCAATACCACAATTTAAACCTGTTTGACCACCAAAGGTTAATAAAATGGCATCAGGGTGTTCACGTTCAATAATATAAGTGATATATTCTGGAGTAACAGGTAAATAATAAACTCTATCAGCTAAAGAATGAGAAGTTTGATTAGTTGCAATATTTGGATTAATTAAAATTGTTTTAATATTTGATTCTCTTAAAGCTTTAATAGCTTGAGAACCACTATAGTCGAATTCACCAGCTTGACCAATAGAAAGACCACCAGATCCAATTACAAGGACAGTATTGACACCTTGGACCAATTGTGGATTATAGTTTGGTGAGTTAAAACTCGAGATTGATGGTTCAGTTGATGTATAGATCGACATTAAAAAATCTCTCTTTTTCTTAATTATTCTTTTTTCCTTCTTGAAAATGTTATTAAATAAAAAATAATTTCAATTTATCAAATCGATTGGATTTTTACTTTATTCAAACTCACTTTATATATATATATATATGTATGAATAATAATATTTGAATGAAAGTTAATAAAAATTTGTTAATGATGTAATTAGTACGTAGATACTATCAACTTGACTCATCGCAAAAGACCAAGAACAGGGAAAAAGAAAAATATCAGTAATTAATTTTCAAAAAAAAAAAAAATTTTCACCGTTCAAATCTTTAAGCGTGTGACCTTACCAGATGAAGAAAAATATAGATATACACCCAGACACTCACGCACAGATAAAAACGCACTTAATAGATATTTCCACTTATGAAAAAAAAATCGCAGTAAGTAATTGTTTTTTTCGATGAGAGATCTATATCGTCACTATTCTGTCATTACTGTCGGCAGGAAATAAAAGAGCCGTGTCATTTGAAATTTAATAGTTAACTAAGTTAAAAAAAAAAGCATTTCTCGGAATAGTTAGTAAATGTTGATAAATATATATGCCTATAATACTATAATTTTAATAATTTGACAGTGAGTAAGATGTAAATGTACTTCGATCTTCTTAGTGACATGAGGTTGATCTTGCAATATTTCCATGTTTTTTCAAAAAGTAGTAATAATAATGGCTAAAAATTAAAAAAAAATACCGTAGAGTATGACTACAGGAGTCTTACCCTTCAAAACAAAAAAAAATAAAGTTATTTAGTAGTTGTTAATATATGAATATTAAATACTTACAAAATGTTAATAATAAACTTACTATGGTATATAAAAAATAATGATTAAAATGTTCGTTGTTTCATCAATCAAGTTACAAGAAAAAAACATAGTTCAATATATAGCCGCCAAGGGAAAAGAGAAAATGAAATTTAATGCCAAAGAATATATCCCCTTCCCCTTATATATATATTTAAATTTTGCCACCGGAGTGTTGCTATTATTCCTTCTTTCCGTTCACCCTGAACAATCTCAGTTTCTACGACCGGTACGCCGCGGCCCACTCCGAATACGGAAACACAGCCGCCAATGCCCACTCACTAAAAACTGTCATAGAACAAAAATTCAAATTGAATAGAGATAATCCACTTTAATGTGTTTAGAGAGAGGATATATATCCGTTTTCGGTATTAATTACCCTGCAAGAGAGAGACGGGCTAGGCTTTCTCAGTCAATTTTCCTATACGCACAAGCAATGAGTCAAACTCCGACAGCAAATTGAAAAGTAAAAAAAATAGCGAAATTTTAGGGAAACTACTTCATCTCTCTAAGAAGACAACGCAGAGACAAAACATAATATATATATACATACATATATACATTTCAGCTATTATTTAAACACCCATTCATTTCCTCTATAATTAGCGTTACGATGTGGTGGTGGTATGACTCTATAAATAAATCGAGTAATATAGTAATAATAATGGTACACGCCGCACGTACGTTGTGATGTCAAAGTCCCAATTATTATTCATAATCACACACACACACACTGTGCGTATCCTTTTTAACGCCTGTGATAGCTAATGAGGTATGTATTTTGCCCTTTTTATCTCATTCTTGTTTCTCTCCCATAGAATGTTGAAATCCCTTTTTTTTAAAACAAGACAGCATATTTGTTATATAAAAGGGAATACGTTGACTAATATTTGATTTTTAATCATATATATAGAGAGAGAAGTGTTATAAGGAAAAATAGAGATAATAATATATTAAATTTTTTTTATTTGTTTATCTGATTTCTTTAATAGATACTCAAATTATTTATTTATTTCCTCCTGCTGCTGCTACTACTACTACTACTATTACTACTATATACTTAAAAAATACTCTTTTTTTTTCTGTTTTTTTGATTAACCTCTAAACTTTATATTTATTCATATGGGCTTAATACTGCCTCAATATATTGATCCTCCCACGACTATTCGTGAAGTAGACTACAGATCAACATCCACAACGACAAGTACCATAAGTAGCACAAATTATCGTGAATTTAATCTACGACCTGAATGGTATTCACATTCTGAAGATATTTCAATTTCAAATGATTTAATTAATAGAAGAATTAAAAAATTTAAAACTTATGCTTGTAAAAAATGTAGAACACATTTATCATCTTCACAAGAAATTATGTCAAGAGACTATAGAGGTAAAACAGGTGATGCATATTTAATGGGAAATTTGGTTAATGTTGAGGAAGGTCAACAAGAAACAAGAGTAATGATGACAGGAGAATATTTAGTTTGTGATATTAATTGTCAATGGTGTCATCAGCTTATTGGTTGGAAATATCTTAAAAGTGATTCAGCTAGTCAAAAATATAAAGAAGGACGTTATATAATGGAATTAAAACCAATTTGTATATGTGATTGATAATTTAAAATAAATTATATATATANTATATATATATATATATATTATTATCGTGTGTGTGTGTTGTCTTTTAAAAATTTATATAGATACATATATATATCTAAGTTTTACTCTTTTTAAGGAAAAGGTCAATATTTTTTGCTTATGGCAATGTATATACTAAAGGGTTCGCAATCTTTTATTTTTATTTTCATTTTTTTTTTTAAACTACGTAGTGAATAAGGTAAGAAGAAAAAAATATTAAGGCTGGAAATAGGATGACATTTTTTTTTCTTTCATTTTAAAAGCACAGTATATATTGAACTGTTTGTTTATATATTATCAAGAAAGTGTAAATTCATTGACTTTTCATTCATCGATTGAAAGTGGTGGGTAGAAAATATTATGGAGTACCTAAAGATTACTAAGATTGAAAATGTGGTATTACATAAGAAAGGTATTCCAACTATTGGAACATTACATTTAACTACACATCATCTTATTTTTACATCACGAAATTTAACAAAAGAATTTTGGGTACCTTATCCATTAATTTTATCAATTTTTAAAAATCAAGGTTCAACTTTATTAACTCGTTATAAAGATTTAGATGAAATGATTCAATTCCAAGTATCACAATCTTTCACTAAGGATAAATTAACAAATCAAAGAAATTTAATTCAATGGTATACAATTAATGATATTTGGTCTTTAATTAATATTAAAATTATTTTAAAAGATTATACAATTTTTTCAATAGATTTCCCCATTATTGATAATATTGCTAATGATGTTTATGATTCTCTTTACAATCTAACATTGGGAGTATCATTCGATCAACTTTATGCATTTTTATATGTTTCAAATGAATCAGAATTAAAATTGAATGATAGTTCATATAAATTGTTCAATTTAAAAAATGAAATGATTAGACAAGGATTAAATATTGATTCTTCAAATTGTCAATGGAGATTCACCACAATAAATCAAGATTACAAAATATCAACAACTTATCCAAATCAACTCATTGTTCCAACTTCTATACCAGATTCATTAATTACACATTGTTCTAAATATCGTTCAAAGGGAAGATTCCCCACATTAGCATACTATTATAAACGTCATGGAAATTCAATAACAAGGTCAGCCCAACCCACACCAGGAATCACTAAACAACGATCAATTCAAGATGAAAAACTTATATCAACAATATTTGGATTATCAAATACTACTGATCAAAATTTGATTGTAGATGCAAGACCTTTAACAAATGCAATTGCCCAAGTCGCTTTGGGTGGTGGAACAGAATTAATGGAAAATTATAATTTTAATGATACAACAAAGAGATTGTTTTTAGGGATAGATAATATTCATATTATGTCAGATACAATAAATTCACTTATTGATAATTTCTTAATAGATTCAGATATTTTTACAGAACTCTCATTTAAGGGTAAATTAAATTATAAATTTCAAAATTGGATAAAATATATTAAATTGATATTAACTGCTGTTGATAAGTTATCAAAGGCAATGATCTTTAATGGTTCAAATATTTTGGTACATTGCTCGGATGGCTGGGATAGAACAGCTCAAATAATTTCATTGATTCAGATTTGTATTGATCCATATTTTAGAACATTTGAAGGTTTTATGATACTTGTAGAAAAGGATTGGGTTTCATTTGGACATAAATTTAGAGAAAGATCACATCATTTAAGCTCACCAGATTGTTTTCATGATAATACTACGGGATTATTTAATAACAAATTATCATTGAATGATAATCCTTTTACAAAGTTGAAAGCAAAAACATTAAATATATCCTCAAATATAAGTAATCCAATATTTGATACAGATGACGATTTAATTAAAGAATCAAAAAAATCAACTTTTACTAGATCAAAGCTAGCGCCAAGTTCAAGTAAATTTGCATCACCAATATTTCAACAATTCTTAGATTGCGTGTATCAATTGCAACAACAAAATCCAAATTTGTTTGAATTCAATGAAAGATTTCTAAGAAGGTTAGTTTATCATGTTTATTCTTGTCAATATGGAACATTTTTGTTTAATTCAGAGAAGGAATCAAAAGAATTTGAAGGAAACACACGAACAAGGTCAGTTTGGGATCATTTCAGATCTAAAAAGAATCTGTTTATAAACAAAGAGTACGATTGTTCGAAGATAGAAAACGAAGAAAATAATAAAGTAGAGAACATCGATTGGATTTCTCCGGATTTATCTAATGTTAAGTGGTGGTCACAATTATATGGCAGAAGACCTGATGAAATGAAAGTTAATGTAGAAGAAAAAAAATTCCAATTCGGATCACCTAAGGTTGGTAATGAGCTTCACACTAATGATATGCTACCGTCTGCAACGACAGGTACGTCTACAGGTATTATGGAATCCACACGAGAATTTTTATCCTTCTTCAGTCTCGACAGTTATAAAAATTACAATAATGATACAGCATAAAGAGAAGTTTACTTAAACTTTTTTTAAGTCCTAAATAAATGCATATATAAATGATAATGATAATGATAATAATATATTCACATAAGTAATTTTATAAAAATTAGAGTGTCCAAAGATTTGTTTTCACTAATAGGGTATTCTAGTTGGAGTTTTATTTCTATTATGATGATTCTCCTTCATGTAGTCCAAGAAACGTATAGCATCAGTTATGTACGACTATTTGATTGAGATTTATTCTTTGGAGGTAATAGCCCAATTATACCGTCTCTCCATTTAACATTACACCATTGAGAAACTAAAATTGATAATCTTCTAACTGCTTCGACCGTATCATAATCACAACCTACATTTAAAGCACCTTTTAGATGACCACGTAATTGCGGATTTACATCTTGCGGTACTAGAGATGATATTACTACCAAACTTGTTTCTTGTTTAGAAAGTATGGAATCAAAAGAAAACAGAGGACCATATACATGCATTAATGTAAAATACCAAAGATCTGGATAAGACGAATTTAAATTGTTGACGACTCTGTTACTTACTTTATTATAAATCATGTTCCATTGATCTAGCCCACGACGCATCACATTATTCACATTCTCTGTATGTCTCATCTGTTCACGTTCAGTAAAGATTTGAGGGCATGGATCCTCCCCACCCATTGCTGCATTCCAGGGATCTATATTACTAGCCTCTGGTAATAATGATTCTGGTGTGAATTCTTTTAACGTATGTAAACCGTTAATTGCTCTTGGCAACCCAGCTAGAGCACCGGTCTTCAATAAAGTCTCTCTAAATCGTGCAGACACCTGCCGTTGCAAGTCTGTGGGTTTCTCGTATATCTCATTTATCATACTCATCCTCTTTTCAGGTTGTTCTGATAATAATTCAATAGTTTTATATGCCAGAGTAACACGGTATTTGTATGAATTTTCATTACTTAAAAGCATTGCGTAATGATATAATTTAGGAATCTCCTGGGGTTGATTAGCAACACTGAATGTTGCTGCAGCTGTCAGATACCATATATCTTTCAACTTAGGGTTGAATTGGTACAATTGTAGCAGTCGCTGTGCGTTTAGAATATTGTTCATGTTTGTCCTTTTATTGTGATGATGGAAGAGGAAATAATCTTACTTGCTTAAGTAAACTCTCCACAGATCTAAGTTGCAAGAATATTATGTTTTGTTCTTTCCCGAAAAGAGAGTCGTATGCTAATTTCTATAATAAAAGTTTGAGTAATACCGTTGGAAATGTATAATATACTTCTAACTTTACTTGTAGTAACTCGTTCACATCTGAAATAATGAACGGCGAGATGCATGGAATCATAAAAGAATTGAGCGATGCGTCATCGCGAAATAGTTGAAATTTGCATGCAAGCCGTAGTAATAATAAATAGCTTAAAAAAACACAGCATTACGTAAAATAAACAAACAAATAGATGTGACAAAAAAAGTAAACAGACCAAGAGAAGGAAAGGAACCCATTTGTTTTTTAAGTTACTTTCTATTCTGATTTATATTCAACTCGAAACACTCACATATCATACACCATAATGGCAGAAAATACAGGTAGCAAAAGAGAGGGGGCCTCCACAGATGATGATCAGAAGATTAGATATCTTCGGTTAAATCAAGTCTTCAATAAAGCACTGTCACAATCGATTGCTAAATTCCAGAACTATGAAAAAGTTTCTGCATGTTTCCCAGAATATGCTTCAACACATTTAGGAAAGATTCATTTGGTGAATTGTGAAAAACAAGTCACTGAATTCTGGGCAGAGTTATGCCATCGAGAGTTCCAAGAGATTATGAAAGAGCGTAACGTAAAAGAAAAATTAGATGATTTGGATATACTCATAGCCCAAGCCAAGAAAAGATTACAAGAACAAAAGCAGGAGCATCACATAGAGGATACCAGTGATAAGAATACGTTGTCAATCGCAGAGCTATCCGTGGATGAAATAATACAATGTAATCTCCATACACAACGTAAAGATACATTAAAGGAATTGGACAAAAGGATTAACATTCTAGAGGAATCTAATCAAGATTTAGAAAATACACTTAAGGAGCTTGAGGGAGATTTAGGAGATGAGTACAAAAGTTTGAATGATTTGTATAACCAATATTTTGGCCAATTACAGAATAAGTCTCTTGATAAGACCTTAACACAAGGTCTTAACGATATGTTATTAGAATCAAGAGAATCTTAAGAAAAAGAATAATAATAATAATAATAATGTCATAGTTTTCACGTATAGTCATATTGTTACATCGGTTTTCGTTGCTAGTGTTATAAACGTGTATACAGGTATAGTGTTCGTATATATGTGTATAGAATTACGATTACTCCACATATTCTTCATAAAAAAATTTCATAGCATTCACTGATATCTCTTCTAGATGGTCACATCGTCCTCATTCGCATCATTAGATTCAATTTGTTCAAATGGTTCTTCAGATACTTCGGCTGGAACTTCCACATAATCAGATGATTTCGTGTCAGCAACAGGAGTATTTACGATATCTTCAACCTCCGTTGGTGTGGGAATGATTTCTTCAACTGTGTCTTGGAATTCGTCTGGATCATTATCAGTTTCTGTACTCTCTTGTTTTTCAATTGGTAAAGGATTTTCAATAACTTGTTCGGCAGGAACGTCCGGAATTTTTTCAGTAGTGGCATCGTTTGCTCCAAGAGAAGATACATTATTCTCGAGATTTAAGTTAATATGGTCAATCTTTTCTGAAAGTATAGCTGAGTCATCCTGGTTATTTGCGTTCGCAACTTCGTTTTTCAGAGTCAACCTATCGTTAGAATCAAGGTCGTTCAATTTTGTCTTGTACGCACTTTCTTTCTCCTTCAATAGTTGCTCGAAGTGCTTAATCTTTTCACTATGTTTTTCTAACTCCTTATACTTTTTCTCTAATTTTTCATGTTGATCTTTGACAACGTTTTCATAGTTATCTAATTCTTTCTTCTTATTTAAGTAAAGATTAATCCTCGTATCCAAAGCATCAATTTCCTTTTGAATGTTGTCAGCAGTAATTCTATTCGAGTCCAGTTCTTTAGTTGTTCCATCAACGGAAATCATAACGTCTCTAACTTCATCTTGTTTTAAAGCTAATTGGGAGTTTACTGATGCCGTCATTGATTGCAAATTAACGATTTCTGACTTCATTTGTTCATGTTTAGTAGATGACTCTTGCAGAGTTGCATGTAACTCATCCAATCTTGCCTCACTGGCGTGATAATTACCTTCTGCTGTGGTTAATTCCTGTTCCAATGATGAAATATTTTTATTCGTCTCCTCAATTTGAGCCTCTAATTCGGTTGTTTTGGTAGTCGATTCTTCAATACCTAAGGTGATTACTCCCAATTTTTCAGTTAATTCCGCTTCTTTGGCTTTCAATGGTTCCAATTCTTGGCCTTTATTGACCTCTAATTTATAGGATTCTGATAATTCAGACTCTGCAGATGTCATTTTGTTTTCCAAATTTTTTATATTGGCTTGAGTCTCTAAAATTTCTTTTTGATTCGTAGATGGGAATTGGTTAACACTTTGCTTCCTAATGGCCTCTTGGATGGGAGCACCAGGTGGAACGTGAGAAGAATTGATTTTTGGAGAAGGCATCTCCGGAGTTTGGAACTGGCCTATACTTTTGTTTGTTTGAGGGGTTTGGATTTGAGATGGTTGAGGATTAGTGTTAGTGGATGTTCTTGAACGAATAGATTGATTGTCAAATTGGGAAGGTTGTCTCTGTAAAGAATCTAATAGTTGAGGAGGAATTTCTTGTGGTAAAGTTGTTCTTGCTTTAACTTTTTTAATTAAGAACATTGCAATGACAAATTCATTTTTAGTTAAAGCACTTTTCTTGTCCATATCAGCTAATTCCCATACATCAGCCAAATCTTCCTTACTTAGAGATGATTTTGTTAGAACAGGTACTAAAATATCTGGAGTTAAAATTTCCGAATTAGAAGTGTTTAAGGTATCAAACATTTTTTCTAATTGTCCCTTCAATTGAGGTGAAACGGTCCAATCATCTGGTGAGCCATTGAACGCTGCAAATACATCATTATTAAGAGTTGATGCACGATGTGGTGGTGGCTTTGGTGCAGAGTTACCGGAACTAATAACACTATTTCGATTGACATTTTGTTGTGGAGCAGCCATTGCTTGAGAAGAAGTTGGTGGTTTGGGTGGAGCTGTCTTTATGGAACCAAGATTTACAGAATCCCAAACTTCTTCAGATAACTTTCTTGGTAATGGATCCATTGAACCATGCTTTGATAGACGTAAATCAATTAAGTGCATTGCCATTATGAATTCTTCTTTAGTTAAATAACCTTTTGTTCCATTATCACATAAGTACCAAATTGCTCCTAAGACTTTATTTGATAATTTTGCCTTAACAAAGATTTGTTTAGCATCGTTACCAGATAGGACATTATCTGGGCCTTTACATGCTCTATCAAATAATTGAGAAAATTTCGACAGATCATTTGGAGTCAATGGAGGCATCTCTACGGACTGAGCAGGATCTGATATAATATTATCGTTATTCATATTTTTTGTTGTTGATGATGTTGACTGATGATGGTGGTGAGTAATGATATCCGGGGATAGGGCAGGAGTACTGGTGATTGTAGTGTTAGCTTCTTTAGAAAGTATAATCTTTGGGGAAGGTACTTCGAATAAATTAGTATCAATCGGGACTAGGGGATAATGTTGTTTCTTTCCTATAGCTCTTAATAACGCAGCAAACTGTTTAAAATCAAGTTGTTGAGTATGATGAGTATCTACAAGGTTCCAAATACTAATAATTGTCTCTGATGGTAATCCAGTCTTTGATAATAAAGCTTGTACCTGTACAAAATTTACGGTTGATTTATGTCTAATATCTAATGAATTAAACAATTGAGTAAATTCTGTAAGTTCTTCGTCTGTAAGTGGAGTTTTAAAGAAGATACCTGACATTTTTTTTATATATTGATATTGATATTGGAAAAAAATGGAGCTTGTTCAAGTATAACACCCAGGTAGTATAATTATCTGTTAAATGTAATGTCAAATTAGTTAGATGATGGGTGTCTTTGGATGAAAATTTAACTTATTCATTATTTTTCAATAGGGGCGGTTTGTCTGCATTTTTTTAGTTTCCGAATTTAGCTTTGACGTTTATACTCCGCGGGTGGTGGAGGACGGAACATAGTGAGAGAAACGATAATACATAATTGAGTCGTATAGTTAAGATATATTACATAACAGTATTTACATGTTTTTTTTAATATATATATAGGTGATTGATTTGAATATGATAGAAATGAATGACTGAGCAAAAAAAAAATGATGATGCTAAGGAAATATTGGGTGAGGGGTGAGAGACATCAATAATTGTAATTATGTTGAATTATTTTAATTTAATATAAGATCTATGAGCGATAGCTGTTTTATGTATTTGATCTCTTCTATCAAAAGCTGATCCAAGTCCCTTTGATACAGCAACGATTTCTTCAGCTAGTCTTACAGCAAAGTCTGATGAAGCTCTATTTTTGGAAGCATCGATAACCCATTTCCAAGCAATTCTTGTTCTTTGTCTTTTACTTAGTGGTACAGGAATTATGGATGCTTTGGCAATACCTGTATTAAAAGTTTTCACAATCATCAATGGGGCTAATTCATCTAAAGAATTTTTCAATAATTCAATTGGATCTTTCCTCGTTTGTAAAAAGACAAGATATAAAGCTCTTGAAATAAATCTTTCAGCAATTTGTTTTTTACCATCACGCATAATAATATTTGTAATTTGTTGCAAAACCGGATCTTGCCTCTTTGGTAATGGCACACCTTTAAGAGATTCCCATTCATTTAGTTGTAATTCAGTTGGTTTAAACGTTTTTGAATTTATTTGATTTGATTCTTTTAATAAATCTAATTTACCTTTACCAGGTGGAGCTAAATCAAGTTCTGGATTAAATCCTGATTGTTTAAATTGTGAACGTAAATCTTGAATTGATTCTAGCCATTTATCGACTTCTTCATCTGTCATTGAACTAGTTTCTGAAGTAGATAACATTGATCTAGATTGATAATAACCATTTGTAATATTATTTAAAATAGGGTTTGGCTTTATAAATCCACCTAATACATTTGTACGTATATTCCTTGTCAAACAATATCTCAACATCCTTTTTTGTTTCTTTTGATCAATCCTGCAAAACAGTACAACAGAGTATTTTATATCTATTTTAGTTTTTTCCCTCTGAGTCCTTCAAAATGCTATTATTGTACACACCTTATGTTCTGTATTTTAACCTAAAATAGTCATTTGTTCCATGATGAAAATTTAATATCTAAAAAATATGTATACACATAATATATGTAGATAGAGCAAAAAGCAAAAAGCAGAAAAATACGCAGGCAGAAAAATGAATTGAGAGAATATAGAGGATATTACCCTGCTAAACCCCCCAGCACATCACATTATACGAACAACGGCACGTGCCCACGTCAGCATTCACCATCACTTGGTACGGCAGCCACAGCTCTGCCCCTCTCTCTCGGTAACAAAGTCTTCTTCCCCTTTTTTCCTGTTGTCTCTCGCCCGCCAATAACGGTCTGAAGAAAAATGCGCAAACCGCACACGCGCATATATTCGATGTATAGCTGGGCGTAACTGTGGCAGCAGTTCTAGAATTGCAAAATGTCTGTCGACACGTATGAAATGACTACGTTATTAGTAATCATACGGTACACAATACAATATGAATGAATATTAAATAATAAATTTCAACCGCCGTTTTTATCTTCATTTTATCGCGTGCAGTTTATACGTAGTGGGTAAGTGGTAGCAGTAGTCGCCTTGTCGTACAAATCGCATTTTGTCTCTTCAAGGGGTGGGAGATGGGATGCGATTGGGTGGGAAAGTTTATTAAGATATATAAAGGGAGAGGACTATGTATGTTAAATTGATGGATTGATTGAAATGTTCTTTTTCTAATACAATTTTATTGTTATTTAAGGAAGTCAGAACTACTCAATTATACTTGTATAAAGAGAATCATACATATATATATTCATCCAAAAAAAAAACTTTATAAAAAAAGCAAAATGGTTAAAGCTGTCGCTGTCTTAAGAGGTACTGCTGGTATTTCAGGTACTGTTTATTTTGAACAATCTGCTGAAGATCAACCAACAACAATTTCTTATGAAATTACTGGTAACTCTCCAAATGCTTTAAGAGGTTTCCATATTCATGAATTTGGTGATGTTACTAATGGTTGTGTTTCAGCTGGTCCACATTTTAATCCATTCAAAAAGACTCATGGTGCACCAACTGATGAAAATAGACATGTAGGTGATATGGGTAACGTTCAAACTGATGATAATGGTGTTGCTAAAGGTACTATTACTGATAACCTAATCAAACTATTAGGTCCAAATACTATTATTGGTAGATCTGTTGTTGTTCATGCAGGTCAAGATGATTTAGGTAAAGGTGGTAATGAAGAATCTTTAAAGACTGGTAATGCTGGTGGTAGACCAGCTTGTGGTGTTATTGGTTTCACTCATTAAATTCCATAAAGCTTCTCCCTCTCCCCCCCCCCCATATCATTATTAAATAATTAATTTTTAAACTTATATAATTGTTATCATATTATTATTTCATAACTTTATATTCCTGTTTTTTTATTTAATTATTGTTTGTCTTATTACTTTTATGTTCGTAGCTGTGTTTGTTTGTTTTTGCATTGCGTAATATTTACATTTTTATAGTACGTATTTTTGGAAAATATTCATTTGTATGTATATATAGACCTAAAAGATTAATCATATATCCATAGAATAAAAACAGACAAATAGAAAATATGAATTTCCCTCCAATATATTCGTTCCCACCTTTATATACAAGACAACCAAATGCTGTAATTAGAAATAAGCAAATTGATTCATGGATTGATATAATATTAAGTATATCAAAACAACAATCTTTATGGGAAATTGATTCTCAAGGTAAATTCATTCAAAGTGATATAAATATATTTGATAATAAAAATATTGATAGAATTGTTTCACCTTTATTTATTAAAGAAATTCTACAAAATATGATAAAGAATCAAAAATTAATATCAAAAGATGATGTTGGAAATTCTTCATCGTATTTTATTTTATGGAAAAATTTAGATTCCTGGGCTTCATTAATGTTAGAATGGTTTGAAACAACTAATAAATTAAATCAAGTGGTTACTATTTATGAATTAACGTCAGGTGATGAGAGTATAGATTGGGAATTTCATTCAATGCCTGATTCTCTTGTATCAAAATGTCTACGTTTATTAGTTAAAAGAGGTAGGGCAACTATATTAAAGGACGAATTTAATAAAGATATTGCAATTAAAGTAGTATGACACCTTTTTTTTATTTATTTAGTCAATTGAATAATAATTGTGCTTCGTATTTACATGGTATAGACATCTATATGTATATATATATATATATGTGAGTGTGTGTGTGTGATAAAATGATGTTATCTCTCTTTTTGTCTTTTTGATAGTGAGTTCTGGGCTTATTTGTATAAACGGTTATTTACAACATTCCAATTCAAATTATCCAGTATATTTTTAACATATTCAGATCTTTTACCGACACCATAATCCGATAAATATGCTTGGTCCCATAAATTAATACAAATTAATGGCATACTCCAATCTTTAATCTTTGTCTTACCTTGTCCCTTAAGTAAATCTTTCATTTTTTCTAAATGAGTGAATTCATTTAAATTTATTGGAACATTTAAATCAAATAATTGATTACGTGGGAAGTAATATGGTGTACCATTATTTTGTAAAAATAAATAATGAATCTCTTTATTTGAATTTTCAATTAAGAAAAACCAGCCTTGTCCAACAATTTTTTTATCAATTAATTTAACAATATCGGTCTTTAATTCTTCCCATTCCAAATCAAATGATTCCTGAATACGGCTTAATAAAAGTTTGGATGGTTGATTTGATTCATTCTCTTTCACTGGCATAATGTTCTCAATAAATAAATGATTATTATGAATTGCACTAGCTAAATTAAATATGTTACTTTGATATGATTTCTTTGCCGTATTTAACATAATATGGAACGGATAATATGATTCTAATGTACTACCAGCTGTAGCTAATGTAAGCTTATCACATAAATATTTTTGATAATCTGACCATACTGTATTGAAACCATTTGCTGAATAGATCTTTGGGATACCTGATTTACTTAATTCTTTAATATTTGTCAATTTCGGTACTGTATGAATAGACCGTCTTCCTAAAGTCCTACTCAACATCATCTTTTGAGATTAGTATGTTTCTTATTTGAATGACCCACTGATAATTTATTCGTTATTATTCAAATTATAAATCAAAATTTGAATATTCTAAACGTAACCATTTATATTAATATTTTATCCTCCTGTTTTTTGATGTATATGAATTTACCAAACTCCATGAACTGCTAAAGAGTGCTCAGATAGAGGGGGATCGAAATTTAGAAAAAAATATCAAATCATCACGTGATTTTCACGAAAAAAATTTAAAAAGATAATGAAAGCTATGAGATTCGAACTCATGCATCCGAAGATACCAGAACCTAAATCTGGCGCCTTAAACCACTCGGCCAAACTTCCATATTTTCTTGAAAAGTCCTCTCAAAACATATTATTTAACTATACTTAAATTTTAAATTTTAGGATCACATTTCCATTGTTTTGCTACATTCAATGTGATATCGTTTAACTAAATATAGTTCTGTTAGAATTTATGTACATTAGATAAGACATTTGTAATGATGAGAGTATTACTAATCATTTTAAGCCCCTAAGAGTGTTTATTATACAGACACAACAAACTGTTCATAACAACCATAATTTTAGATCTGGCCATACCAGATAACAAGCCACAGAGTATCATAAGATTACAACTCATACTTTAATGGGGTTTTAAACATATGATAATAGTGGTCCAAAACATATTAAATGATAATTATTTTTGTTTATTACTTCAATATTTTATAAGATGAAAGTCCAACAATTGTATTGAAATACGATAAGTGTAATCGTTTTGTAAGCAATAAATTCTGAAATTCTATGTCAGAAATTTGGTAATATAATAACACAGATTTTATACATCACTAACACAATGTAACATAATTTTGTATCGTCATGCCTGTAGTACTAACTTAAAATTATGTACCTTTTGTTTGCTTTAGTATCATTGCTAAAAACAGCTCTCATGTTCGTCAGTGTCTAGTTTGGTAATAAGATTACACTATTACATACCTTTAAAAATTCAGGAATTTGTACAAATGTCATTGAATATTTTGGGTATATGTGATTAAGTTGGTATAGAAAGTAAGAGGATCTGCATAAATGTGTATAATAAGTTGGTAAACAGAATAAGAAAAACGAAAATGGCCATTTAATAATAATCTGGAAAGTCCCCAAAAATAAATAGATTATTTGGCAGTCAAAGGACAAGATTTGTTAGACATTGATACTCATCCCTTTAAGGTAAGTCGTCATCATATATATTTCAACGCCTAAGCTCCAGTTGGTATCGTCACCGGGTGGGGTTTAAATGCATTATTTCTTTGGGCATTTAGGTTGCACGTTCTGTTTGTCAAAAATATTCAAACAGTCTTGTTCTTAGCGATTCTGATAAACCACACAAATACTATTTCACCATGTCCCAGACAGTACACAATAATTACACGATATTACGTCCCAACATGTACGAAGATCCCACAAAGAAAGACCGACGTTGAATAATACATTTTAGTATGCATATCCTTTAACTCATTCAAGATCAGTGGCCCAACATTAAATACACAAGGGACGAATTTTTTAATGTATTAACAATTTTATTTTTTACTCTAGCTCGAGTGTAAAAACTTAAGCCTAGAGACCAAGGACTTCATCTTCCACTCCGAAAGATTTGAGCAGTGAGTTATTGATAGCAAATTACTTTTTTATAGAAAGTGTCAAAATCATAGGAAGAGGCTGTTATCCTGAAGGCTTCGATATATCAAGAATATTGTTAGATATATTCGAGAGATGCCAAAATTGTATTTATATTGTTCCCTCCCCAATGGAGTTACCACTTTCAACATAAAAATATTTAAACAAAGATAAGCTTTCGAAATAGGTTCGCTATTTCTTGGCATGTTACAGTTAAAGCCTCATTTTAATATAAAAATAATGTGGCAAAATAACTGGGTATTTTTTGAATTTGTAGCAATTTAATACAAATACCTTTGGATATAAAGCCTATGTATGAGGCATATAATCCATATGTATAAGGGATATTAAACTTGTGTGTAACTCCTGTGCATCTCTCGCCGTTTAACAGTTTCTTCATTTTTGTTTTCAATATTTACTATTCTCGAAGGTCTAATAAATAAAACAAAGAAAATAAAAACAAAAAATTAAATCTCGATAGAAGATAGCTATTACGTAAAGACATAAGTGGTAAACCGCATAAGCAAGAAAAAAAAATTAAACACTAGTTATTTCAACAACTTCAAAGATTAAATTTTAATACAGAATTAAAGTATTAGGAAGATGAATACAAGTGCCATCAGATTAAGTGGTGTTAGAAGTTTATTAAGCAATCCAATATTGATATTGGAAAGGCAAATAGAGTTTGGGAATATAATATTCGGATTTGAACAAAACAATCGATATAGGATAAGTAATGTCAATAATGAAACTGTTGGTTGGGCAGTTGAGAGACAAAGATCTTTGGGGCAAATGATGATGCGACAATTGACGAAACTGCATCGTCCATTTGTCGTAGATCTATTTGACCAAAACGAGAATTACTTGTTTAAAATAGATAGAAAATTTTCATTTATTAATTCTAAACTTAAAGTTTGGTCAAATGATGAATATACTGATAATAGAACTGCTTCTGAGAGTATTTTAATTGGAGAAAGTGTTCAAAGTTGGCACTTATGGAGAAGAAGATATAATTTATTTGTTCAGGAATTTAAGAAAAGGCAATATACTGAAAAGATTGAGAGTGGTAATAATGGATCACGTATGTTAAATCAATTCGGTGCTATCGATGCACCATTTCTCTCATTTGAATTTCCACTGATGGACGAACAAAATAAAATTTTAGCCAGTGTTGACAGAAATTGGGTAGGTTTAGGCAGAGAATTCCTTACTGACACAGGGGTATATGTTGTCCGATTTGATGCAAAGAATAGTTTTAAAGGTGTGTATGATCCTAGTGTTCTAAGTGATCGTGTATTAAATCTTGATCAAAGAGCAATCCTATTGGCAAACGCAATTTCAATTGATTTCGATTATTTCTCTAGACATTCGAGGGGTCTTGGCAGCGGAGGATTCTTGCCATTCGGTGTATATGATGAATGAAGGAAAAGTTTTCATTCAGTCATAATTAAGGCCAATAAATATATTCCATTCACTTATAAATAGATAAAGTTAATTTTATTATTATTTTATATATATGACCGTACAAATATTTTAATCAAAAGATTGTGCAAAACCTATTAAAGAAAAATTTAATTTATCATTCTCATTCTCGACATTATTCATATAACTCAATATTCTCTCTCTTATAGACGGTTGTTCGATCAAGTCAACGTATTGTGAATCCTTATCAATATTTTGAACCTCTCCAAGGTAGAAGGGTGACTCATTCTTGGCTCTACCGTCTAATTCCCATAACTTTTGATCCTTTGAAACGAATGTTATAAAATGTAAATCAATCACTGCTTCAGGATCTGGATTTTCAGACGAACCTGAACCTTGCTCAAATTGTTGCTTATTTTCGTTCGTAAAATCAATAATAAATTGACTTAGTTTACCGTTCATATCATTATTATTCTGTTGACAGTATTTCAAAAGAATTGAATCAGATGTCAATAAATTTGGGTTGTTCGTCAAGGTATGTAGTAAAGCATATAATCCACATGCGTTCTTAAACGTTTGTTTCAACCAGATTGGTTTTGATGTGTCCCTAATCGGCAAATTGGAAGATTGTTTAGTGGTGACTTCAGCAGAAACATTCTTTTGAACAGGGAATAAAAGAATGATTGCTATGATTGGTCTCTCTAAAAAGGCTATTAAGTTTTCATCATCTATCGAATATATATCTATAAATTTAAAGCCAGGTGCAAGGCCTAGCGATTTTGCAAATTGAGTGAATACCGTAGGGTCCGATTCCAAAGGAATCACAGCTGTATTTTCTTGATTCATTTTAATATACTAATATTATCTTATTTAATGGGATCTTCTATTAAAGAGATGTTATATTAACTCCGAATTCCTAAGCTATTTATTTATATGTGCGTATGTTGAATGGGGGAATATTATGAAGTTTTAATTAAAGGATCCTAAATTTTTATGTACTTTCATTGCTTTATTTAATTAATTCGTTAAGCGCCGCGAAATGGGCTAAATAGAGGAAAAGAACAATAAATTTGATATCTATCAATATATAGTAAGTTATTTAGTAAATATTATTCAAAATATTATAATGTGTTGATTCAAAGAACCATGTTGAAACAGTGATAGCTAAGGAGGATGATATTTATTTTTTTTAAAATTTTGATGATTTTTTGAGTCGGTACTAATAATTTATGTTTTGTTGAAATTTTCCAATTAGAATGAAGACATGTCTCCAAGTAAACAAAAATGACAAAGTGATAATCTATAAAATTGAATTTATTTACAGTTATTGGCTTAAGTGCTACAAAACCCACTTCCAAACCAATACGAAATTACTACCCAAGTATTTTGCTTTTACAAATTAGCTAGGATGGCTCATAACTTCCACAGATATGTACAAAATCCTAACTTTTGCAACACCAGGTACGCAATTTCCACCACTCAACATCAACCTAGGCCACCTAGGACCATTGTTTGGTATCAAGATATAGTACTTTTATTATTGAAATTGATTCTTAACAAGGATATCCATATCTTTTGAATAAGAGACGCTATTTTAGAACAGCCGCCAAAGTCTCGTGAGTGTGAATCGTAACAAATGATCCTCTCGATCTTAACATGTGTGGGGGAGGAGAGGTTAGCGCGGGATTTTGAAAGAGCGCAAGGGAAACAAAACTTCTGGCTGGTCAAACTTTTAGGGGGCAGAAAAACAATAATTATGGAAAACGATTGACCGTGGGGAGCTGGGCTCCGCAACTGAACAGCCAGGCACTTTTATTCTTGTTTGCTACAGACATTTTACTCGAGGTAATGTTAATATTATCTAACGTTTATTAAGCAAGGGACATTGACTGACTATCTTATATGCTGTCCTCTCCCCCTCCCTCTCAGAGTAAATAGGAAAGTGAAAAAAGTTGAAAACAAGAAGTAAGCACACCAATAATAATATTAGGACTGAAGGAGATCCGAATGTTTTTAGCACATTCTTCCTAAATCCATTAAGGAGTGCATGAAAATGGAATGTCAAACTTAGTTTCTTTTTTTCTATCATTGCTTCGAAGAAAAAAATTACTGTTTATTACTAAGAATACTTCAAATTTTATTCTGTATTCGCTTGAGAAGACAGTCTGTCGACTATTTTTAAACTCTTTCCTTGACTACGATCATTACATCGCTGCAGGTCTATATATATAAACAGAATAGGTTTCCAACTTTATTAGACGTGATCAATCCTCATTTCTTTTTAGCTGAATTCAAATATTATATTTTTTATGTTAAACCTTGTTTGGGCTAAAGATACATAAGCTACAAATTAACAAACAAGGGCCTTTTTTTCAGGAATACATTAATACATAAACTGTTTGGACTAGCATGATTGTTAATGGCAAACCTCTAACTACTCGACAGGAAGGATATACCACTAACAACGGGAAATCATGTGCCGTGCATGGTTTTGATGTTTGTTGTAATAATCAGCAACCATCTGCATGTTTGACTAAATTAGAATGCAAGGATGAAGAAGAAGAAGGGGAGGAAGAGGATGAGAACGATTCTGAGCAAAGTGATAAGAGTACGAGCTCTTCAAGTTTAACCCAAAACGAGGATAATAAACATGTTCACTACAACAATATCATACGTACAAGAAGTAGACCCCTTTCAACAAATAATGCTAATGAATTGATTGGTGGGGCTAATCTTGAAACTCAACGTCCTGTGAGAAGATCTACAGGTAGCAGTATAACAAATGATCCTAGTATCAGTGATTCTGACGTTGAGTTCAACAAACCTAGATTTATAACAATTGAGGATCTTAATGACCTTGACACGAAAGAGATGAAAAATTATAAAAAATATAACAAAGATCATAAAATTTTCTCATTTTCCTTACCGTTCGGACAAAACAATAAGATTCGGAACAGTCAAATCTCGATGTTCAATCTGATCACTCCTATAACGGAGACTAATAAAAATATCACAGAAAATGACAACAATAGTAGTTCTGGAAGTCAAGTAAACATGAGTAATTCCGGTGATGATATCGAAAATAAAGGAACTTCGGCACCTCAACCTGCTTCTTTGAATAATGACTTAAATGACGTGACAGCTGCCTTAACTAGAAGCAAGACTGTGACAGTTTTGGAAGGTGAGACACCTGCTATCAAAAGCGAAATAAAACAGAAATTAGAAAGAACAAACTCAATCTCATCTTTGGAAGAATTAGAGTTATACAAAGATCAAACGGGGATTGAAAATGTCAGAAATAAAGCGATTAGAGAAAGTCTAGGTATTGATGCCGTAAGAAATCAAATCAAACAAATTACTATAAGTGATGCAACCAAAACACCAGATGGATATACTTATGGAAGACTATCCTCAATTTGGAATGAGGTAGATGGTGACTTTGTTATAATGGGTGGATATAGAGGATCTATTTTAAGAGATGCGAAAACACACAGACGTCTATGGGTCCCAATAAAAGCCGGATTAAACCTTACGAAGATTGATCTATATATTGGTCCAACAGAACAAGACGAAATAGAAACTCAAAAGCACATTATACCAGATGGGATGCTTACTCACATTGGTCCCATTGATATATCGAGAAAATTAATTAAAAAATTGGAGTCAAACCCTAAGGTCCACATCGAGACATTTGGTTATGATTGGAGGTTATCTCTTGAAATACCTTGCGAACAGTTGATTAAGAGACTTAAACAACTATGGGAGAAACAAAAGAAGGACCCTAAGTATAAAGGTAAACCAAAAGGTACTTATCTCCTTGCACATTCTATGGGTGGTCTTATTGCCCACAAGGTCCTTCAGGAACATCCCGAACTAATTAGAGGTATTGTATACATTGGGTCACCTAACCAATGTCCAAATATTCTTGGACCAATACGGTTCGGTGACTCGGTGATGTGGAATAAATCGATATTAAGTAGCGAATCAAATTTTTTCATGAGAAGCAGTCATTATTTCCTACCCTTGGATGGAAGATGTTTCATTAATAGAGAAACATACGAAAGATATGATTTCGACTTGTTCGATCCCCAAATTTGGAGATATCTTGGCTTATCACCTTTAGTTAGTCAAAAGCGGTTAGAGTATATCGAAAAAGAGAAAAAAAAACAGGAACGTGAACTCATCCGTCATCATCATGTAAAAAGTACCTCCAGAACCACATCGATGAGTTCGATCTTTTCACTAGACCCCCCTAACCCACTTGACGTTATAGAAACCGTCAATTCCAAAGTGAAAGATGTAGTCAGCAAGGTTCCCTTATTGAAAAAAGAGATCAAAAATGATCTTACTGATACTATGGAAGAAGTGCTTTTTGACTATAATTTCAAAACGTCTTATGAGGATTCCTATGATTATTTGGAACGTACTCTAACAAATGCTAAAAAATTTCTGAGCAGTTTGGATTATGATGATTCAAAGGATTATCCACCTTTAGTTACTGTCTATGGTAATAGAGTACCGACAGTACGTGGTTGCAAAGTGGAAGGTATTGCGGGTATCATTGATGGTGATTATGATGATTTCTATTATGGTGCAGGTGATGGTGTTGTTCACCATTCTTGGCTTTTACCTGGTGTTAGAGGATTTCCTGTTGTTGCCAAAATTGTAAGTGAAACAGGCCATGTTAGTTTAATGACCGATCTTTCAAGTATGGCAAAGGCCTTGATTTCATTACACGACGCAGACAAAAAGAGGGACCAGCTAAAGAAGAAATAAATATGTTTCACCATCAAATAATATATTGAAGTTCCAGCCATTCCTCATCTATTAATATTCCAAGAGCAATGATATTTTTATGCTTATTCATGATTTAAAAGTTTTCAATCACTAACGCATATTTATAAACGTACATAAAACTAATAATTAATAATAACATTTTCCAAGCATGTCTATAAAAAAAACATATATCACATATTTTACAGATTATCGGAAACTCTTAAAAATGCACACATAAACAAATCTATAAAGAAATCATCAAATGGAAAATTTCGTACTTTTCAATCTTGTTCTTCCTCATCAGCTGCAAAAAACTGAACTTTTAGCCATAAACTACATGAATCACATTGAATAAGGACTTGATACATTCCATCATCTCTATTCTCACAAACCACGGCAAATTCTTCAAGTAAATTATCGTCGAGTTTAAACCCATCCGCAACTTGGCATCTTGGACATTTTCTATAGTAATGCCATATATCTGATTCAGTACCATCATTATGTGTATGTTCGACAGTTTCAAAAGTATCCAATGAAACCTCATCAACCCCATCTCCGAATTTATATATACCTTTTCTTTTCCCATCTTCTAAAAGTTCCGTATCATATTGTTTCCTCAGTTTATCATCCCCTAGCACTCTATATGCTTCTTTAATGTCATCGAGACTATGTATCTTATTGATCTTATGTGTATTATTTGATTGAATCTTATCAGGATGTGTATTAAGTAGTAGTTCTTTATATGCCTGTTTTATTTCTAACAATGTACTTTGAGAAGTAACATTCAGTATTTCGTAGTGGGTTCTTCTTGATTTCATATTATATGATTCAATGCGATACAGTCATAAACAGGAGTGATATTATACCAGGTTTAAGGGTATATCGTAGCCTTTATGAATTATGTTACACTGAATCTAGGTTGCTTATAAATGTAAAAAAAAAATCAGAAATTCGATGAGCTTGAACTGAAAAATAAAAAAAACAGACATTTAAGGAAGCCCCAAGAGTGAAAACCCCGTACAAAGGAGAAGAAGAAGAGGAAGAAGAAAAAAATAATTACGTTGTATACATACCTACATATACCTAAATAAATATGGATAACTTTGAGATTGCTAGATGTAACTTCATGGCGCAGTTGTGCATTCCCAGTCTGTAGGTTCGTATGCTTCAGGATGATCTATTTCTACCATTTGTTCGTCGGTCAACTCAAAATCGTAAACGTCTAAATTCCCAGAGAGCCTACTAACTGTTTCTGTTTTTGGTAAAGGGATGTAACCATGTTGTAAGGACCATCTGATAAGTATCTGAGCGGGATTCTTCCCTGTTTCCTTTGATGTCCTCAGTAGACCTAAATCATTAATTTTGTAACCATGAGTCAAAGGAGCATATGCTTCAACAAATATACCGTTCTGTTTACAATAATCTGCTAATTCCTGCCTCATACACCAAGGAGAAATTTCAATTTGGTTGACAACTGGTGGATATTTTAAATCTAACCAAGATAACAAATCTGCAATATGTTGCTTACCAAAATTAGAAACACCGATATTTTTCACTATTCCTGAATCCACAGCTTCTTGCATTGCTCTCCAAGTTTCAAGTCTAATAGTTTTACCTCCAATCGGTGAGTGCATCAATAATAAATCGATATATCCAAGTGAATTAACAGCTCGCAAACAATCTAAGATAGCCTTCTTAGTATTTTCATAACCAAATTGTGAATTCCATAATTTTGTTGTGTAAAAAATTTCATCTCTTGAATGATCTGGATTTTTTAATAACCAATTAGCTATACCATCTCCAACTTCTTTTTCATTTTCATATAATACAGCAGTATCGAAATGTCTATATCCTCTTTCTAATGCAGCTTCAACTAATTCGGTTGTAGTTTCTTTGGGAATATTATAGCAACCTAATGCTACGGAGGGAATTGTATAACCTGTAGATAAAGTGTATTCTTTAGGAATTTGCATCATGTAGTGGGAAAAGAAGTAAATTTCTAATTACAATTTCTAATTGCTCAATGACTGTACATCAAAAATTTATGTACTTTATTGTTCAATTTCCAAAACAGAAAAGAGTGACTTTTTGTATCTAACACTAATCTCCTTATTATTATGTTCAATTTCCATTTTTTTTTTTTGATTTTTTCTATTTTCATACATCTCCTAAAAAAATCTACATGACGTCAAAAAAACAAAAAAACACCCTAGATAGTCTTCTTATTATAAAATAAAGAATGAATAGTTCGAATATTATTTCTATGTAAATATTTAATAGTTACCATTTATGTATATATATATATATATATATCTGTGTGACGGTGTTGATTTATCTATTTGAGAGCTTTTGGTTTTGGTGCGGAAGAAGAATTAAAGATTCCCATATTTTCTAAATGACCTCTTACCCATTCATATACAGTGAATGTAACAGCTTGACCTGGTGCGACTCTCATTACTCTTGGAGTGATACCTTTATATAAAGCACTAACACCTTCTTCTTTTAATAATTGAGTTCCAACTTTCATAATTTTTGCCCAACCTGAAGTTGATTTATCAGTAGAATGACTTTTATCCTTTTGTAATCTTGTTTTAATTGTATCTAATGGAGCATTTGAAAATGGTCCAATTGCACCAGAAATTAAACCAATACATGAAGTTTCCCAAGATGGTAAAACATCAGTTTGATGATATTTTTGTAAATATTCTTTTAATTTAGAATATACTGTAAAATTTGCACCTTGATTTGTTGCTTGTCTTGCTGCTGTTAATGAAACACCTCTATATAAAGTACCAAATCCTTCTTCTTTAATAATTGTATAACCTGCATGAATAGCATTTTTATATTTTACTTGTGAGACAGCTGTCTTGGTTGCAGTAGCAGTAGCAGTAGCAGTAGCAGTTGCAGTTGCGGCAGCAGAACCATTCATAGCTGGTGCAACTGCAGTTTGTAAAGTTTGAATAGTTGCAGGTGACGAATTAATTACAGCTTTTACTGGATCAGCTAAATGTTGAGCTTGTAATCTAATTTTTACAACTTCCATCGGATTAACGACAATAACAGCTTCAGTAATACCAGCACCAACACCTGCTAAAAATGTATTACCAGTTGAAACAACACCAGTATTTTTATCAGCTAAAAGAGTTCTATAAAATTCATATGATGAAAATCTAATTGCCATTTTTGGTATGATACCAATGACAACAGCACCTAAACCTTTATACAGTGCTAAAAACCCTTCTTGTGAATATATTGATTTACCTGTCTTAATAAAACCAGGTGGTTTAATTGAATTTCCTTGTGATATTGCCTTTTTATAAATTTGCATTCTAACTTTAATAGTATCTAATGGATGGCAACATAATGCTTCAAATAAACCTGCAGTACCACCTGCAATTAGATTAATAGCTGGGTTTGAAGATTTTTTCTTTTGAGACATGTTATAATATATGTATAGATAGATATCTTTATTTTGGGTAAATATAATAGTTATAGCAGTAAATAATTATAATAGTAAGAAAGAACAAAATTTACGAAATAAGGACAACCGAGAAATAAATTATATTATTGAAATATTTGTTCATTAAACTATTTATATATTCTTTAGAAAAAAAAAAATTAAGAGAATATAATTAATTACAACAAGACACTCAACGTTTAGTCATCAAGTGAAACTTTACTTTCTGAGAGTCAAAGTCTAGCTACCTTAGGAAAACTGGAATAATGGGTAAAACCCACTTTATAAAACCCATCCACAGTGTTTCAACTGTAAATAAACCACGCTCAAAATATCTATGTTAATGACATTTCTACTTATTTGTTTATTTCACCATCAACTTGACAAAAATATTCCTTTTTGAAGTCGTGATACTTCCTTTAATGGCGTGGGAGAGCGACCGGAATAAAGCCTCTCTCAACAAAACAAGCGCATTCAGATTTGTTTCTTCGTCATCAGTTCACAGATAGTCCTTAGTCATTGGCTGATTCTAATCTTCATGTTTGTTTGTGTTTTCGTCGCTTTTTTCTTAAATTTTAAACACCGTTGCGATTCATTCACAATTTGTGACGATAATAAATCTCTCTTTTCTGTGGTTCTCAACTCCCATTAGTCCGAGTGTGCATTACACACACATGTGGGGGGAGGGAGGGAAGGGAAATTCCATCGCAATAAATTGCCATTTTCGAACTTTTGTTAGCAATCCGCTGTAGCTAAAATAGAAAAAAAAAAGGGGACGTTACAATGATGATTATGATGGCACGGCGGAAACAAAGAAATAAACTTCGAATTTTAATTGGAGCCCGGTCGACCGAAAATCGGTGTTTTAAAAAATATTTTTTTTTTTCAAAATGAACGAGAAAAAAATAAATCCGAGAATTTCCCTGCACGTGATCTCGTGTCACATGACATGCATATGCACCCATACATTAATATATTCGTATATAAGTAATTGATTCTTTTTATAAAATATAAATGCTATTCATTACAATTATACTTTTGGCTAAATATATATATATATATTTATATATACATTTACGTATAGCTATAATATTATTATTTTAGTTAAAATGTGTTGTAAAGTTTGTTTGGAATGTATATCTTCTTTCTTGTTAGTTTCTATGCGCAAAGTTTTTATTCTTTTTATTTAAATTTAAAAAAAAGGATTAAACTTGTTTAAGCTTCAGCCATTTCTCTTAATCTTCTGATAGTAGATCTAACAGTGGCAGCAGCAGCAGTTGAAACAGTATAAGCACCACCTGCTACAGTTTTCTTACAAGAACCACAAGTCCAAATACCTGCAGCACCTCTTCTAACAGTTTTCTTACCACAGAAAGAACAATCGTATCTAGCATGTTGTTGAACTTCAAGTTTCTTAACTTGTCTTCTTAGAGATGAACCGTAACGAACACCATATTTACCTGTAATACCAACTTTCTTAGTTCTCTTAGCCCTATATTAAAAAAGTGAAACAAAATATATATATATATATACATATATTATGTTAATAACATATATATTTTTTTTTGTTTTCATTTTGTTAGTAAGAAGTTATTCAAATATATTCAACAAATCACCATAATTAAAAAAATGGATAAAACATTAATATTCTCTCTATCATTAGAAGTATTTTCATTGCATCTTGTATTTCATTCAACACTTATACAAAATCAATTGGAAACCATATAATCCTTTTTAAATCTATTAGCATTTTTGTCTTTGTTTAAATTCAATGTACATACATTTTTGCAATGTTTTGTCTATATATGTATTTATTTTATCTTTTAAAAAATAAATAACTAATAACAAGTAATAACAATATATGTATATATAAATATAAATGTAAATAACTTATACACCTTATTAACTTAAAAATTAATATATTAATGATAAATTCTACAAGCTTAGTTTAGTGATGATAATTCTTACTCTCTCGCTCTGCCTCATTACAATGTTACGTATTACAACATTGAATAATTATTATTCAGCTGAGCTTTCCCATCAGTTCAAACAAATGAAAAAAAAATAAAAATTGAAAGATTTTTTGAATTTTACGAGAGGGTAACATCTGTTGGATATTTTATTCTTCTCAGTTTTACAATTCTAAAACGGAAATATTTTAAAAAAAAAAATCAAATTATATTATTTTTTTGGAAAAAAAATAACAAATAGTTTTTATTCGATTTTACAATAAGTAATTATCACATGTATGGGTGTTCAGTCACAAAACAAATTTGAACTAAAGTGACGAAATAATTTATTCTGGCAAAGGCGGAATTAAAATCATGACATTATAGAAAATAAGAAAGAAAAATAAATAATCGGAGAAATTATTGATGTCATTTAGACCTGTCACCCCTAAAATAAATAAAATTACTGAATACAAATAACAAAGATACGGGAAAAAAATTATTTTACTACGTATGCAATTTTTTGTCTCATTGTATCTAAATTAATTTAATTACACCTATTTTAAATGATGTGGCTTTGTTTTTTTAATTAAATCGTTCAACAATTTTCATTTGGCAAACAACCATGTAATAAAAGGGTCTAGAAACGAAAATGCAGAAAACTTAATTTTACATTTTTGTTGGAGAAATTTTAACAAAGTTTAAAGTTATTTAATTTAATTTATATGCTTTTTATCGTCCCCCCTCCCCACAAATTGGCGTTTTACAAATTTGCGAAAAAAAAAGGTATACTTCATGTAAATTTATCAATCTTTTATAGGTAATCTCCATTTTGTCTTTTGTCATTATTAAATATGCATAATGGACCCTTAATTCTACTGTAGAAATAAACTTTTACTACATTTAATTCTCTTTCTCTCGATAAAATAGAACGCAAATTTGCATTCTTTTTTTTTTGTTCTGAGATTTAAAAGAAACTTCAAAATTCCGATTAATTTCAAAATCTCTATCTCATTGAAGGTTTAAGGGATAACTACCAATTAACATCATAATGATGATAAGTCAAATATATTTACAACTCGTTTTTATTTTTAATAGGGGAAGGAATTTATAGAAAGAAATTAGAATATATTAAATCTCCAATTAAATAAGGATAATCATAATACCTTTATTTTAATTTAATTTTTACTAAATTAGGACAGATTAGCAATATAACATAATTTCTAAATTAAATTTGTTAAATTGTGTTGGAGGTATGAACAAATTATTTTTTTTTTCTTGTTTTTCTCCAATAAACTAATTATAAACAGATCATCATTCAAATATATATATATATATAGAAGATCAATGAATAGGTTTTGTTTCTGTTCAATTGATTCGATATCCATATTCTAAAATTGTTTAGAACAAACCGAAAAAGGACAGACTTATTTCTTAAGGATAATTATCTTTTAAAGAAACTGTTTTCAATTCGATATAGAAATAGGCATTTTGAACTTCTTCATTAATATTATCTGAACTGTTAAAATTATGACAGATATATTTTCAGTTTCAAATTTTTCAACTTATCCAATTCCTTTTATTAAACCAGACTATCAAAATTTAATTAATGATGACTTATTATATCAATTTGACGAAGATATTGACAATATTCAATCTTGTCATTTATCAATGTATTTAAATAATAATAATGAACAAATTGATAGTAGAAATGATTTAGATATAAGCACAAATAATAATAAAAATATCTATGAAAATTATTCATCAATAGAAAATGAAAATTTAATAAATTATCATGATATTTTAAGTATTGCAATTGATGGTAAAAAACAATTTAATTATGAACATAATAATAACAACAATAATAATATTCATTTTAATTCATATGATACAAAGAGTTATATCTGTACCCCATCAAATCAAATTGATAAAAAAAATAAAAGTGATATTGAATCTCATTATATATATCATCAATTAGAAAATAATTCAAATTCATATAATAATTATAATTTCCCAAATAATATTCCATCAATTTCTTCTGATGAAGAAGAAGAAGAAGAAGAAGAAGCAGAAGCAGAAGCAGAAGATTTAGATATTTATAGTGACGTAATTCATACAATCCCAATTAGAACAAAATATCAAGTTCCAATACTGAATACAAAATGTATATATGAAGAATTTTTAAAAGATCACGATTCAATTTTAACTGATAATTCATGTCATTCTGTTCCAATTCATGAAAATATTACAAATGATTCAACTTTTAATAGTACAATTAATTATGACTTAGCTCGTTATGAATTTCCAATTAAAGAAATTACAAATTCATCAAAGAATACTCAATATTTATCAAATATTCCGAGACTTATTCCAGATTCATTTAATGAAAGTTCAATGACCGATAATAAATATGTTAGAAATATTCAAACATTGGAATATAAAAATCAAAATTTTCTTTATAATGCAATCGAGGATACAAGTACTAAATTAAGTGAAGATGAAATTTATAATAATAAAGCAGCATCAAATGGAACTGAATTTGAGTTTATTTGTAAATTACAAAAAAAACTTTATCGTTATTTCAGTAATGCTGATTATTTAGATAAAGTACGCTTCCAAGAAATTTCATATAGATTCAGTAAAACGTACTACTGATAGACCACCTAAAATTGCATTAATGAAAACACATGAACACACTCACACCCACACAAGGTAACTTACAACAACAACAATAATCGTAACGAAAATGAAATGATGAAGAGATCTCGTTATTAATGATTGCTAAAAGAGATAAGTAACAATGGCACATAGTTTTTATATTAAGAAAAATAAATATTTTAATATAGATCAAGAAGTCTTGCAATTGGAAACGTAGTTGTAGCAGAAAACAACAACAGACAGCTATCTACGATCCTTTTTTTAAATTGTCATTTTCGACTCATCATTTCTGCTAAACTACATCGTTAAGCTTCCCTGAATCATATAATATTAGGTTATGAACTACATATTCAGAGTATATAATAGTCAATTAATAGTCAATTACTTGATCTTCTTTTTCGATACTATGTCATATATACCAGACTTTATCATCTCCTGAGAGATCTGCGAAAACAAATTACCTGCTAATTGTAATATATTGAGATTGAACGAGTTCCAGATATATACTACTAAAATATTGAATCTTGATATGGTATGGCTCGATCGTGTTTAAGCTTCCGTTATTTCAATAATAAAATATCCGATATTGTATCACTGTGAACGATTTTAGCTTTAATGAATAATTTACAATAAGGGAGACGCTCATAGAAGAAAATGTAAATATATAGTAATTTATAAGAGTGAAAACAGTAACCTTTACATCCAAAATAAATAGAACAACAGATACCCTAAAGAAGAAACAATCATTATCATTGGTGACTAATTAAACAAGTACATTTAGTTGGAACCACACAGTAACATAAAGACAGATATTGTTATTTTATTTTTTTAACTAGTTACATTAATCTCTCCTAATCCAGATTAACAGGCAAAAAAAGAGTGTCACTATCATTTCTAAAAAGTTATCAGAAAATTACCACGTTATTTAGAAAAGATAATATAATTTTAAGTTATTGAACGTAGATACTTCAATTTTTAATAATACCACTACCATTCCAAATATATCTAAAACACTAGTATGAGTGAAGAAGATGAAGACGATAAGTTTCTATATGGATCTGACGAGGACCAATTAAATACAGAAAACAATAATGAAAAGAAAAGGACAAATGAAGAAATAATTGCATCTGAGAATTCTGATAACTCAAATAAAAAACAAAAAATAGAGACTTTTGATGCAAAGCTCTCAGAGACAACTAAGGCGGATAACACTGAGGACTTAGAATCTTCAGAAGATGAAAGCGACTTTGATGTAGAGATAATAGTGAGTAAAGGTAAAGATCCAACACGTCTGGATTCTGACTCCATTCTTGCATCATCGGCTGCCATAACGTCAACTGGGATTACAACGACGACGACGACGACGATAGCTACATCCTCAGCAACCACCAGTGATTCTATTAGTATTGCAACTGACTCAAATGCAAGAACTGAACAAGAGAAAGGGGGTTTATCAACAAGCACAGGTGAAAAAGAATTAGAAGAACAAGCAAAAGCATCTATAGATATGGCTCCTGGTTCATTGGATATAGACAAAGATGGGCTATACGATGGTGAACCAGTGACACAAATCGATCCCGAAGTTCTAAAAGAAAAACCATGGAGAAAGCCTGGTGCTGATGTAAGTGATTATTTCAATTATGGATTTAATGAATATACATGGATGGAATATCTAGATAGACAGGAGAAATGGAGAGAAGAATATAATCCAAGAAAAATACTAATGGGTCTACTTTCGTTGCAGCAACAAGGAAAACTAGATCCTACCCCAAGCAAAGATAACTCGCTCAACCAAAACACACTACCAAATATGCCAGATATGAATATGGCAATAAATAAAAATATGAATATGAATAGAAATGGAAATCCTCCTCAAATGATGAATCCATTTCCTATGTTTGGAGGGTTTCCTCCGTTTATGCCAGGTATGCTGCCTAATATGAACCCACAACAAGGTCAAAAGCAAGGTAACACTGCTAAACCTCAACAGTCTCAACAGGGACCACAACTTCAACAAACACAGAAGAAATAATAATAATAATAATAATGAAGTTATGAAAGGTGAATCTTCTATTATCCTTCTAATATAGCATATAGGACTTTATCCCGCCTGAATCTTACCTAATTTCGCACAGCATTTTAGACATATAAAAACGTATATTATATAGGTCAGATATTTATTCGTGAACAATATATATTGAATTTTTTTTTTATTTATTGTTACATTTTATTCAAATATTATATAACTATATATATGAATATTTATTATTGTCCAATTATTATAGATATGTGCCAAAATTATACCTTATTAGTTTTGTTCAGGATGTGGTATCGATAACTCTTTTTACCCATGGCTGGTGAACCACATTTAATGAAACACTTTCTTTTATCTTATTGTACCAGTCTCTAGTTTCAGTGACAGAGGTATCTGAATTGAAGGAAATAGTTTCTCCGTCCTGAAATATGATCTTGAAGCTCTCGCCGAACAAAACGAGATTCGTAAAATCTCTGTTTGTAGCCTTCTTAGATTGAAAATCATTGTTATCAATTACATCAATAGCACTTAACAAATTGATATCAATTTTAGCTTTCCTTGAAACTTCGTGATACCCTGTAAGGGTGTTTCCCTCTAATTTAAAATACCGTTTTTTAAGTAAACCTTGAAGATCCCCACCTTCTTGTAACAGGGGACCTTCCTTCTTAATACTGCGTTGTGTTTTTAATCTACCAACCATATCATGAACGAGATTTAGAGATTTTGGAAATCTTTCTAAACAGGATGACCTTTGGAGATAGCAAGTATCCAATGATATACTACCAATATTATAAGGCTTTCTTTTCAGTGGTTTCGAATCTGCTCCTAGATTTTGAGATGTCTGCTTTAAACGACCCCACCTATTTTCAAGATTAATAGCCACATCGTGATTTTCTTTAAATTTACAGGCGTTTAAAAATTTCTCATCTAAATGTATCTCTGCACAAGCAAATGAACCATCTGGTGCAAATATATAATCCCAAGCATCAGTTTGGAGTTTTTTCTGTTTGTATCTTTTTTCATATCTATAATCAGTTTTACCCAATCCATGATATCTTTTCCCTATTTTAACTTTTTCCATAACCTCATATAATTCGAATTGCGGCCTTGTGTAACGACATTTTAGAGTTAAATAAATAGTTTGATTGAGAGTTCTAATAGGGATCTCCAGTTCCTTTCCTAAATCTAAAAATTGGTCATTAGATAGAGCTGTCCAAGGTGTATTTACTACATTAATACCATTGTCAATCTCTAAAGAGAATTTGGGGTCATGTCTGGCCACATCAGAAAGTTCGACTTTAATCTTGTTTAAAAGGACGTACACTATACCATTATCTGGTGGATCATTTTGACTATTTTCAATTACGATGAACTGATCCGCCTCATCTTGACCATTTTTAATTTCAGCCTGCGTGCCCACTTCATTCTGGTCTTTTGGTTCAGATTTAAGAACTACAGGAGTACTTGGTTCATCTAATTCCTCTGAAAATTCTCGGTTTGTAAATTTTAAGTCAGTTAGAATAGGTTTTGTAAAGTTATCTTTCGTGTGCATGTTGGAGGTGAAAAAAGGGTTACCGCCGACTGCCCTAGTTGGAGATTCATTGGAAGAATCTGGTATTACCTTAAAAGGACTATCGATGTGGTTCCCAGTAGGATAAGCTTTACTTTCAGTCTCATTGAGTTTCGTTGGTGTTTCGAGTGCGTCTTTATAGATTGATTCGCCATTTATGGAACTGGCGTTATCATCAGAATCAACCTGGAAACTTTTAATACTAGATGCTTTTCCAACTATAACGTTTTTAATCTGAGATTTCATTATACCCTGTTCATCTTGTCCTATCATCTGCTCAATATTAAGCTTTTTATGAGGATCAGTATTTTCAGTTTTCATGCTACTCGGATGCAAAATATCCTTTTCTTTATTCCATATGTTAAGATGACCGTACGATGGTTCCTGAATTCTTTCGTCAATGGAGCAGTCATCTGTAGAAATTTGATTTAAAAGATACTCAAAATCAGTAGAAAAAGATTCCGCGATACAATCATCACCTATCAATGGATCTTTTTGTATGTTTGTCTTAGTCGATGATTCAGAATAATGAATCTTCGGTCTATGAACTAATATTGGCTTGAAGGAATATAGAGAGACATTTTGGGATATTGACTTTGGTGCCTCAACAGGCCTATTAGTGACAGAGAGCTTCCGCTCTGGCATATGAGATGATTCTTGTATATGCCATACATTTAAGTAATTAGTAGGTTTGTTAGGATCTTCTGATTTGGTAGAACCAAATGATGAATCTGCTTCCACGTCGAAAGGTGACTCCAAAAGAAGAGGCTCAAATCCAGGGACCTCAGGCAAAATAGTTTTTACAATTTCAGAGTCCTTTGAGATAGTACGGGCTGGTTCGGACGTTGACTTCTCGCTGTCACTATGAGTCGCATCTAGTAGAACTGGAGACAGATCTATATCCAAAGAATTATCTAATTGATTGATGGGGTGGCTTTCTTCATAACTAATATTATCTGGTTCTCTACATGTTATTAATGAACTTACATTATTTTTTCCATTATCATCTTCCAAATCGCTTTCCACATTATCGGCAATGTCGATATCAATTTCGGGAAGAGTTTCAATTAACGAACCGTCATCAAGAACATCGTTATCATCACCCTCAAAATTTTCAAGGGGCTGAACAGTTGAACTAATTTTTGGAGTTGGGGGTATTTCACTCAAATCTTCTCCGACCGAACTTTTACTGGATGATGTCACTGAAGACGGTTCATCAATAGTAATAATATGCGAAGCATCTGTACCTGTCGATGCCTGAGACGATTCTGATAATGCTATCATTTCATCTTCATCTTGTGAAATGGGCAATGTGCTAGTTGGTACATATGTGTCTTCAATTATTTTTTCAATTTTATCTTCAGTTTGTAAGATTTTTTGATTAGTGTACTCCATTAATTTTTCATTTTCTAGAGAGATCTTATAGACAGATTCACTTTCGTTAGCCGACGACGTGCTGTTGTCACATGAAGAACTTCCCTTTTCCAATTGAATCGACCCAATTGAAGGAAGTACACTCCCCATAAAAGTATTATTATTTAATTGGTTATTATCCGAGGTATTATTTTCTTCAAAATGATCAACCGTCGAAGATATATTTAGAGTATCAATTATATCTAACTCAGACGCATTATCTGGTTCGTCAATACATTGAACCATCGATGCAACATCACTTTGTTGTTCCAAAGCAGACTCGTAATCACCTATAGTGGTTGCCATACTAAATATTCTTGTGTTGAACTTTTTTGAGTAATTAATATTATCGTTTTCAAGATTTTCTGAACCTGTTAGAGGTCTCATTTCTGGGGTCGGAGGTATGCTTGGTGGTTGGGTGGCGAATAAGGATGATGTGGTTTGCTGTTCCTTCGTGATAATATCTTGTAGGTCATCGCCTTGATCTTCAAGTAGGCATCTATTGGACGAGTTGTCAACCATCTTATTTGTACCATAGTTGCTGGTGAATTGGTTTATACTGACTATGTTGCTCACAGGAATTTTGAATGGAGAATGTTGAACTAGGGGCGATTGTTCACCAACTTCATTTGAGACCCCATCAAAAGTACTATCCATATAGTCAGCATCTGAATTTGATACATAACGTGCGATACTATTTTGATCATCCGCCTGGGCACCATTGTATGGTAGTAATGGTTTTGTAGATCCTAACGAAAATCTCTTAGGTGCTGTCGGATTTGTTAGGATACCTGTGTCTGACTCAAGTTCATGCTCGATATCAGCCGCCTCTTCTTTTAACATATCTCTTAATCTTTCTGTACTTGAACTTGGACTTCTATTCATATATACCCTGTTTGCAGCACTGGCCAAAGTTGGTCCAGACATTATTTCCGTTGCTGTATTTTTCAAATCTGGAGTAACCAATGGGTCACTCTCTTTTGCAAGTAATTTAACCGGCGCAGCTAATTCATAATGATGAGTAGACTCTATATTTGTTGATGTATCGCTTGTGTCTTCTGGTGATTGACTTATGTCTACATGTTTTACAGAATCCATGGAACTACTACTGTTACTGCCAGGTAAATTCAATGGTTCTTCAGGGTCTGTCGCATTCATATCATTTCCACTAATATTGGGAATTTCTTTCTGCATTACCTCCTCATCTATATCTTGAATCAATAGATTCACTGTCGATTCAGAATCCATTGTCTAAGGAGTATGTCTATCTGTTTATTTTCTTCAAAAACACAAATCAAAAATATTATTTTATTTTGGTTTATGGCCCTTTATTATTATTGTTTTATTAGAAAGATGTAATCTTTAAGTTTCTAGTATATAGAATTAATTATAGTTAAACAATGGTCGTATGATGAAGAAGAATGTCGCTTTCAATTTATTTCAATTTGTTTAATAAAAATGTATTGGTTTCGAGAAATATAAAATGGGGTCCTTTGTTTACATTTAAGAACGAAGGGACGATGCGAAAATGCGAAATGTTAGACAAGGGCTGGCTAAGAACACGCCGCAGGGGAAGTCATAAAGAGTTTGTGCCATAACAAAGATTATTCAATTACATTGATGAGATATCCCATCACCTCGAGGAATAAAGATCATCATGTTTACTTTGGTTAGAACATAAACTCCTTAGACGGATGTAGATGTATTAATTTGTTATACTCACATATTTTGGTAAATATGTGTGACTATGTATGAATATGTAATGTATAAATGCTATATTTTCTATCTATTAATCCAAGTAAGAAAAAAGTAACAATAAGCAATTGATAAGTAATGCGTTTTTTTTGCTGATGCTCTTTTTAATCTTGAACATTAAACAAATCATTATCTAAATGAATTATCGTAAACCACATTACCATCTTTATTAACACTTACGCTAAACTCTAGATCATCATCTGTAGTCATATCCCATATCTTGTACAGCATCATTAAGGTAAAAACATTACAGAGACTTCCAAAGAATAATCCATCGATATAATGCTTGACCCCTTCACAAATTTGAGTGGAAAGAGCATAGACACATATTTGACCCATTACGAAGAAAAATACTCCCAACGCAATCGCACTTGTAACCCAAAAATTCCTAACAATGAAAAGTGATACTAACAATTGACAAATGGTGTAAATAAATAGTATGATACAATTCACGACATAAACTACTACAAACATACCAGTAGTATTGATATTAGCTACACCGTGATCTTCTATCCATGACTTGAAAGTTAAGATGGAGGCTAAGAAATTTGCAATAAATCCTAAAGCTGAGAAACCTCTCACCAATAACATTGATTTCATCGTACCATCTTCCCACAGATTAAAACCTAAAAACCCATTAATCAATAAAGTCCAACAACAGGAACCTGCCAAACCAATCTGTATGGCTACAAAATATGGGTACGATCCAGAACCTGGTGGAGAAACACCACAATCTACTACTAATGTGAATATTATTAACAATAAAGTTAATTGAAAAAAGTACTGATACTCGGATCGTCCAATGGCAGTATATTTTTGTCTAATGTTATAAATAATAATTAATATGACACCTAATGCTCCGATATTAATAAATGCATTTCCAACTCCAAATATGACCGTGTTGGCTAAATCAACAGATCTCGCATAACAACGAGGTAAAATACCTACATTTAAATGTTTTGGATCAAAATCATGAATTAGAGTAGAATTTGAAAGAATTAAATGTGTACTAGATTTGAGGATGGAACATAAAGGTAGTGGTGTTTTGGAACACACAGATGCAAAATTACTGACACCCATCACACGATATAAATTAAAAAATGTGTCAAAGTACCTTAGAACTAATTAGGAAACTTATGTTTCTAATATCTTTTTGTTATTACTATTAATATGTATACTCTGATAGACGATCACAAAAGTAGGGATGCTTATATTGTTATGAGTTAAAAATAGCCAAACTGTGATTGAAGAAAAAAAATGTAAACGCAAAGAATGAAAAAAAAAGAACCAAAGAAACTGCTTCTGTAATTCAGGAAACTAAGGGTCCAATATAATAGAGTAAAGTTATTAGTCTTAAAGGAGTTCGGTTCCAATTAATTAAAGCATAGAGAGTTCAAACTAAGCATACTTCTATATTATTGCTTTTAAAATTGTACTTTAATGCATCCTCATTGCATATGCTTTCGCCATACCTTCTTAGTATTTTTTTTTTTGAATCTATTACCAAGACGGGAAATTTTTGAGGCAGTTCGCGTATCCCTTTCCTTATACTGAATAATAATTAAAAATAATACAATCTACAAAACCTACTACAAAAAATATGTATTGTCAAAATTGTGACATAAGAAGACTATGAATTGATAAGAACTAAACGTTGGTCCCAGTTGTACTGTATATAAAACTTCTGTGAATTCAAACGTTTTTTTAACTATGAGACATTCGATTGAATTTGAGTTTTCTGAATATGTAATACATGATTAACATTATATTAGAATAAAACACGAAGTTTCGTAGAAACCAATTTGAACATTTCGAAGAATAACCAAACTTTATGAATATACTTTATATCTTACCATAGCCAATACCCAATTTTAAGTAATCTAAATATGTCGTCCATCTTTGTTAATGTAGGTGAGAATTTCCCTTTCATAGATTTTGAAATATATGCTATTTTCTTTTTGTGACTAATACGATATACACCCAGACATCTTCAGACACCCATGCATATTAGAAAAATAGAAAAAAACTTACCAAAAAAAAACTATTTTGAGAAATTTTGAAAAAAAACAATTCATGGACGCGAATATATAAAAAATAATATTCCAAAATACCAAGAAAGACGCGAAGCACAACTTGAAAATTTATCAATTACTGACTTAGAAACCGTTGTAGGTATGTAGGTCGATATGCAACCTGTAGTAAGTAAACGTCGCAGAAATCTATTCAACATACTGAGAAGCCTTTGTAAAATTAACCACTATGGAGTACTGAAATTTCATAACATATGTGACACACATATCCAGACTTTCAGAATATCCTCAATGAGTTAGACTAATAGTTTGGAAACTTGACCTAGTATCAGTTTTGCTAACTTTACACAACTTAGACACTATTGGTAAGTAATTCTTTCATACTGTGGATGTATATGTAAATAAGTGTAAAATTTTATTAAAAAAGGTCCCTTTCTTGTTGTTACATTATTATATATTAATTTTTACTTCCTAACAAAATTCGATATCTTTAATCAAACAGAACAACACATCACAATGGGTATGTTAAAGAATATAGTAATAAGATGAATAAAAGATGATTAATATTCCAATACATTTTTATGATGCAAATCCAAATAAAGATACCATAATTAATGAAATATTATAACACGAATCAAGATATATTGAGTTTATTATAAATTTCCTACATTATAATATATGAATACCTTAATCCAAGTAATCTCAAAAAAAAAAAATCGATATGAAGTCTAACATGACAAACGACAACAGCAAGATGGATCGAACCATGTTCGTCCTTACTCATGACTTTATAAATGAACCATTCCAATATCGGGTTTTCTTTAAGTCTTTTACTCATATTTTCCAAATTGAATGAAGTAACAAATTTTACTAACAAATTTTATTCTAATTTCATTATGAAATAAAACGAATATATTATTAATGCAGTTAACGTTCCAAAGACTAGAAAGACCTACTGTAAGGGTAAGACCTGTCGTAAGCACACCCAACACAAGGTTACTCAATACAAGGCTGGTAAGGCTTCTCTATTTGCCCAAGGTAAGAGACGTTATGACCGTAAGCAATCTGGTTTCGGTGGTCAAACCAAGCCTGTTTTCCACAAGAAAGCTAAGACTACCAAGAAGGTTGTTCTAAGATTGGAATGTGTTGCTTGTAAGACTAAGGCTCAATTAGTCCTAAAGAGATGTAAGCATTTCGAACTTGGTGGTGAAAGAAAGCAAAAGGGTGCTGCTCTACAATTCTGATTGGAAAAATATTATTAATAACTTTTATTATCCAACAGTTTTGTTTTTATATATAAATATATACATATTATGTCATCCTTCTTTTCAGATATAACACTAATCAAATTCATTACATACATTAATTGAAAAAAATAACTCGTTTTAGATTAATTAACTATTATTAAGCATTATGTTGTCACCTCTACAAAACCTAGAGCTGATCAGTTTCAAACTCAGAAAAAGATGTACCCACTGTAAGATGACATGCAACTTGACAAGATCTGTTTGAAAATGAGGCAGATCCTAACATAAAATGATATAAGCATTCTGCACTTCTACTAGAATAAATAAATAATCTACTAAAATTTATATAAAATGAAATGTTGATACTGCTGATTCCCAATGTCTCACTGAAATAATCAACATAAGGCGCCCAGCAACGTTCGTTCTCTCTACGCTAAAGTATACCGAAATAAACGAGGAAGATATTGAAGAGATGAATCTTCCCCTGAACAATTAAAGAAAAAAGTTCATTAAAATTAGTGATACATTTGCGATAATTATATGATGTTGGAGAACTTAAAAAAAAAAACCAAAAAGAAAAATAAGTTTTTAGAAAAAATAATTGCTTAGAAATATTGGACGTAACTGCTTGTCGAACCTCCTTTCCTTTTATACCTCAAAAAAATAAAAATAAAAAAAAAATAATCAAAATGTAAACTTTGCGCTGAAAGTGAAAAATAGATAGAAACTGCGCGTCAGCATTACGAAATTAACGATGAGACACACTTTCATATTTTATAAGTAGGGCATTTTTAATTATTTATTGTTCTAATGATACATATACTAAATAATTAGATTTTGCACAATAAGAGATACGAAGGAGATACAAGTTCTCACTTTTATAAAGGACACAATTTGTAAATATTTATTAATCTTAACATTAACCTACTTAAATTTGCTTCTTGATTTTTTTAGATTCATTATTAGACTTGGTGCATGGAGGAAACTTTTGATAAGATACATAAAAACTCCAAGCCAAAGATGTGATACAAACAAAAATGATAGATTTATATGGTTCAGCGACATCTAGGAAAGGATACGGATATTTTTGGCCGATAGATGGATCGATTAACAATGCTAAATACTTATAATATCCCGAACCTAATGCAGTAACTAAGAACCAAGCCTTTCTATTTGAAATAATAAATTTCTTACCTGTTCCAGACAAATAATGATCACATAATAAGAAAACACATGGGAAGAAATGAATTGCCAAATCCACAGAAATCGGAATTGGTGATTTACCACTTGAAACACCTTGCATAATAAGTTTCATTGCAAATAATCTCAAAGGCCAATATACAAGTGGAACAACAGTTTCTAAAACCAATGCAATTGGTAAAACAATATGTCTACTAATAAAATTGGAAAATTTTAACAAATTAATATTTAAATTAATCCTTTGAATAAAATAATTGGAAATGTTACAGACATTACTAATTAAAGTCGCAACAACAGAAATGTTTGTCAAAAATTGCTTATGACCAGCATCCCTTAATGAAGGGGGAAGTACTAAGGTAGTAGCATGAGATAAGCCCCAACATCCAACGGCTAAAGATAAAACATTCAGAAGTAAAGATCTGCAACTTGGCTTAATTGGGTTTTCATTAGTCGAATTCATCTCTTGTAATTTATTAATTTTTAACAGTCACGTAGTAAACTCAAAAAGGGGGAAGAAGGGTTAAGATGGTTTGTGGGGTATTTCTCACTTGAAAAATATTTTAATTAAACCTCTCAGAACTAATGGTTACAGTAGTATGATAAGAATGTTACCAATATTGGAAAAGAAATAAAGGGTGCTCTTCAATAATGATTAAAAACAGAATCCTTTCCTACTTAGACGTGAACATAATATCAATTTAATGCAAAGAACATATTGTTTGCTATATACATTATTGCTTTTTAGCTTTAAGCTCCGTTACTACGCGAGGAATCAAGTACTCCCTTTTTTATGACAGGGAATATCGTAAATCCCAATGTAAGGAAGGCACAAAATAATAGAACATTCCCTTAACAATTCGAAACGAAAGTGGCACATTAATTTCTTGTATTTCATGATTGTTGCTGAAGAATAGCCAGACCTTTACGAAACCATTTTTGGAAGGGCTCAGACAGATATAAGTCACCCTAAACCGTGTACTTTTCGCCAGAACAATATTTGAGATGACACTCTGCTCTTATTGAAGGATGCTAAACCCTTAAAGGGTCGCTAAACAAACCTCACATCGTCTTCTATTTTGTTGCGCTATTGGGGCACTCTACTGCCTGTAAAATTGTAGGGATTTGCAAAAACGAACCAAAGGAAAAGAAGTTTAATAATTGATAAAATGCTCTCTTTCCAAACATCTTTCTTGTATTTGCTACTCGTTCTTGGCATATATCTGTCTTCGTGGTCTTTCTAACTAAATATAGTAAAGTAATGTGAAATAACCAAAGACAAGTTGATAGTGGTAATATCTAAGCGTTCGAATTAGAATACGAAATAACAATCCTCACTCAATCAATATCGATTAAGCAGATATTTGAACTTGATTGTTCTTGGATTATATACATAAAATAAACCAATAATAGGCCAATACCCCTTACTATTATGATTATCAAGGGAATATCTCCTTTATAATTGAAGTTTTTCAAAGATTGAACAAATTATATTAAGGGTGAAACAACAACCATCATTACAATTTATAGTTAATGTTTGTTGTTCTTTGTATGTCATAAGGAATTACAAAATTAAGGAGTTCTTTTTTGTATAATTGTAAATCATTACATGGCCAGAAGACTGTACATTATTAAAAACTTTTCTTAACCCAATTGTATTTGGAATTGGGGGTGTCTAGAGTATATAAATGGAAAAGTTACAGATAGTAATTTCTTCTAAAAATATAATGTTACATTACACTTAGTTCCTCAATTAATATTATTTTCTTTCTTCTTTTTAATCCAATTCTTAAAATTGCATCTATTTTATAATAAATCACTATAAATTAGATAACTACTTAACAATGTCAATTATCTATCGTTTAATAACTGTGCTACTATTTTGGTCTGCAGCAACCAATGCCTCACCATTTTATCCATATGCTAAAAGACAAATAGATAACGCTACGTCTCCAACAAATGGAACTAGCTCCCCTACTAACGGTACTTCTGGGGGCTCTAATAACGGCAGCTCTAGTTCTACTTCATCTTCTGTTGAAATATTTGTTACCTCTGGTAACCTTCCTTCCAATGGATCGGCAAAGGCTTTATTCAATACTACAGGTACTTTAAATATTACTCAATTATACAAAGTTAGTGAAGCTGTCAACCAATCTCTACAGTCATCAAGTGGCGGCGGTATTGTCATCCTAGCTGACAAGAGCTCATTCGAATCATTATCTTTCTTCCTATCAATTGTTCTTAACACTGAAAAGGCTGTGGTTATCACAAACGACATTGAAATAGGTACAACTGTAGCAATGGATTCCAATTCAACAGGTCGTGGTGTATTATATGTTGGTAAGAGTAAAGTCATTTTTGCTGGTGACTTACCACCATTTGGTGTTCCAGTGGGTGTTGTCGGCGATAATCTCGAAGCTTATTGGTTTTATGATGAGCCTCAAAAGAGTGGGATGTTCTCCATGAACTCTACCCTAAGAACTACTTATAGTAACTTTACAAATCCAACTCTAAATTCAGAAGTTGCAGTACCAATTGTATACGAACAAGGTATTGCCTCAATTCTATCCTCTTCATTAGGTAATTCTTCTTCAATCGGTGGTTTGGTGATCGTTAGTGACAAGGTTGTATCAAATGTTACGACTCAATCAACAAGCTCATCCAGTTCAACTCCTACATTCCCTGTAATTTGGGTTAACCCACCAGGAAAGATTTCTTGGTTAAGTGAGGCTAATATTCCAGGTTACGCTATCGCTGGTGGTTACTTGACTCCTGTACAAGCTCAAATTCTACTTGGTGTTGCCGTTAATAACAACGTAACAAGTCCTGAGTCTATTAGAGCTCTGTTCCCATAAGTGCCATAAAAAGGAACAATAATATGACCTTTTCTTTTTAATATATTCTTCTTTCTCTTCGTGAAGTACTTCGGTACTTTCAATATCCTCTAATCTATACGTTCTATAAATATTCAGTTAATCTTACAATATATATATATTCAATTTTAAGTTTTTACCATAAGGAAATAAAATGTACTTGATGATAATGAGCCGGTTATGATTCTAATTACTGTCACTTTATCACATTTTCTGTCAGTTTAAACTTTATTATAATAGGGGAGGGATAACACCCAGACACCACCCTATACTTGCAGATAAAGGTCATCTTCATTGATAAATTGATATATATTTAGATATATAAAGGCTAATAAAACTCGATGAGGCGGAACAATTTTAATATATAAGGCAAATAGAGAGGTTCGGAAAAAAAAGGGATATATATATAAGGAAGAACTTAAGATAATTTTAATTAACGATAAGGAAAGTTCTCTCTTTAAAGACATTTTCTTAAACAATATTATCTATTTTTATTTTGCTTCATGAATACTTCAAGACTAAATAAATATTCCATACTTACTTTCTGTCTAATACTAATAACCTTCATTTCTTCTATGTCTCAAGCCAAATCCACAACTTCTTACATCTTAAGCATCGATAACGGAGACAAAGCTACAACTGACAGTAGTAGTGTATTACAAAATGTTAAAACTTTACTAACTGAATTTCAAGGTGTTGTCACACATGAATACAGTTTGATTAATGGGTTAAGTTTCGAAATGGACCCAAATATTTTCACTACAAATGTTCAAGATAAATTAATCTCCTTAGGTGACAAAGCTGGTGTTAAAGTCAATATCGAGAAAGACCAAGACGTTCATGCATTTACTGGTAAACATTAAATATAAGCTTTTTTCCATATTCTTCAAATTTTTTTTAATACTTCTACTCACCTCTTTGAAATTATTCTCCAGACTTTTTTGTATATTTTACATAAATGTGCAAACATATATATAATGTTCATTTCAATCAAAAGTAATTTTAGTTCTTACCCTTTCTATTTCTTTTCTTCAAAAAAAAATTACAAAATGAATCGTATGTGCCATAGCACTTTGGTAAGTATTACAATGCATTTTTTAAAAAATTAAATAAGACTTCAATTATATAGCCAACTTATTTAAAATACTCTAATAAACTTTTGTTTATTCTGTTAATAGCTTCTTTAATTTGATTATTATTATCAGCGTAAGAATATGTTAATCTAAAGAAATTTAAATGATCCTTTGAAAATTCTTGATCAACAGCCATTTTATAACCTAGAATAGCTCTTACACCATTATTATCCATCAAGTTAAAGACTTTATTCATTTGTTCAATAATATTTCCTTTAGATTCATCAAAATTAATCTTGATAATAATAAACATCCCAGCAGATGGTTCAACAATAGAGAATTGATCTATTTTAAATGATTCAGATTCATAAAGTGCTTGTAACATAACATTTCTTCTTTCTGTATAATTACAAGCTAGTTTCATAATCCATTGTAACCATGATTCAATAATATCTTTATCATCTTTTGAAGATGTCATTGAATGAATTGTTGAATAAACAATTTGTTGAGAAATACCAGATGGTTGTCTTGTTGAAATTTCTTGAAATTTTAAAAATTTATCATAAAAAAAATTATTCATAATAACAAATGATAATCTCATACCTGGTGCGAATATTTTTGAAAAAGTTTCAAATCTAATTACTCTACCATCAGTATCCATACTAATATAAGATTTCATTAAAACATTTTTAATATATTCATCAGAAGAAATTGATTTTCCATCTTTATAAGGATTTTCTAATGGATTTTCATGATTATATTTTGGAAATTTTAAATAACCATATGGATCATCTTCAAGTATAACGAAATTAAATTTTTGAGCTAATTTATAAATTTTACGTCTCTTTTCAACAGATTGTGTTAAACCAGTTGGATTTTGACCAGTTGGAATAGTATATAAGAATTTTGGTCTTTCTAAATGTTTATATGGACCAGTTTCCCAATTTGATAATAAAGATTCCATATAATTTAAATCAATACCTTCATCTTTATTATTTAAATTTAATTTTAATGGAATAATTTTTGCACCTGTATTAATAATATTTGAAACAACAGGAACGAAAGTTAATTCTTCAACCATAACAGTTGAATTTTCATCTGTACAAGTTTCAAAAATTTTAAAAAGTGAATCACATGAACCACCAGCTAAAATAATTTTCCAAAGATTTTTATCATATAATGGAATATTATTTAATTTTGTAATAAACTTTTCGATAAATTCAATTAATGGTGGGAAACCTTCAGATAAAGCATATTGTAAAGTTCTTGATAACGATAAAATTTCAGGTTTTTCTCTTGTAACAATTGAAGGAATTGTATCATTTGAGACAGGTTCTGTCAAGATATTAAGATTAATTGATTCAATTGGGAAAAATGATTCATTTGGCATACCACCAGATAATTCAATTAATGATTGATTACCATTATTAAATTTTGATGGATTAGTTTCCCAAAAGATATTCATATGCCTATCTTTATCCCTTCTAGAAATAAAAGATTGGTAAATTTCTTTTAAATCGTCATATGTTTGTGGGGTTTGAGCAGTCATTATTATTATTATTACAATTGTGAACCAATTGATTTAAGTTAATCTCAAAAGAAGAAGAAGAGAGAAAGTTAAATAAAGTTTAAGAGTCACACACAAAAAAATCTCAATTGACTAAATCACGCCGTATATATATATATATATATATAAACTTTTTTCTTTTAAAAAAAAAGAGGGTATTACTCCAATTTATTATGTAATCTGTGGTTTTTCTAAATTATATTGCTTACCTAATCTTTATTAGTAACACAAAGCTCAGAATTTAATGCTTCATTTTTCCTTCTTTCCTTTGCACGAAACGGGATAAGATTGTATTTTGTGTGAGGACGGCACCTATTAGTATTACAAGAAAAATTGAAGGGAGCAGAAAATCTGAGAAAGTCCGCAGTACTGATTGCAGCTCTTAAAACAATAAGAATTGATAAACATGTAGTATCATAAAGTGATAACGTATTAGTCACCTAGATAAGATTTAATGCCTACTAGAGATTTAAGTATATATAAATATAGTAATTTAGATGAATATGAGTCATCAAAAAGATAAAATTAAATGATAAGTATTTTGTATTATTATGAAATATTGTAGAATGCACATATATATATATATATAGATGAAAATGAATCACTTTTTAAATTGAATATGAAAACATAAACGGGAAAAACAAATAAATAAATAAACTGAAAAAGGGAGCAAAACAGTTTTAATTTTAAATCAATATACTATAAGTAATGGTGAAGTCTTTTTAAATAAAAAATACAGGACAGCAATGAGAATTACGTCTCTTTGCATAACCATCTGTATTATATTCATCATTACTTCTACCTGGTTTAAATTTTAAACAATAGTTCCCAAAAGTTTTTGATTTTTTAGTAATACTTTCTTTCATTTTACCCATTTTATTTGGTTCATCTTTCGTTGTAGTTGAATCTTTTTTAATTAATGATTTTGATAATTGTTTGTCGGAGTTAGTCATATTCTGTCAGTTTGTTATATTTATTGTTGTATATGTTGCACATTCAAGAATGACCAGAAGACAATTAATAAAAAAAAAGTTCAAATTTTATAAACTGTTAAACCTTTTATAAGAAAACAAAAAAAAGTTTCTCTGAAGGAGCATCTTCCACCGGTTCCCCAAAGTAAATAAGAACCGATAATCAATTTATTTAGTTTTGGACCCTATATTTCAAAAACAAAAATGTGCTTATAACTGAAGTGAATAGTCGCTACAAAATTGTATTAAGAGAGCAAAGTCCATTTATTTATCAGGGGGGTGTATGTGTTCACACTCATACTATAGCAAGTCTATTTACTGCACCGTTTTTATTAAGAGGTAAAATGTAGTCATCCTCTATATATAACTGATACACTTCTTATTGCTACGTAGAATGTTTACCTGTTCCTTAGGAATTCTCATATCACCATTGGAGATTATACACACACAAAAAGGAGCACATACGTAGACATAATAGATCCAGTGCATTCAGTAGAAGAGAGTGAATCGTGTGGCTGAACATTACTATCTACAGGGAGAGCAAAAGAGAGTCTAGATTTTTTACTCCTTAAAAATTGTCTGTAATTTCCCTTTTATTTATTTATTTATTTATTTATTTCTGGTGATGCTACTCTTCCCCAGTGTGTCGTACAAAATTACTTGTACCAATAGTACCACTACCATTAGCCCCTCGTCCCGTGTGCAACGATGTCCATCCCACAGCCGCACCTCAGAATTAAATCTCAGCCTTCTCTCTGTCGCTTCTCCCCTTTTAAAATATTAGAGTCACACAAATCAGAGTTCAAGCGAAACAAGATGTTTTTTTCTTCTCCAACGCATTCGTGCAGTGCTCTCCTTCTGCAAAACTTCCTTCCGCCGTTCGAAAATAGAAAAATACAAGGTGTGCTGAAATTAACCCGCACAACGAATTTTTGCCGAACAAAATAAGAAAAACAAAAGTTATTAAATCATGCGATTCTCTCTTTGTCAAACTATTTCTCCTCTTATTATCTCGGAAATATTAAGTAAGGCGGTGGTAGCGGGGGGGGGGCCTCATTTTAATTATCTGCAATGCACGTAGTTTTATGATTACAATACAATACAGAAAAAGGCAGTCCACCACGTGCGTTATACTACTTATCTCTTCATTTAGTATGAATAAAGTAGTTTTTATTTTATTCTTGATTCAAGAGGAACAGACTACTATTTTAACAATGTACACGTTTATTCCTCAAGATAAAAAAAAAATAGTGATTAATTTATTATATTTTAGTGGGGTCTAATAATTTTAATTGATTCAAGAGACCCACGTTTCTCTCGTTGTTTTACTAACTTCTATATATATATATAAGAAGAAACATTTATATACTTTTTTTTCTTGATTTATGACATAAGAATTAATTTTGTTGTAGTAGTAGTAACATTACATAATAAAATCAACAATAACAATAACAAATTTATATAAACAAAAATAACTTCAATGATAAATAATTCAGAAGAACAAACGCTTACAGACGCAACAATACTATATGCAAAAGAATCATATGGTGATAGTAATGATAGTATAGAAGAAAAACCATTAATTGGTAATAAAGATAGTACTTCAATTAAAAATAATAATGGTACAAAAAGTAAACGTAGAAAATCTTCACTATCAAATATATCAAAAGACTTTATTTCACATTTAAGAAGATTAAACCCATCAAATTATCATGAAAGCATAAATAACAACAATAATAATGATACTAGTAATGTTTACGATAGATATAATCAATTCTATGAAGAAAAATCAAATAGACATTACAAAAATGATGAAAATAAAAATAAAAATTCACCACAAACAAATTTACAAACTTCATGTTTTCAAACTAATAAAGTGGATAATTGGACACATACAATTAACGATTATTGGTTAAGAGATACAAAAATTGAAGATATTGAATTTGAAGATTCAAGTGATGAAGATGTATAAATATAGAAAATCAAATTATATATCAAAATTAATAATGACTTTATTCACGAATCCTTTAATTTACTTCCTGCATACAAAACTTATTTACTGTCACTAATTGCTAAGAATGAAAAAAAAAAATTAAAAAATTGGCGCAGTCACATGACCCGATCACGTGCGTAACATCACTCTGTACGGACTACCAATAATTTTTTCTTTCTAAATTTTATCAAAATGAAAATCCACCCATTCCCCACGCGAATTCTATGCGAATATGAAAAATTCGGTCCGTTGTCCTCCACGGCACAAAAGAAAGAGAAATATTCCCAAAATCGAAAAAAATTTGATTTGGGAGAATGTGGGATGGGATGCACACAAAATAAGTAAAATGGTAGCTAATAATAATAACAAATAATTCAAATTCTAATACGTACATACATGGTTAGTTGGCTTTACTCTGTTTACAGTTTTTTTCTTTCTTCACTTTCTCTCTTCTTGCAATACACTTTGTTTGTTTTTCTTTTCTTTGTAATGCTGTCTTTAATTATTGATATTTATTTATTCAAGAATAACTATTTGATTCATTTATATATATATTTATATATTGAATTATTGCAAATATAAAGACAAAGTATACATATATGTGTGCGTGCATGCTTATCCATTAAAAAGAAACATTTCGATTACTCACATTTTTTTTTGAATCTAATAAACAGAAAAAAAAACAAATCGCTCCCTTTACAAATATTTTGTCGATTTTTTTTGGTTTGAACAGTAATAGAATAAGATTGATCTGATATTTCATAAAATAAAAGATTATCATTTAAACTTCTATTATTAAACTCAGTATCTTCTATTTATCAAATCAGAGAAAATAGTCGTTTAATACTTTTTTTTTCCTGCATTCGCTCTTTTCAAATTTTGATCTACTATAAATTTTTTTTAGCTTTGGTTTTTTTTCAATCCTTTTTTATAATTGAACTTGAAAAATAAACAATCGTTTTTAACAAATTGTATCTGTAATTGATCCTCGATTTATTAAATTTATGATATCACCAGCTTACGATACTATTAATATGTCTACTCAAGCCGCTACAAGATTACAAAATCCACGTAATAATAATAGTAATTATACTGGTGCTAATGTTAATGCTACGAATGGAAATTCAAATACTATAAATAATCAAATGCAAAGATCTGATAACAACAATAGTAATAATGGAGATTCCACTATAGTTGGCTTACATTATAAAATTGGTAAAAAAATTGGTGAAGGTTCATTTGGTGTATTGTTTGAAGGTATTAATATGATTAATGGATTACCTGTAGCAATTAAATTTGAACCAAGGAAGACAGAAGCTCCACAATTAAAAGATGAATATAGAACTTACAAAATTGTAGCAGGAACTCCAAATATTCCTCATGCTTATTATTTTGGCCAAGAAGGTTTACATAATATTTTAGTAATTGATTTATTAGGTCCATCTTTAGAAGATTTATTTGATTGGTGTAATAGAAAATTTTCTGTTAAGACAGTTGTTCAAATTGCTGTTCAAATGATTACTTTAATTGAAGATCTTCATGCACATGATTTAATTTATAGAGATATTAAACCTGATAATTTCTTAATTGGTAGACCAGGTGCACCTGATGAAAATAATATTCATTTAATTGATTTTGGTATGGCAAAACAATACAGAGATCCAAAGACTAAACAACACATTCCATATCGTGAAAAGAAATCTTTAAGTGGTACAGCAAGATATATGTCAATTAATACACATCTTGGTAGAGAACAATCAAGAAGAGATGATATGGAATCATTAGGTCATGTATTTTTCTATTTCTTACGTGGTCAATTACCATGGCAAGGTTTAAAAGCACCAAATAATAAACAAAAATATGAAAAAATTGGTGAAAAGAAAAGATCAACTAATGTTTATGATTTAGCTCAAGGCTTCCCAATTCAATTTGGTCGTTATTTGGAAATTGTTAGAAATTTATCATTCGATGAAACTCCAGATTATGAAGGTTATCGTAAATTATTATTATCTTCTTTAGATGACTTAAATCAAAAAGCAGATGGTGAATATGATTGGATGAAATTGAATGGTGGTCATGGTTGGGATGCAAGCATTAATAAAAAACCAAATTTACATGGTTATGGTCATCCAAATCCACCAAATGGAAAATCAAGAAGACATAGAGATCATCAAAAGACTCCATTACAACAATTATCACAACAGCAGCAGCAACAGCAACAGCAACAGCAACAGCAATTATTGCAACAACAGCAACAACATCGTCAACAACAATTGCAGCAACAACAGCAGCAGCAACAACAACTACAACAACAAATGCAACAGCAGCAACATTTGCAAATGACACCACAACAACAACAACAATATGAGGCTGAAAAGAACAAACTGGACCCAACGTCTTTCGAAGCCTACAAGCAACAAACTCAACAAAGATATACACAACAACAACAAAAGTTGAAACAACAACAATTGAACAAGCAACGTGAACAACAATATACTGCTCAACAACAACAAAATATGAACTATCAACAACAACACATGCAAGCTAACCAACCTGTTAGTCAACCAGAAGATAATGATAGCCTAGAAAAGAAAGGTTTCTTCGCACAATTGGGCTGTTGTTAATCGCATTAGTCTCTCTCTCACCATATCATTATAATGAAGAAAGAAAACAAAAAATCTTGCAAAGATGAATTTAAGACAAATTTATTTTCTGCGACTTATTATTGATATGGCATGTATATGTATATTATGTAACCATTCATTCATTTATCATCATGACTGCGTATAAATATTTTATAAATTAAAAGTACTATGAAACTTAATTTTGTAGAAGAACATGCTAATAACAGAAAAGATCATACATGTAGTTTTTAACTATATATAAGTATTTCGTATTAGTACGACTATAATAGTTGTAATTATTTCATTAGGGATATTATTTCATTATATTATGTAAGGTCTATAAAATCAGGGAGAGCATCAGATGTGGGGTTTTGATCAGATTTCTTCCCTGAGTGGCTATTGCTGTCATCAATATCAACAATATCGTCGTTATCGTCAATTACGATTACTTCAACTTGACTTTCCATTTGGCTGTGATTATCGAGAATTTCTTGAACATTAACATTCTCATCATGACATAACTTCAACTGATCATCTGTATTCCTCTTGGAAGCCGCTCGGGCTGCCATCTCTCGAGGGGTCAATCGTCTTCCCTGGATTGGTTCGGCCGTTGATGTGCCTAGTCGAGAACCTTTCCCAACATAACTCTTGCTTAGTATATTTGACCTATTCCTAATACCACTTCCACCTACCCTTCTCCCAGTACCTAGGAAATTGTCATGAAGTCCCTGTGTTTCCGATATCCAATGTTCTAATCGAAACTCCTCCATCTGCTTATAAAATTTTTCATCGTGAGGTCCGAAACGATTATGTGTTAGTTCATGAAGCATCGTTTCAACAATTGCTTCCCAACTCAAGAATTCATAGTCATTATATGGTGATCGTAATCTGACCATAATCTTTTGACCATGATTAACATTTAACCCAAGTAAATTCTTGTCCCTTGGATAAAATTCTGCTACAGTTTTAACTTTTAGCTTGAATTTACGCATCAAATATGACACGGATTTGGTTAAATCCTGGAGTAAATCATGTGCTCTTTCTGGGTTTGGTTTCTTCTTCAGATATGATATCTCACCAATATGTGGGTTTGCCTTCGGTTTGTTTTGTGTAACAGCCATGGGTTTTTTTAATTTCTATAGTGGCAAATCTTTTAATGATCTTTTATTTTCTATACGACAGTTCGCCTTGTTGTAGATACATATATATAAAGGAACATTTAGTATAGGAAAATACAGAACTTAACGATGCTTTTGGCCATTTTTTCAAAAAAAATTCCAAAAAAGAAAAAAAACAATTGGTATCATTAAGAAGAGTCTAGTGATTCGATTAAAACAACTTATTTCAATATATTTTGTTATTATTCAGCGACAATTTAGTTTTATTATTAATTTTATTATTAGTATCATATTATAACTCCCAGAGATCATCGCGTTAAATCCGGTAACTATGAGCAGACCTGCTAATTTAAAATCAGAAGACAGTGTCTCCAATTTGGTGAAACCTACCTTATATTCTATTTATGACAAAGATATTACTAGTAGTTCAACCGACTATTCAGCGTTAAAACATATTAAAAATGCGGAAAGAGCAAATACTACAAAAGAAAGGAGTTTTTATGAACAACTCATTACAATCGTTTATGCTACAATTATATTATTTATCTTTGGGAACATTTTTGCAGCATTATCTAATGAATTATATGATAATCTAACATTAAAAAGGGGGATGTTGTCCATCACTTTGCATTCAATTGCTAGTTATATTAATGATAATATAGTTATTATTGATAAAAGTGTTGTATTCGGCATAATGGGTATTCTATGTGGGTTTGTTATACCGATTTGTGATAACGTATTTTTTTCAAAATATAATTATAATATGAATAGTAGTAATGATTTCCAATCAATTTTGAAATGTTTAAATTCAATCTTAGGGATTAGTTTAGGAATTAAACATTTAAGATGGAAATCCTCGATTCAGGCTTCTTCATCATGGGGTTTACTTAATATTATTATGTGGTTATATTTTGATGGATCATTATCAACATTAACTGTAGGTTCAATTATTAGTTTTGTTAGTTGTATTATTTCATTTAATACGATTACAAATGACAATTATTCATTATTGCTTTATATTATGGATTTTTATTTTTTTAGTTTACTTATTTTTGGTAAGATTGGTAGATATTTGTTAAGAAATTATTAAGTATGTGTGTAATCTATGTTATAATATTTATTAACTTCTTCAAAAATGTTTTGTATATTTTTATAGGAACGTTTACTTTAAACTCTTTATAGATATATATATCTCAACAGAGAAACGCAGAAAGGAAGAAGAATTTAAAGGATATATATATGTATATGTATATATGAGAAACGACTAGGTTTATTTATTTATTTGGTGATCTTGGTGGAGGTCCACTTGATATACTACCTTGTCTTTCTACTGGATTAAATGATGATGTATCTATACTACCTGCACTATTACTTAATCTTCTCCGTATAATTGATTCTCTAAGTCCACTTGGATTAGTCACTGGTAAATTATTATTTGATACATCACTTGGATTAGCTACACCAGCTTTTTTTAAAGCATAATCACCACTATCAAAATATTTTCTCTCTTGCATTTTATGTTTAAATAGATCTTTCTTCGATGGCAATTTACCATATAAATTATATAATTTTAATTCTTGTGGTGATAAAGATTTTAAGTCAATTTTTTGACCGTTTGAATCTATAATAGTACTTTGTTTAGTTAAATCGACTCTACTTGTCGTTGGAGATAATTCTTCAGCCATCATTATCCTTCTTATTGTTGCTGTTTATGTATTTTTTTTCTTTTTAGGATCTATCACCTTTTAATAACTGATTATTTTTCACTTTAATATAAATTTTCTTTTTGTGTTCTTTTGACAATAAAGATTTTGAACCAACTAAGAAAAGAATTAGAGAATAGTACAACTGAAATCTAGTAACTTCTTTCTAGAGATTTAAAAAAAAAAAGTAGAGAGAGAATAGAGAGCTTATGACACTTGTTTTAAAATCTTTTTCAAAGAACGTACGTACTGATGGATTTTAATAATATTATTTAAATTATCTCATCTCGTAATGAAATAACTTCACCTTCTGTATCTCTCTATCTATCTATCTATCTATCTATTATCACTCACTCTTCTTCCCCTATGCTCTTTACTATATTTCCAATTTTCTCATAGCCCCTTCTCTCTTCTCACCCCTCAGAACCGCATCATCAATTTTTCGTATTTTTCCGCAAAAATGTGATGAATATAGTGTTGTGACAATAACAGTTACATGTTGTGGATGTTCGTTTTTTGTTTTTCAATGCAAAGCGAGGCGCGGGATCGGTGCTGTAGTGGTATGTGTGGGTGTAGTGTGTTATATACAGGGAGCGTATGCGTATGAGTTGGAAACAGTATGGTTTAGCCTGATGTATATTGGTAGTATACAATAGTTATGCGGTTCTTATTGATGCCAGGTATCCATCTGGCTGTGCTGCAAATACAGTGTAGCTTGTCTTGGTCTTGTCGTACTATACGACGAGGATCACGTGATTTTCTTGTCTTAAATACCCTGATTAGGTCTTTTTTTTTTTTTTAAAGAAAACGGGCTTTCCTCTGTCGCCCCCGCTAAGTATTTGAAAGAGATAAGAAGGGGAACTTGGTTATTTCAACTATGATTACTAAAAATAACGCAAGTTGTACTTTTAAAATTCATATAAGTTGTCTTGTTATAAGAAGATTAGTTCGCTGTATGAAGATACAGTGTGCAAGTGATACGTTTAGTCCATTTATTTATTTTTAATTTCGAAGGATACTGATGTGGAGTGTACGAATTAAAGCAATTTTAGTTAATTGTTTGATGGTTCTACCATCTGTTTGTCAGATGGTAGACAACAGTAATAATGATGAAGACTTACAACAAAGAGATTATTCAAATGAACAAGTATATAGAATATATTCTGATAATACTACAGAATTATTAAATGATATAATATTCCCAATTGTAGAGAAGACAAATTATGATATATGGTTAAGAAATTCAAAATTTATTGACATTCAATTATTTAAAGATGATATGATTAACATAATTGATTCACAAGTTGGTAAAAAACTTAATTATGAGATCTTTGTTGAAGATATAAACCAAAAAATTGAAGAGACTATGCCATCGAAAAAAATTAATAATCATGACGATGATGAACAAATAAATTTTAATATTGATGATGAAAATATTTCAGAGATGTTGGGAGATGTTTTTTTTAATGAATATAGAAATTTAAACACTATTGAAATATGGTTAAAATTATTACAAGAGACATTTCCAGATTTTGTTAAGGTAGAAGAAATTGGTAAAACTTCACAAGGTCATTCATTAAATGTTATTCATATTAGCGCCCATAATTATATTGATAATCCAGATAAGAAGACAATTGTTATTACAGGTGGACTTCATGCCAGAGAATGGATTAGTATTAGTACAGCATGTTATACAATGTATGAATTATTATTAAATTATGGAAAAGATAAAAAAGCAACCAAATATTTAGATTCGTTAGATTTTATATTTGTACCAGTTTTTAATCCTGATGGATATGATTATTCATGGACCACTGATCGATTGTGGAGGAAAAATAGACAGAATACATCAATCGAAACATGTCCCGGCATTGATATTGATAGATCGTTTGGGTTTCAATGGGTTAAATCACATGAATATCCATGTAGTGAAAGTTATAATGGGGAGGCACCATTTGAAGCACAAGAAGCACAATATTGGGATATTTATTTAAGAGAAATTAAAAAAGATTATAAAATTTTTGGTTATTTAGATTTGCATTCATATTCTGAAGAAATTTTATATCCATATGGTTACTCGTGTGATGCATTGCCACGTGATATCGAAAATCTTTTGGAACTTGCATTCGGTCTTGCAAAAGCAATTAGATTAACAACAAGGAAAAATTACGATGTTATTGCCGCTTGTAAAGATAGTGGGTCAGATTTGACCCCAGGAATTGGAGGTGGTACAGCTTTAGATTATATGTATCATAATAGAGCACGTTGGGCATTACAATTAAAATTAAGAGATTCAGGTAATCATGGGTTTTTATTACCTTCAAAATATATCAAGCCTGTTGGTAGGGAAACTTATGCATCATTGATGTATTTTTGTGGATTTATATTAAATCCAGAAATGTAAATAAGATACCAAATATATATATATATATTTATCAGTACCATTTGCAAAGATAATTTAATACATATATTCATAAAGATTCTATAAAAAGACCGTTCTACTACCTGTATAGGTCTTATCGATACATCTTCACGCACCATGTTTAGCCGCTGATGCTAGTAAAAACCAACAACAAACGTTTTGAGTTAAATATTTGTTGTTTTTGCCGTTATGGGGTATAAGTAAATAAAATATCTCCCGCATTATCGGTCTCCAATTAAAACCGTATTTACATTCTGGCGCAAGATAAATAAATAAATAAATAATCTCTCTCTCGCGCTCTCTGGTTTTGTTCCGGTTGGAGACTGTGCTGTTCGTGCAACGGTACAACCATTCTTGTATCACCCCACCGCCTGACTCTTTTAGTGCGGGTATTTCTGTTCCCGGAGAGTCAGTTATTTCAAAATACCAAAACAAAATATGTGTGTGATGATTGTGTCCGTAGGCAAAAAGACAGCGAAATGAGAAAATAACTTGCTCTGCGGCATTATCTCCGGAGCTTTGTGCGACATCTAATAGAATATATATATATATATATATATATATATTCTTTCTGTTGTTGTTTCGTACAGAGCTATGACATCTCCTGCCTCCGGCATTTTCGTACCCCCCTTTTTCGTCTCTCTCACATTGTTTTCTCTCCAGCAATATATATGTCTGTATATGACGTCTTCTCTTTTTCACTCGGCTGCTGGATGTAGGGCACTTTCTTTGTGGAGTGGGAAGAACATTCTGTCTCTGCGTGGTGTTGTGTATGAGAAATATATTCGGTTTCGGCTATTACCGTTCAGCGTCTCGAGATATTTTGGCTGTAGCAGCAACTTCTTAAGGGCGAAACTACCTAAAGAAATGAAAAAAATCCCTTGTTAGATAATATCCATTCAGGTATTGTGACAGACTGGCGAAGAAGAGTATAAAGACAGAACAAACTGCCAACGTATTAAATCAACCCTACAAATAGAATTAATTATGAGTGAATAATAACCCCCCACTGAAAGAGACCAGACTCTCCCAGTAAGATAGTTGTTTTGTTTTAGCCCTTGCATACGGTGGTTGTTATTCATGTAATTCGAGGATATTCCCGGTTGAAACAAGATAAAATAATAGTATGAATAGATATGTCAATAAACAATTTTCGGTTTGTTTGTGTTTTTACTCAAAGGATTTCTTACAGTATCGTGGTTCAAAATTCCTGGTAAGTAACGTCTCCCGTCGCATCGCTAATTGATATTAAGTTAGCACAATGTGGGGGGGGGGGTTCTCCCCCACAGGGAGTAAAACGGGTAGCAGCAAAAATTATTATATTACATTAATTCTAAGTCGGGNATATATATATATATATATATACTCATGTATACTTGTTGTAGTAATGAAATTAAAATAAGTAGCTAATACCAAAACATATGGTTACATCTTGTGTGAGCTTTTCATTAATTCAAAGTAATATATCAGAATCAGTTGTTTTACAAGCCGTGGTTTGTCCTTACTATTCTCCCCAGTATTAATTTTATTCAGTTATTATCATTTTCCCTTTTTATCGTGTCTTCGCTTATTCACGCACGCTATATTTTATTTGGTTTTTTTGTTTTTCGGTTATTCTGCAATATATTGCCTTAATTATATTAATAAGAGAGGCGATTTACTGATCTGGTTCGAGACACTAACCGATAATAATCTAAAAGCTAAAGTTGTATATATATACATACAAACTATATTTCTGTCGTTGTTGTTTTTTTGGGGGATCCTATCAACTCTTTTATTTAAGGGTATTCACAAGTAAATCTGTATTATTACCAACCATATATTTCTGAAACTGTACCCTATATTATTACTATTTTTTTGAGTCATTTCTAATATACCGCGATTCATTTGAATATAATCGTTTCCACACTCATACCCCCTATATTATATACTGTTGAAAATGGAGACTACTCTTATATTAGAAAATGAAAGTGAAGTATATAATACTGATTTTTTACAACAACTAAAATCCCCGATATCTGAGACTTCAGTATTAAATAATGGTACTTCCTCCTCATCATCATCTGATGGTGATACTACAACGATATTTAGTGATGCTATAAGTTTAAATACTGATGAAAGATGTGGTTCAACAAATACTATCCTAAGTGAAGAAGATACTAATAAATTAAATGAACTTTCATTAGAGAATGATATTTTAAATTGGACAACAACGGCAACCACTGTTTTATCAGAAGAAGAAATTAAAAAAAATGAATTTTTAAATTTTATTGATCCATATCCAAGGAAACCACCATCATATAATAAAATCAATCCAAATAAATCAATAAGATATCCAATATTTGAAAATAATAAACCTTGTTTATTAAACGATTTACCTCCAAGTTATAAACCAACTGTTGAAAATTTTACAATAGTTTCAATTAAATCAGAATATTTATCACCTTATGAACCATCAACTAACAGGAATTGGAAAAATTTTATTATGGAAATTAATTCAACACAATTAAATTTTTATTATATTGATTCATCTTTAACTCATAGAATTAAAAATTATTCAAATGGCTATGATCATAATTATACTAATAACCCACTTCATCATTTAGATAATTCAAATACATCAAAATTCTTCTCTTTTAATCATAAAAATACTTATGATTTTAATAAATATGATCAAGAACATATTTGTTATAATATTCAACGTTACAAGAAAAAATTTATTAATCAAGAAAATTTATTTAAATCATTTTCTTTACAATTTGCAAAATTTGGTATTCCAATTGATTATAATAAGAAAACTTTTGTATTAAGAATGCGTTGTGAATCGGAACAATTTTTAATTAATTTTGCTCATGTTGATGATATGATTAATTGGACAACTTATTTAAGTATGGGTATTTCTGTCTCCTTGGATTTAGAACTTCGTGATATGCCAGATTATAGAATTGTACCAAGAAGACGTAGAAGAAGACATAGAAGACATGGAAATAATCGTCATCTTTATGGGTTTGGAAGCACCAATAACAATAACAATAACAAGCATAATACATTTATGACATCAAGAAGAACAAGAGATATTATGACATCTCATCTTTCAGATTCAGCATTTAGTACATTATCAGAAAATTCATCAAGAAGAAGTTCAGTTCCAAATAGTAGGAAAAGTTCGAACGCCTCCACAACATCTCAAACTTTAGATCGATCATTTAGCACATTAAGTTTAGAATCTTCAATGAGATCAATAAACCGTGTTTCAAGCAGAAGAGGCTCAAGTGTAAATTTACAAGATTCTCCTTATAATATTATTAGTAATAACGGTAACACATCCTCTTCCTCCATTTCAACTTCTTCGTCATCTACTAATTTGAAATCAAAACTTAAGGGACTCTTTAAAATTGGCTATACCCCTAGAAAATCGGTCACAAGTCAACCATTACCACAACCGTCAACAACAGCAACAGCAACACCTATCAGTATTCCTTCATCTCCAACCTCAACACAAATCAATGCTCTTTCCTTTATAGCAACATCTGTATCCCCAACAAATACTACCCCAAATTCCCCTGTTATGAGATCTGGTAGTTTTAAAATTTATTCCACAGCAACAAGTTTGAATTCCCTTATTGAAGATGAAGATGAAAGTGCAGAGGATTGCTCTCTTCCGGGTGGTATGCAATTTTCTAGAACCCATAATTCAAGATTAAGATCAGCTTCTTCTCCATTGTACCATGCAGCTCATATGAAGATTCCAACTCAACCAAATGATTACAGTAACATCTGTCCCAACGACGTCTCAAAGTCTCCAAAATGTTCTATTGTCACTCATGATTGCAGAAATAAATTAGTTCAAAGAAATAGCATTATTTTACAACATGAATTAGATGAACTCCAGGAAGTCCTAAGAGAGCATCAGGAATCAGATACAGATGAGGAAGACGATGAAGATGATACCTTTGACGAAATTTCTCAACCTTTGGTTTCAAACCAAAATTATACTCGTATGGATTCAGTTTATTCTGATGAAGGTATTTTCCATGATTCAGACGCTGAAGAACAAGAATATTATCCAAATTATAGACAAAGAGCATCTTCTTTGATGAGTTCATTATCCTATGGCGTTACTAACGATGAAGTCAAATGGCATCCTCCAATCAGTGAAGTTTCAAGAAAAAGACAGATTAGAAACTCTTTGCGTTGTATCAGACCATTCTTGGAAGATAATGAATGGGTTGGATATGTCTGTTTTAAACCTGCCAAGTCCCCAGCTTATGAAACTAATAACAAACCAATTACATATACAGGAAAAGGGGGTTCAAATAAGGGCAGAAAGAGTGCTACTAGTGTGCATCGTACAGCTGATTATTCCAATATGAAAAATCATTATCTGGAGTCCTTTGTGGTTGGTCCGGTAGATTTTATTAAAGCTGATACTCCAACAGTTCGTCGTATTAGTGGAATTAAAAACAAGAAGAATAAAGATGATGACGTAGAATCTAGACTATTGTTAGCTTATGGGTCTTAATCTCTAAAATAAATGAATTTTATTTTTTAAAAGATTAAAAAAAATACTAATATTCAATTATTGCAATTAATTGCAACGATTTTATGATATGAACGTTTATGATTAATGAAATGTGTCAATGTTTTACGATTAAGATAACTGTCGACTGTTTGAGGTACCCAAAATGAAAAAAGAATTAATGATTAATAACTGAGGGACTCCTTTAAAGACTCTTGTGATGAAAATCAGCAAAATTGTTATCTGTATCCGTAAAACAACGAAAAAATATTACTATTCTGTTTATTTTTATACACCAAATGGTGTATAATTATTAAATAGGTATATATCTATATATATCTCAAGTGTTGCTAATAACATTGTTTGTAATAAATACTTGACAGACTATATGCCTCGTTATTTAAATGTATATGTTTCATTGAGCTGAGTATACTTTGGTAAATATATTTTTCTATTAAAGTTCTGTATGAATAACAACATGCATGTACCAAAAGGATTCGGGTTGGTATAGTTTTGACGGATTCTATAATAGTCTTAAATTATTGATGTTAATAGCTTGCAAATTAAACCTGTCTTTCCCTCTTTTGAGGAAGTATTACTCAGATATCATGAACACATCAAATATTATCACTTTACATGTGAAGGTTCATGAGACTTCTTTTGGTACTTACTAAAATAGTCTTACATTTTGGAGTATAATGTTATTTAAAGGGAGATATTAATAAAAATACCACTGCTTATTCATTTATTTTGTAGTGGTAACACTACGATAATTAAGTCTCTAATCCTTCATCCTTACCATCATGCATTTGATCAAATACATCAGCCTCGTCATCTTCTTCTTCCTGTTCTAAATTAGTGAATACACTCTTCTTTGGTATACGTTTCATGAGTTCAGGAGGCCCAAATAATGGACCAATCTTAGTAATCCACCTTTGTCTTTTATCTAACAATGATTTCAAACTTGAGTTAGCTGCTTTCTGCTGGGCAATTTGGGATGCAGTAGCTGCATTGATTGAACCACTATTATGATGCTTCTTTCTTTTCTTTGGAACTCTGATTCTTTTGATATAAGCTTGGTCTACCTGCTTGTCTAAATCATCTAGAATAGAAGAGTACTCTAGCCAAGCAAGTTGTTTGTCAACTAAAGGAATTAAAGTTTCTTTCCTCTTTTGGTTATTTGCTGTAGCTTGTTTTAATGAGCTTTGTAATTCACGTAATTCTGCACTAATTTCATCATCTTCTCTACCTGTTAACCAATTTGGGTCAGATCCATTGGGGTTGTTTTCATCTTTTGGCATATTCATGTATATTCCAACGTATTTCAACTCACGTTTTAATCTCTCTTCTAGCGTTGGATAATCCAAATTGACACTGTTAATTTTCCAACCTTGATCCATTTTTAAGGTGCTCGTTGTACCGCCGATACTGAATTTAGTAATTTCTTCAACATCACTCATGGGAGTATCTACTGTTGATTGTGAGGGAGTCTGTTCGTGGCTCTCAATTCCGAGATTTCCTGTCGTTTCGTTTGTATTTTCTTTCTTGATATCAGGGGCAACGACCGAAGTCACAGAACTATTTGTCTGTTCATTCGTTATTTGTCTTGCAAGATCATTACCTTCATCCCTAAAGATAGCAGACATTAATCTTGATAATAATGGACCACAAGAGATATCCTCAGATTCTAATGATGTGTCTTTAATATCAGATGCGCTTTTCTTTGGTGTCACACTGGATGTATCATTTATATGTGGAGGAGAAGTGTTTCCTAAATTTTTGTTTGCATCAGTTTTGAACCAAGTCCTTGTATACAATGGGCCCAATTTTGGTATCACAAATGGGGTAACTTCAGGATCATATGATTTTTCAACTTGCAAACTTGCAGGTAGGAGGTATTTTGATTTTAAGAATTTGATATCGTCATCACTTAGGTCTTTGTAAAAATTATCGACATATGATAGGAATGTACTGTACTGAATTTGGTTAGCTGGTTTAGCACAAGACAAATCCATATCTGGTAAATCACCAGGTAATAACTCTTTGAGATCTGTAGTTGGATAACTTGCTACACTATATTTCTTTTTCAGATAATTCTCCCCTGTACTCTCTAAACCTTCTTCACTAAATAAACCCAAGTTCCTTGCAGCCTGAGGTAGTGTTTGAGAGATGACGAACTCTGACTTAGGATTTTTCACATTTGGATTGTTTTCCATTTGATCTACATCAACATCCTCAGTCTTTTGTTTTTTAAGAGCAGGTTCCGCACTTCCATCCTCATTGTCATTGATATTACTGTCAGTAATTGTATCATTTTCGCGAGTGACTTCACCAGTTTTTTCTCCATTTTCCTCCTCTCCCTCTTGCCCTTCTTGTTTGTTGTCTTTATCTTCTCCTTCTTTTGCAGTTTCGTCTTCTTCATTTTCCAGTGACCGTTTCCTGGTTTGTTCGGTGTCTACTGTCTGACTATCGTCATTTTCCACTGTGCTATTATCTTTTGCGATTTTATCATTAGATATTTCGTCTGTACTACCTTCTCCATCATGTGTTGCGGTGGTCGTCTGTTCATTTTCCAGAATTTCAGGTTTCTGTGTTGTTTCTGGAGGGCTTGTAACAAGTGTATTAGTTTTCGACTGTTCAGCTTGTTCAGCTTCCGATCGAGATTGTTGTTCTATTTTAATACGTTCTTCTCTTATGGCACGTAGTTTATCTATATATTCTTGATCATCTTTGGAAATTGAATCAAAAAGCTCCTTCAGTACGTTTAATTGTTCCTGAACTTTAACCAAAGTATCACGATTCGGTATAGAATGTGTATTTTTCCCATTAAGCATGCCAATATCACGTTCAAAGGTTAAGTCAAGCTTTTTCAACATTGAATGCATCACAGTTGATGGAAGTGTAACATTGACAACATTTTCTTTGATCTCTCTGGGATTCTTCCCACGTCTCGGAGGTCTAGGCATGGCGGTACCTTAAGCAAAACCAGAAAAAAATAAGATAATAAACTGCTTAGTTGTTGCTTAATGATTGCAATCACTGTTAAACAATAATTGAAATCAATTAGCAACCTGGCTATATACAAATATCGTTTGTATGGTGCTGTTAGTTCTTGTTATACCCTGTGTTTTTCGGTTCCCTTATGATTAATTAAGTCATTTTCTTAATATCTAATCAATTCCATTTTGTTGTTATTTGTTGAAGATGTGGGTTTATTGACATTTTCCCGTAATTTTCATAATTTCGGGTTAAAACATTTCGTGTAGAGCGATATCCGTTCATACGATGCATAATTTATATTTATCGCCAGAAAAGCTCAAAATTGAAGAAATTGGATTTGAATTGGTTTAAAATAATAAGGGAAATCAAATAGAATAAATTATCAGTTAAAGGCAATTTGGTCAGATAAGATTTAAATATATAAAGGAGGATATATTAAACTTATAGGCTGTAAGATATATTATCATTTGCTTGCGAGGTGTGTCTTTTTGATTGGCTGTAACAGTTTTATTTTCTTTGGCAGAGCATAGTTTAAGGAAATATGTTATCGTTAAGATGCGTTAATAATGTGGTACTAAGGACAACCATGGCGTCAAATTTAACCAAGTCTACAATTAGATTCGCAACTACAGATGCAACGTCTAAAAAAGACGTAAAAGCTACAGAGGTAAAAGAAAATTTGCAAACTAGCCCAGTGGAATCTACTCAATCTACGGAGTTATATATGAATCCAGGTAAATGGACCGGATTGGAACCTACAAAAATTATAAGTTTATTTTGGGAAAGAAAGACAAAATTGGGGACTGATTACAAACGTTGCCCCGAGGAATTAGATGCTTTGTTGAGTACTGCAGATTTTAGTGGTATGACTAAAAATGAAATTAAAAAAATATATGAGGATACGACTAATGCAATGGGTACTGGAATGGTCAGTAAAAAATTCTTGAGAGATGGTTTAAGACCATTCCAGTTCGATGAATTGCCATCACCTGCTCAAGATGTAGTAGATGAGCATCGTGAACAACGTTATTATAATAGATTAGCAATATATGATTTACCACTACTGACCCAATATCGTCAAAAATATACGAATCCATCAATAAAAACACATCCTATTACATATCGCTATACTTCCTATATTGGTGAAGAACATCCTAACGGAGCTAAAGTTGTTTTATCCGTAAAAACTAAGGATCTTCCTTTGAATGAGAAACAATTACATAAATTACGTTTATTGGCACGTACACGTTATGATCATGAAACTGATATCTTTAAGATGTCAAGTGATAAATTCCCAGAATCCGCACAGAATGCACGTTATTTGCATGACATCTTTCAAAGATTAATGAAGGAATCTAAGGATTTGGCAGACGATTTTAGTGATGTTCCATTAGATACGAGACACATTGCAGCTAAGAATCTACGTAAAAGAAAAAATGATTATGTCTTCCCAGAAGAATGGAAACGTCCAGATGATGCACCTGTTGAAACAATTAATGTTTTACATGACATTTTAAAGACTTCTCAAGCAAAAGAATAAATTATATTCAAACTTAAATAATTAACAAACAATTAAACTACCTGTATATATATATATGTAAACGTAAATATCTGAAAGCATTAGATGAAGTTTTAAAAATAGGTTTAAAAAATAAAGTAAAATATATAGTACTTTATGAGTGTAGCATACATTGCAGGTTAATGCTGGTGTACTTTCCGGTAGTAACTGTATTGTTGTGCTTCTTTAAATTAAATTTAACAAAATTGTCATTAAATATAATTAGATATATATTTAGTAATGTTACATACAAGTCTGCCTAATGATAGAAAAGATAACATTCCACTCTAACTAGAAAAAAATGTTGATCTGGCAAAATTAGAAATACAATTGACAATAAAAGAAAAGGATAATAATAGGATAAAATAAGTTTAAGAATAATAGGGTCATAAAAATAAAAAAGAATAAAAAAAACAGTAAAGAATATTCAACGAATCTTTAAACTTAAGGTTGATAATAATAAATTATTAATACAATAGAATAATTTTTATTTTCTTCTTGCCTTTTTTTTATACTTTCTAAGCAGACTTGTCCTTCTTCTTATCCTTCTTCTTCTTTTTCTTTTTCTTTTCAGAGCTATCGTCATCATGTGGTCTTTTGTTTTCATATTGATCATGTTGCAACAAACCAAATGGAATTGGGACAGGAGCTGCCTTTGGACCAGCAGAAGCAGGTGGTAAAGTACCATTCTTCTTGTTTTCTAAATATTCTTGTTTAGCTTTTTGATAATGTTCTAATTCAACATTGTAAGCTTTCTTCCAAGTATCCTTTTCAGCGTCACTTAAATCCTTCCATTTCTTAGAAATTTCTTGAGTGATTTCAGTAGAGGATAAAGGAGCAAGACCAGCTCTTTGTCTAGCATCACGAAGTTCTTGACGAACATAAGCAGAATAAGCAAAGAAAACAGTCAATGGTTTCTTTGGAGCATTTGGATCACGTTCAGCTTTCTTCTTAGCAGGAGCCTTTACAGGAGTAGGTGGACTAGCAGCTGAGCCATCCTTTTCATCTTCACCTGGATTGACTAATTCAGAACTAATACCATTCAAAGAGTTGGTAGCGGAAGTCAAGTTTTGTAAAGCTTCAGTTAAAGTAGTAAAAGCTTCTAACTTTTCATCTTCATCGTCACCGATATGGTTGTAGAAATCTACAATGGAGGAGGCAGTTTGATTAGATGCCTTAGATAGCTCAAATAGTGAAGCCACTAGGGAATCCTTAGCAGCCTTCAATTTGATAGCAGCGTTAGTTGTCATTTAGCAAAAAAAGTAAATAAACGAATACTACACGAGGTAACGGGTGTGTAATTACTTTGGGTTGATTGTTTAGCAACTTCGTATTATCTAACAAGAATCATATGTTACGTCACAAGAGAAAGTAGAAAGGGATCTAAGCTAAACTATTCCGAAACAAAGAAAGGACCCTTCCATTCCACCCTCAAACTATGGCCGCTAACTAACCATTACACGGGTGGGCTTGAGCCTAGAGGTAACCTGTTTATTTTACTTCTACTTGTACCAAAAGTTTCGAAAGTTAGAAGGAGATTACTCTCACCGACCCCAGCCTGTGTTTCCCCTGTCAAGTTCATAAATTGTTTTGTTTTAATTTTTTCGCCAACCGCAAAAGCAGAAAAAACTGAAATTTTTTGTTTTTTTCCGCTCAGTAAGAGGAGACCTTCCCTCCTTGTGCGCTATTTTCTTAGAGTTTCATTCAGAAAAATAATCTAAGAAATTTATATTTTTCTGGGTTTTCCATTTTGCGGTTAGCGAAATAGAAGAAATATGGGTCTCGTGGGTGTGATTGGCCAGTAAGGTATATTTTCCGAGGGTAAGTTTTTGGGCGTTTGTGTAGTCGTTTAGAATGACAGATATTTCCTCTTTGGGAAAATCAATGGAATTAGATGCGATGAGGTGAAAAATATTGACATTTTTTTTTAAAAATAAAAAATTTACGTAGTCAATACAAGGAGCATAGCCTGTTATCACCATCATTTCTTCATGTTATGACTGGATGAAATAGCTATTATTAAGATTAGTAACTAGTTGAAACATTTTGTTGAAGTGATTTTGTTTGTTTATTTGTTTTTTTGCTTAAGTAATGTCAGGGTACAAAGAACTAGAGCATAAAGCGGCAGGTCACGACGGGACTTTGACAGATGAAGATGGATTACTAATATTTAAACCATTAAACGAACAAGAATTACAGTTTTATAAAGATGTACAGCAGCAATCTGTAGCGAATCAGGATAAAGAGGAGGACGGAGATGTTCCTTTGGAATCATGGATTCCAGTGTTTTTAGGGGTCTTAGATGAAGGACATAATGTACCGAAGAATTTGTCAAAGGATGTTCAGATTGTAGATGGTGGTGAAGATTTAGTAGGTCTAGTTATGCATAAAGAAGATCAGAATGAAGTCGATACTCGAGAAAAGAGATTCTTAGTTCTTCAAAATTTAACAGCAGGTTTTAAAAAACCAAACATTATCGATATAAAACTAGGGAAATTATTGCATGACGACAACGCTACAGAAGTCAAAAAACAGCGTCTTTTAGAAGTAAGTCAGACTACCACATCAGGTTCACTTGGTTTTAGAATTTGTGGGATGAGAATTCAAGCAAATGAACGGACTTCAAATCTCGGAATAGATCATCATGAATTGCAACCTGATGGAGAATATATATTCATTAACAAAATGTTTGGTAGAACTAGAACACCGAGTGATGTTGTAGATGCATTTGAAACATATTTTGCAAATTCTTCTCTTAATATTGAAAGACGGGGTACTTTGAAAAAACTATTCTTTCAAAGATTACAATTATTTTATAATACAATTTTAAATTCAGAAGTTCGCATGATATCGAGTAGTCTTCTCTTTGTTTATGAAGGTGACTCTTCGCGATGGGATTCTCAAAATGATGAAGACGCTCTTATAAGTGATGATTTTATTGATTATGAGGATGACGAAGATTCAGATAGTGATGAACTTCCATCTAAAACGCCTTTAAGTTTAATGGCTTTAATCGATTTTGCACATTCAAAGGTTACTAAAGGTGCTGGATATGATGAAAACGTGATAGAGGGTGTAGAAAGTTTATTGAATGTTTTCGCAAAATTAAATGAACCCTCTATATAGCATTAAAATATTGTTTATTTAAAATGTGCAGGTAATATTCAAATTCATAGAAAATTAAACTAGTTTGTAATTTTTTTTCCCTTATTATAGATCTTTACATAATAATATACAAAAGTAAAAAGAATGAATGCCATTTGTTATAGTTTTGTTTTGAGTTTCATTTTATTTTACTTGATCAAAAAAATTTATTCATATTTTCCCTTTTTAATCAAGTAATTTGACAATTTTACCGATAGCGATAGTAGTACCTTGATCTCTCAAAGTGAATCTACCTAATTGTGGATAGTCATCGTAAGTTTCGACACAAACAGGAGCTTCAGTTTCCAAAACAGCAATAATTTTCATACCCTTCTTGGCAAAAGCAGGTGGTTTCTTAGACTTACGGTTAGTACCCTTTTCTAATTTATGTAATAATCTTGTAATTTGAACTTCTTCGATGGCAGTATGGACATGCATCACACAGGAGAAACCTGCGGACATAATAGATTTCAATTCAACAATAGCAAGTTGAGCAACAAATCTGGTGACAGATCTGATAGGATTCTTTGGAGAGGTCAATACGAAACCGGGTTGAATATCTTCTTCTTCGACACCCTTAATTCTTAGTTTGACTTGTTCACCACAAACAGCCATCTCGACTTCACTTTCAGTTTCATTGTAAATATTTTGAATTTCAATAGAAATTTTGTTTGGCATCAATAATGTAGATTGACCCTTCTTAATATGACCAGATTCAATCTTACCTTCAACTACGGTACCCATGTCCTTCATCTTAGAGGAAACTGGAAGCATGAAAGGAGCGTTGATATGACGATCGACGTGAGTCATACTATCTAGGTAGTTTAGAAGAGTTGGACCCTTGTACCATGGACATACCTTTGGATCAACTGGATCTTTTAGACCAGCACCAGTATAACCAGAAACAGGCATGAAAATCATATCATCCTTACCGTAGCCAATAGCCTTTAGATAATTAGACAAGTTCTTAACACATTGGTCGTAACGTTCTTGGGACCAGTCAACAGTTGGATCATCCATCTTGTTAACAACAACAATCATTTTGCTGACACCTTGGGTCTTAGCCAATAGAGAATGTTCACGAGTTTGACCACCCTTTTCGAAACCGGTTTCATATTCACCCTTTCTAGCAGAAATAACAAGAATACCTACATCAGCTTGAGAAGCACCACCAATCATTTCAGAGACATACATCTTGTGACCTGGCGCATCCAAAATGGTATAACGTCTTTTCTCAGTTTCAAAATAAGCTCTACCGACTTCGATAGTCTTACCATCATTTCTTTCTTCTTTGTTAGTATCCATAACCCAGGACAAGTACCAACCTTGTCTACCAGCATCCTTGGCTTCTCTTTCATACTTTTCGACAGTTCTCTTATCAACAGAACCAGTCAAGTAAAGCAAGTTACCACCCATAGTAGACTTACCTGCATCGACGTGACCCATGAAAATGATAGACATGTGATCTTTACCACCAAACATATCGTTAACGACTTCGGCGTCAACTTCATCTTCTTGTTCTTTAATTAAAGCATCAACACCATCTTCCTTCTTTGGAGCTGGAGTTGGAGCTTCATCAGAGATCTTTAGAGCCTTTACATCTGGTAATGATTCTTCGGTTTTAGTAACTTCTGGTTTGGTTTCACTTTCGACAGCATCAGTCTTTGGAGCTTCAGTAGGCTTTGGAGCTTCTTCCTTCTTTGGAGCATTACCTAGCTTGATACCAGAACTAGAGACTAGTTTCAAGGTCTTCTTAACCTTTGGTGCAGCAGTTTTGGTTTGTTGCTTTTGGTAGTCATCTAAAGACATACCTTGAGATTGTTGGCCATTATTAGCTTGGTAACCACCTTGTTGGTTGTAGTTTTGGTAACCACCTTGTTGGTTGTAGTTTTGGTAGCCACCTTGTTGATTGTAGTTTTGGTTGTAGTTCTTCTTGTAACCTTGTTGGTTGTAATTTTGTTGACCACCTTGTTGGTTATATTGTTGGTATCCACCTTGTTGTGGTTGATATTGTTGTTGGTTGTATTGTTGGTAACCTTGTTGTGGTTGGAACTGTTGTTGGTTGTACTGTTGGTAACCTTGTTGTGGTTGGAACTGTTGTTGGTTGTATTGTTGGTAGCCTTGTTGAGGTTGGTACTGTTGTTGGTTGTACTGTTGGTATCCACCTTGTTGGTTATATTGTTGATAACCACCTTGTTGGTTTTGATTCTGGTTGTAGTCACCTTGATTAGACATGTTTCCGCAAGTATATCAGTCTTATATAGGGTTGATGCTAATAAAGAAAAGAAAAGTCTTTATATAAATATTATTAATCTTGTCTTTTGAATCATATAATCAAAACTAGTTAAGTTATATGTATTCTATAATATTATGAGAAAATGAAAATTTTTCGTCCTATGGGTTTTGGCTATTTGACCAAATTTTTCACTATTTTTTGCGCTGCGTGAAAAAATAAACCGCGTTTGTTCAAAAATTAGTGATGACGTTGAAATTGTTAACAATAATTAATTTATACTATCAACATCATCTTTTTTCATTTGTACTAGTTTTGCTATGTTACATTCATGTTAGGTATATATGTATATAATTCTAGATAATATTGTCATTAAGGATAAAGAGAGTCGATTAATTAGATTTCAGTGACTGGATTTGGATTTTGTTCAAATTCAAGTTCAGCATCTGGGATATCTTCAATAGTAATTCTCTTCTTTGGTTTTGGTTTTTCTGTTGAGGCTAATTTTGGAACTTTAATTTGTAAAAGACCATTAGAATAAGTAGCCTTGATTTCTTCATCTTGAATACGTGGCAACACTGGAAACTTAACTGTTCTTTCAAACGCACCATATTTGATTTCAGTGATCTTTAGAAATTGTTCTTCTATACCCAATCTGTCAATGACTTTACCTTTGACTAATAATTCATGAGATGATGGATGATAGTCGATCTTAAATGATTTGGAGTTAGCACCTGGTAAAGCTAGGACCACAACATAAGCATCATCTAAGTTGTAAACATTAACTTCCGGAGAGAAAGGTAAATCCAATCTTGTTTCTGGTTTTGAAATTTGTAATGGATCAGGTATCGGGGTTGGTGCAGATAAATGAGCAAATGATCTATTTGGTTTTTCTAAGTTACCAGTCTTAGTAGCTGGTGGTGGAGTTGTTCTTTCAGGTTCTGGTTGAACGATAGACTCCTTTGTCTCTTCAGGAGCAGCGGCCTCGTCAATATCATTACCTTCTTCCTTTTCTTCATCTTCGTCTACGTCAGCATAACCTTTAGCTGTCTCGATTGGACCTGCCCCACCCATCAATGCATTCAAAATATCAGTTAATGATGGTTGTTCTTGTTCATAATCTCTATTACGTTTCCCAGATTCATCATGGTAATAAGAAGGATATTCTTCATTGTTCTCATTATCTTCTAGTTGATCTTTCTTATTGTTTTCTTCATCATTTTCTTCCATATCTTCATCAGGATATTCATATTGAGGACTATAATAATAGCCTTGCTGAGGCATTCTAGAGAATCCGTAGTTTGGAAGACCGAATGATGGTTGGAATGGATCAGTACCTGGGAAACCAAACGAAGGAGGTCCATGACGATGACGAGGATGATGTTCGTGAGGATGAGAACCAAATGGACCGTGACCATGTCCACCAAATGGATGTGGATGGCGATGACCATGAGGTGGACCACGAGCTCCAAATGGAAGTTGAGCACCACGAGGAGGTCCCTGTGGTTGTTGTGGTTGCTCGTTTCTAGCACCATTCTGGCTAGCTAGTGCGTTTAAAACGTCATATAACGATAAAGATGGTTGATAGAAACTCATAATGTTAGACAATTAAAGTAAAATAAAATAAAATAGTTATTGAGTTCAATTATAGTAATGAAAAACTTTAAATAATATCACTCTCGATTAATATAAGATTGAATTTTCAACTATTTAACCAGGTGCTAAAAAACTATTTATTACAAAAATAATATGAAATTGAAAATTAAATAAACTTACCTTGTTTATATAAGAAATGGTTCAATCGAGTTTTACCACCCTTCCTTACTTAACCTGTCCCCGGTTTAATTCCTTATTGCCTTGTTCCGCCACCCCTTAAAATATCACACACTCACAGAGTTATTTTAATTTTATTGTGAGCCGGATGGATAAATGTCACATAGTTTCTACCCGCGCCACCACCACCGGGGGGAGTGCAGTAGGCGGGACGAGCTCTCTCCGTGTAAATGTGAAGGAGACAAAAACCCGAATAATAATTAGTATGCGAAGCGAAGAGATATATGTTTGTTCTATAAGTTTCCATGCATACTTTGTATGTTGTATATTAGATAACTGAGAGCTTTGTGACAGGTTATCTTTCGAGAACATTCTAGATTTGTCAATGCAGTCTGTATTGCTAGATGTGGTTAACTGTATAAACAGGTTGGGGTTAGCTTGATCGTACTTTAGTTGTTCAGGAGAGAAAACCTGATCGTCTTGTATTTTTTGGGGGGGAAGGTTTTTAACATCGTGTAGCAGAAAACAAAGGCTTTTCGTGACATATATCTTTTCTGGAGGGTTTCTTGTTTGAGATGTATAGGTGGTTGGCCTTTGTTTGCAGTTTAGGCGTACGTATGTATTTTGGCTTTTGGGTGTATGGTTATCACTATTGTTTTTTTATTTACGTTTTGCATTAAGTAAGTAGCTTTTGTAATGAACACCAGATGGAAAAAAATTTAACAATTCGTTGAAAATAGAGTATATTTTGAAAAAAAACATTAACTTTAATTCTATAGTTCCAATTTTTCTTGAATGTCAAGATGGACGAACCAAGGATGTTATTAAACAATGGCGCTTTTTTTTGTAATTTTCGAAACAGAAATATGCCACTTTTGAAATTTCAGTTCAAAATTTAATATAATTCTTGACAAAATGGAAAATGGGCTTCTTAGTCACATACCCAGCAGATGAGTAAGTAATACATTTTGTACCGGGACCGAACAGTTTATTATAATTCATTATATGCCCCCCTATGTAGCTGGGTTTCTTTACGTGTTACACAACCATTATTGAAAATGGAGCAACGTATATATGAGAATATTGAATACATTGTGTGTATATTTATTGTGCTGCTTGAACAATACGCCAATCGCTAACAGCAGAGCTCATTCCCCTTCTTCAAGAGTGAGAAAATAAGGAATGTAAAGATATATAGTTCATATAATTTTGCAATTGATTTTGCTTTATATACAAACTGTATCCAAATCAACATTTGAATTGTGTTAGAAAAAGCTTGCTGTAACATAGACTTGCTATTTCAAACATACAGCTGTCGGAAAACTGGGAATTAGAAAATAATAATAGTATATATATTTACTGTAGGTCAGGACTAGGTGTCCGTTGCCAGCAGCAGAGCTCCTCCCCCTCCTATCAGAGAGAGATGTGAGAAAGTGTAATATATAATTCTATATAATTTGGAAAACGGGTTCCTTTATATACAGAAATTTTCACAGCAATATCGCATTGTACGAAGATCACTGTGTGTCACACTGTGATATAATTTCCAACAACAGCAGATAGTTAAGCGGGCGAAATGAAAAGGAATAATTATTTAATATGCTATGAATTGTTTGTAATTTTCACCTAAGACTTTCCTAATAAATATGAAATATAAATTCAGATTACAAAAATTTAAATAAAGTTATTTTAAATTAAATCTACCTATAAAATGTAAAAGAAAATTCGTTATGAAGGATATTCAAACGTAAAATTCAAAATTTTATTCCATTGAAATACATCAAACATTTTTCGTAGAAATTGAAAATGGTTGTATAGTGTAGTGGTTATCACTGTCGGTTTTGATCCGACCAACCCCGGTTCGAATCCGGGTACGACCTATCTTTTTGGACCCTAAAATTTCATCAACCGTTCTTTTTTCTTATTTGTACATATTTTCATGCTGGTTGGCCGTATCTCGATTCATAGTAACAAACAAATTACCCAATTGATTATCTCGACCTGGATCAACAATAACAAAAACTACCAAATCACATTGCAAAGAAATATATGAATCTATATATATGGCCATATATTATGAATATTACTCTATTCTTTTACTCCTAATTTCCCGCTTTTCTTCTTCTGAAAATAACGCAGCGAGAGTTGCAAAATATTCAGAAAGCGTATTATACTACCAAAAACAAACAAACAAACAAACGAACAGTAAAGCGTGAGAAGTAGTTTTTTCTTGTTTAGTCTGTAGAAACTGTTTGGAATATGGGATGGTTTATCTTGATTAATATTTTAAGCCTCTAACGTGTCAAAATATTAAAATTTGAAAAAAGTGATTCGATTTAGAAAATACATTATTTAATTTTTATATTATATTAGTGAAATTTTGAAATAGGTTATCATCTTTTTGCTTACTATTATTAATTGAAACATCTTTCTCCTATTTAATATTTCATATAATTGTGTCTAAGTTTCTCCCTTTTAGTTAAGATAATAGCATTGCACTAGATAGTGAAAGATAAATCTCCGGGTATATTTATATACATACTGAAAGAGAAATTAATTAAGGATGTCAGACCAAACCAATCATGAGGAGAATGATTTACAAGAGAGTGTATCTTCTGTGAATCTCAATTCTGATGATGCTTCCTCATTTGCTGAACCACAGCCTCCCAATGAGGTTGAAGAAGATAATAATAGTGGAGCAGATGGAGAAAATACAGAAGCACAAGAGGAAGAAAACGAAGAAGAGCAACAACAAGACACTACTACGGAAGAGCCGATTGCTTCCCACGATAATGATAATGATGATGATGTTAATAATAATGGAGAAGAACGGACAGAAACTGAAACTCATCAAAAAGAAGTAGAAGAAGTAGAAGAAGTAGAACAAGTATCAGAACAACATGATAATGAAACTACGAATCATACCCAAATAACATCTAACCACGTTAGAAATGTATCTACTGCATCAACGACGATTGCTTCTAATGCAAAATCAACTTTATTACTTGTTAAGACTACATTAGAAGAACTTGTAGATGAGAAAGAAGTTAAAAAGATTCCAGGCACCCATAAAATTATTCAAAGGACTATTACAAAAATTGAAGATACATTGAAGGAATCAAATAATTCATCCATAGAGGTAGATTCAATCTTATTGTTTGAAGCTCTACGAGCTGCCTCGAGAACAAAATCATCTCGTATCACAAGTAAATCATTAGACACATTATCAAAATTATTCTCATTTAGAGCAATAGATGAAGCAATATTGGTTAATCCTCCTGATTCAATGGCCTCTAATGACCAAGAAGCTACAAATGATAATAGTGGAATTACACCTCCACCAAAACAAAGATTAATTGATGCTGCCATTGATACAATTGCTGATTGTTTCCAAGGCGAAGGAACAGATGAAAGAGTAGAATTACAAATTATAAGATCATTATCAGGTTGTATTTTAGTAGAAGATGAAAATTCATTATGTCACGGTGCTTCTTTATTAAAAGCTATTAGAACTATCTACAATATCTTTGTCTTTTCTTTAAACCCAACAAATCAAGGGATTGCCCAGGCTACATTAACACAAATAATTACTGCTGTCTATGATAAAATCGAAATTAAAAAGATTCAACCATATCAAGTATCAATTAATGAATCGAAAAAGAGTTTACCTTCATCTGATGTAACAGGTAATGATCCAATAACATTACAGAATATGGAAAATCTTAATGACGAAGAAGAAAGAAGAATGGATGCACAACAATACGATGATGTAAGTGAAGATGAACAATTAGATAAAAACGCCTCAGAGAAAGATTTGGCTATTAAAGATGCATTCCTGGTATTCAGAGCTATGTCAAAAATATGTGCCAAACCTCTAGAGAGTGAACTTGACATGAGATCACATGCTGTTAGATCAAAATTACTTTCTTTACACATAATATACTCCATTATAAAGGATCATGTAGATATTTTTTTGTCGTCAGATGTAATTTTACCTGGTAAAGAATCTGTTTCATTAATGAATGCCGTTAGACAATATTTATGTTTGTCTTTATCTCGTAATGCTGCCTCCCCAATACCGCCTGTATTTGAAATTACTCTGGAAATTATGTGGTTAATTATTGCTAATCTAAGAGCTGATATGGTGAAAGAAATTCCTGTATTTTTAACTGAAATTTATTTCCCGATTACTGAATTAAAAACAGCTACATCACAACAAAAGAGATACTTTTTAACTGTTATTCAAAGAATTTGTAACGACCCAAGGACACTAATTGAATTTTATTTAAACTATGATTGTAATCCAGGTATGCCTAATATTATGGAGATTATGGTCGATTATTTAACAAAATTGGCTTTAACCAGAGTTGAAATTACTCCAACTCAAAGATCATACTATGAAGAACAATTATCGAAGCCATTGTCAACATTTAATTTCGATGAATTACCTTTGTTAACAACATCAACACTTCCATCAAATATCGATCCAAATCAAGGAGCATTGTTGTTCCCTGTTGATTTTGCCCTTAAAATGACAGCCTTAAACTGTACCATTTCAATTCTAAGGTCCTTAGGTTCGTGGGCTCACAAAGCATTAAATCCAAATGCTCATGTCGTTAATCCTGCTAAAAATAATAACCAATTGGGACAATCAATGGATGGAGCAAATACGAATACTTCATTAACTTTAGGAGATGAAAATTCTGCCAGTGAAAGTAATGTCAATATTAACCAATTGCAAGATGTTGATGACCCTACACAATTCGAGAATCTAAAACAAAGAAAAACTCAGTTATCAGATAGTGTTGCTATCTTTAACAACAAACCGAAGAAGGCCATTCCAGGCTTAATTTCCAGAGGATTCATAAATGATGACTCCCCAAGCTCCATTGCCAAATGGCTTCTAGAAACAGATGGTCTTGATAAAACTGTTGTTGGTGATTACTTAGGTGAAGGTAACGAGAAGAACATTGCTGTGATGCATGCATTTGTCGAAGAATTCGATTTCAAAGGATTATCCATTGTAGATGCACTACGTGATTTCTTACAAGCATTCAGACTTCCAGGTGAAGGTCAGAAGATTGATAGATTTATGTTAAAGTTTGCTGAAAGGTTTGTGGAACAAAACCCAGGTGTTTTCTCTAAAGCTGACACTGCATATGTGTTATCATATTCATTAATTATGTTGAATACAGATCTCCACTCCTCTCAAATTAAAAGAAAAATGACTCTTGAAGAATTCTTAGACAATAACAGAGGTATCGATAACGGCCGTGATTTACCAGAAGAATTTTTGGTTGGCTTGTTTAAAGAAATAGAAGGTAATGAGATTAAATTGTTATCTGAACAACATCAAGCCATGTTATCTGAGGATAATACTGCTACAATCGGCACTCCGCAAGCTCAACCTGCTTTTAACTTTTTCAGTTCGAGGGACTTAGCCAGAGAATCATACTTGCAAGTCTCTAAGGAAATATCATCCAAGACGGAACTTGTCTTCAAAAATCTAAGTAAATCTAAAGGTAAACAAGATACCGAAGTTTATTATGCTGCTTCTCATTTTGAACATGTCAAGTCCATTTTTGAAACTTTATGGATGTCGTTTTTGGCAGCATTAACTCCTCCATTTAAAGATTATGATGATATTGAAACTACAAACAAATGTTTAGAGGGTTTAAAGATTTCCATTAAAATCTCATCAATCTTTGTTCTTGATGACGCTAGAAAATCATTTATTGGTGCATTAGTACAATTCTGTAATCTACAAAACGTTCAAGAAATTAAAGTGAAGAATGTCAATGCCATGGTTGACCTTTTAGAAATTGCATTGGCTGAAGGTAACTACTTGAAGGATTCATGGAAGGATGTCATCTTAGTTGTATCACAGATGGAAAGATTGCAGTTGATATCGAAGGGTATTGATAGGGACACCGTTCCGGATGTTGCTCAGGCACGCCTTGTTAATCCACGTGCATCATTAGAATCAACAAGATCTGCAAATCAATCCATTTTCGATATTTGGGGTAAGAAATCAACTCCAATGGAATTAGCCCAAGAAAAGCACCATAACCAGAAACTTTCTTCGGAAATGTCTAAATTCATTTCTTCCAGTGACTTGGTGGTTCTAATGGATAATATTTTCACTAAGAGTTCAGAGTTGTCCGGTAATGCTATTATTGATTTTATTAAAGCACTTACTGCAGTCTCCTTGGATGAGATTGAATCATCTCAAAACGCATCTACTCCTCGTATGTTTTCGTTACAAAAAATGATTGACGTCTGTTATTACAACATGGATCGTATTAGACTTGAATGGACACCATTATGGGCCGTTATGGGTAGTGCATTTAATAAAATTGCTACCAATCCAAATTTGGCTATTGTATTTTTCGCCATTGATTCATTACGTCAATTATCAATGAGATTCTTAGATATTGATGAATTATCAGGTTTTGAATTTCAATCTGATTTCTTAAAACCATTTGAATATGCTGTTCAAAACACAACAAATACTGAAGTGCAAGAGATGATTATTGAATGTTTCCGTAATTTCATTTTAACAAAACAACAACATATCAAGTCAGGTTGGAAACCTATCCTTGAATCATTACAATATACTGCTGCTTCCAATGATGAAAGAATTGTTTTGAAAACACAAAGACTTGTCGGTGATGATATTGTCGGTAAGAATTTTGAAAGCGTCTTTGGTCAAGAAGGTGCATTTTATGAATTGGTTGGTATCTTTAAAGAGATTACGAAGAATAAAAAATATCAAAAGGCTGCTTTACATGCATTAGAATCTCTGAAAAGAATCACCGAACAAATTGCTAAAATTTGCTTTATTAATGATGATACTAATGGTAATACTAAGATTGATACAGAGACACGTGAACATTATGAACAATTATTACGTGGTAAAGATGTATTCCAAGATGTATGGTTCCCAATGTTATATTGTTTTAATGAAACAATTATGACAGCTGATGATTTAGAAGTACGTTCTCGTGCATTAAATTATATGTTTGATTCTTTAGTTGCTTATGGTGGAGAATTTGATGATGCCTTTTGGGAAAAAATTTGTACAAAATTGTTATTCCCAATCTTTGGTGTCTTATCAAAACATTGGGAGGTTAATCAATTTAATAGTCATGATGAATTAAGTGTTTGGTTATCAACAACATTAATCCAAGCATTAAGAAATTTAATTGCATTATTTACACACTATTTTGAATCATTGAGTGGATTATTAGATGGCTTTTTAGATCTATTAGTATCGTGTATTTGTCAAGAGAATGATACAATTGCTAGAATTGGTAGATCATGTTTACAAGAATTAATTTTACAAAATGTTGATAAATTTAATGAAACACATTGGCAACATATTGGTGAAGTATTTACTAAACTATTCCGTTTAACAACAGCTAATGAATTATTTGATAACGATCCTTTACGTCAAGGAAGACGTGCATCAAATGTTAACAATCATAATAATATTGAAGGTACACAAGAAACTGTTGAAAGAGCTCATGTTGAAGCAGGTAGTGAAGATGTTGGTGGTGAAACAGCAGAAAATGAAGAACAACAACAACAACAGGAAGAAGTAGAAGTTGAATCAAAACCAGTGAATTTATCAACTCCTGAACAAAGAAAGTTACAAGAAGATGATACACAAGATACACGTCGTCGTCGGATAAATATAAAGAACAGTATTGTTGTTAAATGTGTTCTTCAATTATTAATGATTGAATTATTAAATGAATTATATGAAGATGAAAATTTTGCACGTTGTATTCCATATAATGAATCAATTAGACTTACTGAATTATTGGAACAATCTTATGGTTTTGCAAGAGATTTTAATGCAGATTATGGTTTACGTACGCGGCTTGTTGAAGCACGTGTTGTTGATAAGATACCAAATTTATTAAAACAAGAGACAAGTGCAGCAGCTGTATTAATTGATATAATGTTTAAATTATATTTCAATAGCAATGATGACGAAGAATCTAAGAATATTGAATTACTAGACAGATTAGTTCATATTTGTAGTGGAGTTGTTAGTGCATATGTTGCATTAGATGATAGAACAATGGAACGTAGTATTAATTCATGGCGTCCCGTCATTGTTGAAATTCTACAAGGCTATTATGAATTAGATGATGATGATTTCCGTAAACATTGTTCTGCTATGTATACTTTAATCATTGAAATTTTAGATAAGAGTGTTCCACAAGATTTACGTTATGCGATCAAATTATTCCTTGGCCGTGTTGGAACTTTATACCTTGAGAAGTAGTAATTGAGAATATATATATATATATATTGTATAGTAGGAAATAAACAAAAAACACAAGTAAAACAACAAATAATAATTATTAATATATTTCGTGTCCTTTAGTCCTTATATATGTACTAATAATAATGTATCATGGGCGGCAAAAACTTTAAAGAAAATAAAAAGAACAGAGAACCCATGCCAACGTACAATGTGACACACAGGGTAACTGTTCTAACTCACAAACAAAGTTGAAAGAATCCTTTATTAATGTAAAAACTGGAAATATTTGAATGGAACTATACTAATTTCCCATGGGAAAAACCACAGACACACAAACAGTTTCTCAATCTTTCAGCAAAAAAAATACAATAAAATCGTTTTAATCGCACGAAGAATGTACCGGTAACCGCGATAAACGATGCAAAAAAACCAAACAAAATGCTTAGCGGTCCAAAGGCCCAGATTGACCAACACAATGAGGTCATGCATATGACCCAGGGAGAGAAAAAAAGAGCGCGCGCGCGGGACGATTAAAAACAAGAACAACACGCAAACAAAGATAAAGGCGAGCTCGTTTCCCTCGCTGGATTACTGTGGTTTGTTCAGTCACACGTTTATTGTTCGTTTTGTTGAGCAGGAAACACTTCATCGTGGTTTTCTCTTTTGTGAAATGCGAAAGTATAGAAATTTCACATGCTTAGTGATAAAATCGTAGTTTGTTTGTTTATGCGGTCGTGCCGCGTGATGTTTCTCGCCTTATATTGTGGTTCAGAAGAGACACCAAAGAGAGAGAGTCACAGTTTAAAGAGAATGACGGTAGGCCGGTTGCGCTAAGTTCTCTGTCTGCCTGCCTGTCTATTCTTGTACCGGATAAACCGAGACACGGTCGCTGTTTTACGTACTCGTTTGGTGGGAAATAAATTGATAGCAGCGATTTCGTTACTGACTCGAGGCGTTCGTGATTTTGTTTTATTTTATTTTTTTTTTTCATTCCTACACAGTCAGCTCGGGCTGATGGGAGGGAAAAATAGATAGGGAAAATGACATAAGTGCGATATACTCAGACGACAAAATATAGGATATTTACTGAAAAGTTTCAATTGCATACTACTAGCGCGTTTAAATATATATATATAAAGAAATAGAGAAGAGATGCATTAACCTGACTTATTTTTTACAAGTCTTCTTCCCTTTTTTTTTCCCTTTTGATCTTAAACGTTATAATTACAATTATTTTTAAAAACACACGCAAGTTTTAACAAAAACATACATACAAAAAGTAATAATGACAGGAAGAGAACATTCTACTGTTCATGAAGCACATCATGTTCGTGCTAGACAAGCACCACAGCATTTTTATAATTCCCAACCTGGTCCAGCCTATGTTCATGATATGGAAACTTATAAACAAATGTATAAAGAATCTATTGAACAACCTGAAGAATTTTTTGGTAAAATGGGTCGTGATTTCTTACATTGGGATAGACCGTTCACTAAAGTTCAATCAGGTTCTCTAGAAAATGGTGATGTTGCTTGGTTTTTAAATGGTGAACTAAATGCATCTTATAATTGTGTTGATAGACACGCTTTTGCTAATCCAAATAAACCTGCTCTTATTTATGAAGCTGATGATGAATCAGAAAATAAAGTTATTACTTTTGGTGAATTATTAAGAGAAGTATCAAAAGTCGCAGGTGTTTTAAAAAGTTGGGGTGTTAAGAAAGGTGATACTGTCGCAGTTTATTTACCAATGATTCCTTCAACTGTTATTGCTATGCTTGCAATTGCTAGACTTGGTGCAGTTCACTCTGTTATCTTTGCTGGGTTTTCTTCTGGTTCAATGAAAGATCGTATTGTTGATGCTGGTTGTAAAGTTTTAATTACTTGTGATGAAGGTCGTAGAGGTGGTAAGACTATTCATACAAAAAAAATTGTCGATGAAGGTTTAAATGGCGTCGATTCAGTTTCTCACATCCTTGTCTTTCAAAGAACTGGTACTGAAGGTATTCCAATGAAAGCAGGTAGAGATTTTTGGTGGCACGAAGAAATTGCTAAACAAAGAGGTTATTTACCACCCGTATCTTGTAATTCTGAAGATCCTTTATTTCTTTTATATACTTCAGGTTCTACAGGTTCTCCTAAAGGTGTGGTTCATTCTACTGGTGGTTATTTATTAGGTGCAGCTTTAACCACTAGATACGTCTTCGACATTCATCCAGAAGATGTCTTATTCACTGCAGGTGATGTTGGTTGGATTACTGGTCATACTTATGCTTTGTATGGTCCATTAGCTCTAGGGACTACATCAATTATCTTTGAATCTACTCCTGCTTATCCAGATTATGGTAGATATTGGAGAATTATTGAACGTCATAAAGCTACTCATTTCTATGTTGCCCCAACTGCATTAAGATTAATTAAACGTGTAGGTGAACAAGAAATTGGTAAGTACGATATCTCTTCATTAAGAGTCTTAGGTTCAGTTGGTGAACCAATTTCTCCTGAATTATGGGAATGGTATCATAAGACTATTGGTAATGAAAATTGTGTCATTTGTGATACTATGTGGCAAACTGAGTCTGGTTCTCATTTAATTGCTCCATTAGCTGGTGCAGTACCAACTAAACCAGGTTCTGCATCTGTACCATTCTTTGGTGTTAATGCAGCTATCATTGATCCTGTTACTGGGGTCGAATTAGAAGAAAATGATGTCGAAGGTGTTCTTGCTGTCAAATCTCCATGGCCTTCAATGGCTAGATCCATATGGAATAACCATGCCCATTATATCAATACATACATGAAACCTTACCCAGGTTATTATTTCACAGGGGATGGTGCCGGTAGAGATCATGATGGTTATTACTGGATTAGAGGTAGAGTTGATGATGTTGTTAACGTTTCTGGTCATAGATTATCAACTGCTGAAATTGAAGCTTCTTTAGCTAACAATGAAGCTGTCTCTGAATCTGCCGTCATCGGTATCACTGATGAACTTACAGGTCAAGCCGTCATTGCTTTTGTCTCATTAAAGAATCAAACTCACCCGGCAAATCCATTAGAAAATGAATCTCCAATGGCTGATTTACATCGTGAATTGATTTTACAAGTCAGAGGTGAAATTGGTCCATTTGCTTCTCCAAAATGTATTATCATCGTTAAGGATCTACCAAAGACAAGATCAGGTAAAATAATGAGAAGAGTACTAAGAAAAGTCGCTTCTAATGAAGCTGATCAATTAGGTGATTTATCAACTTTAGCTAATGCTGATATTGTTCCATCTATTATCGATGCTGTTAACGTACAATTCTTAAACAAACAAAAGAAGTAAGTAAGTTGTATTTAGTGGGAGTATCACGAAACATAGACTCTCATAACAATGTGTATTTTCTCTCTCTCTTCTTCTTTTGCATAAAAATGAAAACAACAACAACGAATCTCAAGTTTTAAAATTTGTTTTTAAATATTAAAACCAAACCAATTACATCTGAAAGGCAAACAAACTAAACATCCAATTCATTTGTTACTACTATTCCTTTCTTGTACATATATATTATCTACACATACATATATTACAACTAACTCCAACAAACCTCTTTTTATATTTATATTTATATTTATACAAACTTATTTTTATTCACAAACTATACCAATTTCCTTTAAAAGTCATCGATGATTGCTCATCTCTTTCATTCCCCCCACTCTCAGCCGTGTCGGTATTACAATGCGGGATCATAAAACGCACACTATTGTACGGCTGTTTCAGTCGAGTGATCGGACTCAAAAAATGAGTGGGTAATATATTCTTATAATATAAGTGATCTTTACAGCTCACGGCTCTCTTTGGTATTTGTGCCCTCCCACATTCTCACCCCCACATAACAAAGGAGATATTTTTCATTTGGGCTTTTCATTATATAAAGGTATACTGATAAATGGAGGAAACCTTGGAACTATTTCGTAAAGGTTTTCTGTCAGGTTGGTGTAGCTTGCTACATTATTTTTGACTTTGGAGGTTAGAAGAGTTATGAGATGCCCAATTTTATAGAAACCGATACATATACATATTATACACACTAGGATGAGTTTAGATGTTGGTGCTGCAATATATATTGCAATAAAACCAATCTTAAAGATTTATGCTATTATGTTCATTGGGTTTCTATTAGCCAGATATAATATTGTTTCAATGGAGGTTGCTAGAGGTATATCGAATATGGTAGTGAACGCAATATTACCGTGTTTGACTTTTAATAAGATTGTAAGTAATATTTCATGGAAGGATATAAAAGTTATTGGTGTAATTTTACTTTCTGCAATTTTATTATTTGCTGTAGGTGGTGCCTGCTCATTAATAACAAAATTTATTACACCAGCACCAAAATTATGGTTTTGGGGTTTATTATTCGGTGGAATCTTCCCAAATATTTCGGATTTACCAATTGCTTATATGCAAAGTATGGGTAATGGTATGATCTTTAATGAAGATCAAACTAATAAAGGTGTTGCATACTCTTGTATATTTTTATTTGCTCAGAGTTTCCTGATGATGAATTTTGGTATGTGGAGACTAGTTGGATTAGATTTTAAGGATATACAAAAAGATACCGACTCCGACACAGACACAGACACCGATGCCTGTATTATTCGAGATATTAATAGCGATGATCAATTAGATAGTGAGTCTGAGGGGAAAAATTCCTCACGAACTTCTCAAGACGGTTCTTCTTTTACTGACTTCCAGAAAAATTTAAAATTACCAACTGTTCATGTTAGTACAAGGTACACACACGAACAGTATGATGTACCCCATCATAGTGACATGGATACAAACTCTGATGCGTTTGAATTATACAGTATTGACAGTTATCTTGATTCCGAATACGATGGCGTTGACAACAACGATAATAATAATAATAATAACAATAATTATATCAATGAAAATGCATCTCCACAACTAGATCAAGGAGGTTCTAGAAAACATATTACTGCAAAAAAAGATGGCGCACCCCTGTCGTATTATGGAATGAATAAAATTGCTCCAGTTATATCATCTCCAGCTGCTCTGAGAACTCATAAAATTTCATTATCTAATAACAAGGAACCACAGTTTAATCTTGCAAGAAAATTATCAATTACAAGAGCATTAGGGAAATCTTTGACAAGGACCCAAACTGGGAAATCCGTGGCAAATAGTATGATAGCAGAATATAGTGCAGTACGAAGAATAAAATCTGGTCAACTTGATTTGCATCGCCCACTAACATTAACCCAATATATCGGAGAAGAAAACACTTGTTTAGGTTCAATATGTGACGAACAATCGTCTGTATCACATGATATTGAGAATATACCGCATAGTACGGTGTCACAAAATACTACTAATATTAATAATTTAAGCGAGGTTCATGAAAACAAGAAGAAGACCACACCAATGATGAAAAAAATAAGGATAAAGCTTTCAAAATTCATCAGACGGTATCATTTAAGTTGGGTATCTTATTTTTTGATCAATTGTTTAAGACCTGCATCCCTGGGTGCATTACTTGGTATTATATGTGCATTAATACCATGGGTAAAAGCCTGTTTTGTTGATACATATGTCCATGTTCATAAAGCGCCTGATACCCTTCCTGTATTAAATTTCGTTATGGATTTTACTGAATATATTGGTAATGCATGTGTTCCACTCGGTTTACTTTTACTTGGTGGCATGTTAGCCCGATTAGAAGTGGAGTCAATACCTAAAGGTTTTATCAAGACAGTAATTATGCTTACTGCCTGCCGATTAATAGTCATTCCCATTATAGGAATATTATGGGCGAATAAACTTTATAATATGAATTGGCTTGATAATGATGTCAGTAAATTTATTATGGTGTTAACATGGTCGATGCCAAGTGCCACAGCTCAGGTTTATTTCACAGCATTTTATTCCCCTGTGGAAGGCAAACATGAACAGATGGACTGTTTGTCTATATTCATCTTAATTCAATATGCGATGCTCTTTATCACCTTGTCCTTTGTTGTTACATATACTTTAAAAGTTGATCTTAAGATATGAAAATAATAAGGTAAGGGCTTGCCTTACAATTACGCTATACAAAATACATATTGAAGCGATATGAATAGCTTACATATTCACTTTAACGGAATTATTTATTAAATTTTTATATTTGATATTAGGTCAATGATATATTTAAAAGAAAATAACTATAATATCTGAAGCTGAGAAGTGTAATTCAGTTTTACAATACAACGTTTTTGTTACCAAAGGCTAATAACATTATAGAAGAATTAAATAAGGATTAATCGCAAAACATATATTGAAACACAAAGAATCATAAACCATGAGTTCATAAAAATTTAAATAAATATATACATATCTGCAATTGCTCTCTCCTTAGTTTTATTTTCTTTTCTTATGATTATGTTTTAAAAAAAGGTTAATTATAATATATATATATTCATATATGTCATGTCATATAAAATTATATTTATAATGAGAATAAATATAAGAGAAATGAGAATGATATGGAGAAAAATAAAAAGTTAGTGAATTTCTTCTTCGATTTCTCGTATTTGAAATGGAACACACACTGATTTACAAACAGCAACAAGCTTAAGCTAGAGATGGTAGGTTAGCAGTGTCGATAGAACGGTTCTTTTCGACAGTGTTTTGTGGGCTCTTCTTACCACCACGTCTAGCGTTCTTACCGAAGTTTCTGTTGTTGTTGTTTCTGTCACCAGATCTGTTGTCAGATCTTCTGCCCTTTGGAACGGCATCGGAGAAAGTAGCATCGAAGTCTAGGAAGTTCTTAGCCTTTTGTTGCTTGGACTTGACGGTCTTAACCTTGGTAGCTGGGACGTAAACTTCTTCTTCCTTGAAGAATAATTCAGCGTTTTCTAGCTTGTTGGTAGCCTTAGCTTCAACGGACTTGTTCAAAGAAGCGGATTGTTGACTTTGTAAGTAAGCTTCTAGAGTCATCTTGTTGCTATCCACAGCCTTTTCTTCAGCATCTTCAGCAAGTTCAGCGTCAGCATCGGCTTCAGCAGCAGCTTCAGTTTCTAATTCGTCTTTGTTGTTACCCCAACCTTGGTTGATCTTCTTTTGGGTATCGGTCTTACCAGATCTGGAGTGACGGTCAGTGGCTCTTCTGGTGTTTGGTCTTCTTTCAGAAGCAGAACCAGAGACGTCTCTAGTTCTGTTCTTTTGTCTACCAGCAGACTTGTCCTTGATAGCACCATCGTTACCAGTTGGCTTAGCTCTTGGCTTTCTAGCTCTGGATGGGTCAGCAGATGGTGGTGGGACGTCAGCCTTCTTAGAAGAAGTGGTCTTTCTGACTAGTTCCTTTAGAGGTGGAACGACAGTGGCATTTGGGTCCTCAATATCGTTACCTAATAGGTCAAATGGGTTAGACATTTTGTAATATTATATACTTAAGTTGTAAGTGTGTGTGCTTGCCCTTTTAATAAAAGAAGAATCTACAAAATGCAATTGTAATAAAGAATAAAGTTAAAAGTTGATGAAAGACTAGTTTATAATAAAATAAAGACTGTTAAGTAAGGAAACTTAAAGTAGAATATACAAAAGAAGTGAAATTTTGTCAAGAAGGAAAGAAAAATAATATTGAGATAGAGTGAAAAAAAAAAGAGTGTGGACGACAACGACCTAAAATGCAAATAACACTAACAGAAAATGCGTGTAACGGAAAGAAAGGGAGTGATAATTTAAGGAAGGGAAAGCTATAGAAAATTTTTTGGCGGGAGACACTAACATTAGCATATTCTTTCAGCCTAAAATGAACGAACAGGTAAATTTCGGTGAAGTGAAAAATTTTGAGCATAAAGCACAGCTCTTTCACGTATTTGCCCAATATAATGGTAATTTTACTAAGTAAACCATACTATGCGGGCTTTTGAATTTGCTGGGCTCCCCTAGTTAAGCTGCAACAACAACTAGCCACTACGACCAATCTACAGTATTCGTTTCTCAGGAAGAGAGACAGGGAGATAAAACAGATGCTTGAAGCAAAAAGAATAACTTGAGCCCTCATGCGTGCGACAGTTTCTGTGTATGTTTGAAAGTCGATGGTTGATTGGAAAGCTGAACAGAGAGAATGAATCGCTGGAAGGAGAGAACAGTGTTGGAAGGAAGCAGGTCTGTCTACGTTCGGCCTGATGTTTCACCATTTACCAGGAAGATGGTTAGTGTCCAGACAGCCTCTAAGCGAAATTTTTCACCGCAAAACTTAGGCAGAGAGAAAGGGGTTGGAACGTGTTCCCTTTTTTTATTTTTTGTGCGTCAGTGAAAATATGAGAACGACTAACGTGACAAAACAGACACACAAGTCATGTGACTGCACACATCACTTTACACGAAATAAATTTAACCACACACCAATTCTAAAAAAGAAAATGTGAGGAGCACGTGCTCAAAAAATGTAAAGACTTATTCTTTTGGCTAAGAGAGAGAAGGCTGATAATGTTGAAACAAGATGGAAATAATAAAACACGAAGATTATCCTCTTTGATCGTTTCTTGGATTTACTAAGTAGAAGCACGTTTTGTTTATTTCGAATCAGTAATGTAATTCTCTCTCCCGTTAACCTCGTGGCCAACATGGTATTCTACACGCCCACACACACTCTCTTTTAGTCAGAAAGCTAGATAGATACCAAATATGAGAAAGTCCGCGTTTATTATAATTTTTTTTAATTTTCTGCGTAATACTATTTTGCTTCTCTTAGTCCATCCCCGTAGAGCTCCTCTTTCCTCTGTTTAAGCAACTTTTACATTTTTTTTTTGGTTCGTTTCCCTATTTAGGAAGACAAGGTGTGACACAATCACCAGATCCTCCTATTGCATTTTCATCGGGAAACATGGTCAACCAAACCAAGCCTTGCCATTAGAAGGATGTTTCTTTGTAATCACTTGCTTTCATATCCAGTTTGAGTTTGTATTCCAATAAGTACTTGTATGGCCTTGTTAGCTATCTAAAGGACCATTGGGTTATCAAATGTCACGAATTAGTCACTAGCCACATGCAACCACCCCCAATGTTCGCTATTCGATATATGTATATTTATATGTATATATATAAATATTATATTACTATGGCTATTGTTATTCTTAAAGTTAATTATTAAGTACTCATGATACCAATATACGACAAGAAATTAAGACGCACGTTTCTGTAATTTTATTTTTTTATTTCTTAACTAGTAGCAACATGTTTAATCTTATTACGTGTATTTATTTATTTTTGTAATGCAATTGGTATTTTGTTTGCATGTCATTGCGATTAAACTTTACTTACAATTCGTCCTTTATCTTATTCATATATAAAGTAATTAAGATTTTCTAGTTCATTCTTAACCTTGTTTTTCGAATAATTATTTTTGAAGTATGTCAATGCTTTTGGTTATTAAATCGTATACTCATATTAACAAGTATTCATATACACTCTTCCTGTAATTAACACAACGAACAGTAAAAATAATGTCACCAAATAATAGTAATGATAATATAACTGCGTCAGAAATTTCAATAGCTGAAAAAAAAATCACTTCTGAAAAACTGGCTAATATGTTACTATTAGAAGGTCCCATGCCAATTAGAGCTATCGTAAAAGGTTTAATTAAAGATATTCCATTAGTTAAAGAGTTTTCACCTTCTAAACAGAGAAGAGTCATAATGAGGATCATGGCAAAAGGTGATATCAGCAGAAGTATTATTTTTAAAAAAGTAGGATGGGGTCAATGGTCTGCAAAGGAAGTACCAAAATCTGAATTCGAAACACAAAGAGCTTTAACTAATGATTTTAATTCTAATTTTATTGAAAGTTCGTTACATAAAAAATCATACACACAAACATTCGATTCTAATGATGTCGACGAAAATGCACTTACCTCAGATAATGAGGATGATGATTCTGATATCAATGATAATTTAAGATTGGCAAGAATTAATCATCATATGAAAAGATCAAGAAGGTATAGCATCTCATTAAAATCAAGATCTAGAGTCAATTCAATCACTGAAGAACCACAATTCATAAACTCAAGAGTTAATAAACATTCTACTTTCTTATTAGGTGCTAATGCAAAAAGAAGAAAAAGTTCAGTGGTTCTTACAAGTCCACATTGGAGAAATAATTTTAATTTTAATCAAAGTAATAATAAACTCAATAGCGATTCTACTTTGGTATCTGATAATGAAATTTTAAATAATGATAATGACAGTGATACAGTATCTCGTGAAGAAAAAAACTATACTCATCAACCTCGCTATTTGCCAAAACTTAAACCAATTCCAATTGGTAATAATTTCTCTTTTGTTCCGAAAACGATCCCATCTTATAATTTAGAAACAAATAGCTTCACATATGATTCCATATCAAATTCACCTGTTACCGATATAATGAGTAACCAAATCCATTCATCAACAAATCATTACATCATTACTCATGGTAATTCGCCTCAGAAAAGACAAAACTCAACAAGCAACGATGCAATTAATGAATCCTCCGTAAGGTCGACTCTGGACCCACTTGGAAACGGTGCCACTGTCGAAACCTCTTCCGCTTCCGAAACAGAAGACGAAGATTGGGAGTCGATCGGTGCCCTGTCCTTAAGGTCGTCTAGTTATACACTTCTATCGAAACAAAGCCAGAGAAGACCTAGTAGACCGTTGCATAATTCTCATGACGATACTAACGTAGCTGCACTATTACTAAGTTTAAAATCATAAAAATGATACACTATACCTAAAATTTAAAAGACTAGAAAATGTATTTTATATTCTTATTATTTCGTATTTAATTTAACTATAAATATACAACCTATCGAAAGACGAAAATTCAATTAATATGAGAACATGTTTTTCAAAATCTGTCACTGATACTTTTATTTAGTATATCTCTTTTAAACAACAGGAACATCAATGCATCAATAAGGATTGTAATGAAGGGGATACTTGTATTATAAAATACCATAGTAAAATAACTGTGATTAAGATAATAATAACATAGTTTAGTCAACTATATCTGCCGTATCAAGAATTTCTTCTTCTTCTATAACAGTTGGACGTTCTCCTTCGTTCCCTTCATGTTGCAATTGTTGTTGGTAATCTTGCTTAATGTTGTTGAAGTCATCCTCATTTTCAAGAACTGCCCTGACACCAATGATGTCTGCCTCATTAAATAATTCTAATATTCTTTCAGCTTCATCTATTTGAATTGTTTCAAACACTTTGTTTACTTCATCTAAATTCTGAGTTTTCAGAGCCTCTTGCATATCCTTGGGTATTTTATTGAATGCTTCACATTTTTTCACCTCATCTTTATCTTCAGAATTGAAGTCTGGTAGGACCACCTCTAATTCAGCGGAGTCATCAAGCGACTTTAACTGAATAGTTTCAACACCTTCTACTTCTCCTTCTTCACTTTCTTCAGTTTGCTCTTGTTTAATGATCTCAGAACGATTCTTAACGTGTTCGTATTTGGTCTTCACACTTTCAAGGAAGGATTCTTTACCCTTACTATTTGCTGGATTGAAAATAATTTTACCGAAAAACATGTTAATAACTTCTTCCATTTCTTGAACCCTTAAAAATGGTATCTTCTTCATATCGTATATTTCACGGATGTAGCTTAGAATTTCAGATTGATGGATAATTTGGTAAGTCATGGGAGAATTTTTATCTTCCATTTGGTATTCGAATGACTTCATCATCAAAGCATCCTTTTGTTGTCCAGAGATGATTTGCATATTTTTCAATAAAAACTCTTGTGACATTTTGTAATTATCATATGGAATCTTGGTACCGAAAGCTTCAGTTCCAGGAGCCAATTTTAACATATCCTTCTCATCAGTATATTCAATAAATTGTAAAGGAGCATCAATTTTTAGACTCTTAGGTAATTCACCTTTTGGTTGTGTGCTTGCTTTCAAGTTTATTGATTCCATTGCATCGTTTATTTTTTTGGTATCTTTATCAGTGTTAACAGCATTGACTTTAGGGTTCATAAACCCGCTATCAAAACCTGTATGGATATCTTCAGAAGAAATATGTAGTTCTTTCTCATGGTATAATTCCTTTAATTTTGTTTTAGCCTCAACAGTGACTTTATCAATTTTATTTCTGTGTTGAAGGATAAGTTCCTTAATGACTTTTGCATCACTTGGGTCCTTTTTTTCCTTAACAGCATCTCTTTTCAATTGTTCGAATAAGTCAACAACCATTTCATTATATGTAGCAATATCAGGGTCAACGTTCTCCCCTGTTGATTTTTCATTCTTATCAAAGTTCTCATTAAGGTACTTTTCAACGTTAGGTAAATCAGTCAACTGCCCTAAGTTTCCATCTGATTCGGTGAATGTGCTTAATAATTTATCAACACGTTTATTTAGGTTTGTGTACATATCCATTTGGGTCTCCAAATTTTTGATGTCTTGTGTTCTCTTCATTCTTTCCTCATGTATGCTCTGCTGTTTCCATCTGATAAATGACTTCTTGTCAACATTTGGATGAACCTCAACATCAGAATCATCCGATAATTCGATCTTGTCCCACTTGGAATAATCGACAACCATTTCTTTTTCTTGTCTTTCTTTTAGAGTGCTTTTACAGTATTATTTGCTTAAAACTACCTGCACTGGAACGATTGAAAACTTTGTAAACTGATCTCTATGTAAACAAAGTAGCGCAGTTCCTAATCGGTTGATCTGTGAATATTTTCAAGCTTAGTCTGTTTCTTATAATTGTTCTTAATTTTGTTGAATTCAACTTTCTGTTATTTTTATTTTTCCCTCTCTTTCAGCATGAAAAAAAGTGTAAATTAGCAGAGTTTACAGAACTCTGCATAGTCAAAATCAAATATCATACAAAGTTCACTGATATAAATATATATAAACATTTTGTAAAACCGTTCGAATGGAATAAAATTTAATACAATTAATATTATACCCTTTTATATTAACATAAAACCTATCAACACAAGTGGATGTTGTAAGAAATCAGGCGACATATATACATACACATATAGATAATTGCTTGATCATTGCGATGAGGTCCCATTTGTTCATATAATATATGTAGGTCCCCTATGTACCCATTTACTTGAAGTGATTAATGATAGAAATCTGGACGCCCTATATTCAAACCATATTCTTGTACAGCACTACTTAGATCATCTACCGTCAGTACTACTTTACTTGCAGTTGTCTTTTCATTTTGTTGTTGCTGCTGTTGCGTTATTTGCTGTTGACCTGGCTGTTGTTGGCCTTGCATTAGCTGTCGAGCTCTGGCTTGTGCATTATTCGCATTACTTACTGCAACACTTGATCTAATTCTGGAATATTCATATGCATCATTCGCAATGTCACTTATAAATTTTTGTGTGGCAAGAGCCAACAATCTTTTCACTCTAAGATCTGTACAATCGAAACCATTTTTTCTTAGGTAGTATTCAGTGACCGCATCTGGAATAATAGGAGCATTATCATCCATTAATTCTAATATCTCCTCCAAAGTCTTATCTTTTCTAGTAAATTCAGGTATTTCGAACAATTTTCCTAAACCATTATCGATTCTTTTTTTATCATGTCCACCGTCTTCATCTTCTTCATTATCCTCATCTCCACTTGCTCCATCATTGGATACACTACCAACTCCTGTTGATGGAAAGACGACAGGTCCTTCCTCATTATCATTGAATTCATCCATTTCTTCATCTTGGTCCATTTCAAGTTTACTATTGAAGTCGTTCTCAGGAGGAGGAACATTTGTATTATTCTCTGTTTCACTCATTTCTACGTTTATTATTGTGGAGATATTATATTATTCTATAATTAACAACCTTAGTAACTCTGTTAAAGCTCCTTTCGTTGTATCTTTTAATCTTCTCAAATATTGTTTATTATATATGTATTTACATTTCTTCATTTGAAACTATTTTCGGGCTCGCTTTAATGGTTAACTTCATCTGTCTTCGCTGTTAATTGATTAAATAAAAATTAATAGCTTTCTCTATGAATCACCATAATTTGAACATTAGAAAAGGGAACAGAACCTCCCTACATACTTACATCCGAGAGCAATACCCAAGAAAGGGGTAAACACTCAGTTGAAATCAATCCAAAAAGGGATCTCTCAATTCCTCACAATCAGAATACCAATACATTATCAATTTTTAATATATGAGTTCATTACAATTAAACGAGGAGACACTTGAGGATTTCTACAATCTGAAAACTTTAGATCCACAGACATCGTGGAAGGATGATTCAAACTATGTATTTGATTTAAATAAATGGAATAATGTAGTACCTGACTCTGACAATTCTTACGATGTTTTAAAAGATCTTATATCTCAACAAAAGAGATTTAACGAACAAAAAAATTCAACTGCCTCTAGGGTCCAGACACAAGATCATCTAAGAGATCCACTAAATAATGAATATATTGCCAATTCATTACAACAATTAGATATTAAACAAGATAACGATATTTCAGCATATATGATCAACGATAAAAAGTTTGTTGTGAACAAATTTTTAAGAGATGTGCATAACAAGGATACCTTTGAGGATTTAAATCAATCTCTCAACAATTTGGATTCTATCATTGAAGATCAATCACAAGATCTAAAGTCTCTCGTTCAAGATAACTTTACAAGTTATGTTAAGATAAAAAATAGGTTGGATAAAATTTACAATCAATTTGCCCAAAATGTTAATGAAAATAATGAACAAGATAATGATAACCTTAATATTAATCAACTTGGGGAAAAAGTGGATGAATCAATTAGAATTACAAATATGAAATTAAAACCGATCATGGATACTTCTACTAAGATGTCAAATTTTAAGATGACAAAACAATTTATTGAAGATAATAAACAATTTTTTGATCTCCCAAAAACATTAAAGAAGTGCTTAGAGAAAAAAGATTTTTCAAGTTTTATTTATAACTATTCTAAGGGGCAAGAAATGATGCAAAAATTCAAATTATACGGTAACTTAAATACCAAACCAGAATCTGAACATGCAAATAATGACGAAGCAGATTCTATCGGCCAATCAAATAAAGTACCAAAAGTGATAGAATTAATATGGAACCAAGTAGAAAGTACAATTGATAGCTACAGAAAAGAAACCTGGGAAAGTTTATTAACAAATCCTGGTTCAATTAACATGGAACCACAGGAAATTTTCTTGCCCATGATATCGAAATTATTGGATCTTAAAGAAGAAAATAACCCAATTCTAAAATGGTTTGATTTTTATTCTGCTAATTTCGAACAAGAGTTGAATAAGATGTCTGATCATCTTTTAGTTAAAATTGTAGAGGCCCAGAAAAGAATATTGCACATTGGTATTGATGACAGCGATGATATCGATGGCGTTAACCTATCTTATTATCTTTCCATTGACAAATTGTTTAAACCAATAGTATACTCTTCTTTAAAAAATGACCAGAGAGAAGGCTCAAACAACAACATATATGACTCGTATATCAATAATAGTACTGAAAGTGTGATTAGTAAATCAAATGATACATCATCTAATAACAACATCGTAGCCTACCATGGCCTAACAGACACCTCAGTTATTGTCGAAATGTGGCTTTTAATATTACGTTACATCAAAGAATTTGAGGATATCTCAAACAAGTTTATTCAATTTTGGCAACACACAGAAAATTTCTTAGATGGGACATATCAAAATGTGATAATCAATGACAAGAAGAAAGACAATATTTTAATCGGTGATAATAGAACAATTGATAACTTCAGAAGAATTTTAACTTTATCAAAGGAAGACATCAACGTGATAAGAACAAAAGGTGACAATTTTATCAGATTAATTTTCAAAAAAATGTTATATTTCTTCCAATCATCTCAGACTTCCCTATCAAATTTCACACCTGGAGGTTCTGTTTCACCAGACGCCCCCAATTCAGCTAAGGTTGTAAAAGATTCAGGTTCCCCACTGGATTATGGATTCATACCCCCAAGAGCAAACGGTTTAGGGTGTGTTAGATATTTACTTTTGATATTTGAACCCTTTTTAAAATTTACCACACAACTGGCTCAGTTAGGTATAAGCACAAATACCGTAGACATGGCCAGAGAATTAGTATCCTTAGCTATTGACAGAAGCATTGGTGCAATTTCGTCCACCAAGTTAAGAGATATATCTAATTTTTACAAACTTGAGGACTGGGAAGTTTACAAATCGGTTACAGAAGAGACTGATGATCTGAATTCAACAGATCTAATAGAATATGGTGTTACCCAATTCCCAGAAATTGTGCTTATAGTACAACAGTACAGTATCAAGGTGTTGAGAAGCTTTTTATTTTCGTTTGAAAAACTTCCCATTATCAATGGCATTTCAATAGTTAATTACCCATCCAAACAAATTTTGACGGGGATCGAGGTACAACAGATAATATCAATGGAAGCAGTGTTAGAAGCTATCCTGAAGAATGCTGCAAAGGATAAAGATAACCCCAGAAATGCTCATACTATTTTGACATTAACCAACTTACAATATATAAGAGAATTCACCTTTCCAACAATCCTAAGATATTTTGATGAGTCCTTTGAGTGGAGTTTAAGTTCCAAACCACTTGAAATTTTCAATCTTTTAGGTAAGATGGAATCTTCAATATTTGGGAACTATTTATCTGATTTGAAAATTACACTAAGAAATGTACTGGAAGAGAGGTTCCATCAAATTAGTTGGTCAAACTATTCATCGAACTCATTTAGAGTTAATGATTATATTATCGAGGTTCTAATGGTACTTATTAATGTACATAGTGAATGTTTTAGAATTGGGCCTCAATTAATCAACCGAATAATTAAGGAAACCCAAGTCTTTATCTCCAGGTACTTGTTTGAATCCTTCAAGCCTTTTATTGGTAATTTATCTTCCGATGGGTTATTACAAATGACTGTTGACATTAAATTCTTTGAAAATGTGTTGGGTTCGTATCTAGAAAAGGATACGGAAGTCACCTTGAATGCTTGTCTACAAAACTGTTTCCAAAACAACATAGATAGACTTGAAAGATGCATTTCTGAAACTGAACCAATTGTAGATTCTAACTTAGAAAGAACTCGGATACAATTTGCGGCTTTCAACTAGTATATACATTTCTCTTAAGAATTTAAATACAAACAAATGCAATACTTTTTGTATTATTGTATATATTCATATATATATATATGTATAGTTGATTGAATAATTATGTTTAATGAAAATTTTATAGAAATGCCTTACTGACTATAGTACATATAATTTAAGAGTAATGTTCACCATGCTTTCTTAAAGTTGTAGTGGAATACAATGGGTAAATATTCCCCTCTTCCACTGTGATATCGCTGTCAGATTTCAATTCGTTGATACATGCATCCAACTCATTAGAACGTTTTTCATTTAATTCAAAAGAACCATCCTGTTGATTGTACTTTACAAATTTAATAAAGTCTTTTCCGTTAGAATCCCTATTATCTAGAGAAAGAACAATTTCATTATTATAAGCATTATCGAGGGATATAATGTTATAAGGTAGTTCCAAAGTCGTGCTTTCATATATTTTTTTATTTTCGACATCAACTTTGGCAATGAAAAGAATCTTTGTAGCCTCTACAAAAAATGCAACATAAGGGATATCCGTAAAGGAGATGATCTTAGAGACAGCGTATTCAATAATATCGTTTGACTCATTTTGGAATCTGCTTGGAGCTAGATGCTTATCAGTCAAATATGGTTTAATCATATCACTGTATTTAAATTCAGACAACTTCTTGCCTAACTCCCAATCCCATAAATATACAAAATCATCACCACCTGCACTGAACAACCATTCAGATTTCCATTGTGGGGAACAAATGGATGATACAAATTGCGAATGGCCAAACAGCCACTTATCAACTATAAATGACTGTGGGAAATGTGACACCTTGATATGTTCGTCTCTATCTGATGTAATAATAAATTTCTTACCATGAGAATCTGTTTTAAATAGGACATCTGTTAACATAGAGACATGACCGAGAATTGGGTCTAATTCATCATTAATATCCTTTAATGGTTCCCCGTCTGTTGGGATGGAGTATACATCACCAAATTTATCTGCCATAACAACTGTCTTCCCATCATCACTAATAGTAATAGAATTTGGTCTTTTTGGAAATGGTTGTCTTTTTACCAATTGTAGACAATTTGTGTCATTGTTGAGATCAATATCGAAAACTAACACAGACTTGTCGGAGTCCGCACAGGAAAGTAATTTACTACCATCTTTTGAAATTAGTAGATTTCTAATACAAGAATATACTGGAGGTGCTCCAGGACCTGGAACAGGTATCTTCGCCTCAGTTTTTTTCTTTTGAACAATAACATTACCTTCATTATCCTTTTGTTTCTTTGCATTTTCATTAATTTGTCTATCTTGTTCTTTAGTAACCTTATTCTTAATAGACTCAGTTCTATCAAATTCATCGACCCATTTACCTATCAATTTGTAACTACCTGAATCTTCTCTCTTGTACCCTAGAATAACATTTTTTATGACCGCAAAAATTACGGAACTGTCATCAAGAGCAGCAACAGTTTGAACAGGGTGAATAATGGTCATCGTTTCCAATTATTTTGCTCGGTCTTAGAAGTCAAAAGTAACTCCTTATATGAAGGCTATATCCAGTTTTGATATACCTCATCACCTTCTCAAAAGCCATCGATGATTTAAAAATCCAAATTTTTTCAAAATTTTTCAAAATTTTTCATTTTTTTTCGATCTGAAAATTGCCAAGTCGGATCCCACAGCCAAAAAAGAAAAAATAGAGCCCTATACTAGGGTTTAATAGACTGAATAATTATAGCTAGTGGCTTTCTCGTTTACTGGCAAGATTACTCTGTCATTACCAGGACAACGTCAAATGATAAAAGGGGGAATAGAAGACAAAAGAGAAAGAGAGGTGAATAGTCCTTTACATACATTCAGGAAATAATTAAGACAAAGAGTTCACGTTACAAGATCTGCATGGGTTTGAACGTTACCGAGTTAAAGACGTACTGTATTGGAATTCTATAGAGATCAAAACGGTTTTGGTATTCCCTTTTATTTTTTCAGTTGTCAGATTGAAGGTAGTTTTTAGAAAATGTCTGATTTGATTGAACTCCAAAGAAAATATCTCCTGGATACTCTAAACAGTATCCAGACCCCACATAACATCAAATTTTTGGTCATTGATGAATATACCGGTACTTTATTCGAGTCCCTGTTTGTTTCTGCAAATGATCTGCTTAACTACGTGACAAGCATAGAAAAAATCGACTCTCGAGGGAGAAAAGGTCAACCTAGTGTTGAGGTTATCTATATGTTACAACCTACGAAATATAATATCAATTGCATAGCGGCGGATTTTTATAATTCTGATAGAAAATATTCCAAGGCTCATATTCGGTTCTTACCTGGTATGGAAAATCACATAATGAATTTTTTGAGGGATAAGAAGACTTTGCAACCTTTCTTAGCTTCTGTCAATGAAATAAAACTAGCCTTTTCCCCTAATGAAACACAGTTTTTCCAAACCATGGATATTGATAAACCTTTCCAAATTTTTTACAACAAAAATTGTGTGGAATTAATCGAAAAAAATATTAATAGAACTATCGAATCCTTGATCAATATATGTATTGTTACAGGTGAGTATCCTATCATAAGATATGCAAGGGCTCTACCACACGAAGTTCAATTATCGCCAGCAACTAGATTAGCACAAAAACTTGCAGTTCAATTCCAAGAAGCTCTGGATTCTTATGTACGTGATCATCAAGATTTCCCTCCACCATCAACAAGACCGAGAGCCATATTTATTATTACTGAAAGATCTTTAGATCAATTCGCTCCTATCTTACATGATTTCGATTATCAGGCAATGGCTTACGATTTAATATCAGATATTGACAGAGAGGATGTGTATCATTATAAAGCTGAAAATGAGGCTGGTGAACTTGAAGAAAAATCTTCCAAGTTGGCTGATCTAATAGATCCAGATTGGGTCGATCTAAAACATCTTCATATTATAGACGCCAATGAACAATTGAGTGGGAAGATAAAAGAGTTGATAGCAAAGAATCCATTATTAGTGGATAGATCAAAAGTGAAAAATACTACCGATCTATTAAGTGTTGTTGCACATTTAAAGGACTTTGATGAAGACAGAAGAAGAATTATGCTTCATAAAATTTTAATTGAAGCATGTCTATCTATTAACCAAGAAAGACAATTGACAACTATTGCCGAGGTTGAACAGAACCTTGCTGGGTTCGGGTTGAACATAGATGGTGAGAAATGTAAACATATTATAGACACTGTTCTAATGACTCTTTTAACAAAAGAATGTAATATCACAGATAAGGTTCGTTTATTGATCGCATATGCACTATATAGAGGTGGTCTTATAGAATCAGATTTCATGAAACTTTTAAGTTTTATAGGAGTGAGGGAAGATCATGAATTTTTCTCTCATTTCATGATGTTATTCAAGAATTTTGACAATCTGGGATTTAAATTAGTCAAAGAAAATGCTCGTGACAAGCCATTCCACAAAGCGTGGTTCCATGATACAATTGTAAAGGATCCAAATATTTATGTTACATCAAGATATGTGCCAGCTGTTGGTAATATTCTTTCAAAAGTTATAGCAAACCCTCTTTTATTAAGTGAAGAAGAATTTCCATATGTTAAGGATAAGCCTATCGATTTGTTAGATGACGATGAAAGAGAAGTTGTAGGCGCTGCAGCTACTGCTCAATCATCCTCTTCATTAAGGAACTCGCGACACAAAGCAGCTTGGTCCAGAAACGGTAACTCATTAAAGAAGGAAGGTCCAAGACAAAGGTTTTTCTATTATGTTCTCGGAGGTATAACATACCCTGAAATTAGAGCTGCATATGAACAATCGAACTTGAAGAACAAAGACGTTTTTATTGGTAGTGACGGGATTCTAAAACCTGTCTCATTCTTAAGAAGTGTTGAGAACTTAACTCAACCTAGAGAAGTATTGAATTTAAAGGACGATAGAAAAGTTAAAGACGATATTCCAAGCTTCTTGATGGGCAATAATACAAATGCACCTATTTCTCATGTACATAACGCCTCACAGTACGAAATGAAGAAGAAGATGGTCCCAGTAGTTCAACCACAACCGGTAGAGGAAAATACAGAAAAACATAAAAAACGTAGTAAATTCAAAAAGTTCTTAAAAAGGGAGAAGTAGTAACAGTAGCGCACTATTTTTAGGAGAACTTTCAAGTATAATGGGTTATGTAGCATTGATCAGATACATCAATCATTTGTTTTATAGTGTTTCAACAACTTGTAAATGAATGATATATTTGCATTATAAGATAATATTTTCTTTTTTATATGAAATAGATAAATATTTGGCTATCAAGCTGTTTCTTTTATTAGTAAGGGTTCGTTATTCCAATTGATGGTGTCCAAAAATGAAGCTGGAGTATTACCTGGGCCTTGTGTATTGCAGTCTTTTTCAAAAATAGTTTAACTTTATTTAACAATTTTCTTCATAAAGTCTTGATGATAAGTTGATTTTGTGATGTTATTTACGTAACCATCCTTATCTTCATCATTTTTGCCATTTTTCCTTCTAGAAAAGGTTGTTTTTGACCTCCAACCCTTTTTAATTTGGTTTGATTGTGGGTTATTCTGTATGCTATCAAAATCTTTCTCCTTTTTAATATGATTTCCTTTCTCGTGTTTAAATTCTCGAAGAAGTAACTCCTTATCGGTTATCACTTTCGCAATTTCTTTACCTAAGTTATCGCTTCCATTATGGCTTTCTACCTTTCTACTTTCTTCTACAATAGTATTATTACTCTTATCGTTAGAACTTAGAGGTATCTCGTCTGCTATATGCTGCCTATATTTTAGGGTTTTGTGTCCTGGTTGTAATCTTGCATGCTCAATGGAGGTAGATGAATAACCAGCTGCCTTAGCACCACTTCTGGCCTCTAATTGTGGTCTATGTGACGTACTCATTTGTATAAATTTAACCTGACTTAGTTATACCCTGAAAACCGATCCTAACTATGTCTTCTTAAAGAAATCTCTTCAAGAGTATCCTTTAGCTCATCGCTTATTTATCCCATCTATATATAACTTCTTGCATCAAATAATGTATTTTTTTTTCAAATTTTGCCTTTGTCTGCACAGAAGCGTATATAATTAAATTTCAACGCCAAAAGAACAATATTGAAAAGACTACAACATAGGCTACGGTTGATGCGTTACTCTGTTAAACTATATCACATAGATTGCTTATCAAGAAAACCAAGATCAAGTGTGTTTAACAGACCATACTGATATTTTTTACAAGATAAACGTTATTTTATTTACTTCAAACGAACAAGGAAAGCACTAGATACAATTTAAAATATGACTAGTACGACGAATGATACATCTCAACCAAATGGTATACCCAAAGGCGAAGAGGGATCGCGACCTTTGGCAGAGATATCGACATATGAACATATACCAGATGCTGAATTAAGTGACGACGGGAGTGAGACGTCTTTGGTTGGCTACATATCAATAAGGGATTTTGCATATGAAGAATCAAACCCATTACACTATGGATATTATGACGATGGTGCAGAAGAAACAGAAGATATAACAGATGTAGGTGGCTACCCAGGAGATGATTCGTATACAAATGAATATGAAGGCGGAGAGGAAGATGGCAAAGAACCTCTAGAGAGACGACAAAGTGTAATACTACCGAATGAGTACATTGTAAATAAAAGAGCGGTTGCGTTATACAGTTTTCAACCAGAAAATGACAACGAACTGGGCTTTGATGAAGGAGATACATTGTTTATAAGTTACAGACATGGACAAGGCTGGTTAGTTGCTGAGAATCAAGAGAGGAATAAAACAGGGTTGGTACCCGAAGAGTTTGTATCGTTTGTCGAACCTAGTCAAGAGGATGAAGATGAGGATAACACATTAGCACGCCCATTCTATCTGACACAATTCATAACCAATGGATTATGCCCGTCTCAGGATGATACTGAAGGAGAAGATAACGTGGTAGATAATGATGAAGATTGGGAAGACATTGATTATTTGGAATCAGATTTAAAGAAAAATTTAACATTACAAGAACAAAAAATCGGAAATTAAAATCATATTATAAACAATACTCCATAAATAATGAGCCTGATGACATATTGTTCGTTTATCTATGATCGGTTGCATACCTGTGCAAAATAATGGACCATTTAAACAAAACTAGGTAAGTATATATGAATAATATCTTGTCATTGCATTTCAATTATTATCTATAATATGAAATACAGGGACCTCGTGCACATTTCAAGTGCTGATACTAAATTTATATACGGATCATATAAAGTAGAATCTTAAAAAACAAATGCATATTGTGTATACTTATAGAGTTATGATTATATATGAATAAGATTTAATAATTTATGAGTAACAATACATATATTTCTTTTCTTTTAATTACCATCATCTTCAGAAAGGTACTCAATATCTATTTCTTCATCAATTTCACCATCGACGGCAACACCTTTCCTCAGCTGTTGTAATTCTTCATCACTAACAGGACCCCCGATTTCACCCAGCAAAGCGACAGTACCAGATACCAATTCATTTGCAACCTCATCCTTAGAATCAATATTATCACCAAGCCTCTTAGCAAAACTTAATGCAACTCTTGCTTCGTGTAATGGTTCTGCGATCGCCTCATTTTCTAATTGCAATGGGATTTCCTGTATATGTTGATTGAATTCATAAATATTTTCGGGAGTTAGATCGATATTTGGGTTTTGTACCTTAAAAGTCTCAATTTTACATATAAGATAATTTGTGAAACCTTCCAGGTAGTAACCTTCCAAATTATCTTCATCGATATCTTTAATAGCATTCTCGACCTTCAATGCAACGTCATACAAACCTACTTCCATACACATCTTAGCCAATGAACTTAAAGGTTGTAACATTTCGGCATATTCCTCGTGAGTTGGTGCGCCATTGTCTAATGCTGCTTTCCCAGCTTCGTTCTTCTTTATCTCGAAATACTTCCAAGCTTGCGTAAATGCATTTGTGGCATCACTAAAACGTTGCTGAGAAATTCTAATAGAACCCAAGGTTAACCACGCTTCTGGAGAAGATTCACTAGAAATTCCCATAGCATTTGTAATTAATTGTTCACATTCAGATTCCGCATTAGGTTCCATACACAAATCAGTCATCCATATCTCAATCATGGATAAGAGTCCACTTACAATTTTTTCTGTGTGTTCTTTTGTCATCTCCTTAATAATTGAGATATTATCTATACCCTTTTGCATTACCTCTAAGCCATCCTTACCACCAATAATCTGGCCTAAAGTAAAGAATTTATCACAACCTCCAGAAGTCCCTGTTGGATCCATTTCGCAACAGGAAACCAATATTGGGTATGCTTTTTCCAACTGACCATGTTCCAAGTATGCTTCTGCATACACTTGTTTTAGAATAAGGTTATTGCTATTTTCACTTGACAATGATTTCTTGAAAGGTTTTAATAACTTAAGAGCCCTCTTTGCATCATTCTCACTAAGAGCTACACGGACATTTTTCAAAGTTTCTTCTAGATTACTCATTTTAACCGAGTTATATGTTGTTATTATTAGTGGATTGTGGCAAATTGTATTTAATGATTTTAGTATATTTTTCGTTAGTACTAACTTAAAGTGACAAGTCGCCAACGTGACAAGATGTGTATTAGGTAATACTATATATACTAAGCGACTGTAATCATGCACAATTTCATCCTATTTACCTCATCGCATCGATTTTCTCGAAACTTAATTAAAAAAATTTCTGACACTACGTGTAAAGTGATATAAATACCATCGTAAACATAATTTTATACAAATGTATTTATGGATTATTTATTAAGTTTATTTATATGACATGTCTACTTTGGCTATGCAACCATTATTATTAGTAGTATTATGGAAATTTTCAATCATTCCTGGGGTTTTACTCTTTTTTTAACACTGGCTATTAAAGTCTTTAGTTCTTGCAGATCAGTTGATTTGCTATCTGATACATGCGTGGGTACAATGACAGACTCTTCTCCCGTAATAGCATTTGAGGGAGTATGAAATATATTTGGATTGTGAGTGTCTGGAAGAAGATGTGCGCTATGGAAGGAGGTATTATTACCAACAGAGCTTCCAAATGATGGTATAACATGTGAGTCGTACGATATATTAGGAACATTTGTACTGTGCGATGGTGTTCCAGAAGGAAGTGGTCCATGATGAGATGCAGTTCTCGTACCTCCATTTCTGACCTTTATTGCTAGATGTGATTGTTGCGGTAACGAGTCTGTCGATGCATGGGATGAATACCGCATCCTAGAGCCCATAGGTGTCTTGAATTTATTGGACTTTGTTTCTGATACTAATATTGGTAATTTTCTCTTTCTTAACTTCGGAGATGCAGCAATATGCGACTGTAAATGTGCATACGTATTCCCCTCACTAATTTGTCTATTATAAGCAACATTTTCTGCCTCGAGCATCATTTTCATCTTTTCATCAATAGATTTTGTTACAGTTAGCTGCTTTTCCTGAGAAGTTACACGTTGGTTTCGCTTTTTATTTAGTGACTCATGATATTTCCCTCTGTCAGTCAATTTATATCGGAATGATTCAGATATTTTTATCAATCCTCTTTCTAAGGAGACATCTGGATTCCTCTCATTAACCTTAACGAATCCAATATTTTCTAAGACACCACTAAAATTTCTGTCAATTCTATTCAATTTTAAGTGTTTTGCAATAGCAGCATCAGACAGTTGTGTCTCTGACGATTCCCAATATATCAATAATAGATTAAAATTGGTGTTAGTATTCAAGGTAACACCTGTAACTAGCTTGATAAGATCTTCACCATCTTGCTTCAGTTTCATTTCTAAATCGAAAATACTGTCATCGGTAACACCAGTATTAAAAATGATTAATTGTGTTTCCGTAAATTCAGATGGATTAAATCTTTCGTCAATGCATTTAATATTTAAAGTCAAATTATTACGACGAATTCGTGCTATAGATTTAGGATCTCTTAAATTGAATTTATTTAAAATCCACGAGCTTGATACAGTATTCCAAAATTTAGAATAGATAAAAATATCACTGGAGTTTTTCATTTGATGAGGGTATTTGGCCGCAATTCTATCGAAATAAAGTTTATTGAGATCAAAGGGTTTCCACAACGACCCTCTTTTCTTAATCAATTCGAGAGAGAACTGATTACTTTCATTAGTAACAGGTGAATACATATCCTTGTTTTTTAACGATGAGTTTAACAAAAAGGAGGAATTACCATTATTCGTCGGAGTGTTGAGTAGGCGCTTTGATTTATTTAGGGTTGGGACTCCAAGTTGTTTCTCTAAGTTTTGTAATTCGAGTCTGCGTTTTTTCAAATCTTCTTGTCTTTTTTGTTTCTTCGTCAATACCATACGCCATCTTTTCAAACATGCCTTTTGAAGGTATTTATTTCTTTGACTATCGGCTTTTGCTTCCAAGAAAACTAGATATATCTTTTCGTGTATGAATGCATCGAAAAGTTCAGCTGTCAGGTTATCTAGCATTTCCATTTTGTTATTTCTCCTGTTGATGCATTCGTTCACGACACTGTGACATTTTTGCTGAACAACATTTTTGATAAGATCATTTGCAATTGCGACTATTGCATTGTTTTTTTCAATTTCTTTATTCCTTTGGGTTTCTTCTTCTTGTAGTCTTCTTCTTGCTTCTCTTCTCTCTTCTTCTCTCTTTGCTTCTTCTAATTCTAATTGCTTATTTTTAAGCTCTTTTCTTAATTTTTCATTTTCTATGTTTTCTTTTTTATTATTTTGTGCAAGTATATCATGCTTAGTTGAAATAGATGGCTCAAAAGGTGTGAGCTTTGGTTCTGATGTAAATTTATTTTTCGTTAGACTCATAGCGGTCTTCGACACAGAAGGAACATTAACAAAGTCATCATTTTTGGAAGCCGTGGGTTTAAATGAAAAACTCCTTGATTGTAATGTGGTATTCATGTTTATTACCGATTCAGGGTTGTTAACGGACGGAAATGGCTCCGATATTAAAGAAACTGACATTCGTTGGGTATTTTTAATATTATTCTTTAAGGGTTCAACTCCTTCAGTCATTTGAGAGAGGCTGACAGGCGTAGTATCCGTAGTTATGATTGGTCGTGACTGTGATTCCTCCTCAATAGTAATGGTATCTTGAAGTTCTCTATTATCTTCTTTTAATGTGTCAATGTTAGGTTTTCCAGAATTAATTATATTGGAGTATGATGATGCATTTAATTTTTCGTCGACGCATGACAGGTAATGGTTTCTTAATGGTTTCTTTTCAGGCAAACGATGAGAATGTGCAGTTAAAGATTTAAGGTCAATGCCATCGTCCGAAATGTCAATTGTATAATACTGGCAAAATTCTGTCAATTCATCAAAATTATTAAACATTAATTCTTCAGATATTATATCTGCTGGAATAGGTTTATGTTTCTTATTCATTGAATGTGATAGCGCTTTTACTGCATAAAATCTAATTTCATTCAAGTATATTTCTAAAAAGGACGCTAATAAAAATGGAACCTGTGTCGACTGAATCAACTTAAAATATTGTGAATAAAAGTTTAAACAATTTTCTGTTCTCATATAGCCCCTCTCAACAAAACTAGAGTTGGATATAATTCTTCTAAAACAGATAGCCAATTGGATTAAATCGTCTTGGAAAACATCCTTTGGTAAATCCTGAATGGCTTTATCATACTGAGGATCCCTTATTTTACTAAGTAATGCATATGCTCTAAATTCTGCCTCGTTGGGACAACTACCACCATTTGCACGTACGTCATCATATATTTCTGAAAGGGTAATCAGGGACTTATGAAGTTGTTCTAATTCTTGTTGTAAAGAAAATTCTTCCTTAGATTTAACCATGACATGGATAATAAGCAGATGTATTCTAACGATTCTTTCATTACAATCAACAGCCTCTGGACCACAATAATTTTGATATGTGAAATCTTGCCTTATAGATCTCATTCTGTCCCAAATGAAACCTTCACTATCCGGTAAAGTTTGTAATAGGTTATCAACCAAATAATCTAAAGTTTTTACAAGGATATGTGGTGGTCTAACATCTGATGGTAAAGGTGGAGCTGCCGCTGCCGCTGGTCTTGCAAAGACTTTTAAAGCTTTAGATCTAGAAGCCTTTTTATCATCTGGCGTATCCTTCTCATATGAGTAAACCGTATATTCAACATTTCTTCTAGCTCTTTCAAAAGTAGGACACATATCTAAACATGTCCCTTGGAATATAATTGCGTCGTTAAGATCCTTTGCTGAATCTGCTTTATCCACAAGTCCCTTGTCTTCCATTATTGTTCTTTCAGTATCACGCATTTTCTTAAGTTTTTCATAAAGTTCAGTCATATCCTGTATAGACTCTTCAAGGTTTAACATTTTGGTTTGGTTTATTCTATCCCAATGATCTTGTTTGAATTTCTTTGGTTTCAATTGAGGTTGTTGAGATATAAGAAATCTCGGTACTTCACGAGGATTATGTGTGCGTTGAGTAAACCCCATGGTAGTTGGATCCTTGAGTAACGGACCAACTTGTAAGACGTTTCTATTATGAACCATCATGAATTTTTTATGAGTAATTGGATTAGTTTCAGTATTTTTCTTCGGACTAAGCTTCTTTTTATTCCTCTTTTGTTTATCCTTTTGAAATACATTTTGATTTGAAAAGTTTCCTTTATTATTTGACTGTGTGCTACCTTTATTATGGAAAGGATTTTGTTTTGAAGTTGAACCAAAATTGAAACTGCTTGAGGGTATTACTGACCCAAATGAGCTACTCATGACGATGCTGATGCTAGCAGGAAATTTGATAGAAACTAGGTAGGTAATGCAAAAATGGAGAAATGAAATAAATAATAAAAATAGGAACAACCGTACAATGGTTAACCTTACCTTGATGAAATGCTATAGTCTTTTCAATCGGTTAGTATTTCTATATGTGATAGAGGTATAGTTCAATTTTAAACCCTTTCAATTGATAAAATTTCAATTTCAATATTTCGTCGGTTTTCGCCTTAAATTGCAAAAAAAAGTTGAAACCAAAACAAATAATACCAATAGACATATAGTTGGAAGGGCCAAAAAACAAACAAACAGAGATACAATAGACTATCAAACGGGTCCTTAGTAGAGATACTAGTCAATCAAGAAGGGTGGTGGAGACGGTAAGTAACATTAGTATTAGATATTAATAAGATTTTTTATTTTTATAGATATATATGAGTGGAAGATATAAATATATACGTAAGGATATTTTTATTTATTTATTTTGTATGTATCATTAGATCATGTTTCTTGCCAATAAGATTTCAGCGATCAAGACACCGGAACCAGCAGCACCGATAATAGTGTTATGGGACAGCACAACCATCTTGAAATCCAGTACTGGATCTTCTCTGATTCTACCGACGGAGACACCGTAACCTCTATCTCTGTTACGGTCCAATCTAGGTTGTGGTCTATCCGATTGTTCAAGGACATGAATGGTTTGTTCTGGAGCAGAGTGACATTTCATCTTGTAAGCGTCACAGACGTAGTCTCTTAGACATTGTTTGACTTGTTCAACGGATGGAGCTGGTCTATTCTTGAACTTCAAAGCAATACATTCGGTGTGACCATCAGAGACAGCGACTCTGTTACATTGAGCGGAAACTTTAATTTCTTCTGGAGTTAATAATTCAACATGAGATTTATCAGTAGAAACAGAACCTAAAATTTTTTTAGTTTCCCATTCCATTTTATCTTCTTCACCACCAATATATGGAATGATGTTATCTAAGACATCAATACCTGAAACACCTGGAGAGAAACCTGCACCAGAGATAGCTTGTAGAGTAGTAGTAGTCAAAGTATCGATAGGACCAAAGGAATCAACTAAAGGTTTCAAAGGAGCTACAAGACCTGCAGTAGAACAATTTGAGATACAAATAATAAAACCTGGTCTTTGTTTACCAGCTTCCTTGGCAGTATCAAGTTTTTGTTGAATAATATCTAAATGTTCTGGATTAACAATTGGAACCACTAAAGGAACATCTTCTTCTCTTCTATAGTTCTTAGCATTAGAGATAACAGCGATACCTGCTTCAACAAATTCTTTTTCAATTGGACCGGCGTATTCAGCATCTAAACCAGAGAAGACAATATCACAATCTTTGAAATTAGCGGAAGAACAATCAGAGACAATAATATTTTCAGCAGATTTTGGCATCAAATCGGTTTGTTTCCAGTTAGCAGCATCAATATACTTCTTACCAGCAGATCTTGGTGAAGCACCTAGTACTCTTAATTCGAAATCAGGATGATCAGCTAGTAATAGAATAAAACGTTGACCAACGGAACCTGTAGCACCTAAAACACCAGCGACTTTCTTAGCGGCCATTTTGCAATGTATATATATATTTTATTTGTAGATATAGTAATATATTATGTTATTAAATCTAAATAAAACTATTTAAAAACCTCAATCAATAAAAAACTGTTATAAAATGTCAAATATTTTCTTTTATGTATCTTATATATATTGAAAGATGTTAATTGCAAACCAGTTAACAGTGAAATAAATGAATGCCACCGGCAAAAATGTTACCACTACGAGTCTTCCACTAGTTTCTCTGTGAGCGATGAGTCAACAACGCAAAATTTTTGGAAGTTTTTCTTGAAGGAAAACCAAAAATGCTAAAAAAGCCGTCAGCGGCGGCGTGTTTTTAAGCTGAAAAAACAAACAAATTTCAGGCGTCACGTGCAGGAAAATGACATCATCATTATCTATTACAATCGAATCAACTTTAATGGGACTGACTATATGTGTATACTAATAGTTTAAAATTTTATGTATTTGTGTGTGTGTGTGTGTATATAGTATATATAATATTTAGATTATAATTGGATGCATTTTTGTTTACTCGTCAAAAGTAACTTTTTTACCACCTGTAGCGGAAGTAGTTACAGTTTCTTCACCATGTTCTGTCGTCACAGAAGTAGCAGGTACTTCTTCAATTGTATTGGAGGCAGGGTTAACAGGATTATTAGTGACTGGAGTAAAAGAAAGTGGTGGTAAACCTTTAAAATCTCTCTGTACTCTTTTCAATTGAGAAATGGCACTTGATAAATTTGTATCTATATTCAAAATTGTGACAGAAGTAGCAGATATCTCTTCATTATTATCTTGACCATCAACAATAGTTGAAGCACCATTGGTATTAACAGAATCTATTGATTCCTTTTCGGTGATGAATTTTTCTAGGAAACCGAGTACATCATCCTTTGAAACATGTTGTGCTTTACCGACTTTGTGCATCACAATCGGAGTATTCAATGGTGTCGCCACCGTGAAGCCTGCTCTTCTGGTACCTTTGAACATAATTTTTTTTTCAATGTCCTGACGTATATAGGTTGGTTACTATTACGATAGATGTATTTAACAAAACCTTCCGTACTGTTCACCTTTAAACCATGTAATATACTATATAAATGAAACAAGTTTTCTCTTTTCAGCTCATCGAAAATTTTCAGGTTTGCGGCAACAAAACAAATCTGAAAAAAAAAAATTAAAAGATTACATTCGAACGCCCACGTGACTTAACCGTTTCTAAAAAACCACGTGCCGCGCTTACCCTCCGTTTCCATGCACGAACATCACTCTCCACGGCGCACGTTCCATGGGGTTCCATGGGCAAACCCTTTTCCCTCGCTCCACAGAGGAAGCCCCAGAGCAGCGCCTCGCCCCCAGCTCCTTACCAGTCGTATACAGTGACAAACAGTACAATATTATTTTCAATTTTTTCTTTCTTTCTGTGAATAGTGGCGGCGCCGCGCTTTCAGTTTCGCTTCGAAAGGGAAATTACAAAATCAGTTTTGGGATAAGTTTATTGAGCTGCGGGTGTTTCTGGTAAGATGCGTATTTTTAAACCTTTTTCTCTTCTTCTTTGGGTTCTTCCTCATAGGGGGGGACAAAAAGATCAATTTTGCTTAATAACGTAAGAATTGATAAAATAAAACGTGAGTGGAATATATATAAGAGAGAAAGGAAAAGGGATAAAAAAACTTCAAGTTAAATTATATCCTCTTTTTCTTAAAAAATTTCTTGTAGTATCAATTGAGTTCTATTTCTGTTTTGTATTCTTTATATACATATTCTTTAATATAACCAATCTACCACAAATCTATACTATATATATACAAGATGTCCAAGGTTTATTTCGATGTTGAAGCCGATGGCCAAGCTTTAGGCCGTGTCACTTTCCAATTGTACGACGATGTTGTCCCAAAGACTACTGAAAACTTCAGAGCTCTATGTACTGGTGAAAAGGGTTTCGGTTACGCTGGTTCTCCATTCCATCGTGTCATTCCAGACTTCATGCTACAAGGTGGTGATTTCACCAGAGGTAACGGTACCGGTGGTAAGTCTATCTACGGTGAAAGATTCCCAGATGAAAACTTCTCTAAGAAGCACACTAAGCCAGGTCTATTATCCATGGCTAACGCTGGTCCAAACACTAACGGTTCTCAATTCTTCATTACTACCGTTCCATGTCCATGGTTAGATGGTAAGCACGTTGTCTTCGGTGAAGTCGTTGACGGTTACGATGTTGTTAAGAAGGTTGAATCTATGGGTTCTCCATCCGGTTCTACCAGAGCTAGAATTGTCGTCGCTAAGTCTGGTGAATTATAAATATAACTATTATTATTAATGCTTTAGTATTTTATATATTTATATAATTTTAAACTCTCTATTATTCTAACTTTTACCTTTACCATGCCTAAGTGTGATTGATTGTCGGTTACCCTCACACTCAGTTTCAATTGGTCTTTTTTTCAGTCATTTTTTTTGCCTCCCAAAATTTTTCAGTTTTCCCCTTTTAGGCCGAACAATTGTTATTATTCAACGGTCCTCTTGCTAGACTCTTTTTTTTTTTTTAATTGGAGTCCCTGAGAAGAGAAAGAGAGAAAATAGTATATTAGATGAACTAATTTGATCTTTATCTTAATCAGATACTTTTTCTTCTTCTTTTTGTAACAGGGTTATAAGAGAGGAAAGCGAAACTAGTAATATAGGTATACATATACATAAACAATAATAAGATGGATTCCCTATCAAAAAAGATACAAAACTTAGGGATTCACGATTTTAGAAATGCAGCAAGATTTGCTCAAAATGTTATCGTTCAATATGAACCATATCAAGTTGACGTTCGTAGAGCCACAAATACAGATGCATGGGGTCCAACACCAAAGCATTTACAAAAAGTTCTAAGAAATAGATATCAAGTACCGATTTATTTAATTACAGAATATATTTTAAAACGTCTAATTGATCATATTGCCGCAAGACCAAAAAATCTTTATGAAAAGGCACGTAAAGAATATGTTAATTATGGATCAGAATGGCGTGTGGTAATGAAATGTCTAATTGTTTTAGAATATTTAATGTTAAATGTTGATTCTGGTGATGAGTTAAATCAAGTTCGTAGTTGTTTAACTACTCATAAACAAATCATTGCTAGACAAGTTGTTCAATATAAGATTGGATTTTCAAATGATGGGAAAATGGAAGTACATGAACGTGGTATTAGAAAAAAAGGTGAATTAATTATACAATATTTAGAAGATTCAAGTTTCTTAAAGAAAGCTCGTTCAGATTCTAAAAAAAATGCTTTAAAGATAAGGCAACAGACAGAATCAACAATGTATGAAGCTACTAATGCTTCAAATGCAGCTCATGCTTATAATGCTAATGAAATGGATTTCGATGAAACTACTAATGGGCGTACTTTCAGTGGGGATGATGATGATGATTATGAAATTACTTATCATGGTTCAGATCAACAATCTCAACCTCAACGTCAAAGATCAAAATTAGAAGAACAAAGAAGACAAAGAAGAGAAGTACTCAGAGAAAGAATAAGAAATACTGAACAACAAAGAAAGGATAAAGAAATTGCCAAGCAAAATACTAATGTACCTGATTTGATTGATTTTGATGCCCCAGAACCAACTACTGAATCTGTATCAACACCTACAACAAACAACAATGATGGTGACGATGATGATGAATTTGGTGATTTCCAAAGCGACAGTTCTCCAACACCAGCAGCAAACAATAACACAGCAAACATGGATGATCTATTAGGTCTTGGTACGTCATCTACGACCCCTGCACAGACTACGACTACCAAGGATAAGGACCCATTTGCAGATTTGTTTAACAACTCTAAATCATTGATATAGTTCCAAGAAGAACTTTACTTATACCATTATTTGAATATTTGTGTGCATGTTTTTAAAACTTCAAAAGGAATTATCAAAAAAATAAAATTAAAATTAAAATAAACACTATCATTATGTAAATTTACCACTGTGTGCATAGCAATATATAAAGCAAAACAATAACAAAAAAAGAAAAAAATGAAATCTGAATAAAAACCAAAGTTTTATGGTTAATATATATGTACATCTATATCATTCAATATTATATATCGACAGAATCTAATTCTTTAGTCATGGATTCAACTTCAGCGTCATCTGTATCATCTACAGTACCCGCTACACCTTGTTCAAACATTTGTTTCCCAGTTAATTTACCATTATGTGCATCTAATCTTCTTAATTTATCTCTTTCATCCAAATGCATTTCTTTTCTAAATTTAGTTCTCCATTCTAAATATGATTCCTTAGTGACAGGTGTACCATTAAATTTTTTCTGTTCTTGAGCTTCACGTCTTTCAATTTCTAGAGTATGTTGTTTATCTAATTCATTTAATTGTTCTAAAAACCAATTTTCTGCATTTTCCTTTATCGTAGACAATAAAGCAAAACACATTTGCATTCCAAGCAACATATCAGTATCAATTTGCTCACGTATAGTAGAAGTCAATTCATCTACATAATCCTTAAATGAAACATTGTCCGCAAGATTCTCAAGTTTACTCAACACGATATTCCCATGTTCATCATACTCATCCTCTTGTTCATCTTCATCTTCATCCTCATCACTTTCATCATTCAAGGATTCCTCGAATGGTGTAATATGTATAATTGGTGCCATATCAGGATAGCTCTCTGGAAGTTGGAAAGTAACTTCTAATAAATGTATTTTACTTAAGGACATCAATAAATCGTTATCATGTATAGTGGTATCATTCAATTCTAGTTTCAAAGTTACACTAAACTTCACATCTGGGTAAGTCGCATTCAATACTTCCAACTCATCTGGATATATTGATTCCAATACTTCCAATTCTTGTTCTTGTTCTGCCTGATAATCCATTGCTTCTTTTCTTGCACTTTTATCTAACTATAATTTTGTAATATACAGCAATTCTTCCACTCACCTACCGATAGAGTCTACTCCAACATATACATACACACACGCATTCACATACACCTTTTCATATGTAATCTGACAGCTCTACGTTGATGGATCCAACCCAGTACCAACCACTGATGATGATGACCTTTCCCTGCTAACATCTAACAAAAATTTTTCACGTCACATACAAGCCCTAGAAACCGGCCCTAGGGTTACCACAGACACCCTAAGCTCCCAACCCTAACCCTAAGAAAATCGGGTGTAACTCTCTCAAAAAAAGGGCGAAGAAAACCCGAAATTCTCACTGTTTCCGTTGATTTCTATTACTAAGTGGGAAGAAGGTCAGTTTGTCTCTTCACAGAAACAGAGAAGGCTGCGGGGGGCGGCGTCAATAATTGCATCGACAGCCAAAAACGAGAGAAGAAAAAATCTTACAAATTTTAAGCTGAAAAAGCATTGAAGACACCCTGATCTGGGTGTAACTACAAAGGCACCTTTTCAACAGTGGTGCAGTTCTTAATGCAAGACCCAAAAAAATGGTAGTACGTACGTAGTTTTATGTATTTCAACTTGGTACTGCTAAGGGTGGTTGAGGGTGTACTTTCTAATTTCTTTCAATCCATATATAAGTGATTCAGTCCTGGAGTTTAGGTTAAGCCATTTTACTTTTGGTTCTGATATTATTTTACAATATATTTATTTGTATATGTTCTTGGCAAATATATATATATATATACATCTATATTATCTAAACATCCATCGTTGTTGTTATTACTTAACTTGTCAATTTTGGCCATCTATACTATATTACTACAATGCACGTTGCTCCAATGTATCCACAAACAAGAAATCAAGATTTATTCCAAACCATGAAAGCTGATTCAACTACAACATCATCTATTTTCTCAAACAATGAAATGGATTATGCTTCCCAAGTAAGGGAAATGGAAGAATATTATTTAAAGACTTTATTAACTGAAGATGATGATAATGATAATGATGTAGAATATACTACAAAATTGCAATCTTCTAATAATGATGATGTATTTTCTAATGACAGTACATCTACTGGTAGTCCCTCCTCCCCAGGACAAATTGCAAAGTTAAATAGTTTTTACAATCCATTTTTGACATCATCTAATTCTAATCCATATTATACTGGCATTAATGCATCAAATGGTGTTGCTATTGCTACTAACCCGGCAATTTCACGTCCTTTGCAAAATACATCTTTAGAAGTTGAAATTAATAATGCATTTAATCCTGCTGTTTCATCTTTACCATTAACTACTGAAAATTTACAAAAATTGAGTCAAAATACCCAAACTAATCAACAATTAGCTCAACAACAATTAAAAATGTTACAAACTCAATTTGTTGATACTAGCATCTCTGGTCAACAACAACATAATCATAATCATCATCATCATAGCCAACAAAACCAATATTCTAAAATTGTACGTAATGATTCTAATGAACAACAAACTAATAAACAACTTTATAAGACTGAATTATGTGAATCATTTACTACAAAGGGTCATTGCAAGTACGGTGGTAAATGTCAATTTGCACATGGTTTAGAAGAATTGAAATTAAAAGAACGTCGCAGTAATTTTAGAACAAAACCTTGTGTCAATTGGGCTAAATTAGGATATTGTCCATATGGGAAACGTTGTTGTTTTAAGCATGGTAGTGATAGAGATATCCAAATTTATGTCAATGCAGGAGCAATTAAGGTTCATACTCAATCTAATGAAACAGTTACCGAATCAGAAAATGCTACTAAACTAAGTACTCAAAGACCTAAGCATTTACATCCAAATGTGAAACTATTACAACGTATTAGTTGGTAGTTACAATCAGATATTCATTATGACCCACCCCCATTATTATTTCTCTTTTTGCTTTGCCAATGAAAAACAAAAAATTACGAAAACATTGGTAATTTTCAGTCGTTAATTACCAACCTATTTATTTATTAATTAGATCGATAGATTCTATCTATATATTTATCTTTATACATATCTTCCTTAAAATATAAAAACATAAAACAGGATAGTTAATTCTCAGTTATTCATGATTCCGCAACCTATGTATCAATTGTCTGTTTTGGTATATTATTATCTTCTGTTAGTTTTTCAATTTTTACTTATTGTCTAAAAAATTTATAATTAGTATCAGGCATGTTATAATGGAAGATAATAAATTCGGTAAACAAAATTAAACATTTTTTACGCCCTAAAAAGAAAGACAACCGCCATACTAAAAAAGTTTTTTATTGAACATTTTATATTATGTACAACATGTGTTTACACAGATCAACTGTATAGAATATATATTGGCCATTCTCTCTCCTTTTTATCGTAGAAACTTTGAGAGAGAAGAACGTCTAGAGCTTCTTCGACTTCCTATAAAAGAAGAATGCATCATTGATTTATTGGTATTATGATGCACATCATAAGGTAACGACAAAATATTACCAGAATATAATTCATCGCTTGGATTTCCAAATACATCTTGTAGATTAATACCTTCCATATTTCTTTGAATCAAATATTTTAAAGCATTGTACCAAACATCGTGTCTTTGTTTGTCAACACAAGTAAATTTAATTTTCTTCTCCCGAGTCGTCACCACAATGCTCTTGTTATATAATTTAGCGGGACCGGTGGTATTATCATCCACACTTTCCACACGAAGGATAGAAACACCTTTTGTCTTACGATTCCATGGGTCATCAACAACCGGATTACTATCTGACCAATATAGAGTTAAACTGTATGGATGTATCCACATATATCTTTTGTGACGTGTCTCACCACCACCAAAAGATCCCAATCTATTGAAATACTTGTATACAAACTCACCAATAACAGTTTGGGAGATTGCAGATACAATATTATTACTATCACCAACAGATGCCATTGCAGCTAACGATACAGCTCCATCTACGGAAGCAGAATGTCTAACTCCTTTACCCCTTCTAGGAGTTTTTAAATTAATATTGGAAATGGATAGAGAACGACGACCACTATTATTTGAAGGCATGGCATTAATGGAATTCCTTCCACTGGTACCAACATTCACCTTCGTTGACACATGTGTAGTATAATTTTTAGAAGATGGTGTGGTAGACTGTCCTTCATCTGATTGACTATTATTTGGAGATGAAAATACAGTAAAATTATCTATTATAGGTTTTTGTAATCCTCTAATTTTCACTTCTTTCAAGAGAAGTTCATCGTTAACACCGTTCAGATCAGGTTTGGAATTCTGAAGTAAACTACTATAATAAGATTTAGGCAATAATACAACGTTATCCTCATCAGGGGTAATATCACTAGAAGTAGCTACAAACGATGTTTCTGGGACACATAACATACCGTAATTCTTAGCAGATGATCTTAGATTTGTAACATCATCAGTTATATTTTCTTGTGTAATATCGTAATCCTCATCATACATAACATTTGAAACTCCTTTATGTTGAACTATCAAATCCTGGATTTCAATATTATTCTGTTTAGCTTGCTCAATTATTTGATCTTTACTTAGAGTAGGATTTTTTAATTGCTCGTTCATTTGAGCAAATGTTTCCTTTGAAATAGCAACAAAATCAAGTTTATCAGCTTGTTGGGCCAATTCTTCTTCACTTATATCAGTTGTTACAGTAGGAGTGGCGTCTGTCTTGTCTTGAGTTTCCAGAGCTGATAATTTATATCCATTATCTTTCGCTATTTTTTCTAACCTTTCAATAGAGGGATAAGCTAGTTGGTTTTGAAGGCCTTCCAATTCATCTTGTAATTTCTGTACAGCGTCCTTTGCAAATGCATCCTCTTTTAATTGATTATAAGAATCGTTTTCAATAACTTGACAACCTTTCAATAGAGCCATGCTTGATAAGAAAGTCAGAGATGGATGAGCAACAGTGTCCTGCATTGTTTCATATTCATCACTTGGAGTTACCACTTGCCCTAACGATGTTGCTTTTTCCTTAATATATGACAAAGATGGTGATTCATTCGTAGAGTACATTTTGTTATAATCGTCATCTGAAATAATTGTATACTGTTGCTCTTTTGCTTTTTGAATCAAATATAGTAAAGATGGCGAGTCAATATCAGATTTCATTTCTTGATATACATCCTTTGAGATCAAGGTCTTTCCAAGAGCGTCAGCTTTGGTAGTTAAAAATTCCATCGAAGGTGATTCTACAGTTTCGTGCATTGGTAAATAATCTTTTTCAGATATTACTACATAACCTTGTTCTTTAGACTTCTCAATTAAATGCAACATACTAGGAGAATTACAGGTCTCCATTAGTGCTTTATAATCTTTATCTGATATAATAGTTTGTTTTTGTAATTTGGCCTTTTGTAACAAATATAATAAACTTGGAGATTCAATGCTACCGCCCAAAGTATCAAAGTCAGATTTTGGAATCACAACTTGACCCATCTCATTTGCTCTTTGTGTTAAGAACTCAAAGGATGGTTGTTTTAAAGTGGAATACATAGTATCATAATCTTCATCTGAAATAATTGTATATTTTTGTATCTTAGCTTTTTGAATTAAATACAATAAACTTGGTGATTCAATATTTGTAGTCATTTCTTCGAAAGTTTTCTTGGAGATCAATGTTTGTGAATAATTAGACATAGCTTTTTCTTTCAAAGATTGTAAAGAAGGTTCAACACTCAAAGATTGTAAATCATTATAATCTGCATCTGAAATCACTGTATAACCTTGAAGTTTTGCCTTTTGAATCAAATATACTAAACTTGGAGATTCAATTTTTTCTTCCAAAGCTTCACATTCAGAGATTGGTACGACCAATTGATTTAATAATTTAGCCTTCTTTGTTAAAAATTTCAATGGTGGATTTTCAGTAAGTGAATACATATCATTATAATCCTTATCTGATAAAATTGTTTGATTTTGTAATTTTGCCATTTTTATCAAATATAACAAACTTGGAGAATCTAATTGCTGTTTCAATTCTATCAATTGTTTCTTCAAGGAATCAATCTCTGTCGAATCACAATTATTATTATCATTATGATCATTCCCAACCTTGGCAAGTTGATCAGTCAATTTTTCATTTTCTAATTTCAGTTGTTTACAAGATTTCAATAGGTGTTCATTCATCGAGATTAAGAGATCTGAATCATCTTTATAACTCTGAGTATTAATTAATCCATTCTTAAACAACTCCATCATCTCCAAATTACCTAATATCGAGTTATCATTATTCAATAATGTTTGAATTAAATTTGTACGATTTGTTTTATGTACTCTCTTTCCATAAGGTTTCTTAGTTTGAGATAACTTTGATTTATTAATCAAATCATTATGAATATTGTCCAATTCACTTAAAACTTTTGAATCATTCAAAATATGAGACGGTTGTTTCGCATCTAACGTCATTCTTCACTGTAAACGCAATTGTGTTTTATCCTTTCTATCAATATAAGACTTGATATGTATCTTCTTTTTTTGACAGCTATTCAATTATAGTAAAAAAGATAAAAATACCGCCTTCTTTATATATATAGTACTAAATTGTTGAAATAGATGTAATCAATAGCAGATGAAATAAAAAAAGACCACCTTCGTAGTAAGCATTCACTGAAACTCAATTCTAAAGTTAGTCCCGGGATATATACTTTTAACGTCACTAAACAAAGTCCAATCTCCGAACCCTTTTTCTTGAAAAGTGCAACAAAAATATAAATCTAATAATAAATAAATATGTACTGTTTTCTTTCTAAATGTCGTGTAGACTCGACAGGAAACTATGGCGCAACTTCGAATTAGATTATGGAGGGTGAAGTTTTAAGGGTAATATAATATAGGCCACAAGATCCAATTGCTTAATTGTTATCCATCACAGTGAGCCCTTTCTGTAATAAACAAACAAATTAAGGCCCGGAAAGGAGAGAAGAAACAAGTCAACTAATTAATATCAAATTACACTGTTTCAATGTTCATCCTTTGCTTACCATAAGTCATCTTTGGTATTGTTTACATAAACAAATTTTTTCCGATGCCCTGATACCCAAAGGAGGAAAAACCTAGCTTGTACGATAAATTGACTGACAATAACAACCCAATAAGGGAAAATACAACTTCACCATAACTAAAGCCTTCCTCGGTAAGGCCGCACCTAATCTTCTGTTTTTCTTTCTTGCAATCCCGGAGAAAAAACAAAAATAAAGTACTCCAAGCAATATTCATAGCAATCGTTGAGTTTAAGAATGGCAATTAAACACTGCAAACAAAGAGGCTTACTTGAATACTCTTTACCAACATCAACAAGTACACCGATTACACCACCAAGTGTATGAAGACTAAATCCTTTTTTTCTAAAATTTTATATACTCTGTTTTCGAATATTCGTTACGTTGTCTTGACTTAGTATCACCTTTTCCTTCAAGAGTGACATCATCATACACGAACCCTGGTGCGTAGCCCTACACGGCTCACTACGTACGAACTTGAGGGTGTGCAAAAACGTACTTCACCGCGAATTCGCAAAATTTGGAATGAATATTCATTCTGGGACGGAGTTCCCACAGAAAGCGCCGTACAGAATACCAGTGAAGGGAAAAAATATTCAACGTTCATTGGCTCATATCCCTTCGCCAAAAATCACCCAATTAGCAGCAAATAACTAACAGAGACAACAACTATTGATTGTACAAAGCAATTGAACCACTTTTCTGCTATGGAAGTGATCGGAGTCTCTCTCGTCAAACAGTCAATGTGTTGACTATACTATCGGACGATGAGAATGGGCGGGGGGTTCTCTTGATAGTTTTGATTCACTGACTGAGCGATTGTGATTCCTTTTACTCTTCAACATTTTGAAATCCGTTTCATTTGACCAGAGGAGGAGCATACGATACCTTTACCAGTTTCTTTGTAGCACTTATTACCCACCAATAAACCAATTATAATCCAACGTTTACATAAATATATAGACTCTTAAATATATAAATATATCAGTTTATTATTATAACCACTATTTTCCCCTAATCTTGACATTTATTTTCTCATTTTTAATATTTTTTTTTCTGCTTCAGATAATTAATATCCTTTGATTAAGATTAAAAAAAAATTAAGGTCAAAATTTTACTAGGAAGTATTACAACTAATAAGTTTACTATATCGTATCTTCCTATTCATAATCGAAATTACACACTCATATCCATACACACAAACACATACATATAGATATTCTCATAATGCTTTCAAGAGTTTCACAGAAATCTATGTCTAATGCTCTTAGACAATCCGTTCACTTAAGAAGTGCAACCATTACTCCAACCAAGAGATCATTTACTTCTTTAATCGGACAAACTTCATATATTAATGCACAAACATCATCATTAAATAATTCTATTTATCGTCGTTGGGCATCTACTTCTGTACCTGTACCACCAATGGCAGAATCCTTAACTGAGGGGTCCTTAAAAGATTATACAAAAGCTGTAGGGGAATTTATTAAAGAAGATGAATTGCTAGCTACTATCGAGACTGATAAAATTGATATTGAGGTAAATTCTCCTGTATCTGGTACTATCACTAAATTAAATTTCCAACCTGAGGATACTGTTACTGTTGGTGATGAATTAGCACAAATTGAAGAAGGTGCTGCACCAGAAGGTGGTGCCGCTCCTGCTACTAGCACCCCAACTGAAGCCGCCAAAGAGAAGGCCCCAACTGAAACTGCTAAGGTAACATCATCAAGTCCAGCAGCTCCAAAGAAAGAGGCTCCTGCTGCAGCTCCAGCTTCAACTCCTAAGAAGGAAACTCCGGCTACTTCATCTGCAACTGACTCATTCACACCATTCGCTCGTAACGAATCTCGTGTTAAAATGAACCGTATGAGATTAAGAATTGCTGAGAGATTAAAGGAATCTCAAAACACAGCTGCATCTTTAACAACTTTCAATGAAGTTGACATGTCTGCTCTTCTAGAGATGAGGAAATTATACAAGGATGAGATTATTAAGAAAACAGGTACTAAATTTGGTTTCATGGGTTTATTCTCAAAAGCCTGTACTTTAGCTGCAAAAGATATCCCTGCTATTAATGGTGCCATCGAAGGTGACCAAATTGTCTACCGTGATTTCACCGATATTTCCGTTGCTGTCGCAACACCAAAGGGTCTTGTTACCCCAGTGGTTCGTAATGCTGAATCCCTATCGGTATTAGGCATTGAAGATGAAATTGTTAGATTGAGTCACAAGGCTAGAGATGGTAAATTAACTTTAGAAGATATGACAGGTGGTACATTCACAATCTCAAACGGTGGTGTTTTTGGTTCCTTATATGGTACCCCAATTATTAACACTCCACAAACTGCTGTGCTAGGTCTACATGGTGTTAAAGAGAGACCAGTCACTATCAATGGCCAAATTGTCTCCAGACCAATGATGTATATGGCTTTAACTTACGATCATAGATTAGTCGATGGTAGAGAAGCTGTTACTTTCTTGAAAACCGTCAAGGAATTGATCGAAGATCCAAGAAAGATGCTGTTGTTTTAAATTGTATCATTTCAAAAACAACACATATTTGGAATGAAAAAATTAGAGAATAAATTATTAAAATAATATATTTTCATTCCAAAAGTAACAAACTCTGTGACACAATTTAACGAAAATCAAATCAAAAAAAAAATCAATTTTTTTAATATTCCCTTTCTATCTTAACCTATTTATTCTATAAATATAATAAAATATATATATATATATACATATATGAAAATATACACAACATGCAGAAAAAAAGCTCCCTTTAAGACCATTATCAAATTAAATCCACATCCATGGTTCCTATTTTATCCAATATGCAATCATCAGAGTTTGCAATCCCTAACTTTAACATATCATTCCAAAATAATGACATCTTACTTTGACAAAATTTTAAATATTCAAATCTATCAGTTTGGTCAATTATAACGTCATTCGTTGTAATATTCAAAGTTCCGCTTTGCAACACTGCCCATACAGACCAAAATAATTGTGAACAAGCTCGCCATTTGGTTACTGAATTATATAAATTTTCAATATCAGCTTGTAAAATTTCATTTTTGTTTAAATGTTTCAAATATTTTTCAATAAAATATTTAATTTGATCCTGGCTTGGATATTTCTTAGGGTCACAAATATACGATTCCTTAGTTTCATAATCATGCATACACTCTGTTAAGAAATTAGCTAAATCAAAAGAGATTGTATCGACACCACCATATTCAAAATCTATAAAGATGATATTAGATGTCTCATCGGCTGTTCGTTCTAACATGATATTACCGTGTTGGGTATCATTGTGACACAATGCCATATTCTGGAAACTTACCGAGTCATTTTGCGTCAACCATTGCTTGTAACGAAATATAATTGATTTTAAAGTATTCCAATCCTTACAGAAGAAGTTTACCTGAATATTTATACTATTCGAAACATTTACCCATTTTGTGTATTTTTCTATCGCATCTACCCAAGTGAAAATTTTATCCCAACAAAAACAATTATAATTGATTTTATTACTATTGGCAAAGTATTTTTGTTGTTCTTGTACTGTTAACTCAGTTAAAGTATGCAATTCTTTAAAACGGTATGCAATTTTTTCTAAATTATAATGTAGTTTCATTTCATCACTTCTAATGGCTCTATAATCATCTAAGAATTTTTCTACTCTGCCATTTTTAAAATGAAATAAAATTTTAATCATCTCAAAACTCTCCGGTAATCTTCTCAATACATTTAATTCATCATCTCTATTTACAATACTATCATTCTGGGTGTCATAAATTCGTATTAGGAAATTCTCACCTGTTGATCTTCCTTCTTTATCTAAAAGACCAGCTTTATAAATAACATTAGTCAAAGCCCCTTCTATTCTCGAGAGAGTTATACCTTTATCAGAAGAAGAATCATTGGTTAAATAAGGAATCAAGAGTTCTGGATGTTGGGCATTAAATTGATAATTGGAATATACCGTAGCCGCGTTTGTCATCTTATTAGGAATATATCTCTAGAATAATATTCATATAGAATAAACTTTTCAATATATTTATCTTTTCCAAAAAGAAGATTAAAAATCAAAAAACACAAACAAGCAGTTATCAAATATTATTATATCGAAAACGGTAAAATATGCATTCCATTCTCGAGGAAACAATCGATGCTTATCAGGGCCACCAATTTGAGATTTCTCATTGTTATAGCAATTTCCTAAAATTTCAGTTTTTCTCTTCCTTTCTCGCCTAGCTAAGCTTTAGTTACTGTTGCTTTTTAGCGTAACAGAAGGCAATTTTACAGTACGGGGAAAATTGTTAATAAGGCGTATTTTGATATTTGCGAACACTACGTACTGCTTTTTCTTTTTTGAATACCTTTTTTTTGTATGCACCCACTAACGCCATATTTATATAAGAGGAGGTACAGCCGTACACAATTTATAAGGAACAGTATACTTACTTAGCATGTTTAATGAGTCTCAAGAATTGTCAATAAAGCAGAGTGTTGGTCTTCACATTTGTAATCACAAATATACAAATCTCAAAACTGTTAACGGTTGCTTGTGGTTCATTGACACCTATAAATTAAGTAGATTTCCACTATCCCCTGACTCAAACAATCAGACAATAATATTCTTAAACTGAGAACAACAACTTCTTATGATGATAAATGCTTAGCAGTTTAGTTATTTCCCTACGAATCATTGAATCTGAAAAGTGGCCAGGTCACATGACATCCGGCCTTGGACCCACGTGACCGTTGAATTCCAATTTCTATTTTTTCCGGTCCCTTGTAATCCGCCACGGAATTTGAAACAAATTTGAAGAAGAAATGAGTATTTTCTGTTTTGGCGAAAAAATTAATTGTAAAAGGAAGAATTTCGGTCCATTCTATTAGAGAGCCTAAAAGGGAAATATGTAAATAATGAAAAATGATATGTAGATATTGAGAAGGAATGGAAGAGAAGTGATGTTTATTACCGACAAGTTGTTACCAAAAGCCTCAAGAACTGTCCCTCTATGTGCGGATATGGTTAGAATATGGCACCCATTACATCAATGAACAATATATTTCCTAATTCAGAATAGTTTTCCCCGTTTTTTTATTATTTTGATTTCTTTGTTTTCCTTACTTCGAGAGACAACCATTCCTTTTATATAAGAATAAAATAATTAAATTAATAAGTTTAGTAAGATTAATTATTTAGTAATTCAAAGAAAAAAAAACCGTAACGTTTTTTGCTGCTAAAGTTCCATAACTCGAAAAAACTGATAAGGACAAGCCTTAACTAAGCACATAATTAAATACCCAACTAGAAAATCAATAAAATTCATTCTAGCTAAATAATAAACTATAAACACACATTCACATTTTCTTAAATACCATCAATTATTAATGGAGAACTTAAACCTTTCATCCTGGTTTGATACCCAGAACAATGTTCTGTCAGAAATGAATAAAGATTCATATCCTAACAATGATAACAAGAACTATGAATTCGATTTTTATGAGCCTTTAAATGAGACAAATCCTACTGCTGGGTTAGGGGATTTCTTCTTAGATAATGTTCAATACCCTGAGAGGAACAATGTGTACAATAATAATAATAATAATAATAACAATAATAGTAGTAATACGAACAATGGTATCGATACATTAAATTGGGACACTTTACTTTCAGATTCTAATGCTTTATCAAACGATCTATTATGGAACGAGAATAATATGATTGATTTAGACAAACAACAATTTAATAATGGTAAAATGTCTTATAGACAATCTAATTTGGAAGAAGCACTACGTAAACAAGAGGAAAAAAATCATAAATTAGAAGAACAATTAGCAAAGACTCAAATGGAAAACCAAAGGTTGACCTCTAAACAATCTAAAACTAAGATGAAAGGATCTCAAACTGTCAGAGCAATGCTAGGAGATATTACATCATCGTCAAGATTAAACAGTACACCATCAAGAAAATTGAAAACTTCAATTAAACAAAGAGGTGGTAATAACATGATAAATAATGAAAATTTCAATATACTTGGTAAAAATTTAAAACCAACATTCCAACAACCAGTTTTTTTAGAAAATACTTCTTCTTCAGCCGCATCAATGAATGGTTCACCTAAAAGAAGACAAAATAGATCTAAAAGTTCCATTTCTCGTGATAGAGAACACATAATGAGAGTAAATTTTCAAAAAGCTCCATCACCACAGAATCTTATTTCTAATAATGAATTGAAATTTGAAAGTCCATCAAGACCTATTGCTAACCCAGAATCACCTTACAGAGCTGATTTCCTTTCAAATAAAGGTTTACAATCACCAGTAATTGGTTTAGGAATCAGATCGAATGATTCAAGAAGAGGTTCAATGGTTACTTCAGATAACTTTAAATTTAGAGATTCTTCCAATGAAATTAGGAAATCTCCATCGACCTCACCAATTAGACCTATTGCCAAGTTTTCGTTTGGCGAAACACCAAGTAGGAGAAGAAAAAGTGTTGCTGATGTATTATTATTCAATGATAATGATATGTCTGCTACTCCAAACTTGGGTCCACCTCAATTAAATTCTTCACCAATGATGTCTATCACTGCATCACCAGTGATTGAATCGTCTAATAATCAATTTATAATATCACAGAGACCATCACCTGAATTGAACTCCAATGAAAGTAATTTTGAACTTCAATCACCAGGGTTTGAAGTTCCTTCGAGTAATAATACTGACATCAGTTCTTCAATAATGTCAAGTCCACAAAAAATTACAAGAAAATTAACTACTTTACCTCGTGGGTCCATTGATATTTATGTCAAGGAATTACCTGACAAGAGATTCGAATGTATGTATCCTGATTGTAATAAGACTTTCAAGAGACGTTATAATATCAGATCACATATTCAAACCCATTTAGAAGATAGACCTTATGTATGTGATTTTGAAGGTTGTGACAAAGCATTTGTTAGAAACCATGACCTTGTAAGACATAAGAAATCTCATATGGAAAAAAGATACGCTTGTCCCTGTGGTAAAAAATTTAATAGAGAGGATGCTTTAATAGTTCATCGTAGTCGTTTAATTTGTATTGGTGGTAAAAAATTTGAAAATGTTGTCATCAAAAGGTCGCCAAGGAAAAGAGGTAGACCAAGAAAGGATGCCCCACCGATCGAAAGTATGAGTCCCACAAAAAAACCAGATTGTGAGAAATCTATTAATAAGAATACTACTATACCAAATGAACTTTCAAACCAGCCAACTTTGTCACCTATAGGAACATTCGATATCGGGGATGTAGTAGCAAATGATAATTTTCTTAATGAACTTGAAAATGAATTACGGTTAACATTAGAAAATGAAGGACAGTTATCGTAGATAGGAAGACAATCTTCATAAAAAAATCATTTTTTTTTTTGGTTGTTATACCTATCTTAAACAAACAAAAACAAACACACACACAAAGACAACGTTAATAATTTAATATAATATACATAAAATAAAATACATCAAAGTATATACCTACTATAATTAATACACACTTTTTTTATTCTTATTAAGATGAAAGAGAATGCCGAAATACTTTCGATTGTCGAACAATGTTAATCTTAAGGGTCCTCTTCGAAGATACAAGTATGTGTCTTTAATTTCCTTATCAAAATGGATAGCTGTTAGAGCGGTTGTTAGAATCGCAATCTGAGTAGTGTAACCTTTATTATTTACAGCTTCATCGACCTTCTCTATATGGTTTTTATTTCACGCAAAATAAAGGTTATAAGAATTCATAACCTCGACGGTGCCTTCTATATCCACTTTCCCCCGAAATTTTCCATTTTTTTCAGTTGACGATGATATAAGCGGGAAGAGCGATAGAGGAAACGGCTGTACCTGCGACACACAAAGAGAGAAAAGTAGACAGACAATGCGACAGGTAGATCTGTTTCTCTTCCTCAATAATAATGATATATTTCATTACCCTTAAAGTATACGAAAACCCTTTACCTTTAATATATATGGTATATTTTAGATATATTTCTAAAATGTGGACATCTCTCTAAAGGTAAGGGTGAAAAAAAAGGTTATGTGATTTCAACGTTGAGGTATTATATCTTTGTTTAATATTCTTGAATAACAAGTATATATAAGGTGACTTAATTGTTTTATTCTTAACCTATACCTATCAGTTTCTAATTTTATTCTTTTGTTTTCAAGATTTAACAAAATAACAAACAACAAGTAAATAAAAGCATAAACTTTTCCATCTTTTTTCTTCCTTTAAAAATAAAAATGGATTCTACAATTGATCAACTTTTAACATTTTTGAATAAAAGAGATACTGATTCACTTCCCACATGTGATACCGAGAGTGACTATAATGGTAGTGATAATTTAAGAATCTTAGCCGTATTTATGATTCTAATATCTTCTGCATTAGGTTCTTTTTTCCCCATATTATCTTCAAGATATTCTTTTATTAAACTTCCACAATGGTGTTTTTTCTTAGCTAAATTTTTTGGTTCAGGTGTTATAGTGGCTACCGCATTTGTTCATCTTTTAAGTCCTGCCTCTGATGCACTAGGTAATGAGTGTTTAGGAGGTACATTTGCTGAATATCCATGGGCATTTGGTATTGCATTAATGACATTATTTGCTTTATTCTTCACTGAAATTGTTAGTCATTTTTTTATCACAAAAGCATATAGTGATACAGGGTTACATGAACATGAAAATGATGACAGTGAGAATGAAAATGATTATTCAAGTGTTGAAATGAATAATGTAGGTGAAAAGTTAGAGAAAAAGACTTCAAATGATACAATTGAACCAACTGACGTTGTTCAATCTCCATCCGTCATTCCTGGTGCAAACCATTATTCACACGCAGTAGACCATAATGATCCAGAACAATTACATGGTGAAACAGATGATTACCAAAAAGAGAGATATGCTACACAAATTTTGGCTGTAACTATTCTTGAATTCGGTATTGTATTTCATTCAGTATTTGTTGGTCTTTCTCTTGCCGTTGCCGGTGAAGAGTTCAATACTTTATTTATTGTTTTGATTTTCCATCAAATGTTTGAAGGGTTAGGTTTAGGAACAAGGTTAGCTGAAACAAAATGGCCCGAAAGCAAGACTTATACACCATGGATTATGGCTCTGGGTTTTACTTTAACGACACCAATTGCTGTAGCCATCGGTATTGGTGTGAGACACTCCTTTGTTCCAGGCTCAAGAAAGGCTTTAATTTCAAATGGTGTATTTGATGCTATATCTGCAGGTATTTTAATATACACAGGGTTAGTTGAACTAATGGCTCATGAATTTTTATTTTCAAATCAATTTAGAGGTGAAAATGGTTTTAAGAAAATGATTGCTGCATATATTTGTATGTGCCTTGGTGCTGGATTAATGGCACTACTAGGTAAATGGGCTTAAAATAATTATAGTAATGAAAGCAGAAAAGTAATATCTCTTTGTTATTATTTTTCTTATTTAATCTGTATTTATATTATTTTAGAAATTGCTTCAAAGAAGTCATTAAATTTAATCAATTTTATGCTAATATAAATAAATTCCATTGAGGTGCCTAAAAATAAGGTCTGAAGTAGCATTCTTGACCCCTTTATTTCTACACCTATCATTTTCCATATATATATATATATATATATATATATATCCAACCAACTAAATGTATAATAGTTTCATTTATAGATTTTATATAAATCTCAATCCTTTTAAAACAATATTTGCAGTAAGTGTTAATCGATAATATATAATTTTAAAGTTAATTGCCTTGATTATAAAAAACAATCATTGGCATTATAAAATTTTTGTCATATATAATGAAACGGATACATCTTATCAAATATTTTTTGAATATGATATAGTTCAAGGTTACTGCAAGCTATAAAAATTTGTGAGTTTCATATAGCTATCACATTGTCCGTAAGTTTGCTAAAACTACCCTCAAGGGCTGCTGACAAAATGTGTTAAGTTTAGCTTAAATTTATTAAAAATATAAAGAATTATACATGTGAAAAGTTATCAAATATAAAAAATTATGGAACTGGATAAATCTACAATTTACATAAACTATAAAAAGAAAACAATTCTCACTTAATACGAAAGTATAAATGAGTTTGCAAAAAAAAATGGTCCCTAGCGGGATCGAACCGCTGATCTTGGCGTTATTAGCACCACGCCTTAACCAACTGGGCCAAGGGACCGCTTTTTATTAAAAATTGTTGTTAGAAGACTCTCTCTACAGGTTGATAACAAATTTAATATGTGTGTTGTTTGGCCTATATAGATGCTTTATAGCTGTTATTATTATGCATATTAACTACAACTGTTGCGGAAGAATATAAGTCGCAAGAAATGTTTCAGAAAGTTATTTTTAATTTTCCAGAGCAAATGTTCCAACAAGAGGTTTCTGGGCTTTTCAGATTATTCTAGAATATGTCATAACATTCTTGATTACTCATAATCTAAATTTATTCCACCGTGAAAATCTCAGTGGCAAATTCCAATTGTTAATATAAATAGAAGATATTGCTAGATATTTGGCAATTAAAGAGGCGATCCCTAGTCCACAGTTTTGGAAAAGTAACTTCAATAAGAAGGGATTTTATAAACAGGTAACTTACTATTTAGATGAATATTTTGTTCCTTTTCTCGCCATTGAAAATAAAAGTTACACATATATCGTGGAGCGTGGTGAAGGAATGTTCTATTATAGAAATAAGTTTTCTAAAGGTATTTTGAACTGAGCTGACGAATTTCAAAATGAAGTTAAAGCCATATTGGCTAAAACCACTCTTGTTTTTCTTACCATTAATAATTGGACCGATAAGATCAAAAGGAAATTAGAAGACTATTGGTCAACAGAATGGTTAATGAGCTTGAACAGTTCACCTTTAAAATAAGATCATGGTTATCCCGACACTGTTGAAGAAAGTTCCGAGGTCTTCTATAAGTACTGAATAGAGTGAGGAAACATATTTTTCTGAACTCAGTATGTTAACATTAAGCTCATTTTTTGCGAAATCATCAGGGGCAGAATATCGAACGAACATTCAGTATTTGTTGAGCCATTATCGAAGACAGAGAGTACCTTGGGTATAACATTTTCGAAGCTTCGATAAAGTTAAAAATTTAGCGGAGTACCTTTTTACTAGGTACATGTTTTTAAAATTGGCTTGGGTACCGAAAATGGCATGAATAGTTTTATTTATTTTGGTCCTTTTGTTGTATTTACTTCAAGATATACAGTAGAAAAACTGTTAGCTCTGGGTTCGATGTGAGTCCTGTAGGCACAATATGTATACTGGAATCGTGTAAGCACTGGGGATAGCAAAAAATATCTTTCTGTGCTAGAGATATAGGTTAATAGTGTAGAGAAAAATAAGAAAAATTTATGATTAAGTAATTTGAAGATTATATAATTTAAAATAACGGATCAATTATCATATCGAGAAATGTCCGAATAATATCTAGCTATCAAACAAGAAATTAAAGAATCAAATGAGACTAAAAACTCTAACTCAGATTCTCTACAATAAGATATCCATTTTTTGATAGGATAAGCTTCATATGTGTTCCTACTGCTTGTTTTCTGATTAACTTCTTCATGCTTCTTCTAGTATGATAATGGTTTCCCCTGCAACCCGCGCTATATAAGTAGTGTACAGGCTTTCTGCTTAACCAGAGTTTATAAATTTATATCCAACATAATTGTATGTTATACCAAAAATTAATTATATATTAATTCACTAATCATTATATAAAACAAATTATTATTATACCAAGTTTTTTAGGTTATTCATTTCCTTCTGTAGTATCATTTTTTATTGGAACCACCAGTTTGTTTAGTAGTTCCGTTTTTATCACCATTGATACTCTGCAATTTTTGATTGTAACTTGCTGATGGATTCCATTTTCTTGTACTTCTAATTTTATCTGCTGAATAACCAGGTATTCTAATATTCCAATTTTTTTCCAAATGTAATTGTATATCCTTAGCCTCTAAATTATCTGACTTTCTATGCTTTGCTAATCTACAAGCAAATGATGTCACATTAGTGATAAAATCATCAGCAAGATCTAATAGTAATTCTTCTACATCACCATCAATAACAGTCTCACCATCACCTTCGTCAATACCAACAACCTTCACTAATTCCCTCAGTTTACGTTTTGACATTACCCTTTCAGTGTCAATTTCATAAGGTGGCAATTTAGCAATTGCAGGAGTATTTAGGACAGCAGCATTCATACCAGAACCACCTGTTATTGTTGGTCTATTGGATCTGATTGAAACTGCATCTGGTGCATCAACTGATATATTTTCTGATATTGGGATAGAGGGATCGGAAGGTTTGAATATGGTTGATTTATTAGAGCTGGGGTTTGTAGCCACAGCTGCATTTGTCCCAACAGCTTGTGCCTGACTGTCTTGAGGACGAGTTTGGGCAGGCTGTGTTTCCTGCGATTTATTATTCGTTGATTGTGTTGAATTTTTATTTGCAGGTGAATTATTAGTTGCTTGTTGTGGTTGTGCAGTTTGTTGCGGCTGTTGAGACTGCGGTTGTGGTTGCACCGGCGTTGGTACATTTGCACTGGTACTAGGTTGTGCAGTAGAATTTGGATTAGCATCAGAGACGGTTGAAGAGTTGCCAGATGGAGGAGCTGTTGTATCAGGTGTACCCGTTTTACTTTGCTTCTGTTGCTGTAGTCTCTGACTTGTCTTTTGAAGGATCCGTTGTAATTCTGGATTAACTCTAGCACACTCAATGTAAAAAGTTCTTTTACCATTTTGTAATTGTTGATATAGATTGTTTAATTCTTCACTTAAAGTTTTCAAATTCGTTATCAGTTCGTTACGTTTTTCCCCTAATTGATTCTTAGCATTAACATCTGTTTGTTTATTTATTTCTGCGGTTAATCTATCAATATTTTGTTTCAAGAATTGTCTCTTATCCTTAATATTATTAGCTCTCATCTTATAATTAGCCATAAGTTTATCATATTGTTGGCTTTGTTCAGGCGTTAATACTTGTTTTAACACATTTGCCAATTGACTCCCTTGACTACTATTTGTGCTAGAAAAATTTGGTGTACTCTTAGCACTATTACTATTATTGCTACTATTTGGAGGATTTCCACCACTAGATGGCGTGGTTCCCGCCGTATTTGACCCTGAGTTACCTGACATTCTAGCTTGATAAGCCTGGGCTGCTTGTTGTCTCTGTCTAATATAGTTATCATATATAGCTTTAATTTTAGTAGCTTGCATCAATAATTCTTTCCCTTTTTGAGTATTCTCACCGATAGATTTGGCCTCATTGACTAAAGCTTTAAATTTGGCACTTAATTCCATTACTTGTTTCTGTTGAGGTGTCAATTGAGAAGGTGTTTGTTGTTGTTGTGATGGTGCAGGTGTTGCACCTGTCGAACTATTTGGTGTACCAGAACCATTGGTATTACTTGGATTTGTAGACATGTTCTAGTAATTTTCAAATACAATCTGTTTGTTGTTTCTCTCTTTATATAATCAAAATAATAAGAAGTTGTTTCCTTATTTGAAATAATTTGTAATATGTCTTCTAGTTGATCAATGTCAACGCTAGTAAAGTTTTATTGAGTAGTAAATTAAGAATCAAAAAAATACACACGCCAAATAATCAAAACGCTCAGTTCGGCTGCTGGATATACTGTTATACCTAGATAAATTAAAATAAAACAAAATTACAGTATTCTCAGATAACTCTTTACTTCTTCTATCTATGTATTAAAGAACTATCTAAAAATCTAGTTGCTTTATCTCTTATTCACCTGAATTTCTCACTGTGTGTATGTTTTCAGTTTCGGGCGAATCCAGTAACCAATTCTTTATTTTTCGCTTTATTTTGTTTAAGCTATATTATTTGACTCGTATAACATGATATGGTACATTGCATGCGGGTAACCTCATGAATTACATTTGCAAATATTAATACACATATATGTGGAACCACTTGACTGTGGATCCTACTATTAAGATGTTCGAAGGTTAAGCGTCCCTTCGACATGTACGTGATCCCTACAAATATCTCTATCGCACAACAACGTTCATTGTGAAGCTAAATATTTATTCTCAAAGCGACAGTTTTTCTGTTCTGTTCTTTTTTTTTTAAGATCTTTCTCCTTACTCAAACCTAGAGTAAGTCATACCACTGGGACCTTCTTAACTATCCCAGTTATAGCTTCTCTGTTTCGTGATAACATGCTCGAGTCATCAAGTATTCTTATTTGAACTCGGAGATAACTCAACTTTTACAGGTCACGGGATCGCTCGGCTCGGAGATTATTTAAGAGACTATTGTGAACAATCAGCTAAAATATCTTGAATTTTCATTTCCACATCAGGTAATATACGATGTGACATAACTAGCGGGATGAATACATAAGCATAGCATCGTTTTGCTGACGTACTGTACCTCTTTAATCATAGTTCTTATCAGTATCAATTGAGCCACCTTCTTATATATAGCAAACCTTGATTACTTATGCTTCCTATTGTTACTATGAACAATTGCAAGAGAATTTAATAGTAATTTTTTAATGCCATTAAGTCGGTAATTAGTAGCCACAATCGATAACTTTAATAAAACTTTAAGCCTGGTCAAGTCAAGCCAAGCTTCGGGTTCTGGTATTTGCTATTAAATAATATTGGCATCGCCACACTATTACATAAAATAATTATAATAAGAAGCTGTAAGGGAAATTAGACATAGCCCTAATCTAACCATACGACACAAACTCAAATTATTATATGTTATATGTAACGCGATGAGCCTTAACCCCGATCATCACTTTTATCCTGGCTCCCGCTACAATCAATTATTCTTAATATCAATTGCGCGTAAAATTATGACTGCACCCGAAATAGGAATAATTCCTAAATAAGACACCATCATTACGTATTTTCTTTCCTTCACACCAGAATCAATATATATTTACTATGAGAAAAGGTTTCTCGTATTCTCTATCATTATTTGTACGATCATTTCTGAAGTAAACATTACAGAGACAGAAATTTGACAATTATGAAAAAAAAATCTCCAAAGAAATTGAAGAAAACAACGGAAGAAAACACACGGAATGTCCTCCAGGCGGAAGTATGTGGCGTTAAATACCCTGCAGGACGGGAGAGGAGAACAAGAACCAAAAAAAAAGGGACGTTTCCAGTGTCATCTTGTACGTCACGGTAAATGTATACAAATAATAATAATCCGTAGAGATAACTCTCATTTTCGACAGTATCTTTTCGTTTTCTACGGGTTTTTGTTTGGATTAGGAGAACGAAAGATAATACTAAGAACAACAAAAATGAGCTCCTATATAACTATCGCATAAGAAATCACACTAACAAAATAAGTGTAAGCTCATCATCCCTAATAAAAACCAAGGCTTTTATTTCATTTTATTCTAATTATTCCGTTAATCAGATTAAACAAGAGGTACAATGTCCAGTAGCAATAAATTCAAATTTGTCCTTCTTCGCCAAAGTACTAAAAACAAAATAACTTAAACTTGCTAATATAATGTTATACTGACTCAAATAAAAATTAATTAAAGATGAGAGGCAAAATGATATTTAGTAGCCATAATTACGTACAACGAGAACAATTTAGAACTGTTCTTATCTTGCTTAGGTTCAGCTCGTAGTATTCTAAAAAATTAACCTATTATGTCGCATTATCGTTTGAGTTGAGTTCAGTTTGTGTAAAACAGTGCTTTAAGTTTGCTTGTTTTCCCTTATAGAATCGGATTTACTTATTTTTTTTCTTTTTTTCTTTTTCATTTTTTGCTAAGAAACGCCCACAGAACACAAACAAAAAAAAGCAAACAAAAACGAACACTGCCTGATCGTTCATTTATAGAGAGGATTTCTCGTACTTTCTCCCTGCTCTTGTTACTTGTTATTTTAAGAAGAAACGTAATACAGTATCTTAGGTGTTTTGTTAGTTAAATTAGATCAATCATTCATTCTTTTTTGGCACTATTTTGCGCATTACGTTCAATTACGTCGCTTTTATTTTGTTTGCTTTGTGTTTCGCGATTTTAATAATCACTAATATACGTAGTTTATTCCTCATCTATTAATATCAAATCATAAAAATGTTTTAATCTCTTATATGGTCATCTCGAGTATTTTTTTTTTTGCCTCTTCATTCGTTCTTCGTTCTCATTTATTTATTTACTTTCGTTATTCTGTTTAATTATTTTTTTCTTTGCTAATTACGCACTTTTTACTTATAATAACTATCTTACTATATCGATTATTCTATTTATTTCACTGTTTTTGTTTATTCGAGTATATATAAATACATATTTATATATATATAGATATTGGAAGTAGCTATTCTTGTTTACTTTTTCTTTCCTTTTTTTTAGATTGAATCTATTTTAAAAACATTTCCAGAAAACAAAAAATAAACATATAGTACTCGAAGAAGGTATATTATTAAACATTGCTAATATAAAATACACTTATACCAAATATTACAGCTTATAGAGAAAAAAAGCAAAAAAAGAAACATTTCATATCGATATATATATACATTTTTTTTATTAATGAAGTTTTCAAAATTATGTATTGCTTCATCATTAGCAACTAGTACAGTATATGCATCAGAAAATATAAAGAAAGAAGATAAATTTGTGAAATTAAAATTCAATAAAAGTTTTGGTGATTCATATAATACATCATCTCAATCAAATAGACCATTATTTAAAAGATCCTCGAATTATGAAGAAATCGAATTAAAAAATCAACAAAGTTTTTATTCTGTTGAGTTAGATATTGGGGTACCAGTACAACAAATTACAGTATTAGTAGACACTGGGTCCTCAGATCTATGGGTTACAGGTTCAGATAATCCCTTCTGTTCGTCAAATAGTGCATACGCAAAGAGAGATCAAGTTAAATCGTCGGATAACAATGATGATGATGAGGAAGAGAATTCATCATCACTTCAGGAGAAGAATGGGGTGATTTTTGCTACAGAGATTACTATTGGAGGTGGGATAGATCCTTTAAGTTTCCTAACGGGGTCTGATTTCACTTTCAACACTGGTGAATTTCAAACTGCTACCGCAACTAGAACATCTAATGCGGCAGCTGAGGCCACTATAGATTGTTCCAGTTATGGGACGTTTAATGTCAATAGTTCTTCTACATTTAAATCGAATGAAACCTCTTTTGAAATATCCTATGGTGATGGTTCATATGCATCAGGGACCTGGGGTCAAGACGTTCTTGCGATGAATGACGTCAATATTACAGGTGTCTCCTTTGGTGTAGCAAATTATACAAACTCCACCGTGGGTGTTCTTGGTATAGGTTTACCAGGTTTAGAATCAACATATTCTGGTACTGGTTCCACAAGTTCGGCTCATCGTTATCAGTACGCTAATTTACCAATGATTTTACGTCAAACTGGTGCTATTGAACATACTGCATACTCTCTATATCTAGATAGTTCCGATGCTAAATATGGTTCTGTCTTGTTTGGTGCAGTGGATCATAACAAATACAGTGGAGATCTATATACTATCCCAATGATTAATATTTATGAAAACCAAGGGTTTTCAAATCCAATCGAATTCGATGTCACTTTACAAGGTATTGGTGTGTCTACTAGTGATGAGCAAGTCACTGTCTCACAAACAAAGCTTCCAGCATTATTAGATTCAGGTACTACTATTAGTTATATGCCTGCTGATCTTGTTTCTCTATTAGCCGAAGAAATTGGTGCCACATATTCGTCGACCTCAGGGTTCTATGAAATGCGTTGTTTATCAAGTAGTGACGATACTGAACTTGTATTTGATTTCGGTGGATTCCATATAACGGCTCCATTATCAGATTTCTTAATCTCTACCACTTTGAGTAACAAACAATGTATATTTGCAGTGGTACCAGAAGTAACCAATTCTGTTATTTTAGGTGATGTCTTCTTAACTCATGCATACGTTGTCTACGATTTAGAAAAATATGAAATCTCAATGGCTCAAGCCAGTTATGATGATGACACTGAAGATATTGAAGTCATTGACTCCAGCGTTCCAAGTGCTGTTACAGCCGCATCCTATTCAAATACATGGTCTACTAGTCAAGATATTACATCTGGTGGTAACATTTTTACATTAGATGGTAATACTACAGTAACTTCTGGTGGATCAACTATTGTTACTGCCACCGGTAGTACTCGTAGTGCATCCCACTCACAATCAACTACACGTAGAGGTAGTTCTACTTCTCGTGTTGAAAGGACTAATGGTCAAGACATTTTGTCTATCCCTACCTTACTCCTAGCGTCTGCATCCTTTGTTTTGTCATTCTTCCTTTAGAATGTTTTGTCATTTTGATGGTTCATTCTAAAACTTTCACCATTTGTCTATAGGTAATTATATAGCTCATTCATATTTACATCCTAAACGATCTAATTCATTCATAATTTTTCTTATGTCTATTATTGAAAAAATACTTATCTAACCTCATCGAAATTATTCATCTTATATTAGCTTTCCACCTCTCTCTTCAGAACCGGCATCACCATCTCATCGTGGAAGCGGCTTTCGAGACTTCGCCAAGTGGTAATTGGAGAAAACTCATTTTTATTCCTCTCTCGGATTTGTTTCCTCCTTTGATTTAGTCATAAAGGGAGAAGCAGAGACACCAACAGAACTGCAGCCAAAGAGGAGAAAGGGAGAAGAGACAGAGCTTATAAAATATCAATAACGAAATAAGTAACACTTAATTGAAAAATAACGTTTTAACAATCTGATAATCAAGCAAACCACTCTGAAAGTTAATGCTTTAATCAACTGTGAATTCTACAATTAATTAACTTTTTAAAGGGCGTGGAATCATATGGAAAGAACAGCAAGGAGGGCAAGAACAAAAGTCTGATCACATTATCAACGCAAATATATCTAGGGATAAAAAAAAATGAATGGCTATCGAATGGATGGGTTTAGTGGCTATAGTGTCAAATATTCACCCTTTTTTGATAACAAATTAGCTGTAGCGTCTGGAGCAAATTTTGGATTGGTTGGAAATGGTAAGTTATATATTCTAGATATTAACGATCAAGGAATATTACAAGAATCTAATTCATTTATTACACAAGATTGTTTATTTGATACAGCTTGGAATGAACTACATGAAAATCAAGTAGTAGTGGCGCAAGGTGATGGATCATTACGCTTATTCGATATAACTCAGAAGGATTATCCTATTGCTATCTTTAAAGAACACCAGAGAGAAGTATTAAGTTGTAATTGGAATTTAGTGAGTAAAAATACATTTACTAGTAGTTCGTGGGATGGCAGTGTAAAAATATGGTCTCCTGTAAGGACAAATAGTTTATCGACATTAATACCGAATCCAATGAAAGTAATTGAATATGTTGATCGTGTAGATATACCGTTATCAAATCAAAATACTCATTCTGATGTGATTCAAAATAAAAACTGTATATATCAATCAATATTCTCACCTCATGATCCTAATTTAATACTTACCTGTGCAGGAAATTCTTATATTACATTATTTGATATGAGACAACCTACAACTGCAAATAATCAACAAAATTTTCTATCACATGGTGGTTTAGAGACATTAACTTGTGATTTCAACAAATATAGACCAAATATTATTGCATCTGGTGGTGTTGATAATGCGATCCGTATCTGGGATTTGAGAATGATACAGACTACTAGAGGTAACTTATCAGCAACAACTACTACTAGACCTAAATGTGTTAATGAAATCGTAAGAGCACATGAACTAGCGATAAGAAAAGTTGTATGGTCTCCTCATGATCCGACACTATTACTTTCTGCATCCTACGATATGACCTGCTCTATATGGAAAGACTTAAGCTTTAATGGCAAAAGCCCAACAAATAGAACAAATAATACTCACATAGGCAAGGGATGTATCGCTAAATTTGGAGGTCATTCTGAGTTCGTATTTGGTGTTGACTGGAGTATGTGGGGTAAACCAGGCTACGTAGCCTCGACAGCATGGGACGGTAATGTATATATATGGAAGGGCTACTAAGATGATGAGATTAAGGGTCAAAAATATATATATATATATGAGAGAGACGACCGAACCGAAGCATTACTGCATACATTATATAAACTCAAATATAACTATTCAAGCATAAAATATAACAAATATACTGTATATAATTAATCAATTAGTTCGATTTAATTCCATTACTTCATTTGAGCACTACGCCGTGTTCCTTCCTCGAAGAGCAGAGATTCGCTATAAAGAATTTTTATATCACATGATTTAGAGCGGCTTGGTAGAGAAATAAACGAAAACTGCAAGGTGTCTCTATTTTTCTTTAATTTCACATAACTGAGTTATAAGAACCTTGTTATGTATAGATATACATAGGTCAGTAGATAAGAGCTGAAATAATAGTCGACTCAATTGAGAAAGCTACCTATCATAAAAAATGTCACTACAATTGAAACCACTCACAATTGACTCTACAGACAAAAATTTAGACTCTAAACAAAAGAAATTTCAGAGTAGTATCAGTAGGGCCTTAGAACGTTTTGATACAGTAACGGAATGGGCTGATTATATTGCAAGCCTGGGTGGCCTTTTGAAAGCTTTACAAAGTTGGAAACCCCAGTTTCAAAATGTCAAATATTATGTTCCAACACCTTATCAAGTTAGTAGGAGATTAACATCCTCTTTATCTCCAAACTTACCAGCAGGGGTACACCAGAAGACTCTAGAGGTTTATACATATATTTTTGAAAATATAGGTATTGATATGTTGGCCACGGAATCAAACATTTGGATTCCTGGTATTTTACCATTAATGTCCTTTGCATCTATGTCTGTCAAATCATACCTGATCGATCTCTATGACACATATCTAGTACAATTACCTGCGCCAACCCTGAGAATGCTTGCAAAACCATTAATTGCGTCATTACTTCCAGGTATCGACGATGAAAGTAGCGAATTTTTACCACTTACTCTTAAATTGATAGAAACATTAAAAGAAAACATGGCAGATGATTCATTATTTTGGCAAACATGTTTTCTAGTTATTACCACCAATAGAGATCGTAGATTAGGAGGTTTAGTTTGGCTGATGAAAAAATTTCCATCTGTAAATGCAGTTCCACACTTGATTAAAAACAAGAAGAATGAAGAAGATAGTCCTTCTCATAACGGCAGTGGAAACACAAGCATAGATAGAGCAATAGAAAAGAAAAAACTAAAAGAACAAATTCTACAAACATTATTACCGGCTGCAAAGGACTTAGTAACCCCAGAGCCTGGACTTCTGATTCGTTGCTTTTACCGTTGTTTGGATTACGATAACGATATTTTAATTAAAAGAAATATTCTAGATCTTTTATTACAAAGAATGCATTTGAATTCTCCAGTTCTAACTGATCTAATATCTAATGAGGACAGGAAACTTTTAATATTTAAATGTTGTACCACAACCCTAAACAAAGATATGTCATTGAATAGAAGAATATGGAACTGGCTATTGGGTTCTACGTCCACATCCCCAGGTAATGATTCTTCCAGCTCCATGGATGGAGAGTTACAATCAACTCAAAAAACAAATACTAACGAATATTTCATAAAGTATGGTTTAGAACCATTATTAGCCAGCCTGAAAGATCACATAGATACTAAAGAAGACTTAATTATTTCATTTAGGATATGTATAACGTTTCTGGATAAATGGGAAATTGGATCTTTAATTGTCCCAGAAATGTTTATCCTTTTATTATTGGCAGCACAGAAGTTTGCCGATGACGAAAATGTTATTAGAACAGCTGCTTCATTTTTCGATGCTGTCGAAACCAACATTATTTGGGGTAAAATATTTCAGTTCACCAAAGAAGAAAAAAATTTCGAATTTTTAAAATTTGTCCTCTCGAACTTCAATATAGCAAATGATGAGGAAATTATCATTCGCCATTTACCGCTGATGATGCTGTCATTATTATCATTTGTCAATGTGAAGACAATTCTATCTGATCTCCAAATAAAACAGGTGTTCGAAATTTTAAACCAATTATTGGAATTCACTCCAGAAAGAGCGTTCCTTCCTGTAACTCATTCATCTATTGAATTTAGTGAATCTTCGACATCCAAAGAAACAATAAGCAAAATTGAACAATTTTACGGAGATGTTTTGAAACCAGATCAATCCGATTCGGATGGATCAGTAACTGATCTGGATTTACCGTTCTCTGCCGAAGATATAACGTACTTATGCGTACGTAACTTATACTCTATTTTACTAAACAGCTTGAAAACAAATGAGCACATTAACGAGATTGCTGAGTTTTTTGTTAAGCTATTCGAAGTTATACCAGAACAAACAGAAGAATCAGATAACAACAAACTCCAAACGCAAAACGAAGAACTAACAAGAACTCTACCCGAAGTTATAATGTCGATATCGCCTAATGATGATACAAACCAAATTTTGGGAATCGTCAGCTTATATAGCAAATACCTTGGAAACAGAATAAATACCTTGGAGTCAATAAAACTTTTGAACCAAATTATTCACTCGCTTTGGGGCTATATGATCATTTCTTTCAAGCAACAGATTGCAATCAAATGTTTGAAGTCATTTGAAAGAACCATACCTAGGAAATATGTTGCTAGCGCACTAGCTTCTGCGTTTGTGCAGGAGACTGATTTCACCAAGAAATTGAATGTCGTAGACTTACTTTGGGATCAATTAGATGCTCATAATGAATTATTAGACAAACCATTAGAATTGATACTAGATGAACTGTTCGATAGACAAAATCCAAATTACTTATCTGTCTCTAAATGGGTAGTCTCTCTCTTGAATACCGGATCGAGTAATCAATTGTACCAAATGTTGACCAGTGAAATATTGAAATTCAATTTTATCAATAAGGAGTCACTAGATGAATTTGACGATTTAGAGATGTTTACCTATAGAATAAGAATTTTAACAGCAGTATTGAATATTCGTGATTGTTCTATCGTTGAGAATTTTGGTACTGAGATGACCTCGATAAGCTCAATAGAGGCTTGGAAGAATGATGACATTTCTACATATAAAAATTTGATGGTAGTAATATCACTAAGATTTTTAAAGCTACAGAATAATACTGATACAAAAAGTATTAGAAGTATTTTAATATTATTAGATTTACTTCTGGACGGTACCGAGTCTAATTTTAAAGAAATTGTCGTGCTATCATTGCAAATGTCATCAATATACATATCAGTTGGAGGCACCGATTCTGAATTAATCGCTGTGTCGTTACTAGATATTGTATCGAAAGTCCTACAATTATCCCACGATAATGGGATAAAATTAGATATATTTGATGATAACTCTACGCACTTGAAATACATTGATTTCTTAGTTACTAGTTTATCCTCAATGAATACTCCATTAATCATCTCCTCCTATGTGAAAATTTTAACTGAAAGTATGGTTTATTTTGGAGAATCAATTTTCCATGTTCTGCTTCCTCTAACAGCTTCCATTATACAGTGCTTGGCTAGATTATTTACAGTAGAAAAAGAGAAAGGTGGCTATTATAAACCAATCGCTCTTTTATTCGAAGGTCTAGAAAATTTATTGGGTATTGCACATGGATATTTATATTCAGAAGATAAAAATGGGTTGTCTTCTGGAGGTGCTAACCAAAAAAGTGATTTTTTGCAATCTGTTGTTTCTAACGTCTTTTATACAGAAAACGCTGAAGATACTGTCAAAAGTCAAGGTGAACGTAATGTTGTGTTACAATCGTTCAAGCAAATTACAGTATGTTGCACTGAAGTATGGTTCTGGGCTCATGATCTATCTATTGATAAAGAATTGTCGAAAAAGTATCATAGTTCTTATAAATTCAAGTTTAAGACGAAAAAACTACTTGAAAAAATGTTCTTTTTAGAACCATTGGAAACACTAGAAAATTTAATAGCGCTTAAAGAAAAAGATGTAATAACTTTAATTCACGTTCTTGACGGCAATAAACCTTCTTTAACTATCCCTTATCTGTTGTACAGTGTGATATTAAGATACGATATCCATACGACTATCAAATTTTCCTTCAATGCCGGCAAATATAGCACCTTTAGAGTTACGAAAACCGAACCGACGTTACTTAATAAATTAGACAGTGATACTATTATGGATTTTATAATAAGATACACCATTTCCTTAGAAAACTCAGCCATTGAAGAATTTTATGACGACTTTATTATATTTTTTAAAGAGGTTTCAACTAATTACACCTTATTTAAGAAGATATATCTGGAAATAATTAGTTTTGTTGGTACTGTTGCAACAAAATTATCCTTGTCTCAAGTTTCTGATCAAAAGAGATACCGTAAGGAACTTTCAGATTTATTCATGAGATACATTCCGAATGTTTTAGTTGATACAACACCAAGTGACAAAGAATTAGAGAAAAGAATATTCACAGCCATGTCATCGTTGGTAACTAATACTGAAAGTGTGGTGAACGATTCAATCGGAGGAGATAAATTTAATACAGTCATTTCAACAATTGTTTCGCAATATCTATCACCTAAATTCAAATCAAAGGATACTTTGGCGGATGAAAATGTTTTATCATTAGCTCTTAAAGTCACTGAAGTGGGTTCGAAAGTAAAGAACTGGAAACTTTTGATGGGAGAAACCTTTGTGGATGATAAGAAGTTTCTTTCTTTCGGAGAGAGTAACACATGGAGGGATATTATTTATCAGTGGTCAATGTATCCAGAAAATAAAACAAAATTACTAAGTGAGTTGTTACTTGTCACAGGAAGTAAAAAGACTGGAATGACTCCATCCTTGATCCCTTTCAATTCTTGGTCAAATTCTGAAACAAATACCAGAAATCAAAATTTAAAAAGAATCTCATACCTATTGTTAATATCACCTAAGGACACATATTTAGTAGATTTCCAATCATTATTTTCTTGTGTTTATCAATATCTGGTATCAGATGAAAATCAATTAAAAAGCAGTAGTTGGGTATTATTAAGATCTTTGTTTTTGACCTTCAATACCCCTCATTTCAATGAGTATTGGTCTAAGATAGCGTATTGTTTACAAGTTAACCTTCAAAGATTCTATGAATGTTTACAAATTCAAAAGGACATAGATCCTAATGAAATTCTACAGATTTGCAAGACACTAGATTTATTGTTATTGTTGGGCTTCGAAGGCTTCAGTGCTACTAATGAATGGATATTTATAATTGACACCATCAACTGTATCCATAGGAGTGCTCCATTTGTTGCACTTGTTGATGAAATTGCTGAATTCAAAGATTTCGAAAATTCTAGAACCGAGGATTTAGAACTCTCTACATCTGGTCCATTGAGAATTCCGCTATTGATGAAAATTCACAAAATACATCATTATACCCAGTTGAGAAACTTTTTCCATCAATTAAGTTATGAACATTATGAAAATATTTACGCTATGAAGGACATTAATGTTGAATCTTGTAAGGAAGATATCTTTTGTGACATTTTCGACTGATCTTAATCATCAAAGTTCGAGATGTGAGATATCAAAACATTCAAACAGAGAATATTAATACTTAGATGTAAGTATATATGCAACAGTAAAATTATATATCTATAAATTATATATTTGTTGATTAATGAAATCTTTATGAGAGTGAATAGTATAGACACTTCTAATCAATGAGGCGTCTTCCTTATGAAGCGGTATACGCTAAGAACTTCCCAACCTGCCTTCCTATGTTCTACGAGTGTGATATCCCAATGGGAAGCCATGGACTTTACAACCTCTTCAGGTCTATTTCTTGCACAAAATAGGATATAAGCAACACCTTCCGACGACAATGTAGTATCTAATTGATCTAGGACAAGCTGTGTTATTTTCATGCCATCTTTACCACCTACAAGTGCAAGGTCAAGCCATGTATCAATGTCATCTCTAGTTTCTGGAATTTCGGGTATAGTCTCTGCAGGGACATAAGGGGGGTTGAATAGCAATAAATCTACTTGATTATGTCTTGTCGAACTGGTGAGGTCAGACTGTATCGTTTCCAAATAAACCTTATTACAATCATTACGTTTAGCAGTATCCTGTGTTGCATCTAAAGCCCATGGATTAATGTCGAGAGCTAAATATATAGAATTTTGTGAAGGCATTTTATTTTGCATCATAAATGTACTAACGATTCCTGAACCTGGCCCTAATTCACAGACTACAGCTAATTTATTTTGAAATCGATTTGCCAAGTAAATCTGTTCGTTCTCTAATGAATCTAATAGAAGAAATGAATCCTCAGCTGGTTCGTACACTTTGTCATAATCACATTTGACGTATGGTGTAGGTAACATCTCGAAGAGCAATTAACTTTCGTTTGCGATATTATTTATTTTATGAATGCTCAGTATATTTCAATAAAATTGTTATTAATCATGAAAACTGAAACTTATAGTGAGCTTTTATCTAAACAGTTTTACTCGATGACCTGGGTATATTGATATTCAAAATTTCTGCATTATTTACGATGTCAGGCTTGACTGATAATGCTCCGCGAAATAATAGAGGGCAACGGTAAGCGAAGTTCCTGAATACAGAGGTTAGCTACTAGGAATTGTAAAAATGATACATCTTATTAGTAAGAATACATGAAAGACTTTAGGTTGAACAGGGGTTAACATCAAAAAAAAAATTGCCTTATACTTTGGTATTAGTAGCAAATTGAAAAGAATCAAATCATAGTTAACGCAGTCCGTTATATTATAGTTATGTTTATTAAAGTAAAGACCCTTACGGGGAAGGAAATTGAAGTGGAATTACAAGAGACTGATCGTATATATCACATAAAGGAACTTTTAGAACAAAAAGAAGGTATTCCACCTTCACAACAGAGACTTATTTTCCAAGGTAAACAAATGTATGTATAACATTATAATAAAATAATATTGGTGCAAGTAATACCCCTTGTACCACGCATTTATTAATAATAATTCTTTTCACGTACTAACAAAATTCTCGAAACAAGATACAAAGAGCTACATCTTTAATAACTATGATCTAGCTTCTAAGATATAATTTTTGTTTTAATCTTTAAATTATTCAGAAATGATGAGGATTCCGTTGGTGATGCCAAGTTGGTAGATGGTATGCAATTACATCTTGTATTGACTCTAAGAGGTGGTCAATAAGTGTATACCTGATAAAAAAAATCGTATAAGATACATAAACTGTAAATGTAATAGAGTAAATATAATATAAAAAATACTCTGTTCTCTATTTTATTTAAAATTATTATAAGGAAAAGAGCTTAGTTAAGTATCCTTAACAATATACATAAAGAAATAAGAATATCATACATCCGACTTTTTCTATTCTCATTGAACATAAGGACTAAACTGGATAAATTGCCCAAATGATATTTAGAATGCTATTGCATTCTTATTTCTCGACTGTGAAATCAAACAATGCTTTTATCTTGATGAGTCATTGAGATATTAATAAGAGAGAGAGAGAGAGAGAGAGAGAGAGAGAGAGAGAGAGAGAGAGTCTATATCTGATGTGATTTAAGAAGACAAAACTGAGAAAAGGGTGACCGGTGAAGGGTCACCACGAAGATGGTTTGGAATTCCTAAGTAAAATTTTGTTACGTTAATCAAGGACGTTCAGTTCAGAACAAGTACACGGGTGGGGTCTTGAGAAACGGTATCTCTGAGAACAATATCCTCGGAGTTTTTCTTGGACATAGTTGGTAGTCTTAGCGTCGATCGCTCTTCTGCTTTCTAATATGTCCAAAAATGAGTTGTTCCGTACCAAAAAGCTATTTAGCTGCGATAATACTCTTATCTTTCTGATCACTACAGTATATGAATATATAAGTTACACACACAGCCTCACTCACCAAAATGAAGAAGAACGATAATAACTTTGTACTGATGATTCATACAGTTTTGGAATAACTAACCCCGTTTTGTCCCTCGTTTTAAAGTAGAAGATCTATTGTTAAGATATCCCTAGTCATATATGTCACATTTTTTAATATATTTGTCTTTTTAGGTTACGAAATAAACCGCAATAAGGGAAGTTGATAAGTTGGTTTTATGTTTTTTCTTATAGAGTCAGCTCTGAATTTTGGCATTATTTATTATAATTAGTATATAAATATATGTTTCATTTCCAGTTCAAGTTATTTAATTTAAATGTTGAGAAAGGGAAGTGGTCATCTATCTATTAGATAAACGGTTAAGGACATATTGCAATATTGTTTTTTATCGAAAATGTTGCTTCCACTAGAGATACTAGATATTATTGTAGATAAGAATAATGATAATTTAAACACTTTAATCAGTTGGGCAAAAATTAGTCCTCGTTATAAAAGGAAAATCCAAGAAAATATAGGTGTTATTACTATACTTGATGGTCTGACCTATCCACAACGTTACCCATTAGATTATAATGTTCTTTTTAATGACAATAATAATGTTACAATAAGCACGGAAGGATTTGATAGCACTGCATTAAAAACATTTACCACAAATCAAAGTCATATTTTAATATCCATTCACTCAAATAATATGTACAGTCAATTATTAAGGTTTACACTCGCCAAAATATCACATTATTGTCAAATTAATACAGTTATTTCCATAATTTATTTTAATTCTCATAACTATATGTCAAGGTTATATTTTCAAGAGTTTGAGCGGTTTTTAACTGCTTTACATTTTTCTGAATTGTATGTTTATGGAAATTGGGATATTTGTAATGATGAAGGATTATTCGATTTGGTTAATTTTTTTCGAAATTCTTACTTAAACGGCATACAGGTCATTAATTCACTCACTATTCTTGATAGTGCTGTCTCGATAACTTCATCGTCCTTACAAAACATTCAAACTTTAGGTATAAGAACATTAGAGACCGATATCTGTAACATTCTTAAGTTGTGTCCAAGGATAAAATCCATTGGTTCATTGAAATTTCCTGTTGGTGACACAGAACATGGCAAGTATATACTTCCTAAAACAGAAAAAATCTCTTTAACAGATTGTTATCCGCAATTACAAAAAGTCTTAGTAGATGGTAATCTAGTACAAGATAAATTAGATCTATCGGTTGGAGTTTCTATAACAGATCCGATCTTTTCAGATCTTTACTTCCCAAATATTAGAGTTTTGCAACTTCATTTGGGGAATTTCCCATATCAAACTGTTCAATTTAAAAATTGTAATTTCTCAAAATTAACTTCTTTAAATTGTGACACAGGAATTGTTCCATGGGAAGATCTCCTTCAGACCGGTGCAAATATTACAAAATTGTCGATGAAATTATACTCGACGGATCAGATAAGTTGGTTGAATAGTTGCCCCTATGATATTAAGAATATCGAAATCTTATCCACCAAAACTAACAATATACCTAATATTTCATTTAATGACCTTAATTTATTTTTAAATGATTATACCAATATTTCTCTAACATTACAGACACTATTACATTGTAATATATTTCAGAATGTCATTCTACCAAGTCAATCAGAAATTGAAAAATTAAACCTTAAACTTGATGATATCAACATTGTTGAAGAAATGAAAAACAATTTAAATTATTCACAATATTATCATCTAAATTACTCATTTCCCAACTATTTGCAATTTGAGATACCATATATAAAGGAATTGTTGATATGTGCAACTGAGAATCAAAATTTAAGTCAATTGCCAAGAATACTAAATGATACCTATACTTTGGAGGAACCTACGTACCCTGAAAATTTTCATTATTACAATAATATGCTAGGTATACAACCTTTAAAAGACATTATGAACTTTTCTGCTGATCAATCCAGCAGGCGATATAGTAACGATTCTATGGACTCCATAACTATGTACCGAAGTGTTAATCGTAGAAATTCTTCACAAGCATCAGGTAGTTTATTAGCATATTCAAAAACCTCGCCTACTGTTGAATTCGAACAGAATGTGTTTAAATTTGTGTTTGTCGAAAACTTACCAAATGTCTTTTCAATGGATTTATATACATTAGAAAGTGTTGATTTCTCCTTTGAAAACATTCTGCATGGAATTTTACCATTATTAAGGATAATAATTCCTGTGAATAGTGCTTATGAAACTCAAGAGCAATTAACGACACTAATAATGAGAGGAATATCAGAGATATTTAATTTTCCATTGGCGGTAAAGTTTCCCAATATTATTATTCAAAAACTGCAATTAGTGGTTGTTACTAATAGTCCGAAACTAATCAATGATGAATCGTTGCATGACTATCTTGATATATTACAACATAATATAGCTTTAAAGTATAATGATGTTATTGTGGTTGCCCCTGATGAAGTACCAAGATATTGTTACACTGTTTGCATAAATTATTAATCTTATATGTATATATCTACAACTGAACTTCTGTAATTTAATATTTCCGTATCATATGTTCCATCTTGCATGGAAATCCCATCAAAATAGAATCAATCTTGGACCGGATTTTGTGTCTTCTCCTCATTCTCAATAACATTAGAATCATTTTCATTAGTTTCGTTTACCACGATCATTGTAGTACTAGGATCAACTATATTCAACTCAGCTTTCTTTTTTTGTAATTCTTCAGTCTCCTCTTCGCGTTTTCTTTTTAATGATGCCTTCTCTTCCATATACTGACGAGCCTTTAATAACTGATCATCATGAGATTTCTTTGCCAGAGAGGCGAATTTTAATCTTAAGGCAACCCTTCTGGATTCAGTATCTCCTGAATTTTGTTCCTTAAAGATGCCACTAACACCGTTGGTCTCGTTGTATTTACCGAACTCGGATAGATATCTAGATCGAACAGATCTCAAGATTTGCCACTGATGAACGATTTCATCGTTAACATTTTCATTTGCTATATTTTGGTTTTCGTATTCTTCTTTTAGATCTTTAAATATATCATCGGGGTTTCTGGATTGATCAACTATGCAATCAAGACCAGTTCTAATTTTCCAAGCGTTGTCAATTTGTTTATTACCAAGTTTAATGAACCCGAATTTCTTGAAGTTAGTATCAATTTCCATTTTCTTATTCTGCTCTGGAACTTTAAAATTTTGGAAATATTTAAAATTGTTCGTTTTTTCCAACATATAATTATCGTTATCTTCTAATAGTCGTTTGAAGATCATAGTAAATGTAGCGTCTCGAGTTTGATAGAAACCAGCAATACGATTTTTACAAACATGAGTGTAAATGGAGGCCAATTTTCTCAGATTTGAGTCCTCTAATTTTCCAATATCAATTATACCATTTCCACCCTCCTTTTCTCTGTTCATTTTATAAAACTTTCTAATGTCCTCAGATTCGATTAGTTTTTCTAATAACTGAGAAACAAATAATATTTGTAAAATGAACTGTTTTCTATATACATCATTATTTGTTTTCAAAAGCTGATCGTAAAGCACAGTGGGATTTTTTGTTGCAAATGCTAAAGCAGTAGGTCTTGGAATATGTTCATTTTTCTCATAGAATTGTACTATACTAGACCATAATTCTTTTTCTGTAGTTTGGAATGTGGAGGAGTCTTTTAAATAGCTTGGTTCAGATTCTGGCATGATAGTAAAGTCCGCTTGATAATTTGGATTCAGTTTTTCATTAATAAGAGATATATTTTTATGCTTATATCTTGCCTGTTTGTAAAATGTGTCCTCGGCATCTAGTATAGCATCTAATAATACACCAACAGCACGTTCTGCATCACGTTTCATTTGAAACGTATTAAAAGTAAATGATATTGGATTTGTCAGTACTTTATTATACAGGTATAAATAATCTTCGGTCAGAATTTCAGGTGATGTTGTTGGTCTTGTGTTGGTCTTTGTCCTATTCCATGGATTAGAAGAGTCTTGCTTCTGTGATATTTGGGCAGATCTATTAAAATTTGACTCTTCATATATTGGTAATAGATTAGATATGAATTTTTCTAATCTAAATTTCATCTTATAATGAGCAGGCGTATTGAAAGTTGTGTTCTTCTCTAACGTGGATAGCATTTCATTCCAATGACGTAAATGTTCAGATAATGGATTTTTATAACTTATTAAAGACGATATACCACTATACTCTTGCTCTACAGTTGGATTTAATTTAAACCAGTCGATACGTGATTCAGGATAACTAAAGAATTCCGCAATATTTGTAGGCCAACTTAGTATGTCAATAACTTCACTGAATAATTTAAAGAATGATACTTTCCAATTTTCAACAGTTTTTCTACTCTTTCTTGAATGGAAAATAAAATCTAAAACGGTTGCACACAATTGTGCCTTTTCAATTGATGTTAATGCAGTTTCTTGGTTGTCTATTTCACCGACAGCCATTAGTGTATCTGAGATAATTCTATTAAGTGTAATGTTAACTACCATGTCCAGATTATCATCCGACATATTTAATTTCTCTAGCGGTTGCCATTTTAAATCTACTATTTCATTAAAGAGAGTTGCGGAAGAAGGTTCGTTCAGTATGGATTCAGTACTCTTTGAAATATCTAAAAATATTGGAAGTAGGTAGTTCACACACTCCTGAATTGCTGAATCAAGTGCGCTCATTATGTCGAGATAGTACCTTCTTTAAATAATTGGTATCAGTTGCCTTAATTTACTTTTAGTTTGAGAAATGCGTCTTCTTCTTACCAACTTTGAGGGCATTTTATTCTTTTCATTTGCTTAATTAACTTCAAATGCCTTGACGGTAATTCCTTTTAGATTACTGAAAATTTCTTGACGCGGGTAACTTTGAAACTTATTAAAAAACTACGCTCATTTCTACATACAATACTGATATATAATACGGTATAAGATAATATCGTTTAGTACTCTTCATCCAATTGTCGCTATTAAATTATATATATATATATATATATGAGCTATACTACCATCCACCCATATCCTTTGTAGTAGGGAGAATTGAGATTGGCACTCTGCAATCAAATTCTTCACCTTCAATATTTTCAGTAGAGTGGAAAAATATACCCTTTTTGTCACCATAAAATTCAAAAACATTGGAGGAACTACTTTTCGGAATTAAAATAAATCTTAATAATAGTGACCACTTGACTTGGAAGACATTAGTTTTAAATTGGCTAGGCATTAAATTCATTGGTGACTTCGGAATTGTGAGTTTCAGTGGGATTAACCCTGTTTCATCGAATGATACAACACGAGCGCTTGATATTGTCCTAATATTATGGTTCTTAGCATTCCCTGCAACGGTATCGTTTAAGTAATTTGAATTTATCACCTCTATCAATTCTAGGCTTGCGTTTATACCACTTACAGATAGATTAGGATTATCCGCTAATTGGATAGTTATATTGATATCGTCTGTAACAGTATACACGATTTTTGAAAATGCTGCCGTTGCTATTGTTTCGCCATTTCTATTAATAATATAATTTTTTTGAGGATTCACCAATTGCGGTTCCAATCTCGTACCTTCGACCGATGATGAGGCCAGCGTTACTGATGTCAGAGTTGATAAGGGTAGTCTCTTAAGTGAACTTATGTTTTCCTTTGATGAATTGGAAATCTGGTTGAATATCAATTTCGAGTCAGTCGAATCGGTTGCAGTATTCGTTTTAATTGAATTTGTAATAGAATCATTTTCTTGTTTACCGAATTGAAGATTCAGTTGGAAGTCAACCAGATCCTCTATATCATCATAATTTTCCGTTTTTTTAATTAAATCAACAAATGAATTTTTCAGTTTTTCAACTTCTATTTCTGGTACATCACGTCTTATAGAAATAGAACTCTTTCTTCTATTAAACGGTGTTGATAAGTCGGTTGAATGTTTCCTCGTAACATTTGGGGTTTGAACAACTTCTTTGATTGTACCTGGTTCCATAATATAGGGTTTTGATCCTAACTCACTTGTATATTGACAACCTTCACTAGTCACCAACGGCGATATGTATATTGGAGATTTAATAAATAAAGGTGAGATTTGATTTGATTCCACTTTATTGACACCAAACTCTACGTAGTAGTTAATAGCCATATTTTCAGAATATTTGTAACTTGGACATAAATCATTGGGTAATTTATTTGATTTAAAGTGGTAACTTTTCACTTCACCTGGTCGTAACGTCAATTCAGGGAATAGCAATGATTGTGGGATGACCAAAAAGGGTAGGTTATCATATTCTTCAAAAAAATCTTGAACATTAAAAGTAGGTAAATCTGTGCTATCAAATGTAATATCAGGATCTTGTGGACCAAATTTAAAATGTGATTGAAAATATTTCTTCAAGTATTTCGGATCTGTGTTATTATCCGAGGACTCACCACCGGGACCAATTGCTTCATTGGACTCACTAGGAATACCGTCTACATTATTAACAGTCATGTGTGTTGATTGATTTAAAAATATTAATTTGTTAGTGGACGTATCAAATGTAGTTGATTTAATTGTATCTGGTGAGTATTGAAATATACCTAACACTTGGACAAACCCTGCCATTAGATTAACTGGTTTATGATATTGGATCTGTTTACTAATATATTCGCCATATCTTTCATTATCTAATTCTATATCATGATGATCCCCACTTTCATCATCCCTATTCCCTCTTAATGCACCAAATAAGTTCTTCATTGACCACATGTGGCCGTTATTTTGTTCATTTTGTTCGTGTAGTATACTTTCTTCATTATCAATACGGGTTTCAATGCTCTTATGTAATTCTTCGATTTTTTCTTTTAAGAGGTTACATTTATCGACAGAACCTAAATGTCTTAATCTTACTACAAATGATATCTGTTCTCCTGCAAAATATGGATTTGATTCATGAACAATCTCTAATCGTACATTATCTGCAATTAAAAGTGAATCGATTCTATGGTCATGCATTATTGTTTTTTAAAATTTGATTTTTTGTTGTTATTTTTTTTTTTGAAATAATTCAAAATATAATCGTCAATTATTGCAGAGACAATCAGACTGTCTCTATGATTTTATTATCCTAAACTTTTTTATTATTCTAACAATAATTATAACCCATAAATCCAACAAATAAGAATTATCTTTCACCTATCTGGATGCTCGTAATTTCATGACTCTTGCTGTTATTTCTAAGGTCGTCATTTTGTTTTCATTTTCAAAGCCGTAGAGTCTTGACCCTTCTGGCACTTCTGTCTAATTTTCTGCGTTGCACGGGATTCGAACGGAGGGCTCACATTACATCCACAATTGTGAAACAGAAATCAGAAATAATAAGGAGAATACCAATAATATATTTTAATATTAAAGGATGCAAATGCCACTGTGTATTTTTTGTTATGCCATTTTTACCATATAACGTTACGTATCATAACTAATAGTTACCAGTCATTAGAACTACGGCACTCATCTCACTTTGAATGCCTACGATGAGCTTTTCATTATATTTTATAGCTTAGTAATGGAGTTTTAAAAGAAGAAACAAGAGCCCGTTTCCGTGAAGAAAGAACCGCACGGCATTTGCTCTTAACTAAACCCATTTTTTGAAAAATTTACAGAAAAACGAAAAATTACCAACCTTTTTGGGTAAATCGATCTAGAATTCACTTAAATAAATAGGTGGCATCTCTTGATTTATAAAAGGGATATATCATTGGTATAGTCTAATATTCGGTGGCGTTTGTATTTATATCGTGTTAATTTGGTCGATATTTGTTAGTTTACTTCTTTATATACAGATATAAACAAGCTATTTTGTATAGTGAGAGATATTATATTTTGGCAACAGTCTTCCCTTTTTTTTGCTTTGCTTCTTTACTTTGTGAATTAAGTGATCAGACTGTTAGAAATAATGTCGATTACAGAACTGACCTCATGGTCTTGTAAGCTTTGTCAGTCCCCAGAAGGTCTGGGACCTATCTCCTACTATGGTGATTTCACACAATGTTTCATCGATGGTGTGATTTTAAATTTAACTGCTTTATACATGATCATATTTGGTACCAGAGATATTGTACGTTTAGTAACTTCAAAGCATTCTGGTGTTAAATATAGAAGACATTGGCTGATTGTCAGTAGAATGACTCTAGTGTTATTGCAGATTCTTTTCACGGCTATAGTTTCACTTTCATTAACTACTGAAAAACACAAGGATTACACAGTTATCAGTCAATATACTTTGACACTTATTTCTTTGTTTGTGGCATTATCTTTACATTGGGTCGAATACCATAGATGTAGAGTCTCCAACACAATTGTATTGTTTTATTGGTTATTTGAATCATTTGGTAATGTTACCAAAGTGATAAACTTCTTAATTAGATATAATTATGAAAATCGTTGGACTTTTGGACATACTGTGTTTGTTTTCACATTATTCCAAGCAATTACCTGTATTGCTATTCTAGCAGTAGAAATTTTCCCAACTAAACCTTTAAAACCTTACCAAGAGATTCAAGAACATTTATCTAGAAGAAAAGTTAATCCATATGATACTGCGAACATCTTTTCTAGAATTTCCTTTACATGGATGTCTGGTTTGATGAAAGCAGGTTATAATAAATATCTTGTTGAAGAAGATTTATATAAATTACCAGAAAGTTTTGGAAGTGAAGAATTGGCTGCTTCCTTAGATAAGAACTGGGAAAATCAATTGAAAAGAACTAATAAACCTTCATTAACATGGACTCTTTGTTTAACCTTTGGCGGTAAAATGCTTGTTGCTGCTTTATTTAAAGTACTACATGATATTTTAGCATTCACTCAACCTCAATTACTAAGATTATTGATTAAGTTTGTTACTGATTACAATAAAAATATTCATGATGCCTTAGAGAATCATTCACCAGTTAAGAATTTACCAATTATAAGAGGGTTTATGATTTCTGTCAGTATGTTTTTTGTTGGGTTTATTCAAACTTGTGTCTTACACCAATACTTTTTGAATTCTTTCAATACAGGTATGAATATTAAGAGTTCTTTAACGGCTGTGCTTTACAAGAAATCTTTAGTCCTATCCAATGAAGCATCATCTACTTCAAGTACTGGTGATATAGTCAATTTAATGAGTGTTGATGTTCAAAAATTACAAGATTTAACTCAATGGTGTCATTTAATTTGGTCCGGTCCTTTACAAATTATTTTCTGTTTAGCATCGTTGTACAATTTATTAGGTAACTCTATGTGGGTTGGTGTCATTATTTTAGTTGTTATGATGCCTGCCAATTCTTATATTATGAAATATCAAAAGAAATTACAAAAATCTCAAATGAAGTTTAAGGATGAAAGAACTCGAGTAATTAGTGAAATATTGAATAATATTAAATCTTTGAAACTTTACGCTTGGGAAGGTCCATACAAGAAGAAACTAGAGCATGTTAGAAATGATAAAGAATTGAAGAATTTGACTAAATTAGGTTGTTTCATGGCTTTATCCAGTTTCCAATTCAATGTTGTTCCATTCTTAGTCTCATGTTGTACTTTCGCTGTATTTGTTTACACTGAAAACAAACCATTAACCACTGATTTAGTTTTCCCAGCATTAACATTATTTAATCTGTTATCCTTCCCATTGATGGTTGTTCCAAATGTTTTAACTGGTTTTATCGAAGCTTCTGTCTCTATTGGTAGATTGTATTCATTCTTAACCAATGAAGAATTACAAAAGGACGCTGTTCAACATTTACCAAAGGTCACTAATAAGGGTGATATCGCTGTTAATATTGGTGACGATGCTACTTTCTTATGGAAGCGTAAACCCGAATATAGAGTTGCTTTGAAGAATATCAACTTCCAAGCTAGAAAATCGGAATTATCATGTATTGTCGGTAAAGTTGGTAGTGGTAAGACAGCTTTGATTCAAAGTATGTTAGGTAATTTGTTTAGAATTAAAGGTTTCGCTACCGTACATGGGAATGTTGCCTATGTGTCTCAAATTCCATGGATTATGAATGGTACCGTTAAGGAAAATATCTTATTTGGTCATAAATACGATAAAGAATTTTACGATAAGACCATTAAGGCATGTGCTTTAACCATCGATCTTGCGATTTTAATGGATGGTGACCAAACATTAGTTGGTGAAAAGGGTATTTCTTTATCAGGTGGTCAAAAGGCTAGATTATCTTTAGCTAGAGCTGTATATGCTAGAGCTGATACCTATATAATGGATGATCCATTAGCTGCTGTTGATGAACATGTCGCTAAGCATTTAATTGAACACGTCTTAGGTCCAAATGGTTTATTACATTCAAAGACTAAAGTTCTGTCTACAAACAAAATTTCTGTATTATCCATTGCTGATTCGATTACTTTATTAGAAAATGGTGAAGTTATTCAACGTGGGTCTTACGCTGAAGTAACTAAGGATGAAGACTCTCCTTTGTGTAAATTGATTAATGAATTTGGTAACAAGAAAAATGACAAGAATAACAAGAAGATGAATAATGCTGAGGATGAATCTGCTGTTGAGACTCCATCTACAGCTGTATCTGTTCGTGAAGATACTGTACCATTAGCTGATGAATTGGAAGAATTGAATAAGCTGCAAGATATGCATCTAGTCTCAGATGAAACTCAGAGTTTAAGAAGAGCTAGTGATGCTACTTTACGTAGTATAAATTTCGGTGACGAAGAAAATGCTTCAAGAAGAGAACATCGTGAACAAGGTAAAGTTAAATGGAATATTTACTTAGAATACGCTAAAGCCTGTAACCCAAGAAATGTTATGATTTTCATTCTGTTTATTATTTTATCTATGTTCCTATCTGTTATGGGTAACGTTTGGTTGAAACATTGGTCTGAAATTAACACTAAGTATAATGATAATCCTCATCCTGTTCGTTATTTGGCTATTTATTTTGCTTTGGGTGTCGGTTCTGCTCTATCAACATTAATTCAAACTGTTATCCTATGGGTCTTCTGTACTATCCATGGATCTAGATACTTACACAATGTTATGACAAATGCTGTTTTGAGGGCACCAATGGTTTTCTTTGAAACTACTCCAATTGGTCGTATCTTAAATAGATTTTCCAATGATATTTACAAAGTGGACTCTATCCTTGGTAGATCATTCTCTCAATTTTTCGTCAATGCTGTTAAGGTAGTATTTGTTGTTATTGTTATTTGTTTCACAACATGGCAATTTATCTTTATCATTGTTCCATTAAGTGTCCTATATATTTATTATCAACAATATTATTTGAGAACCTCTAGAGAATTACGTCGTTTGGATTCTATCACTAGATCTCCAATCTATTCGCATTTCCAAGAGACATTAGGTGGTATTGCTACAATTAGAGGTTATCATCAAGAAAAGAGATTCCGTCATATTAATCAATGTCGTATCGATAACAATATGAGTGCATTTTACCCATCTATCAATGCAAATCGTTGGTTAGCATTTAGACTAGAGACTATTGGTTCTATTATTATTTTAGGTGCAGGTACCTTATCAATTCTTAGATTGAAACAAGGTACATTAACTGCTGGTATGGTTGGTATATCATTAAGTTATGCATTACAAATTACTCAAACTTTGAATTGGATTGTCAGAATGACTGTGGAAGTAGAGACCAATATTGTCTCTGTTGAAAGAATTAAAGAATATGCTGATTTAAAGAGTGAAGCTCCAGAAATCATTGAAAGTAGTAGACCAGAAGAAGGATGGCCAATTGCAGGTAATATTCAATTTGAAAATTACTCTACACGTTATAGATCAGATCTTGATTTAGTATTGAAGGATGTTAATTTAAATATTCATTCAAAGGAAAAGGTTGGTATTGTTGGTAGAACAGGTGCAGGTAAATCATCTTTAACATTGGCATTATTCCGTATTATTGAAGCAAGTTCAGGACGTATCACAATTGATGATATACCAATTGATAAGATTGGTTTATATGATTTAAGACATCATCTTTCAATAATTCCCCAAGATTCTCAAGTATTTGAAGGTACGATACGTGAAAATATTGATCCAACAGAATCATATTCAGATGAAGAAATTTGGCATGTTCTTGAATTATCACATTTAAAGGATCATATCTTACAGATGGGTAACGATGGTCTATTAACAAAATTAACAGAAGGTGGTGGTAACATGAGTGTTGGTCAAAGACAATTAATGTGTCTCGCACGTGCATTGTTAGTTCAATCAAAGGTGTTAATTTTAGATGAAGCAACAGCCGCTGTAGATGTTGAAACAGATCAAGTAATTCAACAAACTATACGTACTGCATTCCAAGATAGAACGATTTTAACAATTGCACATAGATTGAATACTATTATGGATAGTGATAGAATTATCGTATTAGATCAAGGTCAAGTTAAAGAATTTGATTCACCTGCTAATTTGTTACAAAACCCACAATCGTTATTTTATTCATTATGCGAAGAAGCTGGTTTAACAAGTGGTACAGTTTCAACTAAGGATACTAATGAAGCTTAATGAATGATATTGTATGTACTTATTCAGGAAAATTAATTTCAATATAAACAAATATATATATGAAAAATGGATAAGATTAAATTAAATTAGATTTCATTAAAAAACTTCACAATATGTAGACAAGCATTTGGACAAGTTTTCAAAAATAACTTCTACAGTAAATATTGTATTATTTTGCCCAGATTTAATATTTAGGAACTAAAACAATGTTCAATAAATTAATTAAAATTAAAAGATGTATGTAGAGTTTACGATAAGTAAATTATAATATACAATATGTCATATTTCTTATATCAAATTATAGATCGATAAGCGACCATACGTCGTTGCACACGATAACCGTATTTGACATATTCCCAACCAAAACAAATAGATAACCAACGTATGGAATGAGGAAATTTAAGCGCCCAAGTCACGGGGCTTACCAAAACTACACACAAGATTCCTCAAACCTGATCATATTCTATCCGATCAATTACTACTATCAACGGCAATAACCCAAAGGGGTAAAAATTCAAAATAAACAGAAACACACACACACACACAGTTTTAACTCTCGCCCCAGGCCAACGAGACTTACCAAAAAACGCCAAAAATAAATAAAAAGTTTCAACAAAGAAATTAGGGTTTAACAGAAAGAGTAAGATTGAATGCAGCGTAATATACAAAGCTAAACTCCATCACGATACACGAGCAGGCGCTTGTTTGTGTACAATTTGTTTATTGGCGGTGCACCCTTGCTTCACATAACTTTAAAGACACGCTGATTCAATTCATTGTGAATGAGCTGCTTTAACAATGGTTACTCGTGTTGAAAAAGAGAGTGAAAAGGCTGTAGTAGACACCTCGAGAAAACAAAAAAAAAACACGGTGAGTACGCGCCCGATTAGGAAACCAGTCAACAGCGGTCATAAAAATGCAGGGAATTTCAACAGAATTCTTCGCACAATACGCCAAAAGGGATTTGAGGACGCGGGAACCATCGCCCGATTAGGAAAGAGCCACGCGAATGTTTTATTAAATACGCTGCTGTACGCCACTTTCTCTATTGAAATCAGTAATGTAACAAGAAGTTTTTCAGTTCTTCTTTCAAAAAAAACTTTCGGATTAGTCGGACGATTCCAGTGCGTACACCAGTTTCCCTGGCATGAACCATTTTTTCATATTGTGCGGTGGTTTTTCTCTTCTGGGATTTGTCTGTGTTGTTTCAGATTTGTTAGTTAATTTGGCTGCCGATGCCAATAATATCAGTATTGTTTATTTATGATGAATTACTAAGACTTAAACAATCAACAACAGGAAACAGAAAACGGTGAGCATGAATGAAAAGAAAAAAAATTTTCTTTGTCTTTTCGTTCTGAGATAATACGTATTGTTGGTAGTAAGTGTGTGTGTTTTTCTTTCCAGGTTTGTTTATTCGAGTCTTCACCACTTAATCCAAAAGAATAAAAATTAAACATATATAAACAGCAATTGGAATTGATTTTATTCCCAATTTCAATTTTTATATCTTTCTCTATTCTAAATATATTTCTTTTATCTTATTTCAATCTATAGAATCATAGAATAATATCTACACTCAAACAGTCCAATCGTTTTCAATATAATATAAAATGCAATTCTCTACCGTCGCTTCTCTTGCTGCTATCGCTTCTGTTGCTTCTGCTGCTGCCAATGTCACTACTGCTACCGCTACTGAAAAGACCACTACTCTAGTCACTATCACTTCTTGTGAAGACCACGTCTGTCAAGAAACTGTTTCTCCAGCTTTGGTCTCTACTGCTACCGTCACCGTTAACGACATCATCACTGAATACACTACCTGGTGTCCAATTGAAGCTTCTGAATCTGCTGCTCAAAACAAGACCTCTACCGCCGCTCCAGCTACCACCACTACTTCTGTTGCTGCTAAGACTTCTGCTGCTGCCAAGGTTGAATCTTCTTCTGAATCTCAATCTACTGTCACCAAGACTGTTCAAGCTTCCAAGACCGTTCAAGTTTCTTCCCTAGCTGTTCAAACCGTTGCTTCTTCCACTCAATCTGTTGCTTCCTTCACTGGTGCCGCTAACAAGGCTCTACCAGCTGTCGGTGCTTTGATCGCTGGTGCCGCTGCTCTATTGATCTAAGTATATTGAAAAAAAAATATCTTTCTTTTAATACTTTATTTAGATTAATATAAAATGTCGCAACGTTCGTATCATGGTAAGGGGTTATAAATATAATTAAACAAACAAAAATAATAAGTTTTTTACCTTTAGTTTAGATTGTATAGTCAATAATAGCTACAGATTCTATTCTTTTGTTTTTTGTTTATTTTGTGTTGTAACTCTTATCAAACTTTTTAATAATACCCCATCCTTTTTTTCAAGAAAATAATTGTTTTTTGTTAAACTTATTTTCCTTTTGATATCCATTTTTTTTTCTATTCCTTATGTTCGTTTTTTTCCAGAGTTTCTTAACATTGTTGTTTCAATCACAGATAATTTCAATGTTTTCTTTTTTTTCATCTTTGTATTTTTTTTGCTTTTCTAATGGTTTTAGAATAAGTCAAAATAAAATTAGAATCCCTAACAAAAAGAATAATATTGTGATAAGGTGGCCTACTTATAGATATTCATTAATTAAATTTTTGTCTTAATATGTCTTACCTTTTTCGCCATTGTATAATACCACTGAAGTCTCATAGACTATACTTTTAAACCGCAAATTCAAGAGAAAGTGAATAACTTTTGATCAAGTTTCTGGTTTACAGTTCGTTACATACCTTTTTTTTTAAATTAATTTTTTTAAATAATCTTCTTTAAATAAATTTAAGTTCATTATTTTTCACTAAATTTAATATTTTTTAAGTTTACGTTCTTTTACTTTGAAAGGCGAATTAATTTTTCAACTTTTTTTCGCACGCATTAGTTTAATTTGGTAACCACAACAACAAGAACAAATCTTGTTTAAAAGAACAGATTGAGAAAGAACTATTAGATCGGTACTGATTTTTTTTTTTTAATTAGGACAACAATAAACAGAATTTATGAAAAGTGTGAACCATGGACTCGAATTGTGATTCTAGTAAATCGTATTTTGATCCAAATATCCCTCAGATTCTTCCTCATGAGAATATGTATAAGATCCAAATCGGATCTACTTTATTTAAGATAAGTGGAGCTTCTTTAAGTTCTGATGGTCCGAGTTACTTTACAGATTTTTTCATTAAATTAGAGAACGATCCATCAACTTCTGAGAATTTGGCATCTTTAACTTCACCTTCTGATACAAATACACAAGTTGGAGTTGGAATTAATAATAGTACTAACGCACAAACTACTTGTCAAACCACTCTTTTTATTGATCGATCAGCTGAAATTTTTAAATATATTTATCAGCATTTACAAGGTTATTATATAGATATTAAAGATGAAGTTCAATATACTATGCTGATTGCAGATTCGATGTATTATAATTTGCCTCGTTTAAGGAAAATTCTAAGAGAAACTGAATATTATTATACAAAGATTGGTGATGTATCTTTTAAATTACCAAAATCTTTATTCGATAAGGAAGGAGATACTTACAATTATTTCTATTTAACTTCAGATACATTATATGTAGATATTGAACGTGTAATTATATCAAGAAGATTAATTAGACCTCCACCACATTCTTATTCTTTTGTTCCAAGATCTCCTCATTTATTTAAACAATTATTTGAATTATTATGCGGTGCTACATTAAATTTAGACGATAGTTCCAGAGAGTCGTTGATTAAAGAATGTAGATATTATAGATTATTAAATTTAGAACAACGATTAATTAAATGCAAATTAATCGAGGACCCAATAAATAAACAAAATGAAATTTGGATAAAATTGAATGATATTACTAAAAATGGTTTATCCATCAAAGAAGAACCATTTGAAGGATATTTTGAAGAGAATCATACAGATAAGATGATTAAATTAAGCCCTCAAGCAATGAATATACCAACATTAGTTACAATGATGTATAAGAGACCATATGTGGATCTTATACCAAGAATTCTTACTATACAAATTGATGATGGAGAATCTTATATTGATGTTAAAGAACATAGATTCATGCTTGGTGGGAAAAGTAGGCAAAAATTTGAGTCTCTTTTCAATGCCATATTCCGTAATAGATTAAATGTTGAATTGGATACTTATTTGAATATAATAGATGAATTACCATTTTTTAAAATGTATATTCAAGATTTATTAAATGGAGAAATCACTTTGGATTCAAGACGTTGTACATTCGAAGACATGTTTAACGTACGATATGAAAAATTGTATATTAAGAGATCACTATTTCAGATAGCGTTTTATTCCAACATAATGTTTCTACCGGTCAAAATAGATGCATTGACTACAATTACAAACGTACGAAACAGTGAATTATTTCTATAAAATTAACAGCAATATACAATTTTATTCATTCATTAACATTCTGGTTTCTAGAGAAACAATGATAAGGACATGAGTTTTAACAAACTACGAAATTCATCCTTTTTTTTTAATTCTACTTCCATGTTTATATGCTTATATATAATTACAATGTGTCATAGTACTTTTCCTAGATTCATTTCAATAGTTTCTATCTATTCTATGTAAGTAGAGTGTCTATTAAACTTTGCGGAGAATTGTCTCACCGAAATTATCAACCTTGTTTTTTTGTTTTATTATGTAAGATCCGAATCCCACACCATAGTGAGGTAAAAGTTTCACTTAATTGAAAACTGAAATAATACAATAGCTGATGCCATTAACTGACAAAAAAAGTACAATAGCAACAGTTTACTAACAATTGTGTCACACTGAACTTTTTACAAAAACGTTTTGACTGCCTCATCATCGTTTCCAAATGATTGATCGATTACCAGGTGAAATATGGGATAAAATTGCCTTCAATTTATCTCAAGAAGATAAAACAGCATTATCATATGTTTCTAAGAGCGTAAATGACCTTATAACACCTCTCTTATATCAGAACATATACCTCAACGAAAGATATTACTTTCCAAGTGATTATGACACTTCTCTGGGTACACATCTATGGTCAGTATTATATTTTACATTTCAAGAAAAGGATCTGGAGAAGGACTTAGGAATGACTATAAGGGCTAAACAGAAGTTTCGGGCATTAGTTAGATCTTTAACTGAATCTCCATTAAGATTGTGTCCTATGATTAAAAGGGTACATTGTACGTGGCATCTCGACCAACCAACCCTTATTTCATTTTTAACTCTATTAAACAAGTATAACAGCAATTTATTATCATTTGAAAGTTTTATAAAAGGTGAGATTTGCCCGTATTTATGGAAACATGCATCTTCAATACAGACACTAAATCTAACACCACCTGATATGTTACCAAATCCAGAAGCAGCTGATGAGCAATATTTTCAGCTAACAAGAAACATTGTAAAAAAATATAATTTTGATAATATACAGGATTTGACTATTCATATTAACCCATTAAGCTTCTTTGAAAAAGGTATGAAAAAAATTAAAATACGATCTCTTTGTTTAAATTTGAGGGATGACACTTTGAATGCTGAACCTGTTGATGATTCTGTTCATTATTATGATATATTTGATATTAATTCTCTAAAAGAACTAGAAATGTTGTCCTGGTATAACGAAAGTTCCTCAGATGTTAATATATATAACAAATGGAAATTATATGATTTTTTTGAATTTGAAAATATTGAATATTTATCACTTTTATCGTTATTTAAGAATGAAGAATTCATTCAAAATTGTATTAAAAAATTTTCAAAATTAAGGAAATTAAAAATTGATTTTATGTTTGATGCTACCATCAGCAAGAATACTTTGGATCTTATGAGTAGAAACAAATGTTCCAAGACGATAAGATATATTGACCTGAAAATAGAAGAGATAGATATCCCGATATTATCTGTTAATGATGATGAGATATCTAATTTTAATATACAAGTATCCTGCAAATGTGATGATTGTAAAATGACCTTGGATAAGATTATAATGAAAAAATACTTCCCAAATTCAGATTCATTTATAATTAAGGATTTTCACGACATCGAACAAAAAAATTTCATTTTACAAATGTTTAAATTATTTACAATAATCCCGTACTCTGCAGGGTTTGATGAATACCCATCAATTGGGTTTTATTCGAGACCCTTGGAGGATTTCGTGAAAAAGATAAATTCTTTATTGAATCCCGAATCAAATAGCAATAATAAAACAGAGAGAGATATTACTAAATCAGATGTAATTAGAATTTATCACATGTATCTACACTCCATGAGAAAATCTTTCGATTACTTTGTTTCAAGGTTTAAAAACTTGGAATTTCTAATTGTTAATGATGTTCCAACTAAAGTCATCCAATATGACGAATTTCAACGATGCAACGTCCCTCTGTTTCATTACTATGGGTATAAAAGTAATCAAGTCTATGAACTTGTCAATGACGAATCTCTATTTGATTGACCTCATATACATAAATAGATATATAAACATATGCACGTAAACACACCATAACGTATCCTTTAAAGCTGATCAAACCAAAGAAGAATAACTGTTTTTATTTATTCCCTAATAGGTTTCGGAGTCCTATTTATATATCAGTTATCTTTTTTTCACTGGGCGGTGAAAAGTAGTCGAACGTTAAAAAATGTAAACAAAACATATAATATATAAAACTAAAAAATCAAATGTTTATTAACAAACCCCCCACTCCAAAAGTGAGATTTACCTGCATTACAAGCTATAAACAATTTTTCAACCTTACAAGAATGTCAGAATCACAGTCTTCTGATGTCTTTAGGCGGCTTCAAATTTCTCCATCGAAGAATAACGCAATAAAGAAACCTGCTTTGAGGTTATCACCTAGAAAAGTTTCAAGGACCAGAGATCTGCAATATACGCCAAGCAAATATGAATCTCATTTGAATCCAGATATGTTTACTAAAAGTCTAGATAGATCCTCAAAACTATTAATTGGGAAGATACCTTCACACGACAACGGACCTCCCCAGAATGATCATTCAAGAAGTAATCCCCCCTCTATTCTGAAACAAGGACCACCAACTAGCTCTTCTCGACTTGGAGGTAATAACTTACTAAATAAATTAAGGGAAGAAGAGTCAATCTCCAGTAGAGTTGATAAGATTATGAACGAAAACAAAAAAAGGTATAAATCTAAAATGGAAGAAAAAAATGTAAAATTCTATCTACCTACAGATGATAATATTAGAGAAGAAGTAGATAGCCTAAAATCGATGTTAGAACATATAATTAGCCGGCAAGATACTCTGGAGAAATCAATTGAAGAAATTAAATCTTTACTAAAAAAATAAAAGCTGAAGTTTTGTCTTAACTAATCTGTTACAAAAATATTTTATATAATTGTTAATAATCACCCACTTGAGATTTAACAACATTGGAAGTTAAGAGATCAATCAAACATGTAAGGACGTTTATATGCTCTACACATAATCAGGATTTAGTATTAATTATCAATTTTTTGTTTCCTGGACGTTTAATCTTATGTCCCACTCTTTTTCCTTAGACGATAAGAACTCTAAGACTTGTCCTTTACCAATGGAGTTCAATTCTTCAGGTTTAATGTGTTCAACACCGTCGTTATATGTGGCAGAGCCATATTTAATATCCTGTCTTTCAAAATCACGATCACGAAATGTTGTAACATATACTGGTGAATTTGCAGCCTTATAAGGATCGATGGTATGCCAGTAAGAACCCCATCTTCTTGCCAAATAAAACATAATCATCATCAAATAATATGTGATGATGTTTAGGTGTACATTAAACGATTGACTTACAAAAATACCAGGCTGTACAACATATTGATAGATACCCTTAGCCTTCAAAGATTTATATGTAGCCAAGTGCATAACATCAATCATTCTTTTTGAACCTTCATAAGGGGTGGAAGATTCGATCAGTTCTAAATCATTAAAAGGTAAATAGCTTGGATCTGATCTAATGCTCGAAATCCATACTATTACTGCCTTACCAGCTGACAGCACTTGTAGAATCTTTCTTATCAAGTAATATGGTCCGAATATATTTGCTTCAAATACCAAACCCATGTCATCCTTTGACATCAACCCGACCTTTTGAATCTTATAATGAGGATCTGTTACTGCCTGAACAGGGTTAGTTATTACTTCTTGGATGGCCCTGAACCAATTGATCCCGGAACATACTCCTAAAGCTGCATTCACGTATACATAATTAATTTCTTTATAGGTTTTATTCAAAGTAATACTTGCATTCAACACATTCTTCATATCTGTGAGGTCTAAAACTAACGGAACAGTCTTAACCTCCCGAGTTGCTTCCCGTTGATCATTAAATGTTTTTATCGCATCACCAGCTTCTTTCGCGCGTTCGATAGATCTAGAGGTTAATATGAAGGTCAATGAATCTTCAGGATCTTGACTTTCGATCTGTCTATAGGCAATATTTAAACCTAGTGTACTATGTAAAATGATATATTAATATCGTTATTGTTAATAAAGGCTCATGCTATATAAATGAACTTGTCTGCCAACTCATGGCTAATTAAACAAGTGTAACTTCAAATTCATACCTGTTGGCTCCAATAATTAGGACAACCTTTTCACTCGGCATATCTTTTTAGTTATTATTGTAGATAATCTGGTTATACCCTTCTATATTTGATTGCTTTTGTGTGAGTAACACTTCGTAAATCTCCTTCATTATATAATACTCTTATATTTTGCCATTTTATCATTGTTTTATTTCTTTTTTAAGTGTTTCCGCGGATATGGAACGACCCGAGAAGAGAGGCGTCGAGGCGTTTGCGTGCGTGGATCACAATTATGTCATAAACGAGAATATATAAATGTTTGCCTTAAAATGTGATATATATAAGGAGGAAGCACGTAGATACATAGAATGAAGTGTACAGATGTATGTGTGTTTATCTTTCTTCCGGTTAAGAGCTCAGGTTATACTGATCAGGACAATGACAACCACAACCTGATGGACATTCGTTTCCAATCGCCCACCATTCATTGGCGCAATCTGTGTGAAGGACATGTTGGCAGCCACCACACACATACATGCTACCTTTGATTTTTAAATTACAATAATTACAATTGCCCACTGTTTTATCATCATCATATGTGGAAACCCATCTAATCTCTATCGTGTTATTATTTACCCGATTCAAATCCTCGAGATCAAAACTTTCCTCATGAAAATGTTCAGTAATTGCCTGGATACTTACTTTAAGTAGTTCTACCCGCTTATACGGTAGTCCCCACTTAAATAAAAGTTTGGCATATTGATATATGTAGAGTTGGCACTTCTTTATATCAGCTGAGTCAGGAATGTTCCCAACAGGATTCTTGAACGATTCTAGAACATCATCTTCAATCAATTCTATATTAACTTGAGCGGCTTTTCCGCGATGAAGGGTTGGCGTTTGTAAACCAATATTAGAATTTCGTTTAGGAGGCATTGGAGGTCTATTGTTTGCAATTCTGGCTGTTGGTGTTTGTAATGCATTATTTACCATCTCATCTGATCGAATAGAATAATTATCGTGCGGGTATAATAATTTAGACTTGATAAATGAATCATTTTGGGATTGTATAGTATTCCCAACCGAAAATTGAGAGTATACTTCATTACGCCACGGATCATGCTCGTCATCTAATTCGAACGTCACCAAACTTTCATAACTCTCTTGAACATTGTAAATATCCACAGGATTCATTTTTGAAATATAAAGATTTGCAGCCACACAACATAACATCGCCAACATCTGAATATTATTTTCTTTCTCAAAGTGCTTGATTGCTTCTTTAATAAACCATCTGATACCCAGAGGATTATTATTCCATATAAAGGAGGTAAAACTTTGTTCTCGCTCTGCCAACAGGAGATCCGATAAAATTTGCCAACAATGACTTATTTCTTCATATCCATATTTTTCTGCTACCAATGCGTTATGCCTTGCCATTTCATCCGGATGTTCATTCATAATCTCATATTCTAAAGCTAACCTCTTATCTTCTTGGAAAAGTGAATAAAATTCTTTAGTAATGATGATATTCTTTGCGGTTCTGCTGGAATCACCAGTTTTTACACTCTCCGAGTGAACTGACCCAAAAGATTTGGCGAAATTTCCCAATAATGTAGGTATTCTTGTTCTTACCACAATATCGTTACCCACAATGTCATTCCAATCATCTACAAAACTTCCGAAACTGTCATCTGATGTCGAGTCTCTGTCAGAAGTTACATCGGTAGTGCGCGATTTCGAATCATTAGCTGAAAATGTATCAACATATCGTTTTGGCCTATTATTGGTAGTATTTTGGTACTCTATTTGATCATCATCATATAAAACTCTTGTCTCCTGTTTTGGTTCATCCTTTATCATCAAATTATCTCTGGTTAGTTTGAGAAAATGTTTTTGTTTCCTATCAGGTTTATTTTCGGTTGAAAAGAAACATAGTAACTTACCACTTGGAGTCCATATTGCACCACATTCGTTGGGAACTGGTGTTGAATCGAATGCAAGATTTCTCCCAAATGTATTTCTTGTCTCAGGACTTTCATCAAACGTATTTGTAAACACGTTATTGCCGGAATCCATAGATGATTCAGTGGACTCTACAGACTCGATTGACTCAGACATCGAAGAGAATTCATCAAAATTGACGCTATTAGCAACATCGAGAAAAAAGAGAGGCTCATTAATATTATCATTCAGATCCATATTAACTTTTTCTCCAAGCAAATAATGGAGACATTGCTCCAAACAGTATAAATCTTCATCTGTATATACTTTCCCAATTTCATTTAATTGGGTCAATATTTCTTGTTTTGTTGCATCTGTCAAATTGCCGTTCTCTTCAATATTAAACATTGGGGGATTTCCTCTATGGGGATAATGTGCTGGAACATTGATTTCAATTCTCAAAAAAATGTATTCATCTGGGTTATTTTCTGACCAAGGACCATTTAAAGTTAATAATATCTCACCGGTGGAAACAGATATCTTCTCAAAGACAACCTTGGGGAATTTATGACCTATAGCACTAACTTCCTCTCCTAAATTATGAAGTTTTGGTTGTTCAAATAAATCATCTGGCGTATGTTGATCATTCATTCGGACACCGGAAAGCCAATTTAAATGGTCAATATTATTCATATTTTTCAGCCCTGATGTTGTAACGAACGTTTCTTTAATCCTCTTATACTCGTTGTCATCTGAATTCATTGTATCATGAACCTCCCTATTATATGTCATATATTCGTAGTTCGGAAGTTTTTCTTCTAACCTCTTGTTTCTTTCGAAATTCACTTTATCGTATAGTATGTCAGACATAGACCATAACCTTAAACTGCAATCTTTTGACCATGTCACCAATTCAAATTCTCTATCATCAACCATCGTATCATAAGAATGTCGAGATCTCCAAAGAAAATCAATAACTCTATCAGAGTGCCCCTTAAAAGTATATATAGGCTGTAATTTTGTAGAATTACTGCTACTGTTATTGCTTTTAGTTTCACCAGCATCATCATTGGACTGTTCTAGACTCATCATATACACTGAGTTTTCTCCGCCAACCATTGGCATAACACAGTAACCATTACCGAAAGGAAGGTACCTGCCCCTCCAAATTGGAAAATCCGTTCTAACTGTTCTCGTTGATTCGGTACTGCCACCACTTTGGTAATTCCAAAATTTGACAGTACCATCGTTTGAGCTTGACATGATCTCAGAACCTCTAGTTCGATTAAAATCTATACTATTAACACTACTTTGATGACCCTCTAATTTTGACAAAGGTGTTGAACCATTTCGGAGATCCCAAATGAATACATCATTATCATGTGAGGATGCCAAAATATTTGAATCTTTAAAATTCCATTTCACCTGTGATGCACTAGATCTCCAAGGACTTGTAGAATAAAAAGGTCGTTTAGGACTTCTCAAATCCCATGCATGAACATATGTATCTACAGAACATGTTGCTAGAATATCTGGTTGTTGTGGATTAAAATTAATATCTGTGATGGCCCTGGTATGTCCATGTAACGCATATTCGATTGCATTTGATGACGACCTCGTTAAATTCCATATAATTGCTTTCTGGTTTGATGTAGATACAATCCAATAAGGCTTAGCCGGATGTGGTGACCACTGAACATCTGCTACTTGCCATGGGGTTTCATGATGCAGCCATCGAGGTGGGGAGAAAGGGTCATCAAGATCTATAATATAAAGACCTTGCCGACTTGCCAGCACTACATCTCTCGCCGAAGGGTTTATGGAAATGGCATTGAAACCACCATCAACTTTCAATGTCAACGACTTTCCAAATGTCGATGATTGGTAGGGATCGTCTGCCTGGCGAATAGACATCTCTTTATGGAATATGTTGTAACGTAGTAAGTCCGTTAATAATGTTCCCTTAACCTAGGATTGTCAAATTTATAGTAATTCTCTTCAAAAACCAGATATAAAAAATCAGTTTTATAATTCTATTTTCCGACTCCCAAATGTATCCTCGTTTGAGTTAATCTATATTTTGACGTGATATATTCCTAACAACTGCTATAACTTTTTTAAACTTGCAGAACTAAAAGGTGTGATTAAAACAAAGCCACCGTATATTTTGACTTCAATTCTTATCTCATACACTATGTCTAGTGATATTTTTATTTCAAACCGAGGAGTCTCCTGCGTTATTCAATTTCTAATTCAGTCATTCGTACTGTTAATTGGGTTTCTTGATATATCTTCATTAGTCTTCTCATGCTAATTCTTATGCAAAGGCGCACTGCTCAATTACAGGACGAACTTCAAAAACAAAAATATCAACAACGACAATAACAGCGTAACATATTTGATTTAACTATCAACTGTAATGAAAAAAAGGGTAGATTTCAAAGGTTATATCGTCATCAAACCACCATCCGAGAGTAAGATTCTCATTATAAAGTTGTTCTGTAGTTACATCGACAAATATTTAATTGCCTTTCTTATTTTAGGATAAGCTAATTTAATAAAAACTAATTCCATCGTTTTACTAGTTTCCATCAGGCATTTTTGATAGGGAAACTTTACTTCCATCAGATTTCAAATGCCAATAACAATAAAATCCTCCCCAAAACCATGAAAAATTTTACATATGAACATTATATGAACTTATTGTTCCATCTAGACTATTGTAATGAAAATGTCATACCAGAGATATCGAGAAGAATTTTGTTGCATGCTATATCACCGGTGATAACCGTAACATCCACACCCGTACTCGATGAACACATTAGTGAAGTATATCATATCGATTCATTGTATATGATGTTAAGATTCTTTGGTGGTTGTGTTTCCGATAGGGATCAAGTAAATGAGTATACAAACATCAATGGTACATCCAATGAGGATCAAACCTCGGAACAATCTACAATGGTCAACACTAAAGAAGACCAAACAAATGATCAAGAAACGAACAATGACACGGTTACCCCTAAGAACACCTCAAATTTAACAGTTCCAAACAATAATAACAAAAGAAGAAATAGAAGCAGGTCTAACAGCCTTTTCCAAAGAGATGCAACACAATCACAATATATTAGATTCACGAAGCCACTGGCGGATCTATTAAATACAAGAGAAACAAATGATATGCTATTTGATTACCATTCACTGGAGATATTTTTAGAAAATTATTTGAAGATGATAGAAAAACATACTACAGATGCGACACCAGATCAATTATTGAAAAAATCTTTATACCATACTTTTTTCTCATTAGCAATATCTTCTACGACATCCTTGTCTCCTTATGAATCCTTTAATCACCCAATTGTTTCCTTAATCGCACTAGACATATCTAGGGGTCAAACGTATGAACATGGTAGAGATCTTTTGATAAATTTCAAAAACTTACATAGAAACATTCAAAATTTTCCAGCGTTTATAAACACCAATGATATTTTGCCCGTATTTTTACTTTGCTTTGACCCAACTTCGATAGAACAGATAGAGCTATGTAGTGCACTGACGAAACAATTTAAGAAACAACTTTTCGTTGAAACCATAGCACTTCCATTATGGATGCCACAAACTGAAGCCACGACACAGGTAAAATTACACCAACCCGTTATGTCCTCATTGGACGAAATGATTTATTTTACACAAATGGAGAAGGAAACAAAATTACCACTAAAATTACTGCATTCCGTGTACGACATATTAGACGAATTAGTTCACGATTTACTATTACCATTTATGCATAGGAAAATTTCTTTCTGGGAAGACAGTGTAATGCAACCGAGAAGATCATTATTTCACGGTTCGAAATGGATGAAGAAGTTTATCTCTAAAAATACCCACCAACAAGCTAATACATTAGTAAAGGATGCTAACGGAAATATGTATTTTGCTTCCTCATCAACCGAATTTCTTCTCAGAAAGCTGGCTGATTGGTCCATGATGACCTCTAATTTTAAGAATGCGTATACTACTTATGAATCTTTGAGTCATGAATTGGAAGATTACCCAAAATATATGGCGACCTGTCTGGAGTGGGAAGCTATAACATTATTAATGGGTGCTCAAAGTATTGTAACTGTTAAAATGATTAAGAACGATATAGTGCCTTTATTAGACAATGCACTGGATACTTATGATATGTCTTCAATGAGGGCCCAAAAGCGAGAAGATGGAGGAGGCTCATCGGTGGAACCTTTCCGTTCGTACGAAACTAGGTGTATGATCTTAGCGGCGGAATTATTCTTATCACTAAGTGATACATGGACTTCAACTCCATATGCTATTGAATATCTTGAACTTATTTTAAGTGAATGTAAGCTAGGACCCTGTTCGCAAATAATGATATGGGAAAGATTAAGTGATTGTTACAGCTTACGATTAGATCCTCGAATTCGTCATAAGGTCGAGAATGATAACAGTAGAAAGGCCAAACTAAAACTGCAAAGGGAAGAAACTTCAGAAACCGAGAAAGGAAATCATGCAGATACATCAAATTATGATCTAGTCGCTCAAGGTTTAACAAGAAAACGCAAAGCAGCATTTTTTAGACTTCTAGCTGCAAAGAAATGGGCAGATAAAAAACAATGGAGACAGGTAGCTTGGTGTTTAAACGATATTGAAGATGACTATGTTGGATTATCATTGACTACAAGAAAAAATTTGATTTTATATAAACTGAGAGAACAACTGTCAAACTACGAGCAAAATATAAATGAAGAAACAACTCATTGAAGAATAAAATGAAGAAGCATTCCATTATATGAGCTCTTATAATCTCACTCGCACAGTTATCCAATAACACCCACATCATTACATATGCATATAAATTTTTAATAATATAATAGATAAGAAAATGAGAAATTCTAATTTCAAAAGTGTATCAAGGTCTTTTTCTTTCATAAAAAATAAATAAACTACATATATGATTGTTCTACAGCATCAACCATAGCTCTATAGTTTCTCTGTTCCTGTGCCATTTTCAAATAAATCTTGTACTTTACCTCTAATAATTTTCTATCGGGATTGTCAATAGTAGTTGGTTTAACAACCTTACTGGATTTAGTCATTGATTTCATGGTGTTCCATAAAATATCATCATTCCCTTCTTTACGGTTTCGCTCATATACATTACTAGCTGAGGCTCCTAACAAGGCAGCGCCAAAAACTACTGCTGAATCAATATAACGAGGAATTACGACGGGATAGCCTGTACTATTCGTCAAGAGATCCATAAGTAGACTGTTTCGACATTGACCCCCGGACATATACAGAGCTTTAATGTGGTGTCCTGAACTTGTCATCCTTTCAATAATATGCCTTGTTTGCTGAGCAATAAATTCGCATGTTACCAAGTACTTCAAAGCCAAATCTTCTATTGTAATATCCATTGTAAGCCCAATTATAGAACCAGTCATTGTTGCATCTGCTAATGGAGACCTATTACCATGTAGATCACCATAGAAAAATATATGCTTTGCCAAGGCCAATATAGAACGTTCTTTTCTTTCCTTAACCATATTTACCAAAAGCATATTAAGATAGTCATAGACCTGAAGACCCTCAGTTTTAGATAGTTCTTTTAGTTCTTCATAAGCTGGGTGAGAGCTCAAAGTATGCGATAGCAGCTCCCCAGTGCAACTTTGACCACCTTCTGCGCACCAAAAACTATTAATTAAGATATCCTTATATGGTCCCCAAATACCTTCAACGAAGTAGGGTTTCCTCGATAAAGTAATATGACATGTTGAAGTACCAGCAACAACAGCTAATCTTCCGACTGCCCCATTAATTGAGTTGGTTTCTAATTCATCTGTTGATATATCTTGGTCCAACTCAGACACAGCAGCAACAGTTCCAACCCAGCCTGCATAAGCATCGATAATACCAGATCCTACAATACACTCAGTAGTAAGACCCAATTCTTGAGATGAGGATTTACAGAGAGGTGCGATATAATCACCCGCTGAAAGGTATTTTGAATTTACTTCCTCTGATGACCTATTATTGAGGGGCCCACCTAGTTTAGCAAAATTGTTTTCTGCTAGTTCTTCAAGACCTATTTTCATCAAAAATTCAGAGGACCAACCTGTAATAGACCCTTCCACTCCGTACGGTAAAAATCCTTGTTTACAGGCAGCAGCACACAATGATTTTGCTTGGTTACCCGTAGCTTTAAATGTCAAAAAGTCAGATAGATCATAGAATTTACACTTTTTAAAGGTCTCAGCAGGTAGATTATCTTTAAGCCATTTTATTTTTGGGATTTCCATTTCAATTGACATTTTACCCCCTACATATTTTAGGCATTTGTCACCAGTCTTGTTGATAAAATCTGTCTGGCGAGAAGCACGATGATCCATCCATAGTATGATATTTTGATCTGAATTTAAAAAGTCAGGACCTACAGCAATGGGTTCATGATTATTCTCGTCAACCACTACTAAAGAACAAGTGGCATCAAAACCTATACCTTTCACCAGGGAAACATCCACTGCTGACCTTTTGAGAATATCTCTAACGCAAAAACATATTTTATCCCAAATTTCAGTAGAGGATTGAGTGATATGTTCGTGTAGTAATTCTTGTCTATTAATATTTTTCTCACATATAGCTGAGATTTCTCCAGTGTCGTTAATGAGACAAGATCTTACCGAACCGGTACCTACATCGACACCAATATAAAATGGTCCCTTTTCAATTAATGTAGTACTCATTTATATCTACAGGTTGAATCTAATACCTGTTTTAACTGGAAGTGTATTTATGACCAATGTGAATTGTTCCAACAGAAGTACAGAAACATATTTCAGTTCAAAGTAACTACCTCTTCGAGATATCTGAGTTTTTAGTAAATCTCTCTAGCTCAGTCCCTACATCCTTTATATATCGATCATTTTATAGATGACAGGGCTTGATTCTTTCACCCGCGCGAACACTCGATGAACAATTAACTGTCCATAGCTCACACCACAGCGAACAAACAACAAACAATAATTTTAAATTCAGTAAAGATGTACTTACAAAAAATGATACATTGCAACCATGACTTACAGAATTTCTTTATTTATGAAGTGTTCTGCTGCATTACCAATCTGATTGTTAATTATTCCTTTCTACTCAAAGGACTTACCTAGTTTTAGTTGCCGCAAGGATTATAACACGTAAAGGGAAAACATGGGTCTTTTAACAAACCTTCATAGGAAGGTTATTGCTATGGGACTAGTTCCTAAATTTCTAAAACAACTACCAAAGGTAGCGAAACTTTTGATGCTAATAAGTTTGATTATGATTGCTATCATTCCAATGGATGGTCAATACAGAAGAACATATATCTCAGAGAATGCATTAATGCCATCTCAAGCATACAGTTATTTCAGAGAGTCTGAATGGAACATTGTAAGAGGATACCGTTCTCAAATCGAAGAATTTTTTAAGAACAATGTAACAGCACAAGAAAGAAATCTAGAAGTTGAGTCATGGTTACAAGATTTTGGTATTAAAACTAGTATTTATCACAATGAAGTACATCAAGATACATTGTATGGTATATTACATACACCAAGAGGTGATGGTACCGAAGCCATAGTACTATCCATACCTTGGTATAATGGAGATGGTGAATTTAATGTAGGAGGTGCTGCTCTTGGTATTGGTTTACTAAGATACTTTTCACGTTGGCCGGTGTGGTCGAAGAACATAATTATTGTTTTTAGTGAGAATCCAAGAGATTCTTTGAGAGCGTGGGTTGAAGCCTACCACACCTCGTTAGATTTGACTGGTGGCTCTATCGAAGCTGCCATCAATATCGATTATGCAAGTAATAGTGACTTCTTGGATTACGTTGAGATATATTATGATGGTCTAAATGGTGAACTTCCAAATTTGGATCTTTTAAATGTCGCAATAAAAATAACTCAACATGAAGGTATGAAAGTATCATTAAATGGTCAACCTAAAGATACAATTGATGATAATGGGTATTTCCCAAGATTAAGGACAATGCTACTAGGTATCAGAGACTCAACATTCGCAGGTGTCAAGAAAACACACGGGAACGAAGCTTTTAGCGGATGGAGAATCCAGGCTGTTACATTGAAGGCATGTGGTGATGAAGGGAATATCGATATAACTACGTTTGGCCGTGTTCCAGAAGCTATATTCAGGGCTGTAAACAACTTACTAGAGAAATTTCATCAATCTTTCTTCTTCTATTTAATATTAGCCCCCAAAAATTTTGTTTCTATTAGTAGTTACTTACCAAGTGCCGTCATCATATCGGTCGTCTACGCTACATTTTCTTTAGATGCCCTTGTCAACACTCCATTTGGCTCTCCTATATTTTTTAATAAAGAAAGTTTAGTATCATTAGTGATATTATCTATTACATTAGTGGCCTCATATCTCCTATCGCAATTATTTATTTATGCGACAAAACCAGAATTATTAATTGGGTTTAACATATTACTGACGTTAATACCATTTTTAATCAAGAAACCTCTATCTTTCTTCATAGAACCATTAACTTACAGAATTAGAGTTTTCGGCTACTTATATATGAGTTTAGCGTTGACATCCTTATTAGTCATCAATTTCCCATTAGCATTTATGATGGGTATTCTTTCATTCCCTATGACCTTGGTTCAAACAGAACAATCTAAAGTTCTATCGAACAAGTCAACAGCCCTCAAAAATATGTTATGCATAACGCTCTCAAATCCATTCATCTCAATATTGATAATTTCTAACATCGTTGACTCTGAATTACAATATTTGGATGTATTTTACGGTTTGATTTCGGCATGGAAGGACCTAAGTTGTTGGACTTGGTTCGTAATATGTATAGGTTGGTTCCCTGCATGGTTACTAATCACAATGTCTACTGTCAGGAGCTCACGTGTAAATACGGTAAACACCTCCAAAAAGCAACAATAAATAGAGATATCTACATAACTATTAAGTAAATCATATTATTAAACAATTTTTGGTGTGATATAGTCAATATAGCAACAAACAATTAAGAAAAAGAATTAATACTAATGTAAAATAATATGTCCCCTTGAGATGGCTCCCTCTAATGTCAAAACGCCAAAGTTTAATAGCTTCTCTTTTAAGAAGCGATTTGTAACAGCCGAAAATTTTTCAAGCGAACCTTGAGATGGCTATACTAACATGGTATCCAACAGGACCAAAAATAAGAGATAGAAATATAACAACATATATAACCACTATCATTATCATCCTAATCATTAGCATCAAATTAATAGTATAAGATTAATAAAAATAAATGGCAGATCCATCGAAATCTACAGAAAAAATACAGGATGATCCATCCGATAATAATACAGAAACTAATAGCCAATCACAGGGTGATGCAGAAACATACAGTCTGAAGACCACAAATATGGAAACTGAACGTGTCATCCGTAATCAAGCTGGGGATGTTGTCATTGAACCATTTTCTGCCAAAGGTACTTACAGAGTACCATTGATGGGTAGTAAATGCACGAAATATGCAGAAACGGGATTAAATGTGGAGTTATTGAGAAGAGGTGAACGTGAAATTATGAATTATCAATGCAATCTTAACGGACATCTTAATGAAGAGACCTATGAATTAATCAGAACGAATGATTTATCTCCAGACACAATTGCTGCATTGAATCCTAAATTAACGAGATTAGCAGCTGAACCAAAATTCATTTTTTTGAAAAGAAGATACTACTTAGATTATAATGGTTTGATTCATGACCATTTAAGAAATGATAGAGTTGTTTGTGAGCCTGTTTTTGTCTTTGATATGATTATGGGATGCCATTTTATGAATGATCATGGTACATATAATGGTGTATTCCAAAGTTTAGCTGATTTTTACTCTAACATTACAAGAGACTTAGTAAATAAAGCGATACAGTATTGTTCTGTATGTAATCCTGAGGAAAAAATACAAAGATTGGAAAAGTTTAAACATAGAAATATTTACAAGACTTTAATGCCATTAGAAAGAATCCATATTGAACTTGTAGAACCATTTAAAGATCAAAAAATAGAAGGAAAATATAGTCATATTATGTACGCCAGAGATTACCACTCAAGATTTGTATGGGCATACCCAGTGAAAGGTTTAAAATTTAATAAGATTGTATCTGTGATGAGTGGATTTTTATTATCGTTGATGAGACAACCTATATTTATTGAGACTACTTCTATACCAGAAACTGATATGTTTGATATTTGTGAAAAGATTGCTACAAAGTATCAAATGAAGATTGGTTTAGGAACAAAAAGAATGAAGGGTTTCCATTCTGCAGGTGTAAGACAATTTAAACGTAGATTGAATTTCCATGAGGAAGAATGTTTAAAAGATTGGAATATGTGCTTGAAATATGGTGTGATGGAACATAATAGATCGTTTAGTGATCGAGCTGGCGCTACTCCAAGTAATATCTTATGTAGTGAAATTCATGATATTGGTCAAAAATTTAAGGATAAAGTGGACCAAATTCTTGAAGATTCAGAGTCTCAGTCTGTGGTGAAGGCAGGTGAAGGTCTTATTTATATTGAAGTTTCGGATGAAAAATTGTTAGATATGGAAGAAAGTGAAGATGAAGGACAACAAGAGGATGAACCTACCGAGATGGAACAAGATCCAGAGACATTAACTGGGATGATACCAATTAACCCCCCGGAAGAGACAAATGAACATGAGAATGACAATACAAGTGGTGATACTACTATGGTACCAACACCTGTTCCAAATCATAAACGTACTAGTACACAAAATAGTGTAATATCACAGAGGAAACGATCCAAGAAAAATGATATCAAATCAGAAGGGATATCAATGGAAATATGACGTTACTAGACATAACATATATAATAAATTCATAAAAAAAAAACACAAATATAAAAAAATTCGAAGATAATTAATTTCAAAGAGGTATAATTAAATAAGTATGATCAACATAATCTATATATATATATTCCCTCCTTCATTCAATCAGCATATTTCTTATAAAAATCTTGATGAAAGGCTTTCCATTTCTGAATCCATTCGGTACCTGGAGCCAAAAATGTAGTTCTTAAATGCCATGTTCCTTCTTCTTGGCCAAACCCTGTCCCTGGAACTACACAAATACCTGTCGATTCAAGTAAAGCATGACAATAAAATTCATCAGGTTGCAAATCAGCTTTCTTTGCAGCATCATAAACTTTCTGTGAGAAATATAATCGTGGGAATAAATACATTGCACCCTGAGGTCTTTGGCATTCGATACCTTCTAATTCCTGGAATGTATTATATAATAATTCACCCCTTTCTTTCAGAGTATTATGTATAGCCAATCTTTCAGCTTTATCCATTTCATATGAAGGTTGACCCTTTGTAGGAGGAGCTACCATCAAATCTACCATTGCTTGACCTGTAATGACTGCACAGATAGATAATGAAGCAAGTTTCAAAATTTCTTCTCTAACTGAATTTCTAAAACCGATTAATTCCAAATAACCACCTCTTTGACCACATTCACCAAAGACACCCTTCGATGTTGAATGAATAGATGCTAATTGGACATTATCATATATTATTTTATGACGACGTTGTAAAGATCTCAATACACTCTTAAAAGAATAAAATTTTCTCCCTTCAGAGAAAACATTTTCTTGATATACTTCATCAGCTAAGATTACTAAACCATATTTAGCAGCTAATGTTACAATATCTTCCATAACATCAGGTTTTAATAGAGAACCTGTAGGGTTCCCTGGATTAATCACTACAATAACGGAAGGTTTAATTCCCTTAGCGATAGTTTTCTTAATTTGTATTTCAATCTCTTCTGCATCTGTTGACCAACCTGATTTTTCGTTCAAATAATATGGGATAGCTGCAGTATTATAAAGAGTCAAGGAAGCAGTATAGACAGGGTACTGAGGTATTGGAATCAATACACCATATTGAGGTCCTCTACATAACAATGATAATAAATAAGTCACGGCTCTAGTGGCACCATCTGTCATAAAGATATCCTGAGGGGAAGCAGGTTCACCGTCATCTCTACGAGTGATGTATTCAGCGACAGTATCTCTAATACCACGTACACCTTGAGAACTAGAATAGGCACCAACAGAACCACCAATCTTATCTAATAATATTTTAGCACGGTCTAAGGCATCAGGCATATATGCACCAGATTTTACCAATAAATCACGATGTTGTAATAATTCAGGGTATTGTAATACAGAGACGACTTGTCTAGAATAAGTTAGTGGTTTCTGTTGTAATTGTTGTGGATTACCTATATTAGCGGTAGTAATCTTATCAAATGGCACGGATTCAGGATCCAAATTAATTTGATCTTGAATTTGCTCAGCTCTCATTGGAATAGCACCTCTAATGGCGTATTCTGCCTTTAGAACATGTTCATTTAGGTCCTTTAAATCTAATTGTTCTGCAGGTTCAAAATTTAAATCCAGTTTTGTCATTATTTAGCGTGGTAGGGAATAAAAAAGAGTTTGCTCCTCTTGTATGCAATCGTTTCAAAATAAAGTAGTAGCTAAAATGAGAAAATAGATTGCCAGCAGTATTAACAAGGATGCGAAGTTATTCTAAATTGTCAAATGATCTGTAACTGCTTACTGTGTATGTCCTTTAATATATTTATTTATATATAAATAATATTTGCTAAACAATTAATCTGAATGAAACAGCTGAAGTTTGTGTAAGAAGAACAATTGTTCAAAGTACTAGTTCCTATTATATTACCTCTGCGTACCTATCTCTCTTTCCATTATGTGTGTGTGTGTGTGTGTGTGTGTGTGTGACTAACATAAAAAACCGGTTTGAGTGGACGGATTATCTAATTGGGAAAACACGCAAAAAACTTTTCGTGGGCGAATTTGTCGCTGTTTCTCTCTGGGTTGTGCCTCCTTAATTTCTTTCACAGATCGATCGATTCATGCAATGAGAAGGTTTGGAAGGTATTCATCAGTTTTGGGATGAAGTGGTTTAGAAGTGATTATCGAGCAAATATTATATCAATGTTCGTTTGGTAGCTGCGCTCTGTTTTCTTGTTTTCATGCGAAGAATAGTCGTTATGTATGTGTGTATGTATGTATGTATGTATGTATGCGAGGTAGGGGTAGAGGGAGAGGGCAAGACAACCCAGTATTTAACTGAGTAAATCTGCGATGTCATCTGAATCTAGACCGTTACCATGATATACACTGTCTATATCCTGTAAAACAATCGATGCATCGTGTACGCGATTTGTACTACGATGGTTTGTTGAAATTTTATGATCTGAAATGTCTTCATCAGAATCGTCTGATATGTTTTGTAATTCCATTAACATTGGTCCACTTTCATTATTATCGCTATCATTGTCTTCATCTAAGTTTAAGGACATCGGTGCGATGTTTATTTCATTCAATTTCCGTAGATCTGCCAATTGCAAAGGCTCTATCCCATCGGGTACATATTCTAACTCCTTTTCATGTATAGGACCATATTCGATTTCACGATCTTGTTCTTCTTGTTCCAATAAACTACTTAATCCACCTTGAGAAAATAATCCCTTTCGCAAGGAGTTCCCATTTCTTAATGATCTCTCTATATCTTCATTATCACTACTACTACTACTACTGTTAGCATTATCATCAATGTCTATATCTTTCAATACCAAACTTTTTACTTTAGGTAAAACGCTTTTATTACTATTATAATTGTTGTCGTTATTATTTGTTGCAGGGTAAAGAATTGATCCATATTTCTTTAAATGCATCGATGCATTACGTGTCAGTCCTGTCTTCTCCTTACCTAATACCGGTCCCATCCCAGGACGATTACTGTCCTTTGATGCAAGAGGAAGTCTCTTGATTCTGGATGCCTGTGACCTGCCTGGTTTACTATTGTTGTTGTTTGCATTATTGTATATCTGTTTCTTCATCAACGTCTTGGGCGTCCTTGGACCCACATCGTTCTCTTTATTTACACTTATATTCGTACTCATAATTCCACGGAATTATTTGTTTTGTTTTACTTGAGTATTTAACGGTAGTTTCAAACTTCGCTATACAATCAGAAATACCAAAGATACCTTTCAATATAGCTTTATCTAGATCATATATATGTATGTTATCTGTTTGTTTATTTGTTTGTTTGTTTATTTATTGTGAAAATACAAAAAACCCAATGCAAAAAGGATAATTTAAGAAGTTGTCGCCGCCGCCGCCGCGTTTCCGTGTCGGAATATTGTTCGTTCTCTCTTTAAACGTTGCGAAATAAAATCTGTGAAACAGACAATTGATATTGAACTTATATTAAAGAGTTTTTTGATGGATTTTGACTAAAGAGAACGAACTAGAAAGACTGTATATACCAAGCTGTGACTGTTCGAAATTATTGAAACAAGTGTGCATTTGCAAACGTCGTAATGTGGTCGTCAATATTCAAGTATGCTGCTGGCTCACTAGTTCGTGAATCTCCAAGTTTAAGTAGTTCAATGATGAACATGCAAAAGACCATCATTACAAGAAATAATGGATTAAATAGTATACTGACATCCAGCACTAGTGGTAGTAGTCTATTAAATAGCGGGGTACAAAACGTACAGACATTACAACCTATGTGGAATCCGTTAGGGATGTTATCACAACGTAGGTTTAAAAGTAGGGGTAATACTTACCAACCTAGTACATTAAAGAGGAAAAGGAAATTTGGATTTTTCGCTAGAGCTAAAGATAAATTAAAATCAAAGATTTTAAAGAATAGAAGAGATAAGGGTAGATGGTATTTGACACATTAACATCAATGCTTACTGCGTTTTTTCGGTTTAACAGCTTTTGTACATAACTGTAAATAAATAAAAAAGTATATATATCACTATTACTATTGTATATTCCAACTTCAAAAAAAAAACATAATCATACTTTTCATCTTATCTGTTAACATAGATACTTTATGAATGAATAAAACTTTGATATCTGAATACATATAATTATATACAGCTATATATACTGTGTTTCTTTCGTTTTTACTGTGTATGTACATGTGTTTGAATGAAGTAACTAAAAAAGATAACAAAAAAATGTGAGCAGGTGTCACTAGATATGTTTCAGAGAAAAGGATTTTGAACACACAACTAGTTAAAGTCAATAACTAAACCAGGACCATGTGAACTTGTTAATGTAGTCTTGCTTAACATACTTTGTTTTTTAGCCTTTTGGGTAGTGATGGAATCTTTGATAGCTTTTCTTGCTGCAATTATATTTTGAATGATTTGTTCATCACTGAAACTAGTTTTACCAACACCGATACTAATACATTTATTACGTTCTCTAAATGGCATTGTCCCCAAATTCTCCCTAATCAAAGTTAAAAGATCATCTGAGACAGTGCCCTTCTTAACATTTGGTAATACACCTCTAGGACCTAATATGCGACCTAATTGAGCTGTCAATGTACTTACAATATCTGGTGTAGCAAATGCTTTATCAAAATCAATCTTTATACTACCATCTTTAATAGCAGCAATCACTTCAACACCGCCAGCCAAATGGAGATCGTATTGTTTCTTTAGTTCTTCTAATTTTTCTACATCGTTGCTAAATACTGCAACTTTACTCTTTCTTAAAGGTGTTGGGAAACTTACATTACCATATAATGGAGGTACACCCTTTTCTCCAACAACTAATGTTGTAAGAGAAACTGTACGTTGTGATAAAGGTTGTCCAACTTCTGCAGCTCTTAAATATCTCAACACTTTCGGGATATCCATGTACAAAGGATAATCTGTAGCAGGTTTTCTAGCATCTGCTTTACTCTTTAAAAATTTACGCAACTCTCTCTTCTTAAGTTGTTCCTTCGTCAGTACTTTTGCTGGGGTAGCTAATGTTACTGTACTATCACCTTTAGATTCGGTAACTTCTTCCGCTAATAACATATGACTAGTGGATAGAAACCTCTGGGTTTGTTTTAGTCCGTGAACCAATGGACGTGTCGACAGCGAACTAATCATGGTGTAGATATTATGATAAACTAATAGCTGTATTTACAATAGTGCTTACTTTCTTTTCTGTTCCTTTTAGATGTTTGAAATTATCTATTAACATAGGCAGGTTTTTTCATTCAAATCTTACTTGTATATATATCCTTTACATGCAAACTTTCGCTTGTTATTTCGCTTTCTGTTTCGCTCACTCTTTTTTTAAAAAAATTAGAGTTTATGCTGTTAGACAATATGAAATATAAATGTTGACTACTGTTAAGAAAAGTTAAAGTATCACTGATTTACGTATTTTGTTATTGTATACAGGATATATGAGGGAAGTTATCTATGTATTACTCACATATAGTTTAACGCTTCTTCTTACTTTTAACTTTGTTCTCAAAATCGATCCATTTACCTGGAACACCCAACTTGTTCAAATGATCAATGATGAGGGTCCCGTGTGGACCTTGTACTTGAACCTCTGCAGTCTTTTTAGCTGTAAGCGATTCACCAATTGTAGTAGAACCACTACAGATCTTCCTTAAATCTGCAGCAAGTGCCTCAGGCGTGATTTGAAAGATTTCAAAATTTGAAACTCTTGTTACTATCTTACGACCAATCTTCATTTCAGTGACAATCTTTACATGAGGCATTGCTCCTTTCAACGGTTCTTTAAAGATCGGTGTCTCGCCGTTATTTTTATAGAGTTGAAAGAATTCACCAAAATTATTCTTTAATATTGGCTCTAGAACACTAGATCTTGGAACAGTACGTGGTGCTACAGCGGCTTGCGATTTCTTTATGTTTATCATATTAAATAATAAATCGTCTAATAAAATCATTTTTTTATTCTTGTTATCTACAAGATTTTTCTCCTTGATATAATTTTGAATAGCATCTCTCACCTCAGTAGACGAATAGTATCTTTTCAGTGGAGTATCATCGATAGTCATTAATGTCTTCCCCAAGTTCATAGGTTTATATATAGTATTTAAAATTAGATCATTTTTAGGATCTAATTTCTCACCATTTTGTCCAACGGAAGTTTCATCCTTGGTTTGTTTTTTACTACCACCAATTTTATAACTTGAGAAGTGTTTTAATTCATCTTTGTCCTTATTTAATGATGTCACTACTAAACTGTCATCTTTACCTTTCAATTTTAAAAATCCAAGTTTCTCAAAATGTTTTAAAAATTTGGCTGTCTTTTTCCATGATGATTTCTTAATATTAACTTCGTTATGGTCCACGTCAGGTAGATTATGCATAATATGATTAGAGATAAAATTGGATGCATTCATTGGTAGCTGAACTTTATCATCCACTACAATAGTGTAATAGAGTGCCCTTGTAATAAAATGATCAACATCTTGCACACTCAGTTTATCCAACACTGTGGCTAGATCATCGATAGAGGTTTCTGATACAGATGCTGTGTTATCCTCGATATCCAGTTCTTCTTTGGACACCGCATTTTCTTCGTCACTATCTTGTATGCTATCAACGACAGGCATTTCTAATTTAACTTTAAAGGTAGGAAATAAACAATCTTCTAAATGATGAATAATTTCGACAGCAACACCTTTCTTTCCAACAACTGTATCACACCTGCTCATATCCATGTCAATTACACCTACAGCAATGACAACTTTAGGATTAGTATAGTTTACAATACCACATACAGTACCAGGGGTCAGTCTGTTGTCAAACGGTGGTAATGTGCCAGCAACCATCAAATTTGCACCGTTATATAGATGTTCGATGACTAAATCATGAGTTCTAATCAATGGTAATAGATCAGGGTTCGACCAACAAGTGAAAACTGTAGGATATAATATATCATGGTTTTTCGCTTTCACCAGGATGGGAACATTTTGATCATTGGTATATATGGTACCCATAGAGTGTTGTGTAGTGAAATTAGTTTGTTTAACTTCTGAATCGGAAGGTATTAGAACATCTTCAACTTTTAATTGCGTTTGTAACGTTTTCAAAAGTTTCTTACGATCTGAGTTCTTTAGATTACTCAGCGCTTTCACACGTGGTTCTTTTTTAAACATGCTAACTGCAAGATTTATGTATTTTGGTATCTAAACTGGATATATCAAAACAATTAGGATGATAAATCTTTCAATATACTATGAAACCAATTGATAATGTTTTACAATCGAAATTGTTGAATTTTTGTGACTCGGTATTGTTTGAAATAATACAATTATGTCAACTAACTTTTGCGATGCCTTTCTCGTGCTTTAATTTTTTTTGTTCCACGAATTCTACTGACAAGGCAATGTAACCTCAATACTCAAAGGACAGGCTAGTATATAAAAATGAATCAGCACATAGATATACAAACTTCAAACCCAATTTAAAGGGATTTGACTCTTCCATCTATATAAATTTAAAATATAAAAAGGACAAGGAAAGAGAAAATATGAGTGAAGAAGAGTTCTACCGTATAGAGAACCCTGAACAAAATTTATATTTAACTCGTCAAGGTAAGAGTATAGTAGTTAAACGCCGATCTGATGATGAACAAATCTCTTCAACGTACATCAGAGACTGGAGTCAATTAATTGGCTGTCATTGGGACACTATACTAGGACAATATCTTTCGATAACTTTCATCGATGGATCTATTAGACTAATTGATACAAATGACAATGGTAAATTAATATCCTTTATGAGAACAGGTCTCGTTGGAGCCGATGGTTCATATTGGAGTAGATTATACGAGGAGAATAAATTCAAGAATAATACTCCCGTTATTAATATATCGAAGAGTTTACCAATCTTAACAAAATTTTCTATGGACAAGGAAACACTAAAATTTGAACCCTTTGATTTAATCAGTAAACAATGGAGAAAAGTTAACGATGGTTTAGTTAACTGGGGTAACAAAGAAGAAAATAAAAGAGGTATCTTAGATGTTCATATTATGCATTGTGAATCTAATGATGAAGTAGCTTTCGTTCTTAATGGTACCTTGACATTGATGAAACTAAACGAAGAAGCAAAAATACGACAAATTTGTAAGATAACAAGTGAAGAATCGGGTATTTATCAATTCTGGTATCGTGATGGTAAGAAACGTGATATTAACATATCATCAATCTTAACCAATGATAATAATATGTACCTTCTTCATGATATTATTGAATTTCAAGAATTGGTTCAATATTTGAAAACTAGTATAACATTTTTACATGATAAAATAATAAAACCATATACAAGTTTTCTGGAAAAAGTGACGAAAATTTCTTATGATGATAATCAAAAATTGTTCGATGATTTAAATCAATTAATTTTCACTGGTGAAGTTGAAGAATCTTTATCAGAATGGTTAAAATACACAATTGGGGAAAGAAATATTCAAACTTGGAGAGATCAATCCTCAAAAATGTATGAGAATGGTACCGAAATATTACAACTTGGTGTTATTAATGCATTGGAGAGAGTGTTCATATCTCTTGAAAGAATTACCGGTTCGTTGATTCTTTTACATACAAATACCAATAGTAATGAGGATGAACAAATGCAATTTGAGCTACAAATATCAAAAATTTATGAGAAATTCAAAATCATGTTTACAACCACTACTGAGGTGATATGCAATAATAATAAAACAAGACGTATGCTTAAACAATTTTTAAATTGGTTAGAAGATAAAGTTCAAGAAATTAATGAGACAGATAATGATAATAATGATAATGACAATAAAAGCAATGGCCATAAGACCCAAAATTTAGATTATTTTGATGAAGCAACTACTGTATCGCATATTAAAGAAGGGTTAAAGCAAGTATGTTTTTGGTCAACAATTAAAGATAAATTTCTTTTCATGTCAGATGATTTTACAATTATGTTAAATGAAATTGATGAAATTGTTAATAAAGAAATCATCAATAAATTTATTATTCCTAAATTCGAGTCATTGCTAATTGAAAAGGGCTATGAAACGATATTCTCGACATTAGAGCAAAATAATAATACGTCATTTGAATTACTAGATATAGAACCAATGGAGATCATCGTTACTCCTACTTCTCTTAAGAACTCAATGGGGTTATCAACAAATTTCATCGATATCATAGTATACAAAAAGATCACACAAGATCATACAGAACAAATTGTCATTGGTACAATAGATGGACCATTTATTCCTTTAATATTGCCTGAAGCATGTCAAGTACAAATGGCTCATCTTACTTCTACTCAGTTATACAAACATCAAATCAATGGAATTAATAAAAGATTCAATTTAGTGATTAAACTATCAACGTCAAGAGATACCATCGAATATTTACAATACATCTTTGAAGTAAGACAACATAGTAGAGGTAAACATAACACTAACGTAGGCATAGGAATGTCTCATCATATTAGTGAGAATAACGCTAGTCGAACTAGGTATGCAACAGATTGGTTTATTAAAAACTTCGCAATCGAGCAAATATATCCAGCCCTAACGACGACAGAGACATCGGAGAACGGCAATCCAATATAATCTTAGTGTACTCCTTTGCGACGAATATAATCCCTTACATATCACGTTATGTATTCTGTATTTGCTCAATTTTTTAAACTTTGCGTACCAAATATAACTTCTTTCATTTGGAAATACGACACAAAATGTTGGGAATATAGCAAAACCTTCGGTAGTGAGAACAATGTTATGGTGTAATGACCACGGTCTCTTCGAGTGTGTCAATTATTTATTTCCTTATCAAAATCAAAGGAAACATGCTTGTAGTAGTAAACTTCGTTAACATAACTGCGGAAAGAGGTGAAATTTGATGAGCGATTAGGGCGAGAATTTTTAGAAAAATACGACATGAGATAAAGTGACTTACTAGTCATCTCTAAATATGATTAATTTTGATACAATTTATCTCAAGTAATGTCCGGGAACAAGCAAGAAAGTAACACTATTCGAAAAGAACATATATACAATTTTGGAAAAGTGTGAATGTAATGTATGTATGTTATTTCTAATATATTTTGAGCATTTAAGGTTACATGAAACTCTGTTTTTAGTTGATCAAAGCTACTAAAATTAAAACAATTTTGTTAAAATTGTATACAATACAAATCTTTAAAAATGAATAAAACACAGGTCCTTAGTCATTTTCAAAATATTTATAATATTTCCCGTAATACTATTAGCTGTCACAAATTTTTTACATTTACAACATTATGTGATCTGTTTATCTTAGGACTACTATTTTTGTGTTTTGGAAGATCAATGTTCAACGATATAATAAGTAAACCTGGAACAAGTAAGGATAGAGTTACTATTGCAGCTGAATTGTCAGTTATGTGGCATCTTGCAACCATAATCATGTACATGGGAAAAAGTGAAATGTGGAAATATGCCTTTGCTTTTTCGCTATTTTTGAGTGGTTTTGCACTGTTAGGACAACTGAGGGACCCGATATCTTACGTCTCTAGCAAGAAATTCTTCCTTCACCAACGACAGGTGGATCAAGATAATTCAAGGAAAGAGATTATCTGAAAAATATAATTTTAATTTGAGAAGTAATTCATTAAAAAAAATTAAATAGATCATGTATAAAAATATTTAATACATGCTTTATTAGACTCCAAAAAGTTCAAATATTGCTTTGTAAAAACTCATTCAAATATAAACGATAGAAATCCTTTTTTTATATGTTGTTGAGTAATTGTATTAGTATTGTTTGAATTCGTTTCCATTATACAATTTATTTAATTCAAGCCTTCATTTTTACTTCTAGCAAGTTGAGTTCATTCTTCACTTTTATGAAATTGCTATTCAAATGACATCATATGGTCATATTCAGTTACCATAATGCATCAAAGTATTTTACAAGTTATTCACCTTGTGTAACATATTTAGTTTCTTATCTTGTTCATAAGAATGTTTTATTCAAAGCATTCGTAAAATATTCCACTCAGTATTAGTAACCTTTATTCACAAGTTTAGAAATTTTCATTGAATAACGTAATACTAAATTGTTTAAAGTTACTTCAGTAACTACTACTGCTACTACATTGTATACTTAACCCTTGACACATTCACAGTATTTCGTTTCTTATATTCTTCCTAGTCACCTGCATTGTGAAATATCACTAGAGGAGAGTGGTTCTCATCCCTTAGAGGCATCTATAAAGTTCGTAGAGAGTGATATGTTGAGAAATTTGATGGTGAAGTTAGAAAATAAATGCTCATATTTGAAAGTTTCGAAGCATAATAATTTTTGATATAAAATTCAGGGAAACCCGCATGCAAAAACTGAAATTCATAAGGTAGTTAACTTCATACACTAGAAATACAAATCAGTATTAGTTTTTATCTACGTACTGTGCTGATACTTCCCGGGAGAGGCCACAGACACTTTGAATTTCACCGTTGCTTACTCTATGCACTCTCCCCTTCTTTCTTTCCTGCGCGTTCCTTGCGTTCCCGTCCAGAAGTACCCGCACACACGCATATCTTGTTCTTCTGGTTACTGTTACAGGCAGGCTCTTCCCGCTGGTCTCCGCGTTCTCTTTGCCGAGACAAGTAGCCCCGGGGATATTTTAGCTGGCAGAAACGTAAATTGAAAAAAAGCTGAGAGAACTGTTTCATTTGCTGAACTAATAATGGTAGTAAGTCATCGTCTTCTTCAAGAGCAAATATCCAGAGAGAAGTTGGTCACCAGTTTTTGGTTTTAAGGATGAACGTTTGTTCTGTTCAGAGTGTGGGATAGAAGGGATATATCGATAACAAGAGAGAAGTTTCATCTCTGAGGTTAAGACATATATTTTGGAGTCCCGGAGGTTTCGGTTGATATATTTGTTAGTAATATTTGTACAACATCTTCATAAATGCAATATATATATATATATGGGAACAATTATATTTAACAGTTCTTGCTCAGTATTTTAGTTGTTCTATTAAAAAAACAACTTAACTAACTTAATAAATTAATTGCTTTGTTAATTAACAACTCAAGTTTTTTTCGACAAACAAATAAACAAACAAACACACATATATATATATATTGCAACAATGCTACTACGTAACCAAATTTTAAGAAGTACCAGAATGTTACAATTCCAAGCCAAGAGAAATATGGCAACAGCTTCTTCTGATATTATTGCCCGTGCTAATAGTAGTAGAACAAGTAAATTCATTGTTTCTGAATTTAAGAGAGTCACTACTGGCGCTATGGGTTGGACATCATTATTTGTTGTTGCCTTATTCTGGTGTAGTCCAATCTATTACTATAAGAAATATACTAGCTTTGGTCTGGTTGATGCTTAAAGATAGAAAAAAATTGTGTATATATAGAATATATTCATAATATTGATTTTAAAGAGATTCCTCACTTGCAGGGAAAAGTGCTAGAAATGAACAATTAAATTTTGATAATTGACAAAATATATAAATGATAAAAAAATATAATTTGGGTTTCTCTTTTATGATGGTTAAATTAAATTGAAAAAAACAACGTCTTTGATAGGCGCAAATATATTATATTTACATATAACTATATATATATATCTATTAATAATAATAATAATATATCTAATATTCTGCTTCTACATGTTTTTCTGTTTCTCTGTTACTGAAAGGAGATTAAATTTATTTAGGTCTTGCCTTTGGGCCCCAATTTTTAGTTGGATTCTCTTGATATCTTACAATTTTTAGTTTTCTTAATTTTTCAACTGTTCCACTTTGTTCATTTTGTTCAAATGATAATTTCTTCATATCAAACATTGTTTGATTTTCTAACCATTCATCTAAATTCATTAAAATTTTATAACCTGGTGTGCCGCTCTTCATCTTACTTAATTTTTGTTTCAAATCTTTATTACTATCACATTCTCTCATCACATACCATATAGCTCCCCATGGCGCATTGGTCTTTAAAGTAGAGGGTTGAGCATGTGTTAATGAACAATCATAACCTAAAGAACCAAGTCCCGCTACCACAGTCTTTAAAGCAGGAACTTGTAACTTTAATATTGAAGCAACATGATTCGGACTGAAGTAAAATGGTGCTTCACTAATTTCATTAGATGCTAAAGTTAACATACCTTCAATACGTTTTCTTGTACCGTAGATTTCATCACCGTGCTCTTCACGATTGATACGTAATACTTCCTTAATGAATTCATGATTATGTAATGGACCACCATACATTGGACCAGCTAAATGGTATGTACCACCACAAAATTGACATTTACGATCTACTGGTGGACCTTGAGCGACACTATATTTCAATTGAATCTTTGAAGGGTTTCTCTTACCTTCACGTTCTGTGATACGTCCTAATGGTTGGTTATGATAGGATCCACATTGTGAACAATGATATGTAATCATTGTCTTTGATTGTAAATTTTTCACTTCAATCGGAGCTGTCTTAACTCTGATAAAGACACGTACATAGAAATCAATGCTTAAACTTAATAATGGTTCAACAGTTTTCTTATATTTAGCAGCAGTTTGACTTAATAAATTCAATACTAATCTTAAAGCACTCTCGTGTGTAGATTCATGACCTACCATATTAACACCTCCATAAAGGGCGAAACATTTTTCTGGGTAACCATTACCTGCAAGAACAGATAAATCGGTGCATGTTACTAACATAAGACCATTATCTTCAATTGATTGCATTGCACTATCAACAAATGGTGTTACAGTACCATAGGGATCCAAATCAATTACATTATATGTCTTATTTTCAGCTTTATTACGATACATTAATACATTTGCATCATCTAAATTGGCTTTACATTTATCGGAAACACCATTATATTCAATATTACGTTCAATAGACTCAACTGCAGCGGGTAGCAAATCATTAGCAATAATTTCTTTAACATGTGGAATTTCATGAGCATATCTAATGGCACGTAACCCAGTGGCAGACAATGCTTCAAGGATCTTAATATATGGCTTTCTTTCAATTTTTTGTCTCTTAGCGACAGGTTCATCGGTATCATTATCATTCTTATGTACAGAAGCAGTTTTCTTACCTTTACGTGATCCATATAAGTTATCCCAAGCTTTAATACAAGTGACACTCAAATCTCTATTGAATTGTTGAATTGGATTATAAAATACAGTTTCTTCTTTTTCAAATAGGATCTTAGCAGATCCTTCCTTGACTACGTTATAGTCATCGATATTGATCTGTTTACGACCAATACCACCAAGGTTTGCTCTAAACCTAGTGAATGCAGCTCTCAACATTGTTACTTAGTTAATCTTTTGTTGATATAATGTAGCTCATCGCAAAATATTTAATTTTTGGCTTCTTTTAGGTTTATAAATTAATCATTGAAATTTTTCTTTTTTTATTTACTATCGACGGAAAATTTTTGTTAGGCCAAAAACAAAAAACGAATTTGCAATAGAACAAGACTATTCAATATATGAAAAAAAGGGGAGATTACTTCCAAGACAATACATATAGTGGCTACTATTTATTGAAAAAATTAACACTCTTACGTATATCCAACTTTGAGCTACTCTTCTTTTCGTGTAATTTTACGTATGTGTTCTTGTAATGATGTGATGAAATACTGTGTCACATACAATTTGAGAGTGGCAGCCCCCATATACAACGCCATCGTAGTTCCTATATTGACATACACTAGTCATACAATCACACCACATAGTAGCCAATCCAACATACAAACAGTAACACACTTCTTTTAAATATATATATATATATATATTTGGACATATATATATGCTAATCTAACAAAATTTCAGCTTATTTGACTGAAAATCAAATCTGCAAAATTCAAAGCGGGAAAAACACGACGAAACGCTGCAAATATTTCACGCGTCAAGTTTTTCTTCTTAATTTTATTAGCAACAACAATAAGAAGAGAAGAAGAAACGGTGTGATGCCAGTCAAGTCTGTTATATATAGTACCTGACCAATATCCAGACTGTGATCAGGATAGATTTGTATCATTAGATTTTAAAAGAACCATACAAATGCCGCCAAAGGGATGGAGAAAAGATGCTCAGGGGAACTACCCAAGCACATCATACATGAAGGAACAAGAAAATGTTACAATCGAAGATTTGTTGTTCCCACGTAGTGTTATCACCAGTCTTGCAAAAGAAGTTGTACAATTAGGACAAACTGATTCCGAAGTGGAGAAACGTCTAGTGATTAATAAGGATGCTGCAATTGCGTTACAACGTAGCGCTACTATATTTGTGAATCACCTTTTATTATTTGCTAGAGAAATCGCTAGAGAACAAAATAGACGTAGTTGTAATGTGGATGATATTTTAGCTTCAGTGGAATACATTGGATTACCTGGTTTAAGAAATATTATTATGGATAAAATGTCAGATTATCAAGAAGCGCAACGTATCTTGACTGCTCAAAGACAACAACAAAAGACAACTGATGAAGATAAGGACTCGAACGACAAAGAACAGGAAGAAGAAGAAATAGAAGAAGGAGACACCCCTACCAAGAAATTGAAAACTGTAGAGTCTCAACAAGACGAACCTAATACAACTACAAACACAGAATCTGAAATAGCAACAGAGACAGAACAGTCTCGGGAACCAACATCAACAGTTGAGCCAAGTATATGATCATACAAGACGTTGTTCAATATATATATACATATATGTAATACTGTTTTATACATTTAAATACGAATAAATTCATGAGTTAATTGAAATTATTGTCTCTGTATCACTCAGTACGAGCTGCCAATTAATCGGGATTTCCCCAAAGAAAGTTTTTGGAGCATTTTCGGAGTGACGGAACCATCGTACGGCTGCTAATGACAGAAATTGTCCCTCTCCTAATATATATATATATATATAATAAAACAGACAATGGGGAATGGTTGAAAATATTTCAAAGGAGACATGTAGATACTTCTTCACTCCTCAGTTATTAACAACGTCAGTTTTTACTGTTTTTCAGTTCAAAAGTATAAAGACTAATAGTGGTCAACGAAATTAGATATATATCTAACAATGACTACAATGCCAAACTATTTTACACGTTCAGCTGAGGATATACCTGTGCGACTGCCGTCTTCGGACAGCGATGGACTCACTAAAGAGGACATGACTGTTCCAAGATTTCATTCACCAACTCCGTTAGCTATGTTTAAACAAGATAAACAAGATCATGGAATGGAAGGTTATCAAGAGCTACCACCAAAACATCAATCTTTGCAGGAATCCCCTAAAAACTATATTTATAAAGATATTCAAACTCCACGACATACAAGATTTCATAGGACTTCCATCGGTGATTGGAGGTTCATGGAAACTGTTGGCCAAGGTTCTATGGGGAAAGTTAAATTGGCCCAAAATGATAATGATGGGAAACTTGTTGCAGTGAAAGTGGTTAATAGAGCATTGAAAGTGTTTCTTTTAAGACAAGAGCATATTCATTCCCCACGGACTACGAAGGAATTAAAAGAAAGAGAAGCAGCTTTGGCAAAAGAACAAGCGAGAGATAAAAGAACCGTTAGAGAAGCTGTATTAGGTCAATTGATGTGTCATCCAAACATTTGTAAATTGTATGAATGGCATATTTTATCAAACCATTATTATTTAATATTCGAATATGTTAATGGAGGTCAATTATTAGATTATATTATTCAAAATGGACTTTTAACGGAAAAGAAATCAAGAGAGTTCGCAAGAGCTATTGGTAGTGTCTTACTCTATTTACATAAGAATAATATTGTTCATAGAGATCTTAAGATTGAAAATATTATGATTGATAATAAAGGAGAATTGAAGATGATAGATTTTGGACTTTCAAATTTTTATGACTCGCGATCATTATTGAAAACTTATTGTGGTTCGTTATATTTTGCTGCTCCTGAGTTATTATGTGCTACACCTTACATTGGGCCAGAAATTGATATTTGGTCCTTTGGTGTAATAATTTATGTGTTGGTTTGTGGTAAAGTACCATTTGATGATTCAGATTCTCATAAATTACATCAAAAGATTAAACGTGGGAAATTTACATATCCTGATTTTGTGACGTCTAATGCAAAATCATTACTAAATAAAATGTTAGTAGTCGATCCAAAGAAGAGAGCTACTCTACCAAAAATATTAGAACATAGATGGATGAATGAAGGATTTGTGTCACCCGTTGATTGTAATATTCCAAATAGACCACCTTTAACAGTAGACACATTAGATTGGAATGTCATTCAAGAGATGGAAAAGTTGAGTCTTGTAGAAAGTGCTCAATTTACTAAAGAATCCTTAGAAGATATCATCACTGATAATAAATACCTAACTTTATCAGAAGTATATTGGTCTATTCTTCAATCAGATGATATGTCTCATATGAATAACTCAGACATGCCTACTGTTGCATTCCATCCTTTATTGTCTCAGTATTATCTTACCAGTGAATATATGCAACGAACACAAAATATTACAGCATTAACTAAAGTACCAACAGGACAAAGTGTTGTTACTGGTACCAGTGGTAATGAAACGAATGGTAATGCAACTGACAGTAATGGTTATGCTCCAGATAATAGATACGGTTATTTGCCCTTGAAATTACGTCGCATGTCAGAACCTCATGTTTCACCAACTAGAAAGACACATTATGATCCCAGTGCAGATTATGTAATTCATGAGGATAGCACAATAATTAGAGGAGAGCCTGAAAGAAGAGAAAGTAGATCAAGTAAAGGTAAGAAGAAAATTAAAAAATTGTTAAGGAGACTGTCTGTTGGGTTCCGTAGTGCTGGTACTGCAGAAGAAAATGGTGATGATATAGGTCCAGAGGATACTACTGTCGTAACTACAACAGACGTCACTGGAAATAACCCTCTAGATATAGGTCATGAAGATGACTACGTTGTTCCCCTAACAGCCCCAGAGACTTATCAGAAGAAGAAACCACAAGGTAGGTCTAAATCAGTTGGTAATGAAAGGCGATTACTAGTGACTAGAGATCATAATATATCAAATGGTGTTGCCCCATTACAACAGATTATCTCTGAGAAGGATATCGTTAAGATGGCTCAAGAAGCACCACCTGATTCGATGCCATCTATTCAATACACTAATTCTTTCTTTACTTCAGGTGTTTTATCAGTACAGACAACCTCATCAAAACCATTAGCTGTAGTTAGATTCAAAATTATTAATGCACTTAAAATGAACAACATCCAATATCAAGAAGTCAAAGGTGGGTTCCACTGTTCTGCTTATAAGTTAGGAAATGTTGTGGATACTGATATTTTACAAACCTTGGTCGATAATAATATTGTGCATGAAAATGATGCTACCGTGGAGAGTGCATCCATGGATAGTCCCACGCATTTCGATACAATATCCGAAGAAGAACCATTGAATATAACTACTGAGACTGTACATCAATTTGTTCCTAGCTTGGTTGTAGACACTTCTCATAATAACGATACTATGGTGCCGTTATCACCTACTGGGACAAGCACTATGGCATCGGCTGGAAAAGTCACTACAGAAACCTCTAAACAGGACACTGTGATATCTTCCCCAATTACATGGAACGAAAAGCACCCATTTATTGCAAATGAACTATCTAAAAAGATTGTTTTTGAAATTTTTATTGCTAAAATTAAATTTTTGAATTTAATTGGTATTCACTTGAAAAAAATATCTGGTGATAGTTGGGAATATAAAGAAATCGCTGCAAAGTTAATCAAGGATATGAATCTATAAGGACATATGTGCGTATATATATATATTTATATTTAATATTTATGGTAAATTAGAAAATATCAAATATTGCTTGTTTTATTTCTCATCATATAACATTTTCTCCAATTGATGATTTGCTTTAAGCAAACTTTTAATGTCATCCACAATACCATTAAGTAATAAATATTTGGGAATTCTCTTAGTATTACTTTCGACATCTTTACTTAACATTTCTGTTAGATTATCAAATGAACGTTTTGTGAAATCACGTCGTGCCTTCTCTACTTGAACATGTTTCCATTTTTTAATCTTCTTCTCATCACCTATGAGATTTGGTGGTATCTCTGCATGCAATATGGTAATTTCAGGGATCTCTAATGGAGGTGGTATATAATCATTAGGTGTAAGTAAATAAGATGTATCCTCATCGGAGGCGTATTCTTCCTGATATGATGGTTTTGTAATCTCTTCTTCTTTAACCTTTGATGGTTCTGTTCGAGAAACATCTTGTAAAGGAGTGTCTACGATATTCTGTTGAAGTTCATTTTTCACATTTGGTGATTTTATTGTAGCTTGTTCTTGAATAATATTTTTTTGATTGGTAACTAAAGAATCTAAAAAATTCTCAATAGCTGTTGATTCAAATGTACTTAATAGTGTGTCGTTTGCTCTTTGAATATGTGTGTCATTAATTTGTTGGAGTAATTCTTCCGTACTTTGTGGTTGTAACTGTGGGTAAAACTGATGCTTGACATGTGAATCTGTTGTAGAATGGTTATTGTTTCGGAGACTCGGTATATTTTGATTTATTGGTGGATGTTGATGTGGGTTATGATTGAAGAATTGTGGAGAAGGTATAGGGGACGGGCTTAGAATATTATGATTATTTGGTTGATGTTGCAACACAAGTGCACCTGCCGCCATGTGTGGTGTTGTATCAATATGTGGTACTTCATTATGAATCTTTTCTTCATGTAATGGTTCGTTATTTACAGGATGATCATAATTTGTCATTGTTTCAGGTTCATTAAATTGTGCTGGAACACGATTCGGATGCATTGGGTCTGAAAGTAATCTATGGGTGGTACCTCTAAAGATATTATCAGTAGGGTTATGGTATTGCGGTGATGTAATATGTTGTTCATTGTTAAATACATCTATATTTTTTTCTTGTAGATTATCAAAATTACTAAACAATTGATAAGCTGTCTCAAAATCAAGATCTGCATCTAGATCAAATAAGTTATCTAATTCTACATTGTGTGGTTGTATATGATTGATATGTGAACCACTTTCTGTGAATTCCTTATCCTGATGGTGATAATTTAGTTTGTGAGTCATAAAATATGAGGCCAATGAGGATGAGGTTGGTATATCTTTAGGGATGACAGCCGTCTTTTTAATACTAGTTAACAACAGAAAATAACGATAATTCTTTTTAAAACAACCAAATCAGTTAATAATAACGTCAAAGATGAGGTTGTGATAAGCAACTAATAGTGACAGCTATTCTTTTCGATGTTACCATGTTCTTAATGCATCTCGATATCGACAACGTCATTTCAACTATAGTAAAAATCTTCACATGCAAAAACGATGCTGATAATAAATTCTAGTTTTTGGTTTTTCAGCTCCGACTTTGAACATCACCAAAATTCTCAACAAAAAAATGCCGGAAACGGAATTGTTTATGGTCTGTGTTCGACTCTCCATGGTTGCTACAGGGTCTAAAGATTTAATATAAAATAAGATGAATAATCAAGATGATTCATAACAATCGTAATTGATAAGCTAGGTTTTTGAAATAATAATATATATATGTCGAAAATAAATAAATAATGGGTTATTCAGATATGTATCATAATTGTTCTTGAAAGAAAAGACAGAGAATTGGGTGTATCGATGAAAATCAAAGTCCGTTACATATATGAAACACATATGGTGACGTCTGAAGAAAGGTGTTTTGACTTCATCATTTAGCTATTGAACTCTTACTAAAGAAAAGTGGTCGCCGTTTATTTAATGATCAATGAGCAACTCTGTATATATAAGGGCTCTTGGCTCTAATGTTCCATATTATCTTGGTGTGTAATTCATCCGAATATGATACTAGAATAAATTTCATGAATTATTAGTTATAAAGGATAACATAAGATCCTGTTGCGACTATGCCAAAAGAGAAAGTTATAAAGTATATCACTGACCTTCTTACTAGTAAAGGCTATGAATTTCTACTTTTGACACGGAATTCGGTAGAGTCAACTAGTGGTCAAGAAATATTTACTAAAGGGTATATCACTGAAAATATAAGTAATAAGTTACCTCCACATTTATTCGATCTAATAGATATAGCAAATATAGAATATATTTCTCAAGGATTGCGTGTTGAACGAAATAATGAATTTCTCACAACGATTTTACTGAAAGTTGATAATCAAAATGAAATCAAAAACTATATTTTCGATTCTCTCAAATATTTAAGGCAAATACCATGCAAGATGTTGGCAAAGTTGTGGATTAAATTTATTGAACCTAAAAAGAAAATACAATACCCGTATATTGGCGGTGATGACACCAAACCAAATTGGTGGCCGACAAACATACAACATAGGGAACCGGATCACCTCCAAAAACCTGAAAGGCTTGAATTGATGTATCATATTCTGGTTCACGTTCTACCGGATATATATTCATTAGAATTTATTATTGAATTGGAGGAATTATCTGTTACCGAATCTGTTATTAAGAATGATCCAAAGAAAAAGAATATAATAAAAACATTGTTCAACATAACGGTCCATCTTAAAATCATGGAAAAACGAGCTATACCGGTAATGGATTTAAGCCAAAATAAACAAAGAAAGAAAAATAATTCTCAAGTTAATGCATCTGAGCAAGGAATGTTTCCTATGATAGTTCCCTCCTCGAATGCCAATGAGGCCTGTTATTTAGGTGAAACTACTATAATTAACACTACGGCTGTTGATCAGGACTTCAACATAATGGCAGACACAGACCCAAGACTATTATTTGATTTTCTAATAGGTAGTCCTTCAGATTTCCCTGATTTCCACGACGATGCATTACTTGATTCATCTAGTAGTAGTTTCTCCGCAACAGATCATCAATGATCATATATATTCTTCTTCATTCAAGCAAACCATACATGCGTAGCAGTTATAATATTTGAAGTATCTCCGGTTCTGATCAGTTGTTGCTTTTTATGGCGTTGGCTTTCAGGCTTTAATAATGAAACCTTCTTTTCTGTTTTGTTTATGTTTCAGTATTTTTACCAAAAATTTCAGTTTTTGACCGCTAACACGGCTGAAACGTGAACTGAAATTTTTTGTCTCTTTTGACCTGTTAGATATTACCAGATTGAAATTTGGGACACAAGTTAGAGAATGTGTTTTGGTGTTATAAATAGATGATGTAGGGAATTGTTTTGTTCAATATACTACACATTAGGTCCAAACAAGTGTAAGGATATGCTTGTTAAGCTTCTGCTGCTTAGTTTGGTAATATCTCAAATATGTTTTCTGTTGGTATCTCCTCGATATAAATCAAGGTGGCCATTTGCATGGTATTACACTAAGGTATTTATCCCATTCCTCAAGGACAACAATTCCCACAGGTGGAAGTTCTTCATCGTACCATGTTTCTATTTATCATTATATCTCTATATTGTCCTGTTATACTATTTAAAATTACATCCGATAGTCTACCCTCATATCACATGTTTTGAAAATGTCATCTTAATTCCAAGTTTTGTGATGAGTGTATTATATTTAGGAATTGCTACCGTCTTTGTCAAACCACAAAACTCATTGGATTCTAAACTGAATTCAAAGAAGCAATATGAATATGATAAAATTTTATACTATCCTGACACTATTTGTCGTACTTGCCGTATTGCCAAGCCAGCACGTTCTAAGCATTGCAATATATGTAACAGGTGCGTTCTGTTGGAAGATCATCATTGTGTATGGGCAAATAACTGCATAGGTAAAGGTAACTTCATATATTTTTATGGATTTTTAATTGATAATACTCTGTCATTAAGCTATGGGTTCTTAAGATTACAATATTTATATCTTAGAAATGTAACACAATTGCCAAAGGCCGCTTTGACGATGAGCATTTTACTTGGTGTATTTGCCATCATTGTAGCTGTTTTTACTTACATGGAATTGAGTATTATTTCGGAAGGTATGACCACTAATGAACAAGATAAATGGTACGTTGTTCAGAATTTTATGAGAGACGATAAGCTTGTACGGGACACAAATGGAAATTGGTATTTCATTGACCCAACGGACATAAATGATATGAATACACCTACCAGATTTTACAGCACCAACCCATATGATCACACAGTGTATTCCTTAACTGATTATACAGTTATACGGGACCCCAGTGAAATAAATAATATCTACGATAAAGGGGGTTTCTGGGAAAATTTGAGAGAATTACTGGGTTAAACAATTCTTCTAATTAGCATATATATTTTAAGAAACAGAAAATAAAATATTTATCGTGTCATTACTGCCTGAACTTCAAGTATATTTATATATGATAGATCTCTTGACGGTGAAGTATATTCATATTTTTATACATTCTATTTAACTTAGCAGTGCGAAACTTTAAGCACAATCAGGAAATGTTGCACGGAACGGGTATCAAAAGCAATGATCCAAAAAATATATATATATAACTATAGAAAATAACAGAACATAGTAAGACCAACGAAACTTAAACAGAATTGGTCCTATTGGTTTCATTGTTGATCTAAACCAAGTGTAAATTATAGAAAACATGGGTGCTATTATATCCTTACCCATTACTATGGGTACAACTTTTGCTGCATCTTGTCTTGGAGGGTGCTGCTCAAATTTATTGTCCAAGACTTTATCATCCCTGAGCTCTAGCTCGTTGGGAACAAGACTAATATACGCATGCTGGCTTCTATTAAACTCTCTAATATCATGGATATCTATGTCGGCCAACAAATCGTTCCTATGGCCTGGTAAGACATGTACGGATACAGGAGAATGTGGGTTCTTTACAGTACATAGACTAAATTTTGCCCTTGGGTTGATGCATGTAATAATGGGCGGAATACTGATAGGTGTCAAATCCACTAAAGATAAGAGATCTGACCTACAGAATTCATGGTGGAGTCTCAAATTTATTGCTTATTTGATGCTTATAGTGATATCATTTTTATTACCAAATAATTTTTATGTTTTCTTTTCTAAATGGGTTTCGGTACCAAGTGGTGCAATCTTTATATTGATAGGGTTAATTTTATTGGTTGACTTTGCACATGAATGGGCAGAGACGTGCATATATCATGTTGAAATTGACGATGAAAATTCCTCATTCTGGAAAAAGTTCCTTGTTATTGGAACATCAGCAATGTATACTGCCTCCTTAGCTATGACTATTGTCATGTATGTCTTATTCTGTCAAAATCACTGTTCAATGAATCAAACGGCTGTTACCGTTAATTTGGTATTGACATGTTTAACTTTAATTACATCTATTCATCCAAAGATCCAAGAAGCAAATCCAAAATCCGGTTTGGCTCAAAGCAGTATGGTATCAGTATATTGCACTTATTTAACAATGAGTGCTATGTCTTCTGAACCTGATGATAAATACTGTAATCCATTAGTAAGATCAAGTGGAACACGTAACGCAAGTATTATTCTTGGTTCTGTCTTTACTTTCGTTGCTGTAGCATATACCACCACAAGAGCTGCAGCAAATAGTGCATTTCAAGGTGCAGCATCTAACGGAGAAATTTATTTGCCTGATGATAATGGATATGACGGTATAGAGGGCCAATCAAGACATCAGCTTCGTTATGAGGCCATTAAGCAAGCTGTCGATGAAGGTTCGTTACCTGAAAGTGCACTTTACGACTCACCATGGATGAACGCTAATCCAAATAACTCACGAGATAGTGTTGACGTGAATGATGATGAATATCAAGGCACACAATACAATTATTCATTGTTTCATTTTATATTTTTCTTGGCTACCCAATGGATTGCAATATTATTAACTATTAATGTAGGGCAAGACGATGTAGGAGACTTTATACCGGTAGGTAGGACATATTTCTATTCCTGGGTTAAAATCGTGAGTGCATGGATATGCTACATTTTATATAATTGGACACTGATTGCTCCCGTTTTTATTGATGGATTTAATGCTGATGACTATTGAGAATAAAAACGGCTTAAATGATATATTCAATGGAACTGAGATTTCATTTATATAGAAAAATGAAATGGTGAGCATCAATTGGTCAGCCGCCGAATATGTATATGCATACAAGTACATGATTAGCGATACATACATAATTTCTGAAAGCTGTAATTTATTACAGATGATAATAATAATAATATCGATGATTCTTTTATTACCCCTTCTTTAAACTATTATATACTTCAGTACTATTTTTTATTAATTAGCTCTAACTTAAAACCCATTTTTGGCGCGAGGCAAAGTGTCACAAATTATTTTGAACTATAAATAAACATAATTCAATTACAAAGTATAAACTCGGTATATAAAGGAATAACATTCAAGTTCAAAAAAACGAAACCTCGGACCCAATGTCATTAGAACCAAAGATATTTAAACTAATTGCAGACGATCAAAGGTATTTTCGTTATATTTCGAAAAAGACGAAGGATGAATCTGCGTATAAAGTAATTAATATTCCTGAGGAGTCATTTTTATCCAAAAGCCTTCAAGAGCTAACATTTGATGAGTTATCACAATGTTTAAAAGTTAGGTTTTTAGGAGAAATACCCTTAAACTGGAAAATATCCAAGAAGAATGTTCGTAAAAATATTTTAAAATTACTTCACGAAATTTCTAGAAATGTTTATGTGGTTAAAGCCCTCACAAATGAGGGGAAATATTTCTATGGTGAGGATTTTAATATAAAAGATATTAAACTTCAAAAGACCTTCGACAATAAAAACATGTTCGACGCTGATTTAGGGAGTTTAATAGATGGATTGGATGTAAAAAAAAATAACAAAATTCAAAAATTGTCAACTACTAAATCAAAAAATGTATCTTCAAGAAGGAATGTACATTACACCAGGAAGAGACACCAGTATATAAACACAACGCATAAGCAAAAGAATCCAAATAAAATTTTCAATTTTAATAAAAAAAATAACATATTAAAGTCAAATACCAAGACTATCATGGTAAATGAGTCTTCTTACCAAAATTTGTTCCCTAGAAGTATCAGAAAGAACCTAAACGATACGGTAATTGCTGGTGATACCCTTCACGAATCTACAGATGATGAAGTTGAGTGTATGAATTTTCCACTGGTTGAAGGTTACAGAACTGAGGAAAATACAAATATAATTTCAGTGCAACCTAAAAGCTGTCGTCAAAAGGAGAAGACACAAGGCCTTGGTAAGGTTCAACGTCCAAGATACTTTCATACCCCCAACCCCTCAAATATTAAATATTTTCAGGGTAAATATAAAAATGGGTTTGAAATGATTTTAGATGAAAGAATGTTAGTACTAATTGCCCCAAGAAAAGAAAGGAAAATCCAACGATCGAGACAATCAAATGTTCCGCTTTTAAGTTGTCTCAAGGCATGGACATGGAATGAAATCAATATTCAAGTTTACGCATCAGAATATAATGGTGACCTTTTCATTCACTTTAAAAGTAATAATAAAGCAAAATTTGTGTACTTATTCTTACCAAAATACAGAAGATATACTAAGGAAATCTTTACGTTCCAGATAGATGAAAATTGCAGAGTTCTTCCTCAAAATATTCAAGAAAACACCCTCTGTTTAGAAAGAAACTTGCTTGGCTCTACAGAGGGGAAAGGAAAAAGTAATCTCCTTCATTATTTCATTAGAACAAACTCGAATAGTTCGTTAGAAAAGTTATTTTCAATTCTTAGTTCAAGACACCCAATTCCAATACGGGAGCAATTACCTGAAATATCTCTTTCAGATCAGAAATTATCAATATGTTTACCAAGGAATAAAAAAATATGTAACTCATTTGATTATCTCACGAGTCACAGGGTTTTGGTGAAGAAAATTCTTCAAACAGATTTAGGTTATAAAGAGTGGAGCTCGCCACTAAGACGATTCATTAATGTTTCTTTGATGGAGATGATGCAACCGCATGCCCAAAATTTCAACCCTCTTAAATATGAAGAAGAGATGTATATACTTCGAGGTAATGTGATAAGAAAGCTAACTGAGTCAGAGTTGAACCAATTTTGGAGCTCTACTTATCATACGAAATCATCATCCAAATATATTTTGAAGAAAAGAGACTCACATTTGGAAAAAGCTAACCTAAATCCCCTAAAAATAGAGAAACTCTATATGAATAGTATTGAAGGGTTTACTCAGGAAGTTAAGAAGGTAGTAAGATTGAAATCAAATCCATCTTATAAGCTTGGAACTAAGATGTGTTACTTTTTTCTCTTAAAAAATTTACTTTTTATAGTTCCTTCATCGTGCGCAATACTTCCTTTCTTAACAGAAATACAACAAAACGTTAAAATGACAAATAAAAAAGATAAAGACTCAACTCCCCATATAATAGATCCATTAATATTTAACAAATACCACCACATACCATGGCTGAAAAATGATTTAAAACTTAAAGAATTTCATAAAAACGATTATCGTTATTTTCAACACTTTTGCCGTAAGATTTCTCTTGTTTTATATTCAACCCACTGTATTGACTTAACGACTGTGTCTAATATACACTTAGATTCTCCAAGAGATGGCATTACAAGTTATATATCTTTGAACAATTTGAAAAAAAAACAAAAAAAGTTATCAACTTGCAAAAAAACATCAACTTATATATCTTCTTCTGTTGTTGTTTTACAACGGGGTCGCTCAAATGTTAAATTCTTATTTTCCTCAGATCAAGTTGCAAACGAATGGATGACACAATTGAACCAAATAAAGAATTATTGGAAAAACCATGATAGCAAAAATAAAAACCTTACAGCAAAAAATAATATCATAGTCAATAGTACCCCCCATACAAATTCATTTGCAAAGAATGGCTCACCTTATACCGGCAGTACTGGTTTAGTTTTAACTAATAATAGTATAATGTCAATATTAATTCATCATGGAATTTTATACATCAAAAGTGGGAAGTACAATATATTCAAGAAATATTTAGTTGTACTGATACCTGGAACCTTGATACTTTACAAAATAAACAAAAGATCATTTAGTGGAAATAATGAAACCAATCTAAAATACCCAGTTTATAAGGTTGTGGTTTTAGAATATTGTTACGTATACCCAGGAAATTCGGATTTTCGTGCTCTATTTTCCACAAAGGTATTAAACAATTCCACCAAAACAAATAGCGATCATATATCTAAATTGTATGGGGATGGATGGCGATCTAATGAAGACCAATTCATCAGATCTTTTACTCTCCAATTTGGAAGTCGTAAAAAAAGGATAACCACACAAATAGAAAAAGTTGAACCTGCTATAACTGTTCAACCAGTAAAAGTACATTCGGAAGAGCGTTTTCAGCAATCCAAGACGAACAGTAAACTAAAAAAATTAGAGGGCCTTCACTTTTTATCTAATAAAACAGTACATTATTTTCAACAAAATCAAATTTTTTTGGCAAGGTCACAACAAGAGAGAGATCTCTGGGTAGCCTTGATTTCGAAAGAGATCGAAAGACTTCAATAAATACGTATTGTTTAAGTCCACCTCCTACAGCAGGATCACTAGTTATCCATACTCTTAAATATTATCAACTTTACACAATAATAAATTTATAGAAATACAACTGAAATATACACTTAATATTTGTATATATGTCTATCACTTTAAATAATGTATGTACATAGATGAAATTTACTTTATTAATTCAAATACTTACAATGTCAAAATTAAAAAGTCAAATTTCTATCAATAACATAGGGAGTCACTATCAAGTAATGATAACATGATTATCCGTATCAAAAAGAGAACTAGTTATATGCAAAGTTAACAGAGAGTGATCTGATGATTCTATACTATGTCGGTCACCAGAAGATGTTAAGGAGACAATGTCGTCAAAGTCTGAAATATCACTATTATCATCTTCACTATCATAATCTATGGCAAAAGTGTAGCATAAAAGTTCCAACATATCAGTCCAATTATCTATTTCAACTAATTCGTCTATTTGATCAGTGTAATTCATATTAAGGTAGCCAACCTTAATCTTAAGGATATTTGCCCTAAGCTCACCCATTTTCCTCAATAAAGCTATTTGTTGAAATAAAATACATGATTCTTTGTTCATCATAGTGTTTGATATCAGAGCGATTCCAACAGTTCTACTAGATGATATAGTAACGTTTAAAACCGTCTCTCTTAGTAATTTAGAATTAAATGAGCAAATAGGAGTAGAAATTTTAAGATCCTCTGGAGTTTTTATTATCTCAGATGCAGGTCCTTGTCTTACAAGAGACATTTTAGAATCAACAAGGCATATATAAAGTGAAGGAAATAATATCTCTAAAGCTTTCAAGTTATTGTAGATAGTGCTATAAATGTCTTCAGAAATGACATACCGCTTATCGATTTGGATAATTACAATTAAATTATCGGGCTTTTTACGTCTCATAGAGATAATAGAACTAATGGATGTTTTGTTTGTTGATATAGACATCATAGTACCGCCATTATTTGCGTTTCGTGGAAGAGCTGACATTCGGCGTATAATTACGCTTCCTCTCATGTGCGAAATAGTACCGAGTTCAGTTACTTTTTGGTTAGAACCGTTACCTGAATATGTAGCTAGGACATCTCCATCGTTCGTGATATTCTTGATAATAGGAGGGAGAGGTAGTGTAGATGTAAATGTTTCTTCATTAAATACCAGTTTTTTATTAAGAAGGGCAGAAGCCCATTTTTGGGAAACTTTAGAGAAACCGTGCGTTGTCGATTCTGCAAGACAAAAGTGCTTCGAGATAGAATCTGTTATTATTGCACATTGCAAACTAGTATCGGAAAGAGGTTCGACACTGACATGTTCAAGCGGATAAAACATATGTATATTGTTAAAATTTGTATTTAACATAATATTCTCATCTGATTGATCTTGTGCAGGATCTGTATACACGATCACCAAACAATTCATAAATAATAAGGACCAACATGGTAAAAAATTTGGCGTATCTATAGAAATTGACATTCTGTCCACTATTCTTAGTAACCCAAATTCCGAATCCACCAGTTCTTTTGATATCGTCGATTCAAACCTGTTTATAATGAGGTCCAAAAAGTACGTTCTAAGAAGGGGTACAGATATACTGCTATTCCTGACTGGTTGGTCATGATCCTCTATGGTTGACATATTACTTATGTCATCTCTAATAGAAGTTTGATTTTCAAAATTGGTTACAGGGTTTGTTGGAATAGTATTTACAGATGAATATTGAAATGGCATTGACAACTGATAAGTCTGTTGAGAAAACGGAGGCGATAAATCCCGTCTGGTACGATTAAGACCTAAAGCAGTTCCAATATTTAACGTTGGTCTCGTTATAGGCTGTTCGTTTCCGTTTATTGGTGTCGGGGTGACATGATTTGTTGGAGTATTAATATATGGTGTAGTTGGTGTAGATACACTTCCAACCTTTGTCATGAAAATATCTGAAATAATTTTATCTTTCAAAGTATCGTCTTTTGGAACACAATTTATATCAACCGATTTCTCAGTTTTACATCTTAAACATGGTGGAAACAGCTCATATATATTCGTGGAATATGTTGCTACATCTTCAAATGATATCAAAAGACAGTACTGATGACATAAATGACCACATTGTAATTCTATAATTCTCTCTCCATGACTCCTGTGAGATGTTGGTTCATCACAAATAGTACAATTGTCATTCAAAAATGATCGTTTGTTGCTACCCGACGATTTCAAAGGTTCCTTTGGCAAGTATTCTGTTGGAAATATACCTTGATTTGAGTCTGATATACAAGGCGCTGAAGCATTTATATTTCCCCTTGATGATATTCTAGATATGGGACGAGGTAGTGAGGATACACGAGATGGATATGTGGATGTAGGAGTTATGTTACCTGTTGGCGTATAGGGTGAATTAAAAGTATGTTCAGAAACTATAGGGGATGATGTAACAGGCGTAATGGCCGAAATTGGAGAAGATACAACAGGAGTAACAGAGGTGCCATTTTTATTCTTTTTCGAATGCAATTGAAAATTTAACAGTTTACCTGCCCATTTCTTTGGCGAAGGTGAGTGTTTAATGAGTGACTCCTTACTCTTGTGATGATCCATGAAGATATTCGCCGATGCATCTTGACGATGTCCGTCTATATTAGTTTGATTGTAAATATATCTATCATGATGTGCTGGTGACATATCCTGTTCGGGTTTCTATAGTAATAATAAATAGGGAGCGTCAATTATGTCTGATATGATTGTAAACCTTTAAAATAAAGGATTGAGGTAACCATAATTGAATATAAGATTTTTATTTCTTGAATAATTTTTACGGTAAGATCTATTTTCTTAAACTTAATGCAATATTTTGTTAAATGCATCTCTATTTCCTAAAATAGTATTGCGAAGAAACCTCAATTCGGGCTTGATGTAAAAATTAACTTGATCTCACGATATTTAGAAAACTGTGATTAGAAAAATTGGTGTGCAATGATAATAAAAGACATGTTAAAAACATCACTTCAATCAGTAGCTGTACAATAATGCAATAGTATAAAACAATTTAAAAGTATGTTCAATATGACACTAATAACATCTCATAATTGGTACAATTTATTACCTTTATCATATATAAGACAAAAAGAGTAAAATAATTGAATCCATTTTGATAGAGATTTCATGAGAACCACATATTTTAAAGTTTATGTATGATCTCAGAGGCATGGAAGTAGAAAATGATGTTGCACTGTATAGTGGAATCCTCGATATAGTGATTAAACAGCAATCCTTTAATTTACCATTGCTCAGTAGATGTCCATTATTAGCCCAACTGAATGAATCAGTGTCAAAATTTATATATGTACTTACCATCCATCATCTTACAAATCTATAAGAAATAACTAAGAGTAGATATAGCTCATTATTGAATTTTTTCATCTTCAATCAAAAATACCATAATTGGATCACTTATTTATACTTTGTTGTGGCGTTATGATAATGTACCATAATTAGAAAGGTAGATTAGATCTCTAAACAGAAATGAAAACCAGTCGTGACTGCAATAATTAACATCAAGTCACTGCATGTCTTGCTCACTTCTTAATAACCTCTACCTAATCTATGTATATAATATCCTTTCACTTCTTATCAAATTCCTCGCTTGAATGTCGTGACAAGTGACTTGCTTTCGGCTGAAAAATTTTTGCTGAAGGCTTCGAAGAAAAATGATTTCAAAAAAAAAATTGCGATGAGCATCGAATAGAAATCATTTCAGTTATAAAAACTAGTTATGTATGGTAAAAGAATACAACTGTTGAAACTATATATTGTTTAGACATATAACTGAAATCAAAGGAACATATAACATAAATAGTCATGGAATTAGCTGTATCTCACGAGGATTCTCAGATCTTACTAAAAGATAAGAACGTCTTACAAGATTCTGTCGTGGACAAATATAGAACTGCGGGTCAAATTACCCAAACAGCTTTGAAGTATATTACCGGTTTAATTAATGACATATACCATTATAGAACTATTGAAAACCCACTAACCATTTCTGAATTATGTCTCTTGACCGATTCATTTATTGTTACTAGATTAGAACAATATTACAAGAACAAAGTCAACGAAAGAGGTATCGCTATCCCAACATCTATTGATGTTGACCAACTGGCTGGTGGTTGGAGTCCAGAAATTGATGATATCAAGAATCTAAAGAATTGGAATAAAGAAACAACCTCTGTTGAAGATCCATTGAACAGTACTGTTACTGGTATTCTAAAAGCAGGTGATGTAGTTAAGATTACTTTAGGTGTTCATATCGATGGTTACACTTCTGAAGTTTCTCATAGTATGGTGATATATCCAACTAGTACCAACGAAGCAGGTGTTGTTGTACCAACAGGCCCTTTATTGGATGTTAAAGCTGATGCTGTTGCCGCTGCCCATATTGCTATTGAAACTGTTGTTGCATTACTATCATGTGCTTTGACTCCAGAAAAGCTTCCAGCAACCCTAGGTACTTCAGTTACAGGTCAACTTATAAGACACGTTGTAAACACTATTGCTCGTTCTTACAATTGTGCCATTGTTCCAGGTTCTCGTGTTCGTAGAATCAGAAGATTTTTGGCTGGTCAAAATGAAGGTATTGTTGCTGAAAGAGAATATAAGGGTGTTGTTTGGACTGAATCTCACCAAGAAGCTGAATTGTTAGCTAACTCTGAGGTCAAAGACTTAACTGTTGCTACAAACAGTAGTAGAAGTGCCCCATCTGCTATTCCAGTTGATGATTTTGTTGTTAAGGCTGGTGAGGTTTATTTAGTTGACTTAAAAATGGTTCCATTAGGACAAACTACTAAGAAGGGTCTAGTTACTTTGGAAGTTGTAGATTCTGCTAAAGGTAAGTCTCATAGAAAGAATGAATTAGTTGCCAGATCTGGTATATTCGTTAGAGATTTTGCTCAAAGTCATGCATTAAAACTAAAGACTTCTAGAAAATTACTAACAAATATCGACAGAAATGGTGTATACCCATTTAAATTATCTCATTTATCTGAAAACTTCCCAATCATATCGACAAAAGATTACAATGAACAAATTGTTGCATTAGATAAAGATTTGAAATCTTTTAGACTTGGTATGAGTGAAATTATTAACAATTATCTATGTGTCGAAACTCCAATCGAAGTTGCTAAATGGGTCCCATGGGATCATATTCTAAAGGTCTCTAATCAAAATGGTGCTTTAAGTTATGATGCTACTGCTAGTTTAACTCTTCCAGGTCATGAGGTTCCATTACCAAAACTAGGTATAGCCACTTTGAAATTAAAATCTCTAGTAAGATCTTCTTCTGAAACTATTGATTTACCAGTTGTTAGAGAATGTACCACTGTTGTATTGTGTGATAGTGATACTAGTTCAGGTGAAAGACCAGAATTATTAAGATTAACTGGTGGTTCAAAGACTACTCAACCAAGTTGGATCCAATCCAAACTCGAACTAAATAACGAAGATCCAACCGTACAAGGTATCTTCCAACTTGCTACTTTAGTCAAGGATAAGAGATTTGGTTTAATCGTTAGAGAAACCCAACCGATGAAACAATCTGTTAATCAAGGTTCTAATGAAAACAAGGATATGGAACTTTAAAAAGAACATCTTAGTTTTATTTTTGTAGATCCATTTAACAGTTAGAGACCGAATGATAAAGGTATCCAAGCCATATAATCATTTGGTTTAAATTTTTTGTAGATTAGTAGCAGAGTATAATATTATATAAATATATATCTATATCCGTGCATTTTAAAGAAACACATTCAATTTGTCAAAAAGAAACTAGTATTTTTTTTCATTAGAAAATAATTCAAATTCAATTTTTTATTACTTTTTTTTCTTATATTTGATTATATACATTTGTTATATGATTGTTTTTTTCATCTTCTATCTTTTCGTGCAATTAGATAATTTCATCACCATCATCGAATTCATCATCACCAACAGTTAGGGAATTACCTGCTATTTTGAAATAATCTGGTTCTTCAACCATTGGTAAGAAATGGAATAAACAGTAAGCGATACCACTTAAAACTAATAAGAATGAAGAAATTAATTTTAAAGCACCACCATGACATACCATGATACCAAGTAGTATTTGTAATACACCTCTTCCTAAGAAATTGAAATAAAATGAAGCAAAATTGTATAATTGGCCTGGTACTTTAAATTCCATCATGACAATCATTGCGGACAATGGAATTGCAAAAAGAGATAACATAAAGACATTAAAATCTGAAATTAAATATGTTAATTGAGTAAAGGCAGCTAATGACGCAATTGAACCAATGGTTAAATTAGCGATCTTTATACCTTTCTTTGTGATTATTGCAGACATTTTTTCCGTTAAATGATTGGTTACTTCAATTGTTATTATTAGAGTCTGTTCGTTTGATGAATATATAACCCTTCGGACCTAAATGGTAAGGAATAGTTACTATTGATAAAGTTTTTTAATTGTTTCTTATCAAGTTTCTCTCGGTATTGTTACGTTCCTTATATTTTATTTTTCCTACTTTGTTGGTAATGTGTATACATTTCGCTTTTACTTTTTTGTAGAAAGGGGGGAGAGAGTATAATTAAAGGACAAGGCTGACAAAAACACAATTGTCTAACTATGTATATAGAATTATTTTGTTTAACGATAATGGCATGTTGTTAGTGGTTGTCAAATTTAATAACATCAAAACACAATGGGATCATACATTTGATGTTATCAACCCTTGTAGCACTAGTAATATAAATATGTATACAATGTAATAAAAACGTAAAATTTATACTGTATGGTTGTAGTGATATAATATTAAGAAGTAGAAAATAGAAAGAGAATAATAATAATAATAATAATAATAGTATAATAATAATAGTAATAGAAAAAAAAAAAATTAGGAATAAAATAACATAATATTAGGAAATGGTTTGAGAAAAAGAAAAGAAAGCAAAAAAAAACACAATAGAATCAACAGATACATATATATGA